CCTTTGATTAGAGAAGAAGCCAATATATCTAGCTCGCCCCTTCAGGTATGGTTTGCGATTTATGAATCGTTTTCGGTGGCTGCTTGGGGAAATGGTGATCGCAAAGCCTATCATGTCCACAAGTTGCCGAGGCTTGTAATATGTACCCTATTTTCATCACTTATGTGTCGGGTAAAATAAGCTTTGAGAGCTAAGCGAAAAAGAAGCATTTCCAGTCCTAAAAACTATTATGCTGTGCATATGCACAGTCTCTTATATCCAAATCACTAAATACTAGCTAGTAGTTACTGGATTTTGAAGCGGTTTGCAAATCACGTCTCATAAAGAGAAATAAGCCTAAGGGCGATAACAATGCAAGGCTGAACTTGATTGATGATAAGAGTATGATCATGATCAATACTTAGCACTCTTAAACTTGAAGATACTCCTTTTCCGGCTAGTACTACTGCCTTCTGAGTGGAGGACGGTAAAAGGGAAATCAAAGCATACTACGTAAATTATCATTACCTGTTAAACTATGATATATCTGTTCGAAGGTTCTGGGCTTCCCCTGATCGAACGAGGTATTTCTCTATCTACAAATGTAAATATCCCAGGATGGCGGCGTGAAATACGTATATATATACTAGTACAAAGTACATACATACCGTTAATTTAAACAAGCGTCCTACCCCACCAATCTCTATGGTTGATATAAAATTAGGGCCACCTGGCATTCATTCACTCTTGATCTTCACCCCGACCCTTTTCCCTCGTTACCTGAATGCATGCCCCACCTTCCCATCCAAACCCCACCCACATAACCAACAACCCCAAGACCACATTCATTCAATGACATTATCGTACCCCAATCACCTTATCCTCAGATACGCCATTGTTCCTGCCCTCGGTCCCTTTAACGTTTCGTAGCTACAAGCCCGGCCGGATATAGCTAGATAGGATTAGGTTTAAGATTTAAGGTTTAAGCTCATCCGTAATTCTACATAGCATATATTCCTCCAAGCCCCGTTACTATGATTATAATGCGCCTAATATTACGTACATTCATGGAGCACTCACTCTTTTTTTCCTTTCAGTTTTCCTCCAGAGGGAGCCGTTAGAGGCGAGTCACCCCTCCCACAAATCTAGTGCGTATAGGGTCTTTAAATTTGGAGAATAAATGAAAACACTCTTCGAGTTATAGCCAAACCTACCCCAAAGTACCCCACCAAACCCATATTCTCGAGCAGGCCATGTATGTATGTATGTGTATTACATTATACCAGCATTCACGGTATGCCTATGACACTCATTTTTGTTGTATGAGTTTCAGTCAAAGCCCATTACGTGCACGAACATATTTTCAAAGTGATCGTAACGCCAGTACCACTCTCTACCCGGACCACTCGTCGTCACTGCGATATCCCATATCCTAAAACGTGTCTATCAGTCTCAGTCTCAGTACTGTTCTAGATCTTCGGTGAGAAAGGCCTAAAAAAAGCTCTCAATACCACGCATTAGAGTGGCCACGTGGAGAAAACATCATGTGCTAGAGGCCTAGGATGTAGCCAACAAGCTAGCTACAAGAAGCACCGACACATCCGATCCACGAGGCTAGGTACTCTGGTCGACAAGAGCGAGCACATTACCACAGCAACAGCAGTTTTATAACTAGGTTTCAAGACGCCTCCCCAGAGCACGCCTAGGTTATACAAGTAGAAAAGCCACAATAAATAAAACAACAACGTCAAATTAACCGAGAGATTGAAACGAGACGTAGCCCACCTGCTTTTTTTTCATCGACAAGCTACTCATTTAGTCACTTATACCTTACCTCCCCCTCCATATCATAAAATGTTCCCCCTTGGGTGAATCTGGGGCGGATGGAGCCTGCTATAGTAATTTTATCGATATCGACGGTCGTTGGTCCCTGCATGTAGATAGGGTAACTATCAGGCTCAGGCTCATTCCTATAAGTCTTTAGACCTCCCAACTACATGTAGCTATAGCTACGCCTCACTAGCCGGAACTATCGAGAGTAGCTCGTCACTCCAGCTCCCCGCAGGGCCGGGTTGAACACAAGAATAGCCAACTACTAATCACCAGAAAGCACTGTATTTCTAGGCATAGTCCTATCGAACCACTAACCGAGCCCAGTTTGCGTGGTTAACCTGATAGGCACTATTTGGGCCTAACTGCCAGGAATAATTTTCTCAGGCTGTAGAAACGGTAGATTCATTGTGGGTCTGGCTAGAAGATAGAAATGTTTGTGTTCTTAAAATAGCTGGCTTATCAGCAGGGTTATATATCTATATCTAACTTCAAGTTTGCTATGGTAGATGTAAGCTCTCACCTATCCTACGCCTGAATATATAAACTAACGGATCCGTGGATGAAGTATCCGATATTTTTTATCTCTGGTGCGCATGTCTCAATCGAGCACTTCCTAAGGAACAGATAAATACACTGTTTGAGGTGTTAGTTGGAGCTTGGACCTCGAAAGTCTACAACAATACCAATTTATATTCACCACACTTGACCAAAATAGGTAGCGAGTGATACTTCATGACTCACTCGTTCAACACACCTCTTATAAAATCTATGAAGATACTAGATAAAATAGAAAGCAATTCTCTTAAGTATTTAAGATTAATATAAACTACTCAAAAGCATGCTTATATACAGAAAGATCAAATCGCAGACCAAGTCACGTGCGCACCAGAAACACAGCAGCTGTACCTCCACATCATTGGCCAACCTCAACCTCAGCTTCTGTTTCTAGATAATACCCGTATATCAGCATACTCATCAAGCATGCACGAACCCGCCTCCCCCACCACTTCAAAACTCCAATATTTTAACAGAGACCAGGGCTGGATCCAAGTCCACGAACGGCCATGCCCCTTCCACTCCCAAACCTTCCTCGATACAATGCAAGAAATGGTTCTAAACCCAAACTACAACACTTCCTGGATACTGCGAGCAGATATTCTCCTCGATAGTCGCTCCGATGATATTTCTGAGGAGCTCTCTTGCTGCTCCTTGCTTAAGGAAGAAGAACGCACCTATGTCTTGGCGCCAGAGTTCGAGATGCGGGGATTTGTGCGTAGTCGGACCGTGGTGCGGCGATTCATTCCGCGGAATCCACAGCGGGACAAAGCAACCAACCAGACCTGTCTATTCTTTGAGGAGAGAGTAGAGGATAGAGTTTTGGGGAATCTCAAGACCCTAGTGGTCTACATTGCCCATGCAGCATCCACAGAGGAACTGCCGTACTATCTCCCGGCCGTTAAAGGCGTCGCATTTCTCTACGAAGAGACCCCGGGCCCGATTGAGGAACTGGAAAGTATCCAAAAGATCTCAATTCACTATCTTCTCTTCACGCCCTCAACTATTGAGAGCCCAGGCATGACAACCCGCCTCGAAAGAACTGCTCTTCGACTAATGGACCGCATCATCAAAGTTGGTAACGGCAGCATCCGCGGGTATGAAAAGAAGGTGCATCACGACCTCGTGGTCCCCAGAGAACGGTCTCAGGATACGTATCTGAAGCTTCGGGTGCGACATGCTAAAAGATTAATGGATTCGTGGGTTGAGAAAACGGATCCTAAGAAGCACGTCTTTGAGGATATACTAATTGCAGCGTTTCTTATCGAGCTCTGGGAGGACATGTATAGATCCGGTAAGGGAGAATTTCCAGGATTTGTAGATATTGGGTGTGGGAATGGAGTCCTGGTAGATATATTGTTGAGAGAGGGTTACAAAGGGTATGGGTTTGATGCGAGGAGGAGGATGACATGGAAGATTTTTGAGAGGGAGACGCAGGAGTGTCTTTCTGAAAAGGTCCTAATCCCATGGGTGCTGGGCGATGAGATGATAAAGGCGGCGGCCCTGGCAGAGGCCGAGGCGGAGGGTATCAAGCAGTTGAGGATTGCTGCGGAAGAGAACCTTCAGTTGGAAGGAGGGATTATGGCAGGAATTCATGATGGACGCTTCCAGGAGGGGACATTCATCATTTCTAACCATGCCGACGAGCTAACTGGATGGACACCTCTTCTCGCAAAAGCATCAAACTCTCCATTTCTAATTATTCCTTGCTGCTCCCATGATCTTTCAGGGGACAAACACCGCCATAAGTCCACCGTGATCAAGACTAGAGCAGTAGAAAACGTTGATAAACTTGGCACAAGAATAGGGACAATAAGCAGCGAGTATGCATCACTGGTAGAGTGGACTGCAACCATTGCACAAGATGTCGGCTATGTTGTTGAAAGGGAGGTCATGAGAATTCCCAGCACCCGAAATATAGGTCTTATTGGTCGAAAATGTGGCGATGGAGAGATGAGTGTGGGCGAAGTTTTAGAACGAGAAGGTGGTGGTGTTGGATGGGCGGACAAGGCTTTTGCATTGAGGAGAATGCAACTTCAGAAAGGACACGGTTAGTAGCTGCCATTTTACTAGACCATTCTTTCTTAATTACAGCGTGGTATTGTGACATACCCCAAAACTGGACTGCCAACCTACCGTTGGCCCCAATGGATTGTTCTTAAGGAGCTGAATCTACGCAGGTACGGCATCAAAAGCTCGGTCACCATTATGCATTGAAATTATGAAAAAAGCTCACCAAAAAATGAAGGCCGAAGGCCTAGGGCTGTGTAAAATAGTGGAGTAAGGTAAGTACTTTTTTGGATATTGAGGAGGAACGGTGTATCAGCTGGTTTCTGGTTTATTTTTATGGTAGATAAGGTTGGTAGTTATGTGATAATATCCAACAAAAGAAACCTTTTGCATCCAAAATCCTAACCAAGACCAATGAAATAAATATATTGCTCGAGAAGTCATGAAACGTTTCACCATGATAAGCAGTTTATACCAAATCAAGCAATCAGAACGCAATAGTAAACCATAGATGAGGAGTAAACAAACGAACAGTTCTAGCTAAGCAAGTAAACCGGAAAGCAAAGTAAGAAAAAACCGCATAAGGAAGTCATTGAAATTCTTCCTCTGGTAGTCATCCTTGGTTAAGTTTCATGGTTCGACTTCTCGCGGTAGTAGTAAGGGATTGTGTTATGCCTTACTAGTTCGTATTTTGGATTCGCATCGAAAAGCTCTCGAGGCCCGGCGATGACCGACTCATCTAGATCGAAGCCGACAGCTGCGTGCCATGGTGTCAGAGTTGAGCTACGATCGGGGAACAGACTGATTGAGAATTTGTTGCTTCCCGAGCTTGCATGGATCGAGAGGCGGATGCAGTCTGAAAAGATGCTTCCTATAGCCGTAGCGTATGCCTAAGTCTGTGGTTAATACATGTATTATATATGTAGTATGTTAGTCTCGTTCCCAGCCTGTGTTGACGAAGCACGACAAAACAGTCTGAGAACGAGACTATGTGAGAGTATACGATTCGATATCTTCATGTACGCACCTTTCCACGCAGAATCATTCTGTCAGCTACAGCCATCTTCTGGTTTGACTGACTGCTGTGTACATTTACAAGGTCATGCTCAAGAATGTTATTGAGGTACACATCATACGTTGTCCTCGCATCCTCGTTACTGGCCAGATACTGCACAACGTCCTCCCCCGCGTCGTCTGGAGCTGGAACCATGACATCAAGCTCTTTACGCAGCCGGACTGCATTCGCAAGATATGCCTCCTCTGTGAGCTCCTCCTCCTCAAACCACGCATCAAGCATGGTATGCAGTCGTGCAAACTTGAGTAGATCACCAAAGCCCTTATCCCGAACGATCTTCCTCACAGCCTGTCCATAGGCCCATACAGTGCTGTCCGGAACACCAAGAATATCTAGGCACGGTTAATACACTCAATCCACTCTCTCGGATGCTAACGTATGGAACGGTCTTGATTACCACTATACACAAGCCCATCCGATACAATGATCAGCTCTACGCCTCCTTTATAGCAATCACTGATTTCCTCACACATCCCATGCAGGTACGTCAACGCAACCTCTTCTGCCATGTCCGGTAGCACTCCTAGCACCTTTGTCTTCGCATCTGGAGACTTGAACGGGAATCCAGGGAAAACCATGGTGATGGGACCGCCTGAATCTACTTTTCGTTGAATCAGTGGCGCGAATTTAGCGTGTGCTTCACAGCCGCGGTCGGGAGTCCCGTCAGGCAGGTGGAGGCGGTAACTTTCCAGAATGCTGAGGATTGTGGAAGTTTCGGGGCTCATTTCTAGTTCTTTTTATTCTAAGCGCTAATTACTAAAGAGGAGGAGTAGCGAACAAAACGAAGGGATGTGCCATCTAGTCTCTATTCAGGTATTATATAGGTCCACCGGGGAAGACATCTCGGAATTATACGTGACACAGAGGAGAGGATAGCAACATATTCACGGCTACTTATCTATATACTGTCGCTGTTCTATTAGGGTTACGGAATATAAAAATCAACTTTACTGCTCTCTAGGATATATAATAGTAGTCAAATAATGTCCCTTAATCACCGCTTCCCCAAGTCATATGATCGAGTGAGAGATCATGATTGCATTCGACATCCTCCACAACCCTAAATATTTATTGACAAAAGACTTTGCTACAGACAAGTTTCATCAAACAACTTGATATTTCTGTTCTTTTTCGTATATGTGGAAAGGCAATCGGGTATGTATCTTTATTCCATCTAGGGTCGATCGCGCTTCGATTGTGGGTAAACGTGGCCCTCCTAGCTAGCCTGGTGTTATTAAAAGAGTCGTAAATCTAGGGGGGTGTTGATAAAAATGTATGCCTCTTTCTAAATAGCCATCCTCATCCTGGATGGCTGGTAAATAAGCAAGAAAGCTCATTATATCGAGAATACATATAATTCCTGTTCCTAGGCCAGAGGTTCCTTGAGGAATATTCCTGGATAAAAGAATCTCCTGAATAAACTAGATCGGACCGTTTCTGGAGCTTGTGTTTAACTCTCTGTGCTACTAGTGAAAGAGATTCTGGTCCCTCCTGCACTTCCGCGAGACTTGTAGAGGTGGTTTGATGACCCTGAATAATTTTCCACGAAAGTTAGCATTGCGTGCCTTTCAAGGGCAGGTAGTGAAGGGCTCGAAGTACCATGAATTAGTGAGCCCAGGATTTGAATGTAGGTAAAAGCGTCCATCTATCTGGTCTGGCGGGCCTATAGAATGGACGATCATTCTAGGACCACTCTAATATGGTGATGGTTAATGAAGGGAGCTAGCGGTTGTGATGTAATAGGCATACAATATTGGGGATGGGAACAAGCTCATACCATAATATATCAATAATGTCATCCGGAGCCGTTTCTATAGGTTTACTCCAGAAGATAGAAATATGGATAATTATATAAAGACGAGCCTGGAAACCACTTAGTATCTTTAAACGAACGTGTAGGTCGGTAGGTCGTGGTCGAAGAATAAACTTTGCAAGGCTATGGTTTTGTATCTATCTTAGAGTGGGGAATGCACGATGGTTTACACCCGCAGTTGGTACACATTTGGCCCTATATGCTATGGGTCGGATTCCCGCCTTCGAATTTGTCAAGGTGCTCGTGTCCCCACGGATCTTCCTTTGAGTAAATGTGTATAGATTACTCCTGCTGGCAGTATCTTAGTGTAGGTAAATGGAAGAACATCCATTCATTATTTTAATCCACGTATCCATGCGTAACGCATCATATCAGGGCATTCTATCCCCAAAATCACCACCTGCCCAGGTATTCAAACCTTTACTCTTTTCTTTTACCTTAGCTAAGTATTGATTTGTATGGGGCTGAATTGCACTTGTAAAACGTAGACTTCTTCACGGAATACGATCTGAAAAATTTGAGTGATCATGCGCTCGAGCCAATCATTTACAAATCTCTCTTTTCGCTTCCTCCTCCTTTTCTCTCGAATCATCTGGTTGAAGGAGGCGTGGCATCCCACATGATTGCATGTCATATCGATTTCTCCAGTGAAATTCTCCCCAGGTCACACAGGCGCTCCTAGTTCTATAACCAATGTCTCACAATAATTTCTGATTTCATTATCACTCCGGGTCTCTCGGTCGAAAGCCAATGAGTAGCCACTCAAAAGTTGGCTCCATGTGGCAGGGTGGAGTTAAGTACCTGGACTTAAGCCTGATCAGTTCATGGGAGCGGAATCCAATGTTGACTTCCGTTAATCTATACGCAGAACTCAGGAGCCAACACCTGGAAGTTTCTCCTCGATATAACCACACACACCATGCAGATCACGATAGATAAACCTACTCTTAATTCCGTCAAAGAGAAACTGGGTTGGCATCTACAGGGTTATCAGACCCTTGTCAGCAGCTATCGTTATCTTATCAGATCTCCACACACGATCATTAACGCAGGCCATCCTTAACTCCGAAAATTCCGCGTCTAACGCCTTGCGCCATAGGCCGCATCAGAGCTCGGGCTAATCTGATGCCCGCTGGATGTCTAGTCGACGGAGGAATCGCAAACTCCTGAATCCGTTAAGGGAGCTTTCCAAGGATCTCGCTGGGTCTTCTGGAAGTAACGGATGCTTAAAGAAACCATGCTATGGACTAAGGAAATGGTATAAGAGTCCTCCTGCTGTCTAGATATTTCAATTTCATCATCAGTTAGCATCGCCAGCCAGCTTGCAATTCATTCTTCAGCTTTATAACAACTACAATTGTAGTCATATATTCATAACATTATCAACGAACCCTTCCCGAATAGCTATATCAAAAATGCCTTCAATTCTTGGTAAAGAAATTGCCGATACTGCCTATGGCCTCATGGGGTTCACCTGGCGCCCCTACCAGACCCCCGACGAAGATGCTTTCCGCGCCATGAAGGTAATTCCCATTTTCTCAAACCAATTATCTCATTACCCTTGACCCAAAGATACTAATCCACTCTACTCAGGCCGCTCTCGCCCACGGCGCAAACCTCTGGAACTCCGCTGAATTCTACGGCCAGAACACTGCCCCCCTCAAGCCTACCGACAATCTCTCCCTCCTTGCCCGCTACTTCACGCAATACCCCGAAGACGCCGACAAGGTCCTCCTCTCGGTAAAGGGCGGCTTCAATTTCGTAACTTTCAAACCTGATGGCTCTCCAGCCGGTATAAAACGTAGTGTCGAGGCATCTGTCGCCGCCCTCGACGGAAAGAAGAAGATTGATATCTTCGAGTGTGCCCGTGTCGACAAAGACACACCCATTGAGACCACCATCGCTGCACTTGCAGAGTACGTCAAGGACGGGACCATCGGCGGAATTGGACTCTCAGAGTCAAGTGCGGCCACCATCCGCCGTGCTCATGCGGTTCATCCCATTGCGGCTGTTGAAGTAGAATTTTCTCTGTGGTCTACCGAGATCTTATACAACGGCGTTGCAGAGGCTTGTGCTGAACTGGGAATCCCAATCGTTGGCTACTCGCCCCTTGGGCGTGGGTTCTTGACAGGGCAGATCAGGAGCAATGCCGACATCCCAGACGGCGAGTACAGGAAACACTTTGACCGTTTCCAGCCAGGGAACTTTGAGAAGAACTTACAGCTTGTTGACGCTGTAAAGGAGATTGCGGACAGGAAGGGTGTGACGGCGAGTCAGTTGGCCCTGGCATGGATCAAGCACCAAAGTGGCCGTGGGGACAAACCAGTGATTATTCCGTTGTTTGGGGCGGTGAAGGACACGAGGGTTGAAGAGAATATGAAGAAGGTTGAGGTGACGGATGAGGAGGCCGCGGAGATTGATAAGATATTGAAGAGTATCGAGATTGTAGGTGGGAGATATATGAAGGAGTTGGAACATATGTTGCTTGTTTAGAGGCGGGCTCTAGGTTTGATGTATACAATACATGTAGGGTTTAGTACGATTAATATGATATGATAAATGTTTTAATAAAACTCCACACACTATCACTCGCTATCAATGATTAAGTGGAATCTTGGCCTTTGCACAGAAATTATTTGCAAACTTGTTTGGGTCAACTGAACTGTGGTATCGGCAGTTTTAAGAAATTCACGCCTCGGCCAGCCGTCTGGCATTTTTTGTCCCCGCTAAAGCCAACCACTTAGATGGCGCTGAGAAAGGTATTTACATTATCTATCCTCTCTGACCCTAGCGCGCCAACCACCAGCAGCAAGGAACCTTGAATCCAATAGTCAAAAAGAAATAAAAACCAGAACCGAAAAAATATATTTTAAACTCCAAACTTTCTAGTCTTACTCCTTCTTCCCCGTCTCTTCGCTCAGATTCAACTTGTCCAGCGCATCCTTAGCATCAGTTCCCAATGCCTCTGGAACTGCATTCTGCGCCTTGATCACGCCATCGGCAACCTGCTCTGCCACAGTGGCGTTCTTTTTGTCCTTAGCAACGTATCCTGTGCCAATCTTCTTCTCCTTCTTCTTTCCCTTCTTGAGGCCCTCAGATGGGTAGGCAAGGTCCGCAATCTTCTGCCACTCTGCATCGGCTTGGTACGCAGCTTGGATCGGCGCTAGGATGGCGTTCAACGCTTCCTGAACTCCGTTTTTCAGATCCATTGGGGAGAGCTATTCTCGTCAGTACCATGCATAATTCTTTATTGGTGGGGGGATGGTAAGTACCTTATCTTCAAGGTAGTCCGCCTTCAACTCCTCGGTGTTGTTGTAGGTGACAGGGCCGCCCCATTTCTCGTCACGGTTGACGACAAAGCTGCCCTTACCCTCTGGGTGGGCGAGCTCTGAGATGGGGAAGAGGACGTACTCAACGAAGCTGTAAACTCCGTTGCCTTCAACCTCACGGGGCGCGCACTGAGCCTTCTTCAGCTTAGACTTGACGACATCTGGCGGGTCGAGAAGGTCGATCTTTGAGTTTGCGTCTGACGCTGACATCTTTCTACGGTCCAATTAGCATACATTCTGGCGCGCGCACAAAACAAAGTCTTTCACTTACCCTCCAGCCAATCCAGGAACCATAGGATTCATCAAATGCGCTCGCACCTTGAACCCAACACCAGGTAGCTGCTCTGCTGCCAATGTAAAGATCTTCCTCTGGTCCACGCCACCAAACTGCGCATCCACATCCAAATGCTCCTCATCCAGCGCCTGCATCAATGGGTAGATCAGCCCACTGAGCAGCGGGCTCTCCACCTGCTTCACAACCTCCGCGCCAGCCTTCTTGGCGTCGTGCTCGGAGACGACGGTCGTCATGCGCAATAGGTCCATGTTGTACTTTGGCGTCACCTGGTAGGATGAGCCGAGAACGAAGACGAGCTTGTCGATGGGAACACCGATCGCCGTCAGAAGCGCTTTGATGATGTACTCGTAGTACTTTGCGCGGTGGGCGACGAGGTCCAGCGGCGCTTTGAGGTTGTCGAGGAAGGCATGGATGTCGGCGAGGAGTACTTTGACTTCGCAGCCGGCTTGTAGGAAGTGGGCGAGTTTGACCATGGGAACAAAGTAGCCGCAGTGAGGGCGCCCGGTGGGTGCAGTTCCTATGAGATCATGAGGGTTTAGTCCCTTGGTGGAGAGGTGAATGGTGGGCGCAGAACTAGTATACTAACCCCAGTAGATCTTAAGAGGCCTGTTTTCTTTTATAATTACATCCTCAATGATGTTGAGTTTGAGGACTTCTTGGAGGCCTCGAGTGATCAGTTCGATCTTTTCTGCTGCGGTGCTTGCTGCCATTGTTGGTGTTTTTTTCCTTGGGTTTGTTGTGGCGAAGAGTCAAAATGAGTGAACGGGGGAGAGAGAGCTGACAGTGAGTCGAGTGTAGTGGGGTCAATCAGAGATGCCTGTTTGAGGGGTGGTGGGAAGAGTCCCTGCAACGCAGACCAGAACCCCGCATGACTCATCCGCATCACCACCTGTCACTCGGTCACAATGGCACATCCACTTTCCTTTTATTCTCTATCTTACAAAATAATATGTACTCCTCGATCCAGGAGGAGGAATAGAACAAACAATCTGCTATGTATAGTGATAACAACTATTATCCTCGATCATGTATGCGCTAATCCCCGGTAGTCAATGCAAACGCGCAGTATTAAAAAGGATCAAGAAAAATTGGTATCGAAAAGTAAATAGTTAGTAAGGGGATAAAAGGAATAATAAGAATAAAAAGAATAAAACAGCCAGCCAGTAACCCTCTAAACCCAAGCCCAAGACCTATGAATTAAAACCCTATAGCTATGTAATGCCGAAACGCGCCTTTTTTTTTTGTACCTGTCATCCATTACTCCCGTCACCCGTTATATCATAAGCTTTAGAAGATGGTTCCGAACTGTCCATCTCCTTCGTCTGCATAATCCACAAAGCTGTTGAGGTTCGGTTTTTTGTGTCTACATCTGTCAGCAACCAGGGTTGATTGAAGAAAGAGAAGAACACATACTTGAAGGTAAACCCAACAAACGCAACTTTGCTCATCGCATCTTTTCTCTCTTCCATATTTTCAAGCGCTGTCTGCTTATCATGCACTTCTTTGTACTTGGCCATATCGGCCTCATTGCTAAAGTCGTCAAAGTAGCCTGCATCGGTCTCACTGTCGAGTTCCGGCACAAACGGTGGCTCTTTCCCACGAAGATCGGCCCAGTTCACCTCTGAGAAATATGCATGTGCTTGGACGGATTTGAAATCCTGGAACCGGGATTCTCGTGCTGCAACAAGATGGATTATCAGATCCCAAGTACGTTTCGAAAGATAGTAGTTCGGATTCTCATATTCCGGCTTGTGCAGAACTTTCTTCCAGTGTTTGAGATTATGCCACGTTTCTTCGACCGTCGCTCCGGCGAATGGTGGGTATCCGGCCAGTGCTTCATAGAGCATACACCCGAGTGACCAATAGTCGACAGTGAAATCATATTCTTCCGTGCCCCGAAGCACTTCTGGTGCCATATAATCTGGGGACCCTACTACGGATTTTGCCTATGATACCCGAAATCAGTTCCACGTCGCGAGAAACGAAAGAGATTACTAACGTAATTCTTGTCGCTATCTCTGAGAGTCCTATACGCCCTCCGCCTCTCTAGCGTTGACCTTGCAGGGATGTCCATATCCTTCACCTGATCTAACCTCATCTTCATACTTTCCATCCTGTGAGGGCTCAGCTTCCCCGCACTCAGACCAAAATCGGTGAGTTTGATATGCCCAGATGAATCGATAAGGAAATTCTCGGGTTTGAGATCGCGGTGAATGTACCCCAAATCATGTAGGGCGTTGACGGAAGCAAACATCTCTGCAATGTAAAACCTGGCATGGTTGAAATGCAAAACTCCTGTATTGTTGAGTAAAGTTCTAAAATCACCACCAGGTACGTATTCCTGTTTAATTCGTCAGAATCCAATGCCCTCTCCCCATGTGATAAGGCGGTGGTTACCATTGCAAGATATATGCTCTGATCGTCCTGGAATGCATACAGCAACTTTACAAGCCAGTCACTTTTTGCCGCAGTCAAGATATCTCTTTCTGTCAAGACATGCCTGATCTCATCCAGCTTAAACAACAGCTTCTTACTCATAACCTTCAGTGCGCACACTTCCTTAGTTTCCTTATGCTCAGCCAGGAATACCTGGCCATATCCGCCCTGGCCGACCTGCGTCAAAACCTGGAAATCTCCCTTCCGCAATCTAGTGCGACGCTTCCTTAGTGCAACGCGCTCTCGGCCAGCAAACCGAGTCCATGAAGTCTTGTGTTCCTCAGGGGTGAGATTCTTATGAGCTTCCTTCCAATCCTCTGTACGACTTCGTCGGGTATGAACGTAGGTTACGAGGTTATAGTAGTAGTCGTAAAAATCTAAAATGAATAATCAGAACGAAGTGGTGTGAGCTGGAAGAGTTACAGGGCAACACACATAGATGCGCAACATCTTTCAATCTCTTTACCTGCGGCTTCGATAGCTTTTCAATCTCATCGAGAGTCATGTCCCTAAATGGATCATAGGATCTTCCACTCCTCTGCGCATAACTCCTATGTAATCCACCAGTATTCCCTCCAGTGCGCTGTGGCTGCAGGGGAGCAGCATCCTTCGGCGGAGCATTTTCCTTATTATGCCTCCTCTGGGCACCTGGGTCCTCCAACTTTATGATACTATTATCGCCGGTATTATTGGTGTTGTTTGCATTATTGTCTTCGCGGATAGCCTGCAGCTGCCTTTTCGACGGAGTAGCTTGGGGTTTGCTGGATGGTGTGGGGCTGAGCTGCAGCGATCTATCGAATATCTCGCTCAGTGAATTTCCACCAACTGGAGTTCCGGGGGTGAACTCCTGATTAGTTGGTTGAGGATCCCAGTTCTCATTGTGAGATGAGCGGATGTGTAAAGGGGCTGGCTGCGTAGGTGGGAAGATATCCGCGATGTGTTTAGGTGCGGATGGGGAGTTTTGTTGTGGGGGATTTCTGGGGGGAAGACGTCGCGGGGTAGAGGAGGGGACGTCCATCGTGAATTGAGCAGCCTATGGAAAGGAGCTCTGGTGGGCAATCGTATTTGATGATAGGTATTCGGAAGAAGGGATGGCAGGGAGAGACGACGAGAGGGTGTTATTAGAGGACGATGATGATGTGTACGTGTGGATGATGAAGGCCAGTAGTAGATGCATACACACATGTACCTACACACACGCAGGCTCACCAGTTACTCTCCCTCGCTCACACTCTCTCACTCACTTCCACTTTACACAGTTGGAGCTGAGCGGGGAATGAAACGGGCCGGGTTCTGTCGTGTTTCCAACTGGTTGCTGCAGCAACCAACGCGGCGTCCTAGGGAAAGTAGCTGCAGAGGAAGCTTCTGAAGATGAGAAATTCCATCACTGCAAACAGCGAAGGGAAACCAAAAACTACATAAATACATGTAGATAAGAATTGAGGATGGGCTCCTTACTTCTGTAGAGTAAGATTACTTGCATTTGATAAGGGGCTATTGCCTCATCGATGCCGCCCTGCAGGCCGATCCACAAAACCCAAGAATATAGAGCCTTTCATAAACAGCGCGCCATCAGCCCTAAGAATAAGCAAAAGCAAGATCTACCAAATTCATATCGCCTTTACTCATCATCCAATAACCATTCCTTAGTAGAGACATGCTCCATTCTCCATACTCCTTCTTCGGATTATGTCTTTATCCGTATACACCTATGCATAGATCACACAATGTCTAGGCACATGTGGTTGTGTGCATGACAGATTGAACTAGGGATCTTCATGGATGAACCGTTGTCTAATTCCTGATCCTACTGCAGAGAGCCATGCGACACCCCTTATGTGTATATTCTCACGAAGTCTAGCACCAGACTCGTTGAAGCAAGTAACATTTTTTACAATATTATCAGTCTTTACCATTCGATTTTCTTTCCTTCCCAGTCCCAAAACAAACCCCTCTGATCTAGCTTTAGTCCTGACACAACACCCACCAGCCTCTCTGCTGCTCTCTCCGGAGAAAACAACTTGTCATTATTCACACTTCCCCAGAATTCTCTGCTCAGTTCTGTCTTCACCGTTCCTGGATGCAAACTGACACAGAATGCCTTGTCCCCTGACACACGCGAAAGGTGTATGTCAAACGTTTTTGTGATTGAATTCACACCCGCCTTGGTAGCGCGGTAGGAATACCAACCGCCCAAACGATTGTCGGCTGTAGATCCAACCCGGGCAGCCATGTTTGACCAAACCGAAGGAGCATCCGAACCAGAGGACGTTTTCTTTGTAGGGAGGAAAGGGGAGAAGTGCTTAAGGACTAGGAGCGGTCCTAGTATGTTCGTATATAGTGTTTCCATGATAAGTTCTTTTTTCAAATCGGCTGGGGAGCGTTCTGGGTGTAGTATTCCACATGTTGAGAAGGCATATTGAATGTGGTCTTCGGGGAACCTTTTCGAAATCTCGGATGCAGCATCGGATAGTAATGATTCGTCTTGATGCTGCGTGTTAGCAAGGTGCTCCCCTTGATCCAAGGGATCGAACAACAAACCAGTAACATCGACTTTCAATACAGTGACACGATTCTCGTCAACATCCAATCCTTCTAGGATGCTTGATTTAACAGCATCGGTATCTTTCCTTGCAGTAGCAACCAGAGGATAAGGGGAGGTCTGAAGGAGACGACGGCTCAGTGCTAGGGAGAGACCGCGGGAGGAAGGACAGACGAGATTGAAAGGCATATTATGTTTTATTAAAGTGATTTGTATGGACGGTATGTAATGTGATAAGAGAAAAAGACCGAGGACTTTGATATTTTAAGGGTTGGTTAATTGAGCTGAACGATTTCTGTGATTCTCTGGAATAGTGTTGACGTCATGTAAGGAATTGAACTTATTTGATCCTAGGCGTAGATCGGTCGTGATCGAGATGAGACCAAGACGAAACACCTACAAATATGAAAGAGGTATCAACTTCTATTGGTTCCTGGATATACTGTGACTATTATTTGGATCTGCAGCTTATAGGAATACCCTGCAATGCGCCTATCGAGTGATATTCTATGAAGAACGCATGAAGTTGGTGGTAACCAATAGGAATGAACGGCGGAAGTCAAGAAGGCTGGACCAAACAGCATGAACTATTTGATTTATTAATTATTTACCTCATTGAGCTGAGTATGGTAATATTCACCCCAAATTCTAGAGCAATATCAAAGAAAACTGAATTCAAGTCACTGAAAACTACCCGAACATCAGAATTAACTTCTTTTTTAAGTTTATTCAAATAAACTTTCGGGCTAGGTCATTTACTTTTCAGATCGTGAATGGGCGCTTGATACACGTAGCTTAGGTCTTTGAATGAGATGTTTGCATAAAGAACTTTGGTCATGCATACGCTCTATGATGTATAGCATTATACTACACGCAGGTACTCGGTCAGCCGTTACTTCTCCCCACCAGTGCAGATGTATGCTTGTTTAGTAACCAAACGCCAATCTTTGTGCGTAAGGGGCATAGTCCTCTCATTACCAGCAAAAACTTGCACGTTGTAGCACGTGGCGTATGATAAGGCTTAACATGTGGCTGAATAAGTGGCTAAGGAAAAGGTGTCTAGGCAAGAAGCAACGTAAGAGAGAAGCTACACACTAGATTAGTCTTCCTGTATCCGTAGTTCATCGTCACCAATACATCGTCTGTCTTGTCTTTAGTCTACGTCGAGTTTGATTGATCGTCATTTTGTGATCAGTTAGAACAAGACTCTAGAGAATACAGAAAACAGCCAGCAACGTGTTGGTTAATGTAAACCTTCGGGGTTATGTTCTCCGATATCTGCATCGCAGCCGTTTCCTTTTCTGGGGAATCAGGTAAGTTATCTAGTAAGTGGACATAAATTCCCCGCATCGTACCAGCCCACGATATTGCTGGTTTGACCATGGCCAAGGACACGGGAATGTAGCAGCAAGAAGCCATAGTCATTCCATTTCCACAGCAAATGACCTGTTGGTATGCCCATAGTCTAGGATTATGCTGTCTTGTATATTCTTATTCCAAGTTAGAAAGGTGTTTCCGAATGTTCTGGTTTGACTGAAGCGGCGAAAAGCTAGGATCCCTGATACCTTGGCATTCTAGTTGTGCTATTAGAGATTCAAGATTTCTCCTTCGTAGATTTTGCCCGCAATGAAGTCCGGCCGAGGTTATGGGGAGAAATATTGGCATCATCGCGCAGCTATAGTCGCCCGTAACTTTAACCTCTATTCCCGAAGTGAACTAATTGAACTGTGGGGTAGATTCTCAAGATCAAGCACTGCATGGAATCCCCGCAATTTCGTGTCAAGACAGACCCCGCGTACATGTAGGTAGCCTATCTACCCGAAAGTAAAATCAATCCAGGATAAGTCTAGATATTTAGATCGAAGATGGCACATCACTCAGTATGTTAATTGCAAGATATTTCTCTCTGTCAAGCTGCCTCTTCCCCCCCCCCCCCCTCCCAACAACAGAGGGCACAATCTTGAAATAAGCGCGTAGTATTGAAGTAAGCGTCTATTCCATTTAGCCATTTATCCAGCAACCGCGGATGGGGGGTGCGGTTTATTTCGTCATAAGGCTGCAGATCTCCGAGTGGCGAAGAAACTTGGTGAGTTCGGTTTACCTGATCAGGCTCTCCGCCGGCAAAGCTATTCCTCATTTTGAAACTTTTCCCCGCAAATCTTATGCAGGTACATACCCTGCAACAACGGGCCGCCATGGAGTTTCTTGTATGCGCCTCCATGGATAAAACATTCGAAGTAATCACTTCTCCACAAAAACGTATCTTATGTGCGTTTCTATAAGATCTCGCTGTTTTATGACGCCTCTCCCGGGTCAGGATTGCGGGGGAATCTCGGGCTAAGCATGGTTTGGCATTTTAGTCTTCCATAAGAACACAGAATTCATGGCCACCTACATGATAGCTTATATAAATAGGTAGGACTGGAAGGAAGTCCTATTTGAACAGATCCTCATCGTTGGGGAACACTGAAACCTTGTGTTCACATACTGTGCAAGCCGCCCCCGAGAAAAAGTAGCTCTGTCTAGGTCTTAAGATGTTTGGAAAAAGGTTTTTTGGCCTTAGAGGACCTAAACTCAACTATGCAATTAGTATTATAGCTGGAATAGGTCCGTATTTATATGAACTTTCTCCGAACATAGTATTGATGCTAATTACCCCAAAGATTTCCTCTTGTTTGGGTATGATCAAGGAGTCATGGGTGGACTCTTGACCCTCAAGAGCTTTACCAAAGTATTCCCCGAGATGGACACCTCTGAGAGTCTTCCTGCACATGTAAGATCGCGAAATGCAGAGGTTCAAGGTATTCTATCCATGACTTGAGCTCATAAATTAAATAGCATTAATGGCTTGGGCGTGTACTCTAGGCGTTGCGATCTCCATGTACAACATCGGGTGTTTCTGCGGCGCATTGGCTTGTCTCTATCTTGGAGATAAGCTTGGTCGAAGGAAGACGCTTTTCACTGGGGCGATGATCATGGTCATTGGAGCTATCCTCCAAACTACTGCGTATTCTTTGGGTCACTTTATTACTGGACGGCTCGTGACAGGATTTGGAAATGGCCTCAACACTGCTACCGTCCCTGTATGGCAATCAGAATGCTCGAAATCTCACGACCGTGGAAGGCTTCTTATGATTGAAGGTATGCTTAGAATCTGAGTGTTTTTCCAGAGAATTGTAGTAACATGCGTGTGAATAGGTGCTCTGGTAACTGGTGGAATTATGATATCGTATTGGATCGACTTTGGTTTCTCGTTTTTAGAGCCCTCGGAGATCTCCTGGCGATTTCCAATCGCGTTCCAAATTGTTTTTGCATTAGTTATCGTCATATTCATCCTGCCTCTCCCCGGGTCACCACGTTGGCTATTGTTGAAAGGACGTGAGACCGAAGCTTTAGAGGTCTTGACAGCCCTTGACGACGTCCCGGCCGATGACCCCCAAGTCATGGGCGAGCTAGCAGAGATCAAAACAGCTCTTGAAGAAACTGCTGCCGCTACATTTAAGGATCTATTCACCATGGACGAGAACCGTAATTTCCACCGCGTGGTCCTAGGATATATGATTCAGGTGTTCCAGCAGATCTCAGGTATCAATTTGATCACATACTATGCAGCAACGTAAGCACCCAATTCCTAAAGCTCATAAATGAACTGTATGGCTGAAAAAAGCAATCTTAAGTATATACGAGCAATACATCCATCTTGAACCACTACTCGCAAGAATCCTAGCGGCCTGCAATGGGACTGAATACTTCTTGGCATCATGGATCTCTGTCTTTATCATTGAGAAAGTTGGGCGAAGAAAGCTATTACTGTGGAGTACAGCGGGTATGAGTGCCTCCATGGCAATTCTTGCCATCATGACCAGTATCGGAGGAGGCGCCACTGGAATTGTTGCTGCGATTTTCTTGGTTCGTTGATTCCTTCCCCTCGTCGGGTACCTAGATATGAGTGCTGACGTATATTGCATAGTTCGTCTTCAATACTTTCTTTGCCGTTGGCTGGCTTGGAATGGCATGGCTATATCCAGCAGAGGTCACGCCTCTACGTATCCGTGCCAGGGCCAATTCCCTCTCTACTAGCGCCAACTGGATCTTCAATTTCATGGGTATGTTCATACCTCCCCACTAAATGCGCATGATAGATCTAACGTAACATACACACCAGTGGTAATGATTACTCCTGTTGCCTTCGCAAACATCCAGTACCGCACCTACATAATCTTCGCTGTGATCAACGCCGCTATCATCCCCTGCCTCTACTGGTTCTACCCTGAGACTGCGTACCGCTCCCTCGAAGAGATGGACAACATCTTCAAGAAAAGCAAGAGCATCTGGGACACTGTCCGCATTGCAGCGCAAGAGCCACTGCGCCACGGAAAGCATGGTGAATTATTGGTCATTCCTGATGCCGAAAGGAGAGCGAGCGATTTGACCAAGACCGAGTCAAAGGCGGAGCATCGCGAGTATATTGATGGCTCTTCTGAGACGATCTAGACATTGTTTCTTTTTTTTTTTTTGATGCCATGATCGCTCCTTTTGTAATGTCTGTTTCATTTAGACTCTCGGGTCTCTTTGAGTTTGTTCGTTTATGTTGTTATGCGGATTGAGCGCTTCTACTATCATAGAATAGAATACTAGAATTATTGCCGATTTTGTCGATTTCAGATGCCAGGATGCACTCATGCGGCCTTTGATATCATAAAAGCTCAATTGGCTCACCCCATTAAACCTCCCACTCTAACAGGACTCCGCATTATGGGAAGAGTCCTTTCACGATAACCTTCGGACTGTTGACAAGCTTGATCCCCGAAAGAAATACAACCCAATCAAGTTCCCAGTCACAATATACACTCTAAACCCTAACCTAGACGTCTAAAAAGAGCAAACAAAATCAATTCCCGGCATCAACAGTTTCATGCAAAGATCTGACTACATATATATCGCCATTTACCGTAGGAGAGCACAACCTCGAAGAAAAGCTATACATACAACCCCACACAACTCAGCATATGTAGGGATCATTTCTTAACCTCCTCAAGCTTGCTCAGGATCGGGCTGTTCTTCTTCAAGCTCTGGTTGTGCCTATATGCCCAATCATCAATCAGCATCCACCCAAACACAAGATAAGGCAAAGGGAAAGAAAAGAGGCAAACTCACAAAAAGATTCTCCCCAACTGAACCGACCCCACACCTGCCAAAAAGAAATTCACCGCCGCCAACCTACAACCACCACCACAAATCAGCATTCAATCTTATCACTGTCGCCGCAGCAGCCCCACGTGACCAGAGGGATGGATGACACATACGGGATGTTCCTGGGGGAAATGATCAAGCACCACCTAGTCCAGATAGTGCCGGTCGCAGTAAGGGCCGCGTTCTGAGTAACGGAAAGACTCTCAACGGGTCTGTAGAAGTCACCAATTCCAGCGATAACCAGTCCCCACTGTGTTTTTTTTACGCTGGTTAGTATTGTGAAGCTTGGCGGCGGGGAGGGAGCTGTGGATTTTTTTTATACCTTGAGGATGGGAGCCTGTAGGAAACGCACGCAATGTTAGTCGCTCTGTTGCGAGATAATTGATAGCCCAGCAGTAGCAACGAGGAAGTGAGATAGTGAATGCATACCCAGAAGTGAACGGTCCTGGGGTTGAATGCAGGATTCATGGCCTTTGTAGCCGTCTGAGCAGCTGCTTGCGACATATTGTGTTGGTTTCTTCACGAAGTTCCGGGGGTTGTGGTTTGTTCAGAGAAGATACTGAAAGAGAGAAAATTCAAGAGTGGAGATGGAAAAGAAAGCAAAGCAGCTACTCAGTTGTCGTATCCTGGGGGTCTTTCGGAATTCGGGGATAACTACACCTAACCACACACACACGACCCAACTCAACGTCGAATCGCGGGGTGGCTGATGAGAAAAAACGCCACGGGCTGTCTTTTACTCAGTATCGGCGCCGGCTGACAAACATCCCAAACACCCCACCAAACACCCCACCAGCCACAGCAATAGTAACTCAGCCATCCGGGCGCGGAACCACTCCCTCCACCAGCACCATATCTAATCTCTCGCCGCACAGCACATCCCAAATGGCCGCCCGCTACGCTTTCACAAATCAGCTCAAGGAGCTCCGGTTCTTGTTCTGCCAGACTGGCGAGCACAGTGCCGCTGTCCGGTTTGTTCCCTCTTCCCTTCACTTCCCCTCCTCATCCTTCTCAACCATGAATTGATGATGCTGACTGGAATTGCTGTCGACAGGTCTTTCCTCCAGAAGTCGTACCCGGTCATGAAGAAGCACAACCCAAACACACCCATCCTGATCAGGGAAGCTATGGGTATTGAGCCGAAAGTGTTTGCGAGATATGGTGCGTTGGATCATTTACCCTGCGGAGTGGAGTGGGTGGATTGCTAATATATGTGTGGGGGGATTTGTAGAGTTCGGAGTTGAGAAGCAGGAGTCGCTCACTGGTTTGTTACTCCCTTTCTCCATTACCTACTTTGAGTGCCTGCAATTGGGTATATGCTAATATGGCGCGGGGATTTAGGATTGACCGACAAGCAAATTGAGGAGAAGATCACAAACTTGGCCAAGTCATCATAGAATACCCAACACGTACTTCACTTCGGCAGGGACTGGTTATTCTTTTTGTGTGGTTTTGTGGAGGATATTCTGTATGAGAAATAAGGATATCAAAGTACATATTTTTACAGAGCGCAATAATCACATCTCGATTCGAGGATCTAGAAGAACAGAGCCAATACTCACGGGAACGCCAAAATGCAAGAAAACCAAGGATATGGACTATGTAAAAACTTGGAATTTACTAAATACTACCTGCTTACAGTACAGCACACAAAGCAAAGAAAGCAATTACTAATAACTACAAACCCCAACTCCCCCAAACTCTAATCCTAAGCTACCAACGACACCTCCCCAAAGCGATACTGCGCCCAACTCATACTCCCCTCGGGCATGGTCCACAGCTGCGTCGCCTTATCATCACCCGCCGCACCCGAGGCAATATGGATCGGCAGCAGATGCTCAAAAGTCGGATGCGCCTTCCTGGCATCACTCCTCTTCATCACCTCCGCCAGCTTCGTCTTACGCTCCTCGCCCGACCCCACGTTGACCACGGTGTCCTTGAGCGCCGCATCGAACGTTTTGGAGTACTCGAGCGCGCCCGGGGACATCATTGCAAGTCTGAGGTCGCGGAGGTTGTGGACGGCCATGCCAGAGCCGATGACTACGATGCCCTCGGCGCGCAGCTTGGACACGGCCTTGCCGAGCTCGTAGTGCTTGTTGGGGTCTTCGTTCCCGAAGAGGGAGACCTGGACTAGGGGAACGCCCAGTGGGTTGTCTTCGGGGTGGAACACTAGCAGTTGTATCAGTATTGTCGCATTTGTAGATGGTAGGGTTAGTGGTACTCACTGCAAGTGAAAGGCGCGAAAACACCATGGTCAAGACCACGCTTTGTGGCCTCCGCAGAGATTCCAGCGTCTTTCAGCAGGCTGATAATCTTCTCTCCGAGCTCCTTGGACCCGACGTTGGGGTACTTTACTTTGTAGTAGTGGCTCGGGAAGCCGTAGTAGCTATATGTGCAGGATCACTATATTAGTAGAATACTCATAAAAGTTGCACATATAGAGGCTATCTTGGTAGGTTGTACGAACTCATAGATCAGATCTGTAAACTCTGCAGTATTCACCTCGACCGAGCTGCGCCCCGCCTGCCAATGCGCCGAAAACACAACGACGGCCTTTGGCTTCACCTTCTGCGTGATCTCTTTGCCAATTGCCTGGAGCTTTCCAAACGCGGGGTGTTCGGTCTCGAACATTACATTTGGCTGTTGTCATTTCTCACAGTCAGCACTCGTTCACTCATATCACTCCAGCTATCACATTTACTAGATCTACTCACCCCACCATGCGACACAAAATACACCGGCGTCAACTTCTTCGCCGACGCATCCGCCGCCGTTGAAGCCTCAGCACTCATCGTAGCCGTCGTAGACACAGAAACCGCTGGTGAAAGCGAAGCAGCACCTCTAGTAGCACCTGCAAATCCAACTAATCCTCCAACAAGTCCACCAATCCTCCTAAACAGCTGCGAAGCCACTTCTGCTGTCGTCGAGTTATCCGCAGAGAGCGTCACGCCGAGATACACAGGCACGATCAGGAGCAGTAACAGGACAGCTACGGAGCGGACAGAATAAGAACCCTTCTGCGGGCGGTGTTGCGGCGGTGGGGGGGCGAGTCGTGCAATTTTGAGGGACTGGATCTCTTGGCTTTGAAGAGATATCTGGCTGGGAGAAGGTCTACTACATGAGAAGGGAATATATACTTATATACTCCTATTATACGCCTTACAATTGAGGTTCTATAGAAGGACACGCAATTCGCAGTTCTCGTGGGTGCGCGGGTCACGTGCGGTGGGGCGGTTACGAAAGCTTATGAAGCAGCTGCCCGAGGTTACTAATTCAACCGCAAACCTCAAAGTCAACCCCAGCACGACGCTGACCCGGCCACAGAGCGTGTGTGGGCCCAAAGAGACCAATGGGAGCGAATTCGGTGCCTTTCCAGAGGGTATCGGCCGAGAAACTCAAATCTCGGATACCGCTGGAATTTAATATGCCCGTTCGGAATGCGGGCACAGCAGATAGAAAGCCGTATCTAGTTGTGGTAATACAGTGTAACACTACATGATTCTGATAGAGGTTACTAGGCTTGAATTTGCTACAGAAAACTTGCAAAATGATATAGATGCTTTTATAGGCTGACGTTTTTTTTTAAAAAATACAGGTATTTACATTGGCAGACAGATATCGGCCGAGTCCACATTCCATTCCTCTACTGAGAAGCTGTAGATTGGACTCGAAACACTCAAAACAGTAACATACAGACAACACCTTTTTCCCGCCTATAACCCCCCAAATAATCAAAATAATACAAGCAGACAAAGGAAATAAACAATATAGCATATATCTACTTATTGATAGATAGTAGTAGTGATCACCACACCCGCACTGGTGACATACCTCTCCCCAATCGGAATCGCCGTCACGACTGGCGCCTGATTGTTCGGCGGAGCAGTTGTCGAAGTCGGTGTCGGCGCAGGCGCAGGAGACGAAGTAGTCACCGGCGCCTGCGTAGTAGTAGGAGCAGGAGTCGAGCTTGTACTGCTCGAGGAGGAAGAAGAAGAAGCAGCAGCCGTGGTAGTCGGCACCGCAGCGCTCGAGCTCGCCGTCGTCGTCGGCACCACAGCACTAGCACTCGACGTCGGCGCCACAACCGCAGTAGTAGTAGCCGGCGCCGACACCGACGAAGTCACCACCGCAGCCGTACTCGTAGCCGTCCTCATCGACGTGGACGTCACCGTCACCGTGCTCCTAACCGTACTCGGCGCCACCGAGCTACTTGCGCTCCCACCGCCGCCGAGCATCTCCTCAAGCTCACTCCCGCTCTTCAATCCCATCCTAAACGCGGCGTCATCAGCGCTAGTACAAGCAACACTAATGCCAGGCCCATTCTCGAGCGGGAGCGCAAAACAACCGAGGGGTTTGCCGCACTGCGTGTACATCACGTAGCTCCCGGCGGAGTTGCACTGCGCATAGGCGCCATTGATGCATGCGTTGAGCACGTTGGGGTCCTTGGGGTCGCAGCTAGAGGAGGCGGTGAGCGTGGCATAGAATTTGTTCTGCGCGAGGGCGAGGGCCTTGTTGTCTGTTGACGCTGCGGCGGTTGATGATCCTGTAACAGCAGTAGCAGTAGCGGCCGGCGAGTTTGTCACTTCCGCGGCAGTATATGCAGGAGCGCTAACCGCCTCGACGACACCTTCCTCCTCCGCCACAGCAGTCGGTGCATATTCTCCAGCAGGTACGGTGGTGGTGGCATATGTGTCTACGTCCCTGGGCCCTACGGAGGCTGCGGCGGGTACTGCGGTCTGGACACCGTCCTCGATGAACCCGAATGTGCGAGGCTTTGTAACGGTTGCGATTCTTCTGAAGCCATCGGTTGGGGGAGCGTTGGTTGGCGGCGGGTTGAAGAAGGCCCCGGTGACGGACACTCCATCTGAGGCTGGAGTTGAAATTGTTGGGCTTGGGGCTGGGTCGTCGTGGCCTTCGTGACGCTTGCTATGGGGGTGGGTGTTAGTAGGTGTTCTGATATCTAGTAGTGAGGTTATGGAACGAAGAACTTACTGGAGGGGGTATCTGCCGATGGGGCCGGCGAAGGCTGTTGATGAGAGCAGGAGCATGAAGAAGATGAAGGACTGCATATTGGATGCTGGATGTTCTCTTTTTCTTTTGGTTTGTTGATTATGGTAAGAATTAAGAAGCTGGAGGTAAACCGGTACCCAAGAATTATCACAGAAGGAAAATAAAAAACGAGAAAGGAAAATAAATAAAAAGGGCGTAAAAGAATCGAAATTATCACAGCACAGCTGGAAAAGAGAAAGGAAAGGAAAAAAAAATACTAAAGGGAAAGATTCCCAGCGAACAAGCAAGTCAATTGCAATGGATGTAGAATGAGGATGTAGAAAGAATTAAATTTATTTGGGGGGAGGAAAGTAACCAATATATATCCATCTCATGATCGCCTGCAAGCACGCTGTGATCTGCACAGTTAATCCGGGCTGTTGAGAGTGCAATTCTACAAGCCAGGCCACACGTGTATTTAGAAACATGCAGGAAACATCACTCCCCAATCCGTACAGCTGAAGCGACCTTCAGCTGCGCGGTCTGGGGTTAGAAGCAGATAGCTGTGAGTATCCTCCCAGGACGCGAGTGGAGATGAGGACAATGGGTGGGCGGCAAATGTTACGCGTTGTACACACATAGCCTAGGGGATCCAAGACTAAAGATCAGTCGGGCCCTGAGAAAACGGCTGTTATTGACGTTGGAGTGGTCGAATCAGGGCACATGGTGGTTGTAGAGATATCGGGGTCTGAAACAGTGAAACTGGAGGGGGGTGAACCGTGGAGCCTCATTCGTCACCGCGCATAGCGAAACACAGGCGTCGCGAACTTAAAGTATGTCCACAAATAGTAACATCTCAAAGGACTGGTAAACCTGAGGCCATGGGCCAGAGGAGAAACGGGAAATTATTCAGAATGCGAATTTAAACGCAGCTAGAGAAACCCTGATTACGGTGGGGCCAATGATCACGCTTTGGTTCCTGCATGATGCAGCTTAGATCTTAGCGACATACTCGGGCGTTCATTAAATGGTCGGATATCGTTGCAACCAAATCCCTACTAAGAATTCCGACCATTTAATAAACACGTGAGTATAGAGTAGCCGATATTCCAATTAAAGAGTCAACACAAACACCACTGCATGTAGTAGCACTCTCCTTTTCTTTTCACTCTCGCCAAAAGCCCTACAAACGGACGCGGGAAAGTGGCAAATTCAAGCTGCAGCAAAGTGAACTTTACGGAAAAAAATTGTTCCAGAGGTACGCCTGACAGAGTAGGAAAGGATTCAGAAAAGAAAGGGCCCTGCAGGCCTGCCAAGCACCACAACTCTTGCTACCAAATCTAAAGTCCAGCTCTAAAGTCGACAGAAGAATCTTTAGCGTTAACAATAATATTCATTATTATCGTTAGCGAATGAAAGCTTTATCACTAGATTGAGACTCCTATTTAGTTTCCGTGCGCACATACAATAACCTATCAAGGGGGAAAACCCACATCTCCAAACACTGGATATCCGCCTTGGAATCACCATTAACACCGCCCCGCGCCTCAATAGCGCCGCAGACCAATCCAGAACCTCTACAATCCGTATAAGATTCCCAAATCAAACTTTTCTCCCCACAGATAGCTACCGCACCCCCGACGCAGATCTTAGAATCAACTCTCTCCTCCCCCGCAACTAGAGTGCAAGGATCTCCAAGGGCGAGTGCATACATCCTAAGGGACCGATTTAGCTCTACAACAGCATCACCCTCCAATAGAGACCCTTCATTATCCAAACTCAGGATCTCCTCCCGCTTAGCAAAGTTTCTAGCTGTAGGAATAACGGTTATAGTAACGGTAACAGTAGTAGTCGTAGTGTACGTACTACTCCAAGTAGTAGGAGACCCTTCGTTGGAAGATGATTCAGTAATCTCAGTTGTAGTCATAGACGCGCAAGAAATATTACTGATTGTTCTGGACGCGGCTGGCAAAGGTACAATTGATTTTTCTAGTTCCAATGCCTCCTGTTTCGATATTTCACTGACTGTGCCGCCGTAGTGTCCAATGCCCCATTCTGATAGGCCGCGCGCAACGCGATGGAATAATTCAGTTGGAGATGCCGAGATATAATTTGCGAGTACGCAAGCTAGAATACTGATTATAAGTAGAGGATTTGAGAGTTTCATTGTAAAAAAATATAAAGCCGAAGGGTCAAGGTAAGTGTGTTGAATGGTGAAGAAAGAACCCAAGTCAAGAGTCCATTTTTAGGCATAAGTAGCAAGATAAAATAGCATTGAATGTGTAAATTTCGAGGGTTATGTTTATTAAAAGAATTCCATACTATTTCCAATGTCAATTCCGGTCAGACTATATATAGAATTGGCGAAAACGGCCAGACTTTCGGCCCAGCCTCAATGGCTGACCCAAAATGCATACCTAACATCGCCAGGGGGGCTCGAAAGCAAGCCTCGACGTACCAAAGTGGGTCGAGAAAGAAACTTTTAATTGACGCCGCACACGCAGGACAGAAACTATAGACGTTTTTACTTCTCTATCAGTATAACACGGATAGCTGCATCGTGAGGTTTGAAGGACGCGCGCCTCTCTCACAGACTGACAAAGCGCGGAACCCAACGCCTTGAGTTGGTGTTATAAAATAAATCAACAAACTATGAGCTAGCGAGATAGTAGCTGTCATTATTTCAGAATTTTTTATAGCCAATCTATTCAGTGTATAGACTGCATTGGTCGAGTATAGAGTTCTGACACTCTTATCCGATCCATATGTATCCCTGTGAGGATAATAGAATGGATTTGGCATAAAGAGAGGTACATAAGCAGGTTTCCGAATTTCCTGAAATACCTGAATTTCTTATTTTTTTTGCCGAAAGTTCGAGCACACGCCCGCCTCAGCGCCCTCAAACACACATGCTGTACGTACGTGTGCCAAGTGGTTAAATTCCCATGCTATCTAATATGTGAAGTCAAGAGTACGAATTTTATTAGGGTGACCTTTCAATCCAGTCAAGCAAGAGGATCTGTCGCCTAAGCTTACACTGTTAGCACTGTATCAACATGTAGCATTGGTACATGCAACTCCCTACAAACCCCGCTTGATGAGACTTACACACTAGCCGTGCCCCACTCCCATACCATATACTGAATATAGCAGTATCAGATATAAATACTTTGAAACCTCTATAACTTAAACCCCGTTCATTTCTGTGCAATATTCATGTGAGGCGTTGAGGAGATGGCGTGGCGAGTGATATCTCATGACGTTTGCTGCGATCTGCGCTCAGACAAATGTGGACGGTATCATGGTAAGGTATGGGAGTGGTTGTTGACAGGAAGCTCTCTAGGTATGAGGGCGTAAGTCTGTGTTCAGATAGGCTGCCAAGGATGCCGTCACAGTAAAGATAAACTTTTCCCCACCGAATTAGCACGTGTTCTTATACACATTCTATGCATCCTCTCCTCCTATTGGTGACATGATGCAGGTATCTATATGTGTTTATGATCTAGTACTCAACTCATCCAAAGACTTTTTCTTAATGATGGATACAAAGGAATACAACCTTAGGGAATACAACATTTCAATCTTGCCTTGAAATGTGAGGGCTGATTATCATCAATCCTACCTTTTAACCCCAGTCTCGCATAAATAACCACAACCTCCGGCCCTCCAATATATGTGTGGTTATCTACCTGTCTTTGTAATGCATTTAAGGTTTTCAATTCCCAAGCCTCTTTGAGGGGGAGGGGTGTTTTGGCCCATCAGGTAGTCGGACACCCGTGAAATCTTGGTAAATACAGAATGATAAAAACTTCACTACCTTTGAGCTGTTGTGAGAACCTGGTTGGCTGCAATCCTTTTAAACGTGATATCCACCCAGCCAGCAAAATCGCTTTCGAACATTCCTGGGGCATTGACAACGAGTCTTTAGCTGTATCACATCTGTGTAGATTACGATGTCGAAGTGCCTCGTACCTTGCCCCAAGGTAATCCGAGGCACATACCCGGGTCCCCGAGCCCAACGCATCTCGATACACTGCAACCCCTTCGCCTCGAGTCAATACTACCTGCATGTAGTGACATACATGTCCTCCCTCAAATCTTCAATTGAAATTTTACGCCTATATAGGTCATTTTTGAACCCGAAGCCTAAACCCCTACGAACATCGACGAACTCGATGCAATCAGAGCTAGACCCCTTTCCGCAAAATCTAGAGGCTACACGCACCTTCCTTCTCCTATTACAGCCTCCTGGGCGCACCACGTACCCACAACCGGAGAAAAGAACTAATAAGACATTGAGAACCAGTACTCTTGCCCTCACCCACATTCCAAAACACCGCCAACTCCCAGACCAAAGACAAGTCCCTATCTTCTTTTTATATCATCGACCCCTTTTCACATGTTGAGGGACTTGTAGACCTACAGAGACTGCCTCGTAATGAATTAAACAAAAACAAAAACAAAAAAAACGAGACCGCCTTGTAGCATGTCGCAGTGCGAGTGATAACCCATGATGTACATGCATCAAGGACATCGGTGGTGGCTAAGCTCACAGTACAGCTTCGTGACGTATATGGGCAGAATGTTATGAGTGAGCTCTAACTCCCACTTTTTGGCAGCACAAGTATCAATTCGGGCTTGAGTTGCGGGCACCTTCATCTTATTGTCAGGTAGATAGCCACTAGCTCTACGGGCCCAGTCAGACGTAGGATCCAGAAACTGTTGTTTCTATCTACCTGGGCCGTATTTCTTTTGTAATCTGTTTCTATACATCCCAATTTCAGCCCCCGATATGTCACCATACCCTACTAGAAAGAAGCATGACAATAAGCCAGTTATACTTAAATCTACTCACTACAGCAAGGCTCAAAGATACCGACAGCTATATCGCAACTTTACAGAATAACCATAACATATCAAGATATATAAAAGGACATCATAACCACATATCAAACCTCAGTAAGAACGCCAAACAACTCAGAACCGTAAAATAAAAACACCACGCTCAAAGAAACCACGCTTCAACTAATAGTCTAATACCCATGCTTCGCCACCTCCGTCTCAGACCACTCCCACAGCTTCTCTGCCAGCTCGTCATCTCTCGCCGCCCGACTCGGTATATGTATCTTCCCTGCGCCCTTCACTCCCACTGGGACATAATAATCCCCAGTATCCTCCATCGTCACCTTTGGCGACGCTGAACAGAAAACATTGGTATACGCTCCGACCTCTGGCGTTGTGAAAAAGTACTTTGCAATCCCCCACAATGCTGATGTGATCCCTGACATATTCTCCCACAGTCCTGAGTTGATGATCCCTGGGTGGAGTGACACCGCGATGATGCCATGCTCCTTTGCTCTCTTTGAGAGTGCTTTGGCATGCAGCACGTTTGCCAGTTTAGACTAGTATGGGGTTAGTTTTGTTTGAGTGATAGAGTGTGATAGATATGACTTACAACACCATAACGGCGCCAGATAGGCCCATTCTCGTCGTGCATGTCGTCGAAGGTGATAGTTTCGGTTTTATTATGCGCGAGGGAGGAGACATTGACGACACGCACTGTACCAGGGTCGCAGGCCTTTGCAGTCGAGATAAGTATGGGGAGGAGTAACTTTGTGAGGAGGAAGTGGCCCATGTGGTTTGTGCCGAATTGGATCTCAAAACCTTCAGCGGTCTTGGAGTATGGGAGACACATGACGCCGGCGTTGTTGAGCAGGACATGGAGCTTTGTTTCCTTGCTATTGTGATGTTAGGTCTGGATCTGCATACGAATTTTACTAATATAAACATGGGATATGTGTACCTAAGGAAGTCGTCGGCGCCCTTCTTGACAGAAGAGAAAGAGCTGAGGTCCATCTCGATGAACTCGACTTTTGCGGTGGGGACTTTTGATTTGATATCTTGAATTGCGGCAAGCTATCTTTTGTCAGTACTATTGTCATTAACTTGGGAAGCAGAAGTAACATACAGCTTTTGATTCTGTCCTGGCAGCCATGTAGACCTTTGCGCCCTTCCTACAGAAGGCCAGGATACTCTCTTTACCAATACCATTGTTTCCACCTGTGACGAGGATCACCAGGTGCGACAGGTCTGGTAAATCCTTTGGTGTGAATCTTGGCTCTCGACTGAAAAACATATTTTGTATTAGTTATAAGTAGTTTAGCGCGTAGTTGGTAAGAGAAGTAAACAGTTCAAACAAGGGACGATCAATGATCTGGCGTATAGCGCTTAATGTGTGCACAAGCTGTCAAAGCGAAGAATTTGATAATCTCCGTAATGCAGAGCACTCATAGAAACATTATATATATACTTAGCCAGGAAAAAAACCCTCGGCCGACCTATTATCTCCTTTTCCCAAAAGCCGTCGATCAATCTAAATTGATCCGACCGCCGTTATATAGGCTGCACGTTGCGGTCCTCCCTAATCCGTCGTAGTTGGCCGTTCTCTCCCACATTCCACATGCGCCTATTTACCCCCTATTTGGCATTCTTGAAAAAGTAGATATCTATGCCGAGACCCCACGGTGCTTCTTTGTATCTCCGAGAGCGAATATTTCTGAGAGGTATTTTCATAAGTAGTCCGTAGACCAGTAATCCAGCTAGCTAAATTTTTATTTGACCGGCCGAGGCAATATAATGTCAGCTGCAGCTGCAGGCCATAGCGAGCGACCCAGTACTCACCAGCTAGAATACCGAAAACCACTCCAGCCAAACGGCACCACAGGCACAAAGAGTCCCACATAGCACAGTACATAGATAGAAAAGAGCGGTGAACAATTCCTCTGTAGCAATTATTGCACTGTAGCCTAGTAGTAGACATGCCTATGCCAATCCAGTCGTACTTTACGTGCGAGGCAAGATACCCGCCCTGATCCCTAACCCTGGCCATGGATAACAAAACAACCAGCTGTCAAATTGACAGGCCCCGGCTATTTAGCCTAGTTCGATTGTAACAAGCCGCATGATGTTGAGTGATCCTTGGTGATTTAACGCTGATCCTTCATTCCTCATGAATCGGGCCACTACGTGATCCGCCATGATTCACATTGAAAAAAGAGACAGTGCACGTAAGGTTGTGTCTGTATTGGAGTCTTTAATCATGATTTTGTGTTTTAAACTGCTGGCATAAAAGGGAAATGGAAAAGTATAGATTACATGTAGTAGTAGTATCCCATAGGGCAGCATGTTCTTGTGCTCCTGATAACATCCCCCCACCCATTCCATCAGTATTGTAACGAGAAATGCCAGTTACCAACATGCAAGCCAACTCACATGGGGCAAAATCGATGGTTCGATCAACACCGCCGGAGGATGGGACGGATAGCCATTTAGACGAACGAAGACAAAACAAAACTTGGTTGGTTTATTGGTGGGCATGAGTATTGAGTAAGATACCTCACTGTTTAACAGTAATAAATCAATTAATGAATTAAACAAAAAAAAAAAAAAAACAGTAATAAATCCTACGTTAAGCAGGGCCCAACAGCCGAGTGATAAGCCGTGAAAGACCGTCTCCAGCCACACACCCGAACACTGCTTTTTGTAATTACACGCTTCTGGTTGGTCATGCATGACGTCAAACCCCGTTCAGCCGCAACATCTATTCCCGGTTTTCACAATGTTTGTCGCCGTTGTGCGTCCTGATGCTTGAGGAAATGGATCGCAAAACAGATTGATCAATCTATTGTAGAGTACTTTGGCTGCAGGTACCTCGTACCCAAGAGCGCAGGCAACACCGCAGAAACCACACTATCCAGGGCGCCGTTAGCCAAGCCCGTCAAGAAGAGCCTCTGCAGCTAACTCCCCTACCAAGCCACCCCCACCAGCCACAACCTCAAAAGTTTTCCGTAGACCAAAAGCTACTTACTGCAGAGCCTCTTTCGATATCATACGTTTTGGAAAGGAAAAGATCCAATTCACCCAAGACATTCCGCTCGTCCATTGATTGCGCCTTCCTCAACCTCAACACCATACTCCAGCTCAATTCCCACCACTACAACACCCACAGAGAGAGAACAATTCCCCCTCCCACCTCGCCACTAGAAAGCCTTGATACCCATAACTCATACTCACAGCACAAACAATCTCTTCACGGCCCACATGCGCGCTCATCTTGCGCCCTCCACCTGTCCCCGAACGCTGGCACTGCGCCTAACCCGCACCCCCTACCACTGCTGCGCCCTACCCATTACTGCGCCCACCCGCCCCGGCTTCGGCGGGAGAGCCAGTGCGACAACGACAACAACCCCAGCACAGCAGCATCAGCGCCGGGCATTCACAACATCGAAAACCCAATCCCGATTGACGCCACTATCGCGGTATGCAGACACAAACTCGGGCTTCCTGCAGCAGTATGGTGGGCCTGAGGCGGGCTCGATAGTCGCGGGGAGGCGCAAGTCGAGCGGGTTCTTGGAGACGCTGTTTGGGCGGCGGTCGAAGAAGTATACGCAGCGGCCGGAGAAGGGGAGTTCGAGGTACCTGGACTCGGGGCCGGAGGATGCGATTCTGGGGAGGAGTCTATTGCACAAGAATAATGGGGATGAGTTTTTAAGGTGTACGGAGTTTGATCGGGAAGGTTTGTTTTTTCCTTGTTTCCGGTTTTCGGTTTTCATGTATTGTTTGTCATTGGTACCTGCAGGCTTTCTGACTGGTTTCAGGAAACGTTACTGTTGTGTTTGGAGAGTTCAAGAAGACGGAGCTGTGTACTAAGGTTTGTATACACCTGCAATACCTTTCAATTTAGGAATTGGTTACTAAAGGTCAATGATCACAGCACGGTCTCATGCCCCGCGATCTCCGTAAGCTCTGGGTCCCCAGTATCATCGTCCCCCACATCCTCGTCCGCAAAAATTCGATCCTCGTAAACCTTCTGCACATCCGTGCACTCATCAAAGCCGACATGGTCCTCCTCTTCGACGTCTACGGGTCCACCGACTCCTACACACAATCAATTTTCATGTACGATCTCGGTGGAAAGCTGCGACAGGGCTCAAAGGCTATGGGTGGTCTTCCATACGAGATGCGCGCCCTCGAAGCGATACTAATATCCGTTACTGCGGCGCTGGAGGCAGAAATGAAGGTGCTACAGGAGCTGGTGATTACCCTGCTAGGAGACTTGGAGGAAGATATCGATAGGGATAAGCTGAGGCAGCTCTTGATCTACTCAAAGAAGCTGTCGACGTTTGAGCAGAAGGCGAAGCTGATTAGGGATGCCATTGAGGAGATCCTGGAGGCTGATGATGATTTGGCGGACATGTACCTATCGGAGAAGCTGCATGGGAAGGTTCGGCCGATGGAGGAGCACACTGAAGTAGAGATGTTGCTGGAGTCGTATCATAAGATATGTGACGAGATTGTCCAGATCTCCAGCAATTTGGTCTCTAGTATCCGGAATACCGAGGAAATGTAAGAATCTCTTCTCTTAATTCTACCACAACTGAGAACTAACACAATTCCTCCAGTGTCAACATCATTCTCGACGCCAACCGTAACTCCCTCATGCTCCTCGACCTCAAGTTCTCCATCGGCACGCTCGGTATCGGCTCCGGAACATTCATCGCTGGTCTCTACGGCATGAATCTTAAAAACTTCATGGAAGAGTCCGACTTTGCCTTCTGGGGCGTCTCCGGATGGGCATTCGTCTTCTCCGCCATCATCTGCGCCTACGGACTCCATAAACTCCGCCGCACGCAGCGCCTAACGATGTGGGGTGAGAGCGGCGCAAAGGAGGGCAAGCGCGGATGGATGTCCGTCGGCAAGCAGCAACAAGCGGGCGCAAAAAAGGCAGCCTCAAGGCTGATGGATCAGAGATTCAACCAGAGCGTGCAGCACCAGCAGGAGATGGGCGCGAAGGAGCGGGAGGTGTATTCGGACTATCAGCAGTTGGATTTGATGCCAGTGAAGAAGGGGAAGAAATAAAGCGCGCGTGAGTGTACGATGCGATGTGATGATTGATGGGTTTTTTTATTCTCTTCTCTTTGTGTTTTTCTCAGCGGTGATGATTCTTGTTTTTGGGTGGCTGGGTGTATAGGTCGGCTTTTGATCCCCCATTCCGTTTCGACATGTTTCTTGATTCTTATTTTATATATATGCTGGCTATTGCATACTCTCCTCTTTTTCCTTTTTATCCTCTCGCCCTCCCCTCCCCACCTTTATCTATCCACATGGCTACATACTTATCTAGCCTCTCCAACTGGGGGCCTCGATTTTTTGTCATCTTTATCAAACTTTTCCAGCTTATATATGTTTATATCGATCGATGGTCTATGGCGTTCTTCCTCTTTTACTATCTCCTTTACTGCTTATATCTTTATTCCCTACTATACACCGCACCGCTTCTCATAAAATCAATCTCAACCTGAGCACTCCCCTCATCATCTCCTATTTCATATTTTATTCTCTTATATCAAATGCTTGTACTGTACACTATCGGCGTCTTCGGAAGGGACTTTGTTAGGAGGGGTATAGGAGTATAGAAGAAAGAAAAGCCTGTATGTCTAAGATCGGGGAGGGAAAAATGCTAGCTGGTATATATAGAAACAAAAACACTTCACAGCCCATCACTCGCTCGATAGTTATCCCCACCACCATCGTCATCGCAATCGTAATCTCCGCAAGCTCACCATCTAGACCCCTCTTTACCCCGAGATGTGGGGAATAACTTATCGCAGCTAAAATGGTTTTTTTGTTTTTTCCTTTCACGTCAAAAAACTAAAAAGCAAGTTGGCGGTGGTGGTCATGTCTTAGATCGGACATCTGGTAGTTTGTGGGCTGCCTGCATGAGATGAGGAGCGTAGATCCCCCTTAGTTAAGCTTGAAAGCTCCTGTTCCAGAGCAATCCGTCCCATCTCATCATCCCATCGTAACTAACAGCTCTAGCGCCGAGGTACCAACCCAACACCAACTGCACCGCACACCATCCAGAAGCCAAAACCACAAAAAACCACAAAAAACCGAGTGACCCACCATGACCCTAAATTCCCCGAAAAACTCGTGCTCACGCTAGCCGAGCGCACTAGTCTAGCGCAACACCGGAATCCGGTGACCGGAAGCCGGAAGCTTCCTACCCTTTGCCCTCTCCCCCCCGTCTGTCCGTCCGTCTAAGTTTAGTGGCCGACCCGACCGGATCCCAGCTGAGCCGCCCGCTGCCACCTTTCTTCTCCGGTTGTGCCGCCGCGCGCGGATTCCAGAAGGGTTGACTAAAGCAGGGCAGAGAGTGTGGTGTGGCTAACTAACTATTTTGCCTTTTTTTTTTTTTGCTTTTTTGCACTTGTGGCATCTCAGCCGCATGTTTACTCGAGTCTATTTCAACGTGCGCGACCAGGCAAGTTCGCGTATTTCTACATGTGCGTCACGCAGAGTCTCCGTTGGACTGGGACGGAGAGACATGCGGGGTGTGGATGGCATATAGAGAGTAGAACGTGTGCTGTGGCTGTCTATATATATCGGGATCTCTGTATGGGTTCTATTTGCAGTAGGAGGAGACTTACCGTGCGTCTGGTGGCCGGTGACTTGTGGATGCGAGTCGAGAGGGTTGCTTACCGGTAAGCCGAACGACGTCGCGACATGTGGTGAAGAGCTAAATTCTTTCTTACTTCTTTCTTTCTTTCTTTCTTTCTTTCACTCTAACTCTCTCTCTTTCTCCCTCTGGACAAAAATAAATTTACCTCAGCATGACCAATCCATCCGAGAATTAACCCGGACCAAAAGAAATGTTGCATTTCCAAGTAAGTACATTAGTTTAACCATACATGAATTCTTCACTCGTGATACTTGCTGGCTGGCTGGGAGAAAGAAGAGAGAGAGTTTTTCGTCTCACACACCCCACGTTCCCCGGCTAGGCTGACCAAGTCTTGTCTATCTGCTACTATCCATTACCAGCACTGCCTCCTCTCTCCCCCCCTCCTGCCCATGGTAGCCTCGTCTGCACCTTTCCATCTCTGCCCACCCACTCAGGGCCCGTATCCGTGTCCACCACCAGTTGCGTCTTGACCTTCGTCCTGACAGCAAAGCGTAGCCTAAAGTTGAGTCTCTCGATCGTGTCCTTTGCCTCAGTCCTAGTCAGGTTCTGGGCGTTCGTGTCATTTATGCGGCCAAACAGGTTTCGCAGGCGCTCCACAAGTATGTCTATTTCCCCGTCGTTGTCCCCGTGGTCCTCGCGCGCGGTGGGCCCATCGTCAATTGCAATGTCGAGCATGGAGATGTGTGCTTTGAGGTCATGGTAGTTGGTCTCTTTGGTGATCTTGTACTGCGGCCTTGCCAGCAGCTTTTCAAGGTCGGAGATGCGGACTAGGTCAGCATAGGGTTTTGTGAGGTATGAAGAGTCATCCCAGAGATACGAGAGCGCAAGACGGCGGCGGAAGAGATGCGTGCGGGGTGTATGCACTGGGAGGGCGTTGACAGCACGTAGGCGGTATGGCGTATCGAGTATTGTCGTGATAAGATTAAGGGCAATTTCGTTGGATACTTCTGCCCAGTTATCGTCCGGTATTGACTCGAATAGCTCGGCTAGGGCATCCTCTATCGAAGCCCGTAATTGAGCCTGCCTTGCTACACGCACGTCCAATGCGAGCCGTACTAGTAGTACGCAAGTCTTTTTAACAACCGCAGTATTAGAGCAAATGCTAATTATAATGGTCAGTACTTCTATATCTGATATGTATTTTTTAAAAAAAAGAAGCGATTGGGTTTCCGTACTACGGGGCTATTCTCCCAAAAAGTGTGGTGACGAGTGTAGCGTTGTAGAAATTACCATCCTGGTCGTCTTCAAACAGTCAACTTTATGAACTGCCCAAGGATTATGATTATAATTATATATATGCACGGAATCCGGCCATACCTATTCCCCCCGAATCTGCTAAGACTACTTGTTTTTCCGTGTCAAGGGCATCATCTTTACCCCCGAGCAGATGAAAGAGGCGAGATACCCTCTCTTCCGTGAATTGCTGTTCTACTACCGGGATGGGCAGGGCCCCAAGAACCCTAAAGTATGCAAATGAAAGCTCGTCCTTAGTTTCCAGGCACACTGTAAATCACGTAAGTTACGGCTCACAGACAGCGAAAGACACCGGATCTGCACCTTCGTCAAGCATCCAGCTTAAGGCCTCGTCGGGCAGCACAGCATCGATTTTTGCCATATCCATTACAAAGCCAGACAGAAACATCTGTCTCCGGCCCCTGGCAGCTACACCACAGGCACCATTAGCACACCTCCTGCCCGCCCCCACCCAAAGCAAGATTGACCGCACGCACTCACAAGCCCAGCCTCCCAGCCCCCACCTTCCACAGCATGTCGAGGAAATAGGTCCCTCCGCTTGCCCCTCTCCAGGTCGAAAAAGTGCCATGACTTGTCAACTCTCCAGGCGTCCTTCCTTTTCAAGGCGGCCATCAACTTGCGCGCTTCAACCTCGCCAAAAGCCTCGATCAACATGGCCTCATCAATCTCTTGCTCCCCGTTCCTGAAGTCTGTCGTGATCTCGCGGGTGGCCTCTTCGTGCAGAGCCTTGGCGGCTAACTTCTCCTTCTCAAGCGCGGTATCCCGTTCCTTTTGCGCGACGAGGTTTTCGAGAGAGAACCTGTAGTTGCGCACCGGTGGAGCTTCGACAGCCGCGCTGGGTGTTCGTAGTGACGGTGGAGTGGTGGCTATACTGGGCGCCTTCTTGACCCCCGAGGCGGGCTCAATCTTTCGCCGCTGCCGGCGGAGGGTCTCGAATGGGTCTTCGAGGGAGTCGTCTGATTCCTCGCCATCAGAGCTGGGCACTACTCTTGATTGCGCGGTGGCCTGCGAGCCTGGGAGTGACGACGATGGTATTGACGGCTCTGTGAACGAGCTGTCTGTGGATAATGGGGTGGATTGGACAGTGATTGTATCTTGGATCCCAGCTTCGGCGTGTAGCTGTGCGGCTGCTGGTGATGTTTGTAGGGGGGCGATGGTGCTGCTGATAGCTCCATGATTCGTGTCAAGCCACTGCGGCGGCGGTGGTGCGGGCTTGAAGAAACTTCTGATTGAGCCGTTCCTACCTGTAGTGCTATTTCCTGATCTACGGTCTTTCCCCGACATTTCGAAAGGGTCTGGTGTTGATCAGGATCGGGCTTGATATTCGCTTTTCTGAATGATGCTGGGCTGAACGAATGGTGGGGTCGACGCGTAAATTAGTTGCAATCGCGATGTCACGGCGATAGGCATGTAGATTGTGGAACGAGCCTAGGTAAGATGTGGTACATGCATGCACGCTTACATCAGCGGTAGGTTGTCAATGGTTGGTTGGCTCTGTCTGGTTCGGCTTGCCGCGTTCCCAAGCTCTACACAAAAAAGGCAAAAAAGAGATTTTTACGGTTGGAAGAATATCCGCACTCCGCAACTCCACAGCTTCCAGAAGTTGATGGGATGACAGGGTTTAATTCTTTTTGGGGGGACGAGGTAACTCTACTTTATCGACGCCCTGCACAAAACCAACTGCCCGGAATCGCTCCCGCAGCCCGTCTGTTTCCTTTTAACGCCTCTTCGCTCATGTGCGATGATGGTAATGACTCAATTTATCGATGTATGATGATCCGTGTTTCCGTGGTTCGGGGTTTTTATTTATTTTAACAAGCGGAGAGGAGTTTCGGTTGATTTGATCCCAATTATCAATTCTACCGCCGGAGGAATGTAACACTGTAAAGTTTGCTTGTATCTTCTCCTCTCATGGCTATGCTATGTAATATGCGGCCAGTCATGTGGACTTTATTTTTTCACTCCTCTCCACACACACCCATCATCGATTAACGTGCATTTTTGGAACGCGGTTTGTAAGCATACCATTATCAAGCTTTTTTTTTTTTTTCTGCGGTGGAGTTCCGAGTAGGACCCTGATGTGCCTTAGGTGCTCTCGTGTGTGTGATTGATGGCTGCACGCACGTTGTCGGATAGCGCAGTTCCGGGGTAACAGGAATCCATTTTCATAGGTGGTTTTGCTACTTTTATAGCGGGCGGGCTTATTTTCGGCTCCCGATAAATCCGAGATGCATGCCGCCAGCGCCGTTAATCCTTGGTAAGAGTTTATTCGTGTCGATTGTGGCCTTGATAGAGGGCATCATAGAGTTTGCACTCAGGCACGGCTTTGTAAGATACTAAAGGTTAGTCAAGGAAGGGATGTTGCTGTCAAGAGAAAAAGAGTTGCACTGCAGCAGCAGCAATAGTCAAGGAGCAAAAGCAGGAGGTCAAATGCGTTCAATTCCCCTCGACAATGAAGTTAGATCGAGGGAAGGGAGCAGAGTAAGCTCAATTCTTAATGATCGGAGAAATGTGAAGAAGCAACACCGAAAGTGACTACGACGCCGATAACGACGACGACGGTGATAAGCTGTTTTGCCTTAATATATTCACACACTGTCAGCCCTTATGAGTGCCTCCTATACATAGGTGTACGACAAACTTCACCCCGTTCAATAATAATAATAAGGGAATCTCCCTATAGTGTTCGGAGGTACTGTAATAACAGGGGCACAGCCGAGAGAGGGTTCGTCACCAGAGGAGGGAAGAGCCCGTGTTCAAGGCCCTGAGAGGTTTCAGACATCGTTGTCTACAAGAAGACAAGAGAGCCCGAACCGGACTAGTTTGCACCGGTTTAGGAGTTACGAGGGTGCCGAGGTGTCTCCCTAGCAAATGGAAATCAATTAGATCCCACACGAATCAGCAAGCAGTAACAATGTTGTTCAGGTCCTTACCAACTAGCTCCGTCACCGCTGACAATTTGCTTTGGAAACCTGCTCATCCATCATCGTTGTGTAAGTCAGATTGCTCAAGAGGAACTGAACCATAACTCATATAGAGGAACCAAAATTATAACCTGTTTTGATGTTTTAGCTGGCGTCTTTTGTGGGTCGTAGGTGGGTATTAAGCTCTTGGAAGGGGGGGGGAGAAGAAGCTTCATCTTCGACAATTCTAGGTGCTTCACCCTCATCGGCTCACGCTTGACCCAATTATTCAAAGAGACCTTTCTTCTTCTGCAGGTCTGCATTACATTAGATACATGTACCTAGGTACATAAGGTACCTACAGCCTACACTCTAGAGAAGTAGGTGATCCGGGCAACGGTTGTGTCCAAGCGCATTATTATTATTCACCCTCTAATCCTGGCATAAACGCCCCCTCTGAACTGTATCACGGTCCGGAAATCTCGCTCTCTCTCGCTCATTCTTTGAGAGCAAAGGAGGGAAACATTTTACTCCGAGCTGCTATCGTCTCTCTCTTCCTCTCCTTCTCTCCCTTCCTTTTCAGCCCCTCCTCGCTCTTCTTCCCCTTCCACCCCTCGTTTGCTCACGTTTCAAACCACCCCCACTCCCCTCCCCCTCCCCTGAAGTGTGGTGTCCCGTACTATTATCACTCACAGCTCTACTTCCCACCGGCTCCCCGGACTCTCATCGCGACACGTCGCGTCGCCGGACCCGTTCCTCTTTTCACCGAAGTCTTACGAAGCACCAAAAATAGTTTCTGGACCACAGCCTACCGACTCTAAGGCAAAACACCAGACTTGACGAAGTAGCAGTAGGAGAAGGAAAAAGAAGAAAGGAAACATATTGCCCACAACTCATTCTCCGAAATTTGGAAACGATCTCTTTCCTCTCTTTCGCTCTTTCGCTCGTTCAACTCTATCACTATACTTCCTACCCCCCTCCATCAGACCACTAGGCTTGACGCTTTTTTTTGAACATTTTTCTCTTTCGTTTAATTTTATTAGCTACTCTATTGCGTCCGTTCCGACGCTTCCGGTTGCTCACTTCTTTTTTTCTTGACTTTGACTTGCATTCACTTATTCTTTCTTGAACATTTTTATCATTGATCCATTACCTACCAAGCTCATTTGAACCCACCCAAAACCTAAAATATCAACAACACATCACCCACTACTATTTTAAACCCATCCAGTCATTAACACTGGCCATACATACTATTCCTCCAGTTATTGAGCTCCTTTCTACACTTCGCCAACGATGACGGGCCGTGGCGGAGGAGGAGGACCTACTTCATCTGGTACAAAACGATTACGGTGGGCAACCCAGCGGGTTCCTGGGCCGGATGCAGGACGAAAACGGGATACGATTATGAGAGCACTATCGATGAAGAAATACCCAGAGAAGGGTGAAGCAGATCTCGAAGGCACAGGCCAGAACTTTGGTGGAATGGGGCCTGGGCCAGAGGATGAGGACGAGGAGGACACCCAGAGGCGAATATTCGTAAATATGCCTCTACCGCCAGAATGTATCGACGAGGACGGTTCGCCAAAGCAATGGTTTTCTCGAAATAAGATACGAACGGCAAAATATACGCCACTTATATTCGTACCCAAAAATCTGTGGCTGCAGTTTCACAACGTTGCGAATGTTTATTTCTTGTTTGTTACTATACTTGCTGTACGTCAAGTTCTGTGTGCCCTTTACTCGCAAAAGCGTCTAACATTGTTGCGACTAGATTTTCCCCATTTTCGGTGCCTCAAATCCAGCTTTAGGATCGGTGCCTTTGATTGTTATCTTGTTGATCACTGCTACTAAGGACGCAATCGAAGATTACCGAAGAACGGTGCTTGATAATGAGCTTAACAATACTCCTATCCATATCCTGGTCGATTGGCACAACCCCAATGTTACTGATGAAAACATCTCGCTATGGCGTCGGATCAAGAAGGCAACATCTAGAAACATTCGTGAAGGAGTTGCGTGGTACAAGGCACAGAAGCAGGACTACAAGATCAAAAAGAAGGGTGGTGTTCCGGAGAATCGATTGGAGCGATCCACGACAAGGTCGTCTGTTTACTCTGTCATGAGCGAACATTCGGAATCCATTCAAATGACCCCCGTTGGATCGCCATCAGCCGACAAGCAGAGGTTTTCTTTCACTGATGACACGGAACAAGCTCCCCGCTCAACACATTTGGAGGTACCTAATCCCAAAAGGCAAAGCATCAACAAACCCCCATCTCGCTTTTACGGTAACGTTATCGACCCTCATAAAACAACACCGGGCAAGGCAAAATTCAAAAAAGACTTTTGGAAGAATGTTAGGGTTGGAGATTTCATCCGAGTTTACAACGACGAGGAAATTCCCGCGGATGTCGTCATTCTTTCGACCGCTGACAGTGATGGGGCTTGTTATGTTGAGACGAAGAATTTGGACGGTGAAACGAACTTGAAGGTCCGACATGCGCTTCATGCTGGCAGACGGGTTCGCCATGCCAAAGACTGCGAGGCTGCAACTTTTACTCTCGAAAGCGAGAACCCTCATGCAAATCTGTATTCATACAGCGGAGTAGTAAAGTGGCAGCAAAAGGATCCCACCAAGCCGGAAGATGAGGGTGAGGAAATGGCGGAACCAGTATCAATCAACAATCTCTTGTTGAGAGGTTGTACCCTTAGGAATACCCAGTGGGTTATTGGGCTTGTGGCTTTTACCGGTGATGAGACAAAGATTATGATGAATGCGGGAATTACTCCATCAAAGCGGAGTCGGATTACAAGGGAATTGAACTGGAATGTGCGTTGGCAAGATTCCCCAATTGTTTCCCCCCATATATGCTTATTTTGAATTAGGTTATCATGAATTTCTGCCTCCTCTTGGTGATGTGCTTGGTTTCTGGTATTGTACAAGGTGTCACCTGGTCAAAAGGCAACGAATCACTCAACTATTTCGAATTCGGGTCGATTGGTGGCTCCCCACCAGTTGATGGTCTCGTTACATTCTGGACAGCGGTCATTTTATTCCAGAACTTGGTGCCCATCTCACTTTATATCAGTATTGAGATTATCAAATTGGCACAGGCTTTCTTTATATTCAGCGACGTCCATATGTACTATGAAAAGATCGACTACCCTTGCACACCTAAGTCTTGGAATATTTCGGATGATCTTGGACAGATTGAATACATCTTTTCTGACAAGACTGGAACATTGACTCAAAATGTTATGGAATTCAAAAAGTGTACTGTCAACGGCTTCGCTTATGGCGAGGCTTACACCGAGGCACAGGCAGGAATGCAAAAGAGACAAGGAATTGATATCGAAGTTGAAGGTGCAAAAGCTAGGGAACAAATCGCAAGGGACCGTGTGGAAATGATTTCCGAATTGCGACGAATTAACGACAACCCATACCTGGATGATGAAGCCCTTACCTTTGTTGCGCCTGACTTCATTCACGACATTTGTGGAGTTTCTGGCGAAGAGCAGGCCAAGGCCAATGCCCATTTCATGCTTGTTCTCGCGCTTTGCCATACAGTTTTACCAGACAAGTCTTCCGATGACCCTTCGAAAATTGAATTTAAGGCACAGTCTCCCGATGAAGCTGCGCTGGTGGCCACCGCCCGTGACTGTGGATTTGCGTTGGTTGAAAGGACGGGGAGTGGCGTAGTTGTAAACGTCCAAGGAGAAAACAAGGAGTACCAGGTTCTCAACACTCTGGAATTCAACTCTGCAAGAAAGAGAATGAGCGCTATCATTCGTATGCCTGATACTGGAAAGATCTTCTTATTTTGCAAGGGAGCCGACAGCATTATCTACTCAAGATTACGAGCAGGGGAACAGCAGGAACTTAGAAGGTCTACCGCCGAACACTTGGAAATGTTTGCCCGTGAAGGTCTCCGGACACTTTGCATTGCCCAAAGAGAGCTTTCAGAGGATGAATACAAGGACTGGAGCAGGAAATATGATATTGCCGCGGCAGCTGTCCATGGCCGTGAGGAAAAGATGGAGGAGGTATCCGACGCTATCGAGAGAGACCTATTTCTTCTTGGAGGGACTGCTATTGAGGATCGTCTTCAGGATGGTGTCCCGGAAACAATTGCTGTTCTTGCAGAGGCCGGTATCAAGCTCTGGGTTTTGACCGGTGACAAGGTAGAGACGGCAATCAACATTGGCTTCTCCTGCAACCTTCTGGATAACGACATGGATCTTATCATGTTCAAGCCTGATGAAGCGGACAATATCGAAGAGGCCGGAAAACTCCTGGACAAGTACTTGATGGACAACTTCGGTTTGACTGGATCTGAGGAAGAACTCAATCGCGCAAGAAAGGACCACAACCCACCGGCGCCCACCCACGCTCTTGTTATTGACGGTGATGCATTGAAGATTGTTCTTGAGGAGGAGCTGAAGATGAAATTCCTGTTACTTTGCAAACAGTGCAAGGCTGTTCTTTGCTGTCGTGTCAGTCCAAGTCAGAAAGCTGCAGTGTGCCAAATGGTGAAGAAAGGACTGGATGTTATGACTTTGTCTATTGGTGATGGTAAGTCTTGACTCAAATGTCCGAGTGACGAGACATGAGCTAACAATTCCTCAGGTGCAAATGATGTAGCCATGATTCAAGAGGCTGATGTCGGTGTCGGTATCGCCGGTGTGGAAGGACGACAGGCTGTCATGTGTTCTGATTATGCCATTGGACAATTTCGCTACCTTAGCAGGCTTGTACTCGTTCACGGTCGTTGGTCTTACCGCAGGGTGGGAGAAATGACTGCCAACTTCTTTTATAAGGTTTGATATACCCTTTATAATTACTTTAAAGTACCTTCTAACAAAAGCATAGAACATTGTGTGGACATTCGCGTTGTTCTGGTATCAGCTCTACAACAGCTTTGATGGATCTTATCTCTTCGAGTACACTTACATTCTTCTTTATAATCTTGCTTTCACCTCTGTACCGGTCGTCCTTATGGGCATCCTGGACCAAGATGTCGACGATAAAGTCTCTTTGGCTGTCCCCCAATTGTACCGCCGTGGTATCTTGCGACAAGAATGGACACAACTGAAATTCTGGTATTTACTCATGTCATTTCCTACTATAGCAACATCAACTGACTTCCTTTGCAGGGTTTACATGATCGATGGTATCTACCAATCGGTAATTTGTTTCTTCATGACGTACCTACTGTTCCACACTGGTGGCTTCGCTAGTGAATCAGGCCGTGATCTTAACAGTAGAGAGCTCATGGGTGTTTATGTTGGTTGTTCTGCTATCGTTGTTGTGAACAGCTACGTCATGATGAACCAGTTTCGATGGGATTGGGTTTTCGCCCTTGTTACAGTTATCAGTATTTTGATGATCTTTCTTTGGACTGGTGTCTACTCGGCTTTCACAGAAAGTGGTGCATTTTATAAGTCCGCGGAGCACGTCTACGGAGCATTATCTTTCTGGGCCACAACATTCCTTACAGTTATTGTCTGCCTCATTCCCCGCTTCTCGGCAAAGGTTATCCAAAAGCTATACTTCCCTCGCGATATCGATATTATCCGCGAACAAGTCCGTCAAGGAAAATTTCAGCACCTCTATCACAATGCCGGAACTGGTTCGAAATCTGCGGTATCTTCAGCAGCCTCATCGGAACTCATTATGAAGCCCGATCCTAATCAACAAATTTATGTTCAAGATGATGACAGAAGACCGATATACCCTCCTAGTGTTGCACCAACCGCTACAACAACAGGCAAGCGCGCTAGCGGGAATGGCAGCAACGGATCGGATGGATCCGGGTATACTGGGAACGGAACATTCACCCCTCACAGATATTCAATGGATACCGGGCGCCCAAGGCCCAGTATGGACCGCGCACGACCAAGCATGGACCGGGTTAGGATGTCGCTCGATCTCCATCGACCAACAAGAGCAAGTTTTGAGGTTACAAGTGACTTCACATCAGCAGCTATGTTGGCGAGACTGGAGTCTTCTCAATCCGGTATTCAGATAAGAAGGCAGTCGATGTTAGGGGATGAAATCCGATTTGATGATATGCGTCGATGAAGAGTGGGGTCGTAGGATTGTGGGTAATAATGTATAGTGTAGGAAGGGAAAGGATCAAAAGGACATTTTATAGATAGAGATGGAACATAAGAAAGAAAGGCATAGTAGTTATGGGTTGGGTTGATCATTGTTATTTGTTGGGCTGGTTGGAGTGATTTTTATCACTTATCTTTTTCACTTTACTTTCTTTTTTTTGCTGCTATTGCCTTGAGGGGAGAAGTTCTTGCTGGAAGTTCCGATCTTTCTTTTCTCATTTTTTTTTTCTTTCTGAGCGGTTGGTTGGCGTTCTATTTTTTGGGGTTGTTTTTTTCTCTTCTTATTTTCAAGGGTCTATATTTTCTCTCTGGTTTACGTTACTTTATAGTTCGAGAGCTTAGCTTTACGCTAAAATTCATTTTTGGGAACTTTACCAATTCACTTCTCAATCTCTGGTCGATCCTTTTATTGTATTTTTCTGGTCTCTTCTCGTTATACATATGTACCTACTTTCCTGTGCACACATGTTTACCTATTCATTACTAGTCCATAATCTTCTTTTTTTATTCTTTTTTCTGTAACCATTTCTATGATTCTAGTTGACTGTCTCGTTTTCTTGAAGTTTCTGGTTTTGTGAAAGGTTTTTCTTTTTCTATTTTTTCTTTGGTGCTTTTTCGTTTTGTTTTGCGTGTGAGAGATCAAGGGGATGTCTGATAGCAATTGAAGGGTTGGTAGGGTAGGTTACGTAGTGAACTTGATATGGCTTGAGTGAAGGAATGGATCAGAACGAAACTGAATGGGAATTGGAATTATGTACTTTATCCAGCTAGTTTATCCCAGCTAGATATTATCTACCTCTGAGTTTCTATTCTGCGAGTTTGTATGTTGATTGTGTCTGATGCTGTGTCTGATGTATGTGAAGGGATGTCTTGGGCGGGTTGCTTAGTGTTTAATGCGTAGAATGTCTTTAGTGATTTGTGTACTAGATAGAGTCGAACATGGGGAAGTACTACATGCAATAGAGTAATGATATCTACCCGGCCGTTACTCTCACTCGTTCCATACCCGACCCGAGCATCTGGAGGGCCAGGAATACCCAGCTTGTGATGCGGAACACAATTGGACAAACGCAGTGACAAGAAAACAATCCCAGGGAGAAAGACGTTTGAGTTGTCACTCTTATCCTCGTCCGAACTCAAGTGATTGCCACCCACGTGTACCGGGTTCGATCTTGGTTTTAAATCGTACTAGCATCAGTATGTTGGTACTCTAGATAGGGTATATTTATGTCACTATATGGCTCCCGATGTCGATGGTGTAACTAAAATACCGTAGGTACTCACTCTAGTAGGGATAGTTACTTTTTTTGTTACTTCTAATAGGAATAAGAGACGGGATGCAAGAGGCCAATGAGATTGAGGGATCCATCTTGCTTACTTGCATTAGCTTGGCCGGCATGCGCTGTTCGGCTGAAATGTGACCGCACCATACTCAGTAGGGATCCCAATAATAGTGGTCGAGTGACGTTCCGTGACTATCGTGTGAAGTTGATGCATCTGAAGTCACAGAGCTGAGTGGCTCTGTAACGATCAGCTCGTATCCGCCTAAGAGAGCTGTAAGTTTGTGTACTCAGTGATCAGTAGAAACTGATAAGTGACTAGATGCGGGCGCATCTAAAGGCACATTTGTGGTTGGATACTCAATGCTCTCGTGATCGGGTAAGAAGGAGCGAGATGCAGTTTATTTATCGATATAGAGCAGAAGCAATGATTAGCGACAACCAATGATACGAAGGCCAGTTTTTGTTGACGTCTTGTCTCGACACCAAATACATAGATACAGTAGCAAAAACGTGGATAAAATTACTACCGCTGCCTTTAGCAATACCGTAACAATGCCGTAAAATACGGCATATTCTCGCAATGCCGTAGAACTGCGGTAACGCTGCCGGCGTATACTTCTTTAAAATACGGAGATAAATCGGTATATTATTATGGTGCCGTACTGATACTCATATCTACTGTAGTTACTGTTTCCAAGTCGGATCAGCGGATTACGCATCGAAGAGCCGCAATCAGCGGGGAGCTAGTGTTGCCAAGATTTCGCAAAAAAAAAAGTTAAAAGTTGAAGTTGAACCTCCAGCCAGAGAAGACCCCACACAAAACAACAACCAAACAACATCCAAAATGGTCAAACGAAAGAGAGCCGGTCTTGTAAAGCTTAACAATCTGTACTACATCCCTCTCTCGAAATAGGATGCCTCCTAAACTGACCAATCCCCTTCCCCTTGTTACAGACCTATGCTGCAGAATCTCATTCGCAGAGATCCACCGTCATATCGCGAAGAATTTATTCTCCAATACCGCCACTATGAGTCCCAGCGCGATATTTTCATGTCGCAACCCGACGGCAGCGAATGCGCAACTTTCATCGAGTTGATTGGATTCATGTCGAATGTTTGCAGTTCATTCCCGGACCTTACGCAGAATTTTCCCAGTGATCTCGCAGGGCTGCTCATTAAGGGCCATAACGTGCTGAATCCGGACTTGAGAGAGAAGCTTGTACAGAGTTTGGTTTTATTGAGGAATAAAGATGTCATCGCATCGACTACGCTTCTGCAGACTTTGTTCCCGGTGCTAACCACTACTCATTCGAAGGCCTTGAGGGCGCAAATCTATACCACCATTGTGTCGGATATGAGAAATGCGAACTCGAAGGCAAAGAACCATAAACTTAATAAGACGGTGCAGACTGTTCTATTTGGACTCGTAGAGGCAGGAAAGGATGATCGCATGTCGACACAGGGACTCTGGGCTGTCAAGTTGACGAGAGAGCTGTGGAAGCGCCGTGTATGGGACGATGCCAGAGCTGTTGAGATCATGAAGGAGGCTTCGTTGAGTACAAATCCCAAAGTCATGGGCGGGAGTGTTAGATTCTTCCTCGGTGTCGACCAGGAAATGGAAGAAGCGGAAGAGAGTGATGATGACAACGTTCCAGATCTCGCTCAAGTAAAGCATCAAGCGGGCATTAACAAGAAGACAAATAAGAAGAAAAGGAAGGTTGATAAAGCTTATGCGACGATCAAGAAGGTGTGTTGCTTTAGAAATAACCCCCAACCTTTACCAGTTACTAATTTTGCATGCCCCATATACAGAAAGAAAAGAATAAAAATAAACCTCATCCATTGAACTTCTCTGCCCTACACCTTCTCCATGACCCACAAGGCTTCGCTGAAAACCTTTTCTCAAAGCACCTATCTCGCTCTAGTGCGAAGCTTACTATCGAGCAAAAACTCCTTGTGCTGCAGCTCGTGTCCCGTTTGATCGGTCTGCACAAATTGAGTGTTTTGGGCATATACTCATACTTACTTAAGTATCTGAGCCCACGACAGCAGGATGTAACACAGTTCCTTGCATGTACTGCGCAAGCGTCTCACGACCTCGTGCCGCCAGATGTCTTGGAGCCCATTATTAAGAAGATTGCCGATGAGTTTGTATCCGAGGGTGTAGCATCAGAGGTTGCGACTGCTGGGTATTTTCCTTCCACAAAAACGAAACTGGTAGGATGCTAACATTCCCTAACTATAGTCTTAACGGTATCCGTGAAATCTGTGCCCGTGCCCCCTTAGCGATGAATGCAACACTTCTACAAGATTTGTCAGAATACAAGGGCTCTAAGGATAAAGGTGTGATGATGGCTGCTAGAGGTCTTATCGGACTATATCGCGAGATTGCACCGGAGATGCTTAAGAAGAAGGATAGAGGAAAGACCGCATCAATGGGCATGAAGGATCGAGAAACGCTTAGATTTGGTGTTGAGAAAGAGGGTGAAATTGAAGGCTTGGAACTACTCGAACAGTGGAAAGAAGAGCAGAGAGCTCTCAGGAGGGCAGAAAAGGCCCTGGCTAGCGATGATGAAGCAGAAGAAGAAGAAGAGGAAGAGGACAATTGGGACCAGTGGGAGGTTGAGGAAGAAGACAGTGACGATGACGGCACGGGCTGGATCAACGTCGACAGTGATAAAGAGATCGAGATTAGCGACTCAGAAGATGAGAGCGAGGAGAAGCCCCGCAAAAAGACAAAGAAGGCTGATGAAGAAGTGACAAAAAAAGGGGAGAAGAAAGAGGTAGAGGAGGGAGAGGGAGAGGGTAATGATTCTGAAACTCCTAAAGACCGGCCTATCGAGGAAAAGGTCAATGAACTGGAGAAGAAGCTTTCAAACCTTGCAACAACCCGCATTCTTACCCCCGCCGACTTTGCAAAACTTGCCGAACTGCGTGCCCAGGCAGGTATGGATAAACTCCTCGGAAACGATAAAAAGAGCAAGCACGCAAGCCGTACAGGCATTACCAACGAAGATGCCGTCGATGTACTCGATATTCAAGGCCCTGCAAAGCGTGGTAAAGCAGATAAGGAAGCGCGTCTTGCAGCCGCTGCGGAGGGCAGAGAAGGCCGTGAAAAGTTCGGATCGAAGAAGTCTAAACATAATGAGAAGGAGCACAGTACGACGAACAAGGAGAAGGCGAGAAAGAAGAATTTCTTGATGACGGTGAGAAAGGCCAAAGGAAAGCAGAAGAGGAGTTTAGTGGAGAAACAAAGAGTGTTGAGGGCACATGTGGAGAAGCAGAAGAAGCAGAAGAGAAAGCATTAGAGTTCTATACTACGCGATAATACCTTTTTTTCTCTTTTCTTTTTTCTTTTTGTACAAGACTTTGAAGGGTTTTATTTATGGGATCTTTTGTATATATATGCGCCTGTCTTTTCCTTTCCAAAAGTTGTAACTGTACTACTTATGACGGAGTGGGTAATTTGGTCTATTTGATACCAGCAAAGTCTACACGCAAGAGTGTTAGGTCGTGAATGGGATCTAGGACGTCACTTTGGGACCGCTAAGACTACAAAAATCGATTTAGTCATCGAGTGAGATACTATGCTTCCAAAGGATCTAATAAGGCTAATGTATTTCCCCCCCTCTTAAAAAACAATTATATCTATACCTTGTGGCTCTCTGCAAACTCCCTGATGTACGCCGCCAACTTATCTGCTCCCTCCTCAGTGATAGAGTTATCTGAAGGGAATAGTTAGACCAACCTCACTCAACCAGGAAAATCAGGTAAGGATCCTTACAGTTACTAATTCTGATACCACCTACACTTCGGTGCCCCTTCAATCCGGTCATCCCTTGTTTCGTGGCAAGTTTGACGAATTCATCCTCAAGACCCTCGCCAGAAATTCGGTAGCAGATATTCATACGTGACCTGGAACCCGGTACGGTGACAATCTTGTAAATCTCCGGCGATGCCTCCAGGGCAGCGTACAGCTTATCACCTATGAATGAAAACCTTTTATTAGACCGTATTCCCAGAAGAATATGACGTAGGGCAGAAATGCATACTCTTCCTTCCGGAAATCTCCTCCTGTTTTTCGAGACCACCACCAGCGATGAGATCCTGCATGACCTCCTTGGCGATCCAGACGTCAAAGATGGGCAGAGTATTATAGAGAGAACCGTTCTTGGCAAGAGTCTTGTAGTCAAACATGATAGGCTGGATAGGGAGCCCAAGAGCACGCTGGGTCTGGAGTGTGGGCTGATTTGCGAGAATGTCGTTGCGGATGATAACCATTGTCAGACCTGTGGTGCCAACATTTTTTTGTGCTCCAGCCTACTGAAGTTAGCGATACAACACTCAAGAAGGTTCAGGAAAGAAACGAGACTTACAAAGATCACTGCGTACTTGCTAACATCAACTCTCCTGCTCAAAATGTTGCTGCTCATATCGGCAACAACCAATCTCTCCTTGTCCTGTGCCAATACGGTTGGGAAAGCCGGGAACTCAACACCATCAACAGTCTCATTGTCACAGAAGTAAGTAAAGATGCTCTTCTCCTTCTCCGTGAGTTTCCATGTGTCCTCTGCGGGAATCTTTCCATACTTTCCGCCATTGGCCTCCTTGGCATTGACCGCGACATTTACCATCCACTCTCCTGCTAGTCTTGAAGCTTCCTCACTTGCCTTCTGACTCCATACTCCGGTGACAAGGTAGTCCATCTTGGAACCCAGAAGCCTTCGGCGCACAGTATCAATGTCATTATTTGAGTTGTTGAGTTCCCGCTGCACCCAGTATCCAAGAAGATTATACACCACGCCCGAGAACTGAGAGGTTCCTCCACCCTGCATGAAAATGACTGAGTAGTCATCTGGAATAGACAACAGGGTTTTCAAGGAATCTGCAGCATCGGTGACAATCTTTCCGCAGAGTGCTGAACGATGGGAGTGCTCAGCAAGACCGAGACCAGTATCTTCATGGTTTAAGATGGAAACGGAGGCGCGGGCGAGCACTGAAGTTGGTAGACGGGCAGGTCCGGCACCAAAATGGAAGATTTCTTCACGAGCGGGCATTGTGGGGTATCTAGTAAAACTGGTTCCTGAAGAATAGATAAGTCAATTCCAAGGTCAACAGGCGAACTTCCGGATTATAAGCTTGAGCAGTGTCACAAACCTTGAAAGATGATTTTCTTAATAAAAATCACCTATGCTAAGTTTTCCTGGATAAACTCAAAGAATTGGGCAATTGAGGAATTAGGCGAAAAATTTGAACTGAAATCGCGACATCGAAATTTGAGTCACTATGCCCCCCGCCTTCACCCCACGTTTTTAGCGTTATCTGATCATGCGAGTCCAAGCTAGCACAGAGCCTCAATAATCTACTACTAAACCTATAAAGTGTTGATGCCTGGAAATATTACAATTGCTCAAAACGGTAAAATCAATTATTCGTTTCTACATGGCACAAATTCTTCCCTCTATATAACGTACATCGCAGCCCCTCTGACTACTTCTTGGTCCCATAAAAAACCCTAAACATACTTTAAAGTAGTGATAATGATCCTTTAGATGTCTGGGGTTTATTAGTACGTTGCCACAGAATAGCTCATGCTCAAAGAAGTATTCCCGCCATCATTGCTACTGAGCTCAAAAATCGCCCAACTTTCACCAACCTAAGAAAAAAGAACGCAAAACATGGAGAATAATAGCAAAATAACCCCGCAAATACAAAAGATACATAAAAAAAAAAAAAAACTATAGTTTTGCCGCAGTACTACCCACCGTCACGATCTCATTGTACAGCAGAGTTGTCAAAAAGTCCGCGTAATCCTCGCCCGTTATTTGGGTCGCAAAGTATCTTGAAGCGAGCTGATATTTGTTTCCTGGCGCCGCCTTACTTGAGAGTCTCTCAGTAGCTTCCTGGAGTAGTTGCAGGTTGTATTCCTTGGTGATCTTCTTGCCCTCTGCTGTTGAGATTCCATGCTTGGCCCATTGCCATAGCTGCTTTCTATCAGAATTTGGTCAAGTCATCTAGGAAATTGAAGGAGCTAACCTGAGAGCGTGAAACTTCGGCTGTTGCAGCATCTTCCATAAGGTAGTTAAGAGGTACGCAACCAACTGCTCGGAGCCATCCCTCCATGTATCCTAGACCGATGTCGATATTCTTGCGGATCCCTTCCTCGGTGATCGTTCCAGGCATATTCATGTTCAAAAGGTCGTTTGATGTTACAGATACATCCTCACGGCGCTTGAAGATCTGGTTGGGTGTAGGCATGTGCTTGTTGAACACATCTGTAGCGATTTTTGCCAATGCGGGGTGAGCAACCCTAAACAATAAATGTCAGTCCTCTCGCCTCATATACACAAGGATTACTGAAGTGTAATTACCAAGTTCCACTGTAAATAAGTTAGCAACCATTCATACTAAGTCATTATAACAGCATGGAATAAAACGAGTGACATACTCATGACCCGCGCGAACTTCACGCAGCTTATCCGCATAAACGCCCTCCATAGCCTTCTTGTTTGCCTCGGCATCGTCTTTGATAGGGATTTGTGCAGCCATTCCACCCTATTCACAAATTAGACTATTGCTATTACTAGTAATATGGTATGGAGTATTCTAACCATAGCATGAACGCCTCTGCGGTGGCAAGTCTTAATCAATAACTTAACATATGACTCCATGAATGGCACAGTCATGGTAACAGCACTTCTGTCAGGTAGAATAAATTGAGAGTTGTTCCTGAACTTCTTGATGACACTGAAAATGTAATCCCAACGCCCACAGTTGAGACCTGAGCTGTGCTGGCGGAGCTCATAGATGATCTACTCATAAAAACCAATAAGCTATCCTCGCCTATAACCAAGCAAAAGATAAAACTCACCTCATCCATTTCGAATACGGCCAAAATGGTCTCAATCAACACTGTACCTCTGATGGTACCCCTTGAAAGTCCAACGGTGTCCTGGGCAAGGTTGAAGACATCGTTCCATAGTCTTGCCTCGAGGTGGGATTCCATTTTAGGGAGGTAGAAGTATGGCCCGTGGCCATTCTCGACGAGCCTCTTTGCATTGTGGAAAAAGTATAGACCGAAATCGAATAGACCGCCAGAGATAGCTTCTCCATCAACAACGAAGTGTCTTTCCTCAAGATGCCAGCCTCGAGGACTATAATACTTTAGCAAAAGCGATTACAATAGAATTCTGCATTACTCACCGAACAATAAGAGTAGGAAGAGGTCTGTCAGTGCGAAGTTTGTAGTCCTTGCCGTTGAGGTTGAAATCAATCTCCCGGCGAATGGCGTCATAGAGGTTAACTTGACCATTGACCATGTTATCCCACGTGGGAGAGTTGGAATCTACAACGACGGCCAGTCAGCACCAACTTATCTATAACAAACCAACGAATAGTGATCAACTAAATCTTGGAGACCAAGGATAAAATAAATACCTTCAAAATCAGCCATGTATGTCCAAACGTCTGAGTTCAGCGCATTCACAACCATCTTCCTGTCTGTTGGTCCAGTAATCTCCACTCTCCTGTCTACGAGACCGGGAGCAGGATCTGCTCCTCTCCATGCATCATCCTCACGAATGTGCTTGGTCTCTGGAAGGAAAGTGGGAAGAACACCTTTGTCAATCTCAGCTTGACGGTCGACACGGCGCTGAAGAAGATGTTTGCGAGTTGTGTTAAAGGTTCTGTGAAGAGTGGCGAGGAAAGCACAAGCTTCCTTTGTCAGAATCTTGCGGTGGCTTTCGTTTATCTTTCCCAGTATCTGGACACCTTCAAGGAGGGATTCGACGGAGGCCATCTTTTTTTTTTTTTTTTTGACTGTTAACGTATTGGTAGAGATATTGCTCAAAAGATTTCACACTTTCAGGGTCAACCAGAGGGAAGAGCAATAACGACGGGCGACTACTTGTGTCTTTATTCCGGACAGAAGGGCATCTATTCGGTTGTTGTCCCAGTTCTTGGAAACTTACTTTCAGTTTGCTAACATCTGATAGCCGTGGGGAAGGCGTGGGGACCGTGCATCGTCCAGATGCAGAACGATTATCGCCTATTCCCCCGCAAATATCCACCGGCTATCGTCGCAAGTGTGCTGAAGACCAATCCCCCTCCACCCGAAACCAAATACCGTGCCCCTCCCAAAGGTAACACCGTCCTCTCTTGTCAACATTCTTAACTCCATCTCGGACATGAGGATGCGGAATTAGACAAACTCCTCAAGCTCAACATACCCTCCTGCTTCTTCTGTGCATTCAATTCGTATCCTACAGCTTTTCTTTCTTTGAGAATTGATAGGATTACTCGATAGCTTTTGTACAATTGAAGTATTTGATATGACGTTATCCCTGTATCGCATCTTATCACGGGTAGGTATCGGCACATGTTTTGACATTCGGTCAACAGGCACGGACCCCCGGACCTCGGCTAGTACCGCTTGCCTGGCCTACGGTTTCGCCCGAGGGAATATTCGGAGTCATGCTAGAGCACCGGAGCACCTGAGTTACACGGGCAAATGTTTCATTTGTCAATCCTTTCCGGCAAGGAGGTTGAGTTGCGAGTGATTTTACAGGGGGTCTGTCTTGAGAGCCAGATTTCTTACCGAAAGTTAGACTCATCATTCAACCAAGACCATCATTTCATGTGGGAAATCCCTCTTACGAACTAAACCACCCGGTGCTGTGCATTGTGCAGCCCTAAATAACCTTAAAACCGGGAGTTTTAAAAATTGGCTTCTTTTGGTATTGTGATTTAATTTCAAGGCACGTAAGTTTTGAACAAGCAAACCCCGTAGGTAAAAACAAGATATGCTACCTTATCCTCATTTATACCTTTCCACACTAGCTTAATCCTTGTCTGCAATGCTCTGTAGCCTTTCATCGATCTCGTCGATGGTCAATTTCCTAAAACCAGGCTCTCCCTCGGCCCCGACAACACCCACCTCCACCTCTCCGCTCTTAAAGTCTACACTCAATACCGCGCTCAGTGCCGAGATACCAAGTTCTACGACTTCTTTCCAGTCGCCACCAGCACATTCCTTGTTCTTGAGCTTCTTCTCAAGATGGTTGAGGGCTTCCTGCTGCTTGGGACCAGACGCGGTAGCTTTGTATCCTACGTAGTATCCAGCAGGGTCGGTCTTGAAGAGTTGCGGGCCATTCTCGTCATCAATGGAGATTAATGTCATGGAGACACCGAGGGGACGCATGTAGGCCTTTTCTATGTGTCAATAATTGGAGAGCGGGCCATTTAAAAAAAAAAAAACTAGAGGGGAAACATACACGTTGGGTATACACCTGGTTGATGTTTGCAAGTCTTTTCGCTAGGACGTCGCATGGCATTTCATAACCAAACTTGTATCTAAACTCAGCCGCTTCACCGCGAGCACGAGTAACTGATGCGCGGGCATCGGCGATAGACCCGGTCATAACGCATCCGACAGATGGTGAAAGCTGGAAGATATATGTGACAGATGCCGGGTCAAGAAGCTTATCCTGTTGTTTGTAGGTTCACCTGGTTAGTTAGCTCGTAGGCTGGCGATACTCTTAAACATATCCCCACAACGTCAGGAGAGAATGCTAGAAGGTGAAACGTACTGGGACTTTCTTCTGCGAGATGACTACAGCGCAGTCCTTGCCTCTGACCCCGATGGAGGTAATATTCGCAGCTGTGATGGCCTTGAAAGCATATTCTGCTCAACTGCATCAGCTCCCATCTCTATCTATTCCCATCTACCCATCTGCAAACCATTCATCCAATTATACAGGAAATTATATACGTACCAACTTGGTACAATCTTCCTGTGTCTGAGAAGATGGTAATATGTCTGTCGAAACCGGCGCTACCTGTTGCCCGCACTCATCAGCCACTACCCCTCCAAACACCCCCGAGCTGCCACAGACAACTGGGTCATCGACGAACCTGACATCTTTGCTACTTCAAATTCGAAATTCTATCTAGTATAAGGTAGCGAGATTACTGACTTCGATTATTCGGCCGTGGAGATTCGTTGATGGAGAGCTGGGGGTGATGCGTACAAAGATGGCTTGGTGCTTGGTGGTGTCAAAACCCCACGATTGCTAGGCCTGGGTGACTAAGCCATAGCTTCTAGCTCTTACTCACGAAAGATCACTCGCGTTTTTTCTGCCAACAACACCAGTCGAGTGTTCGAATCGAGAACCGGCGTGAGTCAACCAAGTGGTCGGTATCACCTTTAAGATTTTCCCCACGATCTATCCTTACAAGTGTCAAGCCCTTTACGAACCACTGCAGATGTCTGTTATGCCTTAATTCTCCCCTCTTACCGCGGATATAGAACTGAGATTTTCCAAAGGAAAAATAAAATAAAAACGAGGCAAAATGCCATAGCATAGATCATGGATAACGTGACAATTTACGGTCATAATCTTTCTACACTTTTAAGTTCTCTGTGCAGCAGCCGGCACTTCCAACCTCCATCAAACCTCGAGAACACCCGTCAGATGCAGTTTTTGCGCTCACGTGGTCGCACTATGACATTCGCGATGTCTCCCACAAGCAGTGGAGAAATGCACATGGGCCACCTTTGACGCCGGTTACCACTATCAAGAGTCTAGACTTGTAATTGGCACCTCAATTGATACGAGTGGTTGGTTGGGCGTTCGGGTTTCAAAAAAACGGTGATAATTAACTGCAAGCTGCGGGAACTAGCATGCATGGAAGACCGACTAGGATAATGATGGAATTGAATTGTTTCACTGGCGGACGAAGATGATCTTGTGAACCACCTTTCCCCACTGCCCCTTCGTTCTTCAAAGTTATACATTGAAATATCTACTCTACTGGCTTGATGCGCAGTAATACTACATTAACCCAGTGCTACACAGCGGAAGTAATACAGACGAAGTACATATGCACTTGACGGTCGTCATGAAGGAGACCTCAGTGCTAAGAGCTATTCCACGTATAACCTCCATCGGCATAGTTACCGCCCCTTTACCTCCGTCCGATCACCATCGGAGTGCCGATTTACTATTTTTTTTGCTTTTTACATCTGCAGCGAGCGTCATCAAAGCGGTGCTAACTTATCTTACTTGTTTATTTAAATTTCCCCTTGATTGCCGATAGGTTATTTAATGTGCAAGGTATAAGAACAGCACATATAGCACTGGACTTCAGTGCTATATCCGTGTAACTCACGCCTGCAAGGGGGGAATGGGAGTTTCTTGTGGGGATTTCGCTGATCTCCTAGGACCGTATCGTCCACGCTGGCAGCAGGTCTCGGTACTGTATGTGTGGGGCACAGATTCCTTTGGCTTTGAGGGTCTAGGTAAGGTATCATGGTGTGTATGACTGCTCTACTAAACATACATGTAATATTGGTATCCCTGTCAATGCCATCGATATTGGATTGACCGAAGGGGGGATCCGGGAATATCACCGCCAATTGCTCATAGTTGTACCGGAAAGTCGCGATTCTAACAAATAGTAAATTGCGATTTGTTTATTTAAAAATTCAGGGGGTATCATAGCTGGTGTACTTATACATATACATACAGGCCCTTCTTCTAGAGAATGGAACGCGAGAAAAAAAGATATAGAACAAAATAATAAGAAAACCCCAACAGCAAACGTTAACTAAAACCACAAATTAAAAACGGACAATGAGTGTAAAAAAAAGTTGGGTGTCGAAGTGAATGAAGAAAAAAGTACCCAAAGAGGAGCGTGACGCTACGCACTATTACAAACCAGATGTATAGTATGGAAGCGAACGCAAACGAAAGTCAGAATGTTATAATGCAAAAAATGATACCAATATCCCAGTCCAAGGTCCAGACAGCAAAAAAAAAAATTGTTGGTGTCTCTGCGTGCTTGACAGATTTTACCCAGTCGGGTCAATGCAGCCCACCAATTATTCCCTTGTTGGAAAGTTTCGACCTCGCCGCCTTTACACGCCAATTCCAATTGATTGTCTTTATAAACCTTGCCCAAAGTGTAATGAGAGCCCAATCGCCAGATACGCCTGTCACAAATGTCCAAATCCCTCGCCATGTTGTCGTTGTTCGTTTAAACCCAAATCTTGCCAACCCATGATTATTCGGAGTGTTGTTTAGATGTTACCAACGCCCCATTTCTGGTCGATGAGCCGGTAGCGCAGTTGTTCTTTCCGGTACTTAATGAGCATCCCGGCACAGAGCATGACAACGGCATCCATTCCAACAACACCAAAGGCAGCGGTAAAGAGAAGACCCAACCACCTCTCTGAATAACTTGAGAAAGCACTTACACAGCCCTCCTTTGAAGCTGCAACAAGATCACTCGTGCAAACGCTGTCACGGACATACATAGGCGACGTGCTATTCATATATCCACAGCAGTCGAACTATTTCCAGGGCAGGGGTTGTCAGTTTCCATTTATAGAAATATGTTTATAGGTACTTTGAACCGAATGACAACCCATGAATCTCACACCGAATCTCACGCCATCATAAGCGCCCATAAGAAACCGGGGGGGGGGGGATACCTTTTGTTGTAAAATGCTCTGGGTGACATTATTCTGCTGACCCCAGATCGTCTCCAAATTCGCGCGTGTGGTCAAAGTTTGTAGCCATTCACTTAGGCCAAGAACCAAAGTGAAGAGCGCGCAAACCATAACAAGCCATCCATGAGCCTTGAGCCATCCACGGGATGTAGGCAGGGCAAATGATGGCAATGAGATCAAGAAAGCTGCAATAATGAGGGCGCCATTTGCAATAACGGCTGTAGTAGTCCAGGTTATTGTTGTTAGCTTTGGGTACCACGGACGACTAAGCTAGGGAAGGACCGTACCCATTAGTGGGGCATTTTTTAGCAACAAAAACCTCGCGACTGACTCCGTTGTTGGCTCCGTCGACAACTCTTTTTCCCAGATCACACCTGCAGCGATAAGGAGCGCACCAGTAGCAAGGAGGATGAAGTCGCTAACGACATATGAAGCTGTGACCGAGTTGACCATGTCTGATAATCTGGGGAGGTTTTCGGAGATGATTCGTGTATTATTAAATTTTTTATGATGTACCACAAGCCTACCAGAGGATGGTGTTGGGAGGTTTTCTTCTGTTTCCTTTCAGATGTGGTAAAAAAAAAATGCACTCGCGTGGAAAGATCGTGGGTGTCGATAATCGATAAACAGATAGAATTGAACGACCTGCGCCCTGTAACGTGGAAATATCCCAGGTAGGAAAATGAAGAGAAATGAATGAAGGGGATGTGAAAATCTAAGGAACAGAGAAAAAGAGAAATAAGAAACGGGAAAGATTGGAAGTAAGCGGGAAGTGAGAGGGTATGACGCCTGAGAGAGACTGTGTAAAGGAGGCACTGTACAGTAAGAGACGGGTATGCAGTAAGGTTGCAGGCGGTAATGCAGGCGTAAAACGAGTGAGGGGTGTGTATTTCAGGAGCAACTTTCAGCCAACAGATGGTGTAGAGAGTGTAGAATTGTGTGACAAGTCGACTGACGATACAGCTGCGAAACGCTAAGGGGGGGAAGGGAAGGCGAGTCTATCATTCGATATTGGCCAATCGCTAATACAATTCAGAGCGACCACCTTTCTCAGGTATGAACCCTTTGGAGTTTAGCATTCCATCGCTAACCCGGCAGCACGGCAAAGGGTCTAACCAAGGTCAAGACTTCAGACGTGAGATTGAGGCTACGAATTCTATCTTGCTACCGCTTTACTGCCACCATGATGCCTGTGCAGCATATCGAGTACGGTACAGGATCTTGCCCAGACACAATTCGAACAGACCTGCTGCTGCCTGCTGTGGACTCCCCACATCCTCCCCGCAACAGGCGGCTTTAGAATATTCAGAAACGGTACCTGGCCAAGTCACATCTGATATATTCATCGTGATGGCTATCCATCTTGTGTGTAACAAGTAGAGTAGGTGCCTAGAGTACCTACATAGGCATTTTTCAGAAGCCGAATCCTTTCGCCTCGCTAGAGTACTCACGGGAGAGAAAATTGACGGCTGAACCCTTGAACCAAGCCTCCGATGCCCGTGGGCTGTGGCGGGAATAAAGCGTGGTTCGATCTCGTTTGCAGCTTTAGTCCCTACATACCATAGAGTACTTTACTCTGCTGTATTTAGCACCTACAGATGATCTTGCTGTAGAGTGGTAGATAGAGTAGGTACAGTTAAGCACTCTAAGCAGAACTTAGACAACATCTTCCGCTGCTGTTCGACTCTTCCCTCCCCCGCCTCCTACAGCACGGCTCTAGGCAGGGCTCGACCGTTGAGATCGTAGAGATTTTCGCCGCTGGCCATCCCATCAAGAATTACCCCTCGCCTTAATTGCATGTATGAATGGGCCCGTGTATGTGTGCAAAGAAGAAAAAGGATGTAAAAATGTACAATTGTAGATATGTAGACAAAAGAAAAAAAAATCACTTTGGGGGTAATCGCTCGGGCCCAATAATCAAGCGCCGGCATCTATCGTGAGATTTCTGCTCGCAGCGCGGTTTCATCAGCAACCCAACAGCCGCAGCATTTGTTGCCCTTCTGGAGGGAAGATGGGTGGTGGGCCTTGGCATTTACTGCTTTGGGGGGGTTCCTTGCGCGGTATTCTGAGCCGATTTTGCAGGCTGGCTGGCAGGTTTTTTTGGCTTGAATTTCGAATAGGCCCACATATGAAACAATTTTCCTATGCGAGGCTTGCTGCGTTACGATGTGACAAATTACCGTGTGCGGAGAGTGCATGCCTGAGAGCGCTCTAGTCACACGCAGAACTGCCAGCAGAAGCCATATGACTAGCTGTATAAGGAGTAGTGTTAATCTGGTTTCTCCCTCTCCTAGACGTCAAGGTGTCCTTTTAAAGCCTGCGAGCTCCCTTTTTTAAGTCCTACCCTTCCCTTTCCGAGAATATCTCTCGACCAACGCAGGAAAGTCGATTCACTCAGCCCTTTTCAGACACCCAGCTTGTCTTCTTTTAGTGCCCCCTTACCCCGAACAGAACAGAACCGTCGAGAACCAGCGAAAGGGAAGCACGCGCCACCCAACGCTCCCTCTGGACTCTCGAATTCTGACTATCCGTGTCTGTCTATTCTTCTCTCCCCACCCCCCCTCCATCCCGTCACAGCAGCCGCGTTACGCCCTTCGGAGAAATCTAGGAGACGCCGAGGGTCTACTTTTCATAATCGAATCGTTACCAACTGCGGTATACCTACTTCCTGATACCATTAGTCCTAGGACTGTAGTATCTGATAGAGCCTAGGGACTTCCGTCATTCATCCGTAAGTTGTTGATTTTCCTCCTCCTCCTCCAGCCATCCGTCCTTGTTTCTCCATTGTCATAGACATCTAGTGAGAAAATTTGATTTTTTTTTTAAAAAATACCCATGTCTGTCTACTGTTTTTCTCATTTTGTGCAAAACCTATTTACTCTCTAAAACTCGGTACTATTACCCAGTACAGCAAAAAACTGTTTACCCTCTCTGTCTGGCTATTTTGGTCGGTCATGCTTGCTTGCCTACTTGATATTTCCCTATACCCCTGCCCTTCACCGATCCCCTAGCCCTGATATCGTTGCTAACTCAAATTGAATGTGCCTCCAGCAGGATCGTCCCGTCTTCAACCCCCGACCAACACCCATCCAACCACTTACATCCAGTGTGGTGTCTAGCCACTCACTAGCTCTATCTTGCCTGTAGCCTAGGACTCGTCCCCCACGCACTCAGACGTGCCTGCGCATCTCCACAAAATAATAGTAATAACTACTACGAGACTCCTCTACACCCGCCACCTTCCTTCAAGGCACACTACCACCCCCTTCCCGGAAAAAAAAAAAGAGAGAAGAGGAATTAAAAATCCTAAAAAAAATCCCACTCCACTCTCAGTCTTTGAGCCCCCTTCCTGGTCAAAGTCCATCCACCCATCCACACCTCTCGTACACCCGCACACCCTTCTCTTACTTGAGTTCTCCCTTCCTTCCGAACTCCCGCGCAACCACAAGGAGGAAGCGCCAATACCCCAAATCAACACCCCTTTCCCTTCCCATACAACGACCGACATCCCCCTTCCGCATTCATCGTCCCGCTCCTTTCCCCTTATATTTTAATCCAGCAGAAACGCAGCAAGCCATACCTCGCTCGCCCCTTCCCTCCGCCCTCCCCTTCCATATCCAGATCCAGGCAAACCATAACACAAGGAAAAAACCACCAAACCCGAATCCAGTCAGAGGAACATTTTAACCCGCCAAAAAATAAAATCTTAAGATAAAAAATAAAATACAATTTCCGGCAATGTCTGACAACGACCCGCAACCATCCCCCGGTCCCCACGACGACTCGGGCCCGAACGCCTCAGCTCTCTCAGCTGGCAACGGCGTCCCGAACGCGCAATCCGGTCTCAACTCTGCCGGTAACGACAATCGCGGCATCAAGCGATCCCGACCGAATCAAGATGACGACGATGATGATGAGGATTCAAAGCCTGGTCGCGAACGTCGCAAAATTGAGATTAAGTTTATCCAGGACAAGTCGCGCAGACACATTACTTTCTCTAAACGAAAGGCTGGTATTATGAAGAAGGTATTAACGGCCGTTTTCCAATTAATCCATTTCGTGACCCATACTCGAACGCGCACAATATCAAAAGGACTTCAACTGACGCGTCCGAACATTAGGCATATGAATTGTCTGTTTTGACAGGAACCCAAGTTCTTTTGCTCGTTGTCTCCGAGACCGGATTGGTCTATACTTTTACTACTCCAAAGCTACAGCCATTAGTTACCAAGGCTGAAGGCAAAAATCTCATTCAGGTAAACTTCAATTAACCAAATGTTTTGTCCGAGCTCAAATTAACGTTAAATTTAGGCCTGTCTTAATGCTCCCGAGCCCCATACTGCAGACAATGGCGTTCCCGAGGCCGACTCTGTGTAAGTTTCTTAAAACTGTTTACTCGATATATCTCAAAATGCTAATGCCATCGATTTTGATAGTGAATCTCCTGAGGAACCCCAACACGCTCCTTTACCCCAACAGCCACGCGCTGTCCCAATGCCCGTAGGCCCCGGAGTACCCGGAGGCCCATACATGCAGATGCCAGACAATGCCCATGCTCAGGCCCAAGCCTATCAGCAGTACATGCAACAGCAGGCTGCTATCCAACAAACCCAAGCCCAGCGTGCGGGATACATGCCACAGCAACACGCTCAGATGCAGCAACCCCACCCTACACAGTCATCGTGATGGAACTGATGCGTAATTACTTTTCCTTTCTTATTTCCATTGTCAGGTTTCACGAGGTTGCTATAGAGGGCAAATTTAAGATATCGGGGGTTTCTCAAGCAAAAAAAAGACACCATTTTCCTCATTCTGTTTTGTATTATCACCCATCAATTCCTCTTTCAAGTCTTTTTGGGAGAAAAAACAAGCAGACTCGACAATCTTTCACGTGCCTTTCAATATCTTGTTTGCGTGAAACCTGTCATGTTTTGGGAATATGATGTTATCACCTTTGATTCCTTTTCTGTCGATCGAAACTCTGCATGCATTGTAATCCTTGTTTGTGGGAATGGTTATTATGTCTGCCCGGTGGTAGAGGGCTTGGGTTTTTTTTGTACTCTCGAGAAAAAAAATTGGGCTTTGGGAGGCTACGTTTTTTCTTCTTTTATTCTCCTCTACTACTTCTTTAGTTTCATCCCTTTCTTTGTTTTAACCCAGGGTATTCGGGGCGAATTCTGTATTTTTTTTCTCTTTCCTTTTCCTTTTCATTCTTTCATGTGCAACATAGTAAGGTCAGTGTGGTCAGGAATCCAGGTAATGGAATTGTCTGTCAAATGCGCTTTCCTTTTTCTCTTGTGCAATTCCTTGCTAATGCTTAGCTTGATGTTTTATGTTGAATTGCATGATTTGTAGTATAAAGTGATTTTGCGATCCATTATGATTGCATATTGTATTCAAGTGATGATAATGCCAGCTACCTTAAGCTTCCTTGTATCGTTGTACCTTGATTTGAGCTCTACGTATTAAGGATATAATACCATATGCATATTTTGCCTATATACTTGATGTTGCAGTTACACTTGCATCAACAAGCTTTGTCTTGGCCGTTCTACAGCAGCCGCTGTGGTTTGAAATAAAAAGTGCGAGATCTCGGTTCGATTTTAAGGTTAGGATTTAAGGTCTTGTGCTAACACGATTCTTGATTCAGGTGATATGTAGCATAGCGTACATGCAAGGTTACGCTTGAGTGATCTTAGTTGCACATGGGTTGGGCCAACGAGTGATAATTTGTGTTTATAACCTCACATTTCGTGACTAAGATTGATTGATTGATTAATTGATTCATAGCTAAGTAAGTATATGAAACATTCTCGTTACTATATTGATTCTCCCGCGTCTTTTCCCTCTTTTCGCCTTTGCGGAAATGATAATCCACTTCTCTTTCCACTTCTCTTTTCCACTTCTCTTTTCCACTCCTCTTTCCTGGCTGATCATGTGTCTCTTCCTCTGCGAATAATTGGTATACTCTGGTTGTCGAAGCCACGCTCGTAGTTTGTATATTCTCTTTTACTGACACCGAGGAGGTGCGTATTTGGTTGTTATAATTAGGGCAGATTGTAAGCCTTTTAACTTGGCTGAAATTACGTAGGTAAATAGGCTTTTTATAATGTCCCGGGAAGTATAATGTGCCCAATTTTTTTTACCCACTCATGGAGAACTCCGCTTAGGTACTTGTAGTTACTGTGAACTCAAATCTTTTAGAAATTTGATACACGCGCAGAGGGGGGGGCTTATATTCACTGATTGAATGCGATTGTGGTTAGTGGTATATTTTCTATAACTACTGGTTGTAGCTACATGGATATGAGATTGCGTCCTTCCTGGTATGGGCGTAGCTAGGCTTCAAGGTGGAAGAGTCCTAATCATCATTGCAAGCCATTTATATACATGTACACATATAGTTACATGTATGCATATTCGACTAGCTTGGCCAGGTGGTGCCTGCATTGAAAGCTCTGAAATAATTTGCTTGATCACAAATATAGCTGGGAAAATCCAAAAGCTTCTTTTTAGTAGGCAGGGGTAAACATATTAGCCAAGTTGGATTGGGTGGCGCCTTCATACATAGTGTTGAGACCCTGTATGATGTCATGGATAGCTGTATCTGATCACGAGCAGGGTAAGCATTGGATCTATAGTGTTAGAGATCTCTGTGCACGACGTTAGCTATAGCTATACTAGATGACGAGTAAACGACCACATGTAAATAATTAGTCCCCGATATAGCCATTTTTTTTTATTTTAAAAAAAAACCTTAGTCAAAAGATCTTCATCTGGATGTTAGAAACTAATCGTATAATTAAGCGCCATCATGTCTGAACATATTAGAAGTCTCGTTTGCTCAATAAGGCTAGAGAATTTGTAACCTGAAAAAAAAAAAAAACGTTAACCTGCGACCTATTCTAGATTGTTGAAAGAGGGGGGGATACTAGCCAGCCGAAAGGCTGTCTGAAGCCAAGTCTTTCAGATCCTAATTTTAAACGCATACTATGGGAATTCGAAGGCATTTACGAAAGAATGTCTAAGCCAATGACTAAGAAAGCCAATGATCGAGAGATCATGTTAACTACTAGTCTTGGCGCCAGCACCATTACTAACCGTAATAGTGAAACTTCACTGCATTGACGTACAGGTCGAAGCCACATTTCATCCATTTCCGTCCGTAAAACTGTAGTTTCTGAGATGGTGGATGTACCCCTTAGTGGTCTGTTCAGGCATCAATAATGCCCAGCATGTATACATGAGGGGATGTATTAAAGTTTGGTTTCAATGGATAACTCGCCACCGAGGCCAACATACGCTGGGCTTCTTAGACGCCAGTGCTAAGTGCAAGTTTTTGGTATGAAGATGTGGATGCACTAAGATTGGTAACTTGTAAGTACCGTCTGTTAAGCATGTATGATGTTATCCTAGCTAATGTCGTGCGTACAGACAGATAGCCAGTCGCGTTGAAATACCAGAAAGTCGTTTTTGACATAGTCCGTTGACATTGATAGGAGGTGTCCGTTAGTGTATCGGTTAACCAGTGTAGTCGTGTCTGTTTACAAAGAGAGCTGAATGGTCTGAGCGAGGGGATAATTGCTAGTTTTGATTGGGATGGTTATGGGCGCTGATTCCAAACAAACGGCCAATGTAAACCCACTATAATCATGTTGAGGGTTGAGGGTCAGTTGGTTGGTTGGTGGTTCGTTGATCGCTTGAGAGTTTCGAGGTAAACAGCAAGCCTCGACACGCCAATGGCCAATTGGGCCTTTAAAAACAAACTCAGTTAAATTGATGGAGGACTCGTCGTTGTATCCGTATTCCGGCGTCAGGTATGTGGTGCTAGTGTCGCAAGCTCTAGGTTGAGTATATGCAATACATGGTGAAGCTAGGAATCGCCCGTGCTATCTAGTTTTGTTTGTGAATAGATAGTGTTTACTAATAGACTATAGTATTTTGAACGTTGGTTTTAGCACACCCAGCAGTTCTTAATAAAGCTCGGCCCGGCCGGGTCCTGGGAAGTATCAATCCCTATTCTATACTCGTCTTAACGCATGTTCTTTGGAAGCGCATACGCATATGCCTCAACCTAACGCTGAAGTCCCGATCTTACTTACATACGTCCATAATATGGATAAGAACGTATTTGGTGCTCGAAGAAGATTAAAACTCCTATTTCCTAGGTCTATAATTAATATCATAGCACTGTTAGTGTTTGTATTTATCAAGATTTAGGGTCGAAAAAGATGTCAAGGCCGTGTAGGGCGGGCTGCGTGTGTGCGGATTTTTCCTTTGGGTGTTGCTTCTGGGACGGTTGTTGGAGCTAGGGGTTAGGCCATTACAAATTTCAATACGTTCGATATTTCTTCATGAACTCTTACTCGTCATCACAAGATCTAACTTGTTGTAGCTTTGATTGATTGATTGATTACTTCATTTGATACTTTTTGTAGCTTTAATTACGTTACTGTACTTAGTTTATTTGGTCAAAGTTAATTAAAATACATATATTGATGTTCTGGTCGATCTAGAAACATCCGCTAATACGGGTAAAATGGTATAATAAATCAGTAGATCTGACCATATGTGCTGATGAAGGTCGAGGTCCTTCTAAAGCAAATCCAATTCTCTGTACCTCTTCCATGAATGTAAGTGGTGATTGTGAGTAGGTTTACTTGTAATGGACTTCTGATTATACTACGAATTCTCACGAGAGGCTTAAACCTCATGTGTAATGGATGCTGTAGTGGAATTCGGCTACTAATACTCCTTTGATCTGGCCGCTGATTTCTTTGCGTCTCAGGATAAATACTATCTAGTGCGGTCTTAGCCTTTGTTAGATGGAGATGTGAGAGGAACGGACAGGACGAGAATGAAGAAGAGGAGAGAAGGGAACTAGGGTACGGGTGGGGGACGTTGTAAGATGCGGGAAACGAGGAATAGAATAAGAGGGGGCCCTGGGGCGTTCATTTCCTATGTCAGAAATATGTGAGAGGAGGCGGAGGAGAAGGGGCAGTTCAGGGGTATTGCCATAACTGTAAAGTTGTATGCAATTAATGAATTAAACAAAAAAAAAAAGCGGTCTTAGCCTACAGGTAAATCAGCTGCCATTCGCAAATGGCGAGGAGAGAGGCATCTATATCTATGGCCGTACGAGATTTTATTCGTGGTTTGCTTATGTTACTAGTGATGGCAGATGTTTCCTATTGCCAATGGACCAGAACAGCCATGAATTCTAGTATACACTGCCCAAAAATACAACAATTTAGGATTCTCTCAAGAGAGGAAACATATATATCATATCTGCGAATTTATCCATTAAGTGCATGACTCTCCCCATCTTATATGTGTGCGGAAAGTATGGGGGGGATCTGGCTAATTTTCGTTTGACTAAGATCAAATGCTGCCACTCATCGATTTTGTTTTTGTTTTATTGATTTTGTCTCGACATCTATATGAATTAGTTGGTACCATAAGCTGGGCCTGAGAAAAACAACAAAGAGAGGAATACTGGCCGGTACTAATGGTGTAAGATAATGTGCATGTATGTGAGTGGGAATATAGAAAGTTGATAGCAAAGGAAGCAAGTAGATCCGCGCCTCCACGTGCAACCCGCGGAAATGAGATTATGACAGACTCAATTTTTACTATAGGAAGTAGGATACCTTCATTTCTGGTATTGCAGTATTAGGCTGAACCTACAATCGTGCCTCAAATTTGAACTTCTGCCCGGATTGCGGTGCTGGGGAGGGAAAAGATTGATTCTCGGAAGAAGTTCCTTGGTAGTTTATCGAAAGAAACCCAGGTAGAGCATAGATGGACTAGTATCATATTCGGGAGGAGATGCTTGTGAATCTAATGGTGACATGTGCAGGCACTAGATGTTAGAGAGCACTGGGTAGGTCCAAAGTGCTTATATGATACAGAATCATACAAAACAATATAAAAAAAATAAATACATGTATTTACATCCCGTCTGATGGGTTCGCTAGAGAGAGCTGAAGGGTAAAGTGGAAAAAGAAAAGTCGAGAGACCATCTAACCCTATGGATAGTCTGCAAAACCAATGTGGATAAAGGTCCGAAGAGTGGTAAGACTGAGTAATCACATCTTCTTTTGCTCCTCTAAGATCTGTTGTTTTTGTCTCTCCAATTCCTCTCGTTGGCGCTTTTTGTTATCTATCAGGAGTTGGCGCTGTCTCTTGCTTTCTTCTTCAGCAACAACCCAGACTATATTATGACGTTAGTATCGAATTTCACCTTAAAAAGATGCGTGAATTAGGTAGAATAGCAGGAGAAAACTATCTGGGCAAAGTACCTGGCCTTTCATCCTTGGAATAAGCTTTAAGCCTAGTGATGAATTCTTCATGGTCCTTCAACCTCTGCTCGCGCCCTTCCAGAGATTTCTTTTGAAGTTCCGGGTTGTATTTCTGACGTGAACTCATGAGAACAGGCTCTGCACAAATTCTATCGAATAGAATAAAGATACCTTGAACAGTTCGTCCGGGTCAGGCTGGACCCACATAACCAGAGCAGGACCGCCGACACAGCAGACCACGCCACTACCCGTTGCGCTCTCTGTTAGCCAGGAAACCATTGGAAACATGTGGAATGGGCGCTGGGGTGATATGCATACACTCCGAGCATTTTTACCAATGTTATTCCGCGCATTGTTGCTTATGTCGTTGATGTTTGGCTGACAATTGAAATGAAGGACATGATGAGTGTGGTGGTTGAAGCTGCGCCACGATGGCGGGGTGCACAGCCACCAAGTGCGAAGGATCTTAGTTCTGGGAACCTATCATGCCTAGCGTGGTGCCAATGGAGGACATTGATTGGTACAAAGACACGAATCTCCGAACTCCTCATACGTACGCGCTATTAGGCGTCTAGAGTACGAAGTTGTTTTTTAATTGGGCGAAATCAAGGTATGCTCAATGATATGATCGATATTCCCTTTCCCAATCCTCAAATGATGGAGGTTCTATTCGAATCCTTTACCTGGAAAGGATAGCGACGTTGATTACGCCAGCTGAATTTTGGGCTAGTATGGAGTAGAAGCCACTGAAATTGGCGTCATGAAGCAGGTAATTTTGCTTACCCGAGTTCAGATATTTACCTCAAGAGCTAGTTTTTTGTTATTGGTGTAGCAATTGCAGAATTGTAGCGAGATAAAACGGCTTTAGGCTTTAGGATTATTTTTTCTTTACAGGAGTATTCTGTAAGATGTTTGGTTGCCTGGTTTTGTTCACACCTTATTCTGGTTGGGTAGAGTGTAATCTCTTGCGCCCTTGAATGAACATACCCACACGTTGATATCCAAGGGAAGAAACGTACTGCACGTGAAGCATGCATGCATATGGAATCATGGATGGAGTCCATCCCTGTAGGTTGTGCAGCCAGCACAGCATCCGTAGACTAATGATATCTCAGCCTAGGCAGGCTGAAATAATCCCAGGTTAAACGGGCAACTAGTTAGACTCCCCTAACCCTGATCCATATCACGACACCAGACCGCCATTAATGAAAGATGAAGGACAGGGGTTGGCTAAAACACTCTAGTTACAGAGCATCAAATGGTCCGGGTTTGGAAAAGCCACCATAGGTCTGCAGATGCCTGTAAGCTTAGATGACTTCACAAGAGCACTTCTCCATCTCAAACGAATAAAACACACAAGAAGCCTGACGATACACTTGCAGTCCTGGTAAGGGTTGCTCTCTCGTGGGTGATCCCCCGCAAACAAGGAGAAGGTTCTTACACACCTGGATAAAGGGGTATGGTGACCCCATATGAACGTAATGGACCTGCGTTATTGCATGTCCACGTGCAACATCTGGAAAAAACAATCAACTTCGTGCAGCAGTCTGCGATGCCAGATGCAGCCAAATTATCATTTATTTACCCTCCCCCTCAATTTTCCAGTTCAACAGTCTCTGGTAATTTTGATTTGGCGCAGAAAGAAATAAGTAGTACTAGACATCGGTTTTGGGGGTACCCGCTGAGCGCGAACCGAGACTTCACTACTCATTCACTTCACACTGCCGGCGCTGTAGCATAGCTTATTAACCTGGATCCAAACGAATTGCTAGGGGCCAAGCGCGGCAGTTTTCCATTCCGTATAGGCGCTGTGGGGAGCTGAGCATAAACTGCTAAAAAAAAACTCATACTTATAGCGAAAATCGCAAGGAAGGACCGAAGCCTGGTTTAACTGGGTGACGGCGGACCCTTTCGGAAAAATCAACTTTCGAAGGGGGAATATTAATACAAATCCAATAGTATTACCCAGTGCCTTGGATTTCTTTATACCTGCCTCACCCCACCGTCGCGCATTCTTTTCTAGGAAGGAGGTTGTCTTTACGTTTACTCCTTCAGTGTTGTTAGAAACTGTTCTTTCAACTTTTTAAACTTCGGCGCGCGAAACCCCACCCCTTCAGAGTATGAGCCATCATGTCCTATGAATCTCATAGTTATCGACAGCCTCAGCGGCCTCGCCAGGACGATTACTACAATGGCGAACAAATTCAGAAACATGCGCCACCAAGCATGAGGGGAGCTCCTCAACAGGGCCGTGGAATGCCGCGGTTTGCTAGTCAGCCAGCCGGTATGGGTGCTGGCTATAGAAGTGAGGGAGTGGATGAGGGTGGAAGAGATACTGGAGCACATAGTATGTTTCTATTCCGAGAGAAAATTTTGAGTTAAACTCTTTGGTAACCTCAGCATTAGCTCAAAAACCTCGACGCTCCCCAAGGAATGCTGATAGTGCGTTTCCGACATTTCCAAACTCAACTAAGCGAGCGATACCTGTACCACCTGGGTCTCTGCCTATTGATGATTCTATGCTGCTCATGAATCTTGAAGACAACGCCAGGAGTAAACCTATGCCTAGACAGCGGGGCCCTCCAGGTCCTCATGGGCATATTCCAAGAGCACAGACCATGGAGCCTGAAAGGATGCGGGGCAGGCCCCCACCAGCTAACTTTGCGCGGGGTGGAGGACAAGCCGGACAAGCTCCTCATGAAGAACTAAGACTACAGGGCCAGCGGGAGCCGCCTCCACATCAGAGGCTTCCACCTCCACGAGGAAACATGCCCGGGGCTGGGCCTAACGGGCGTGGTTTCCCACCTGGTCCTGGCAGACCACCTGTTCGACAAAACACTATGGGAGGCTATGGTCAAGGCCAAAATTTTCAGCACCAGAACCAAAGATATATGGATGATCGTGGCCATCCACAATCTGATCAGGGATATGGTAGACTTGACCCAGGATTTGGCCCACCGAAGAGAAGCGTGACGGCGCCCATTAACCCACAATATCAAAATCAAGGTCAATATCAAGCTCCGGAGGATTATTCTCAACATGATTATCAGCAGCAGCAACAACAACAATATGAACAGTCACCGCCACTGGCAGCAAAACCGCAGCAGCAATATACTGCTTATAATCCTGCACAGCATGGGAGTATTAACCCCCCTTCAGCTCCTCGAGTGGCAGCATATTCGCATCTCCAGCCGCCAATACAAGAAGAAGGATACAACAGAGAGAGCGTGGGTGCTCTGTTAGACTCATACTACTATTCTGAGCAAAGTGATGAGTATCAAGAAGGTGGGACAATGGATTATTATGGGGATCAATCCGGATATTCGATAGATCCCTATCAAAACGGCCAGAGCAACTATACACATAACCCTAGTTTTTCCCAACAGGCTCACCGGACTAGATCACAACCTGATTTGCGTGGCCAGACGCGCGGGGGACCAGCTCCGCCAATGCCCACGAATGCTTATGCAAATGGAAACCACTATCAGCACGGAGAACAGTACGACGGGGCTCACGAAATGCCTGTGGAGATGCAAGCAGATATCCCATCGGAAATGCCAGGGGACTTCCCCCCAGAAAAGCCTGTCGCAATGACCGCAAACGGGTTCCCACCAGCTCCTCCACAATCTAACATACCGATGATTTTGCGAGTTGGATCCCCCGTACCTACTCAACAGCAGCAAATACAGCCTTTCCCGCCACCACAGCAGCAAAACGCATTTCCACCACGGACAGCGTCAATGAAGTCTAATCCTACCCCAGTATCCGATGATGCACTCCCGTACCATCCGTCTCCAACGTCTACCCGGTTCTCATCAGATGTTCCAAGATTTTCGTCAGAGGGGCCACGGTTCTCGTCGGAGGCCCCGCGGTTCTCGTCGGACGCTCCACGGTTCTCATCGGATTCTACGAGACCTTCACACCCTGACAATTTACCAGCTCACCCGGTCCCAGTTCGACCAGGACTTCTTCAGCAGCAGGATAAATCGTCTCTTCCAGGCCATCCTCCACCGAGACGACAGTACTCACCCGAGGGTAATGGTGCCAAGGGTCGAAGAGGATCTGCGCCAGCGCCTATCACTCAATTTGACTTGAATCAGGCCCAACAGTCCGCAAGGGCAAACCCTGGTGATCAAAAGCTGCAGCTGCAGCTTGCGAAAAAGATGGTCGAGGCCGCATCTGTATTGGCGGATGAAGGTGGAAGAGCAGATGCAAAGACGACAAGGAAGAATAGGGAGAACTTCATTTTTGATGCTCATAAAATTATCAAAAAGCTTGCAAATTCGGTATGGATTTTCATTTTCATTTTTCACCCCCATCATTACTCGGGTTATGGGGATTATTGAGTTTTTGACTGACAAATTATGGTGCCTTTTTTTCCTTTGTTTTTATTAATTTTAGAGTCATCCTTATCCTGATGCGATGTTTTATCTTGCAGAATGTTATTGGGAAGGGATGTTGGGGTTGCAAATTGATCGCGAAAGAGCATTCAATCTTTATCAATCTGCAGCTAAGCTTAACCATGGTCCCTCTGCTTACAGGACTGCAGGCAAGTGATCCTTGGTTCCCTACTAGTCTCATGAGGCTAACCTTATTTTCCTGATTAGTATGCTGCGAGCTTGGAGCCGGAACAAAAAAGGATCCCCTGAAGTCAATTACATGGTATAAGAAAGCGTCTGCGCTCGGAGATACCGCAGCCATGTACAAGCTCGGTACGTATGCCGATATGCCGGAATGCCGGAAGCCGTTGAGGCATTTCCCCGGAATAATAGTGATGGAGACTAACGGTTATTTCCCCCAATAGGAATGATCATGCTGAAAGGACTTCTCGGCCAGACCCGAAATGGGCGTGAAGCAATTAACTGGCTTAAGAGAGCAGCGGACCAGGCCGATGAGAATAACCCCCATGCGTTGCACCAGCTGGCATTGATCTACGAGGAGGCTGATCCTAGCGATTTTGTCATCCCTGATCAAAATTACTCTCGCGAGCTGTTCATGAAGGCTGCTGAACTTGGGTACCCACCTTCGCAATTTAGGATGGGATGTGCTTTCGAGTACGGGGCTATGGGCTGCCCCATCGATCCCATGCAGAGTATTGCGTGGTATAGCCGTGCGGCAATGCAGGGCGAGGAGGAGAGTGCGATGGCATTGAGTGGGTGGTACTTGACTGGCGCAGAGGGTGTCATCCAACAGAGTGATACCGAAGCCTATTTATGGGCTAGAAAGGCTGCAGAACGGGGCTTGGCGAATGCTGAGTATGCATTGGGATACTTCACTGAGGTTGGGATCGGTGTCTCGGAGAACTTGGATGAAGCCAAGAGGTGGTACTTCAAAGCTGCTAGTAAGTATCATCTCTGATATCAGAGTGCCCCCCACCATTGTGTTGATTCGTGCCACTGACATATGGTAACCGCAGGTCAAAATCACGAGAAGGCAAAGCAGAGACTCCAAGAGCTCAAAAAGGGTGGCGCTGCTGTCCAGAAGTCTCGCGAAAGGCTATCCAGGTCAAATGTGAAGCACAAAGACGATGGTGAATGCATCATCATGTAAATAAATCCCCTTTGGAAGAGTAATTGGGTGACGAGTGATGAATCATGACGCAACCTAATCTCCCCATCATGACTTTCAATTTTTTCATTAGTGTTGTTATCTTTCTATCTCGTTTTTATTATTCCTTGTTGTCGGTGTTGTTTTTGTATGGTATGGGCGTCTGGGTTGATGTTGATTTCTTGGATGTATTACTACTACTCTTATGATACCATACTTTATTATCGATGGGCGCATGCTGATTTTCTCTGTTTTGGAATTGAGGTGGAAAGAAAAGTCAACATCTGAGTGGTACAGATCAATTGAACGATCACTTGTAATTATGTGCTGCCGTTCCATCAGTATTTCAGGTGGTGGATAACCGGATTATTCGTATGTGTTTTTTGAGTACTTTGATTCTAGGTATGCCTAGACAATATCGTTGAATCCTGCCACAAACAGAAAGATTTGGGCCCCAGCTTATGATGGGTTTTGCAATACCCAGCAATAAGTGAGCTTTTGTTAACTATCAATGGCACCACCTGTCCGGTCTTTTATCAACGCCCCCACCAGCTCTGAATTGACGGTGAGTTTACCTCTTGGTCTGATCTGACTGGGGTGCTAGTTCGGGCTTCTTAGAGACTGTAAGTATATTTAATGACAAGACGCAATACTATACTATTAGACCGGCGCCTTGTCGTTAAATTGGAGAACGAAACCTTGGGCATTGCATGTAGTACAAATCTCGAACGTCTCTGAACAGGTTGGCGATGGAGAGAAAAGAGAAGCATGGTTGGCTGTAATATGGTTTACCGGCTATATTGGCCACTCCATAAGATTGTTTGTGGTATCGATCGAGGTGGTGGTTTTGGTGGTATGCCATATATATGTTGGTGGTTGAAGGCGGCATTTGAGGGTGATGGTTCAGGATGCTTGACTGCAAAGACAAAGTATAAAGTTCAATAGCCGCGATGTTTTGAGCTCAAGACGCGCATGATGAAATCTCACACCAGCGCTACCTTTGTAGAGATTGACTGCGGGAGTGAAACCAAGTAGCAGGAGGATGTAGAAATAATCCTAGGTGGATTGAAGACTCCGACGTCATGATCAATGAATGAGGCACACTGTTCATAGATGCATGGCATACGCCTCCGCAAGCATTTGGCTCACAAAGTCTTGATAAGTACGTTTGCATGTTTCCAGTCAGCTCTGCATCAAAGAAATGTCTGAGATTTTTGTCCTAGAATCGATGCCGTGGATGTCGCTTACCGCGCGCTTTGCTTTATCTATCGGGTAGAGTGATCCGTCTGAACAGTGTTGTTGAAGGATGGTCGTGCTTATCCTTTTGAAAGCTGCTCTTATCTGCAATCAGCCTTGGCGTCCAATCCAAATTCTGACCCAGAACACACATGGGCGAGTGGTCTACCGGTTAGCACTCGCCTTCCGGATACACCGTGTGGTTGTGCCAAGTTGTACCTGTCGAAGGTCCATGGCTCAATCCAGGGGTGGGGGTTGTAGCCATGGGGGCTGCCATCAATGCGACCTTTTGTTCCTTTTGTGTACGAAAGAAGCAAATAAATATAAGGACTAGGGCAGTCAGTACCCCTCTTCTTTATGGCAGTTATTATAGGGAATAAATCAATCGGTGGTGACTGTGACCTGTCCGAACTTGTGCCAACACCTGTCACTACCATGGCGACATTTGTCCGGTCCGTGACTACATGTACATATATGACTGCTGCAGCTGAACTCTTTGCCGAGATCAGAATCTTGCAACTTAACCCTACATGTACCTTTTCAGCAGGTCGTAAGCTACTACACGCAATCAATGAATCATCATCATCATCATCATCAGCAGACCGCAAGGCCTAGGGGTGAGTGAGATCCCATGAAGAATATGTCAACCACCATCAAAAAAAAAAAAAAAAAAAAAAAAAAGCCTAGCTAAAATTCACAATACAAGATATCTGTTTCGCCGTTGTCTCCGCTAGTAAACTGCCATTCAAAAACTCCTAAGAGATGCAATATCCCACCATCCCCCAGACCGAGTGACAGTCCATGAACAACAGCGGCACAACTAAGGGTTAGGGGCCAACCGCTGCACCACACCGCACCGCACCGCAACGCAACCTCACCACTCTCACCACCCCCACCATCCCCGCCAAAATCCGAATTCCCCAAAACACCTCCTCCTACAAACAAACTCCCCCCCCCCCCCCCCAGATCAATTCACCAACCATGGGCTGGTTCTGGCCTGACGCCCAACCAAACGCTGACAAGAACAGCTCCGACCCCTTCCACCGCCTCGACCCCCAAGTCCGCGAGTTCCTCCTCCGCGAATCACCCCTCAAGCCCGCCCCCGCCCCCACCAACACCAGCACCACCAGCACCACCACCGCCCCCAAACCCGCAGACCCCACCACCCCAGAAGCAGACCCAAGAACAGCAACAGCGCCAACACCCTCCAAATACGGCGACCGCTACGCCGACATCTGGGCGCAGTACCAGCCGCCATCAACACAAGACGCGGCAAAGTCCGCGTCCGAGCAGCTCACCGACATCATCAAGGCGTACCAGTGGCGCAAGGGCGCGATCGGGCGCGCGGCGCTCGAGAACTGCGCGAACGAGCAGTGGGCGCTGCATGACTGCTACCGCAACGGCACGTTTGCGGAGCGCATGACGGCGTGCTCGGGGAAGAGTAGGAGACTGAATGAGTGCTATGTTAGTCAGGCGGTATGTTTTTCTCTCGTTCTCTGTGTGTTTTGTGGTGGTGGGGGAGTGAGCGGGAGTGGGGTTGGGATTGGGATTGTGAGAGAGGTGATTCTGAACTGTGGGTGGTGGCGGGTAGAACTTCTTGAGGGCGATGGGATACATGTCGGACTACAGCCGCGACCCGGCTGTCGACGAGAGGATCCAGATGCATGCCGATAAGCTGTACCAGGAGCAGGTCAAGCAGGACGAGATGGCGGCCGCGGCAAAGAAGGAGCCCTTCATCTCAGACCCGCCGTCATCAGAAGAAGAGAAGTCTCTATAACATGGGGCGTTAAATACTACTTTACTGGACATGAAACGAACAAACTAAAAAAGAAAAGATGTAATTTGTATCATATCAATTGTTTCCTCTATATATATTCCCCCTTTTTTTTTTCTTGCTCTGTTTTTTTTTTTTTTTTTTTTTAAATCTATATACATTCATAACGATCATTGGCGGCGGCGGATTGTACATATTATCTTTCCCACTCTTGCTATCATTGACCCACCGCCTTCATCCGGGCAGCCTTGAACCGACTGACCTTCCGCTTCTCGCCATCCTCGTTCAGCGGCACCAGCGCGCCCTCCTCCTCCGTCTCGACGAAGCCGCCCTGCTGCTGTATCATCCTTGTGCGCATGCGGTGGAACTCTGTCGCCACCTCCTGCCTGTGGATCGTGGGGTCCAGCTCATCCGGCGGCTCCACCGCTGCACTCGCGTCCGGTTCCCGCTCCTTGATGAAGTCTGAAACCGTAGCCTTGCCCGGCTTCTCATCATCACCATCATCTTCTTCAGCTTCGGCTTCGGCTTCAGGTGGGTTTATCGTAGGCGTTGTGTTCATGAATATCGACCCCGCCGTACCAGTGCCAGCCGCCCCCGCCTTCGCCGCCATAAACCGCGACGGCTTCCGTGCCCTCGGTGGCTCCACGGGCGTTCCCGCTATAGGCAGGCCCGGCGGGCGCTCCAGCACCGACGAGGCCACAACCGACTCCGGCACGATGCGCTCCTGCAGCGTTGGCGCAGCCTTCTCCGGCAGCGCGTTCTTCTCGGCCTTGAAGATGCTCGGCTTCTGTGACTTTGGCGGCGCCTCGCCGGCAATCTTGATGCCGGCCTTGCGCATCTCCTCCTTCTTGAGCTCCTCCTTGCGCATCTCGTCCATGGCCAGCAGGTCCAGCAGCAGCGGGATGGCGTCTTCTGTGTTGGCTGCTGACGGCGGTATTGGAAATGGCGGTAGCTCTGAGGGCCCGGAACGGGGCTGGGGGGGCATGGGTGCGATGTCGAGCTGTTTTGCGAACCGGACGCCCTTCTTGCCCGATTTTGGCTCATCCTCCTCATCCTCCTCCTCCGCTTCCGGCGCCGCAGCCTCATCCGGCATCGTCACCCCACTCCTCGCCGCCTCTGCCCGCGCTGCAATCCGCCGCTGCAGCGCCTCCATCTCCTTCTGCAGCTCGGGGGTAATGACCTTATACGTCGCCCTGCCATAGCCATCCTCCTCTTCATCCTCGTCCTCCTCATCGTCATCATCGTCAAAGTCGCTGTCCTCATACCCATAGTACTCGCCCTCCTCATCGAGATTGATCTCAGCGACCACGGCCCCAATCTCCTGCATGTTGTACTTGAGCATGTCGCGGCGCATTGCGGCGTCGGCCTCGGACTCGCCGGGGACGGACTGCACCCAGTCTTTTGCGTCGGCCTCGGGCGCGTCGTCGATGACGCGCACGTGGCCGCCGCCGTCCTCGGTGCGCGAGGAGATGAGCTTGATGTCGTCGGGCGGCTCGCAGGCGTAGAGCGCGGCGTTGGTTAAGCATTTTTGCGCCGGGGCGGGAGCGGGAGTGGGGATTGTGTCTTGGGAGATGGCTTCGCGCAGGGGCGAGGGCTTCTTGGGTTTGTTTTCTTGGACGGGCTGCTGGGGGGCTTTGGCGGGTGTGGGTGTGGGTGTTGGTGGCGGGGGTGTGCTTTTTTCGTCTTTTTGGGCGATGTCGACGAGTTTTGAGAGGCCCTCGCTGTCGATGGGCTGCGCGGGCGCCGTGGGGTCGTTGCCATTTATTGTAGCAGCTGCGCATTGTCAGTTTCCGGGGTGGAGGATGAGTGGAGAGCACATACTAATGACATTATCGTCCTCGTCGAGCTCCTCGCGGATGTCCATGATGGGCAGACCCTCCTCGTTGACCAGGTCGGGGCCCGCAACGACGAGTAGTGAGGCGAGCTTGGTCTCGCCCTTTTCGAGCTGCTTTTCGACTTTGGTGACGTTTTCTTGTACATCTTTGCTGTAGTGTTAGGAACCAATCGTAGACTGCCCGGAGGAGAGAAGGAGGGGGGGAGGGAGGGAGGGGGAATGTACAGTCGATTCGGTGGCCGACTGTGGCAATGACTTGGCCCAGTGTGCGTCGTTTGCCGACCTTGTCGCCGAGGAAGGTCTTGATCTCTGTGCCAGTCAGTATTCACTCCCGGTGTTCTGTAGAGTCAGGGACAGAGTCAGAGAAGAGCGCATACCGTTCTCATCCACCAGCGTGCCCCCGAAATCCAACCCCACCGCCAGCTACCGCATCCCACTCAGCAAAGATTCCCAAACCCACCTCGGAGGGGGGGAGGGTGCAGAACTCACCATCTCCTCGCGGCTCGCGCCATCCGGCAGGCCCTGCAGCTCCTCGCGGAAGGCCTCGTACTCGGCCGACAGGACCTGCCAGTGCCGCAGCGCCTTGCGCAGCTTTGCGAGCGACTCCTCGAGGCGCTGGCGGTGGCGCTCGATTGTTGGGTCTGCTGCAGCTGGCGGGGTTGACATTTATTTCCTGTTTTTCTGCTCTTCTGTTTGTGGGTTGTGAGTTGTGTTGGTGGTGGGGGAGAGATTGTGGGAGAGAGCGGGAGAGAGAGAGTGGGATAAGGTGCAGTGTAACCCTAGCCCTGTGGCTGCAGCTCTTGATCTTGGATCTTCAACGCGATATCACGACTGCAAACTCACAATCGCGACAGCTCTGCCGCAATCAATCAAGCACTCAAGCACTCAATCACTCAATCACTCAATCACTCAATCACTCAAGCACTCAAGCACTCAAGCACTCAAGCAAGCAAGCAAGCAAGCAAGCAAACATGGACCCCATGAAACGAGATGACGGCACGCCCCTCCCCTCCCCCCTCTACAGCTCCAGCTAACCCCCCGCAGACGAAAACTGCCCCGTCTGCAAATCCTCCAAATACCTCAACCCCAGCATCAAATTCCTCATGTCGCCCATCTGCTACCACAAGATGTGCGAGTCCTGCGTCGACCGCATCTTCACGCAGGGCCCCGCGCCCTGCCCCGTCATCGGCTGCGGCAAAACCCTCCGCAAAAACAAGTTCCGCAAGCAGACATTCGAGGACGTGACCGTCGAGCGCGAGGTCGACGTGCGCAAGCGCGTCTCAAAGACGTTCAACAAGCGCCGCGACGACTTCCCCGACCTGCGCGAGTACAACGACTACCTCGAGGAGGTGGAGGAGATGACGTTCAACCTGGTCAACGGCGTGGACGTGGCCGCAACAGAGGCCAAGCTGGCCGCCTACGAGTCTGCCAACCGCGAGCTGATCACGACGAATGCCGCGCGCGCGGCGGCAGAGATGCAGGCTGCGGCGGCGGCGAGCCGGCAGGAGCTCGACGCTGCGCGCGTGGCGCGGGAGTTTGCGGCGCGCGAGGCGGAGGAGGAGCGGCGCGAGGCGGAGGAGCTGAAGAAGCGGACGCTGGACGCGCTGGCGAGCGGGGACCGCGATGCGGCGAAGGTGATTGCGGAGGTGCAGCTGAAGCAGTCGGGGGAGCGGAAGCGGCGGCAGGCGGAGGCGCAGATGAGGCTGAGGATGTTGACGGAAGGAAGGAAGGAGCTGTTGAAGAGTTCGTTGCTGGCGGGGAGGAGGGGGGAGGTGCTGGAGAAGGTGTGGGATCCGTTGGAGGGGGTGACGGATGAGAGTGAGTTTTATGTTGTGCAGGAGCATTATGAGAATGGGTATGTCTCCCTCTGGGTGTCTGTGGTGGGGGGAGTTGGATACTGACTTTTGCAGATGGCTGGATAATGCACGGAAGGATGTCGCGACACAGGCGGGCGGCTACTCGGTGGGCGAGTACTGCGGGCGCTCGCTGTTTGAGGCCTTCTCCGGGCTGACGTTCTTTATCGACGAGGACGCCGAGAAGAAGGACGACGAGCGGAGAGCGCCCACGTTAACGGACCTGATGGTCATCGATGCGGTTTCGTAGAGAGAGAGAGCATAGATAGTAGATGGCATAGTTGTTGCATCGGTTTTCCTTTTGTCGTGTCTTGTGGAGTACAATTCTGTATATTTAATAATCATTGGTGTTTGGGGGCAGAGGCAGAGCGATCATTGACATTGACAGTGACATGGTGTGGAGTGCGTTGTGTGCAGTTGGGATGGTCGGTGGTGGTGGGGGGTAATGATTGAATGGCTGTTTTTTGAGTGCTGTGGTCAAGTATTCCGACGACGGCTTTTGCATGGCAATTTCTAGTGAACTACGCCCACAACTTGCTCAATCACCATCAAGTCTACCAAAGAGCAAGAACAGTGGACAAGAACAGCGAACAAGAAGAATATCTAAATAAGTAGAGCTAATCAATTACGCCTCCCAACCCCTCTAAAAGATATGTAGCTAAAAAAAACACGCACTGGTATATATACAGCAATCCACCCTTTTTCTCCCCTTTTCTTCCCTTTTCTCCCCTTTCTCTATACAGCAACCCCCCCCCCCCCCTCTACCGACAACTCAACTCCCCCAACACCTCCCCCGGCGGCGCCCCCCCCTCCAACAACCACTCCACCACCCCCCTCCCCCCCTCCCCCCACTTCAACGCCGCCCTCCACACCCCCACGCCCCTCTCCGCCCCCCTCTCCGCCAACATCCTCGCAACCCCCAACCCCCATCCCCCACCGCTCCACCGCAACCCTCAAACACTCCCCATCCCCCCTCACCCCCCTTGCCGCCATCACCACCCGCGCCACATCCTCCCTCCCCGCCTGCAGCGCCCGCAGCAGCACCCACGTAAACTCCTCCCTCTCCCCCGGCGCCCCACCGACATCCGCGCCGCGCTCAACCAGCGCGGCGAACAGCGAGAGCCCCTCGTCCGTCCACGGCGCCGTGACAAGGCGTATTGGCAGCGCGGCGCCCGCGGCGTCGAGCGCGCCGAAGCGCGACTCGAAGAGGTGCAGGAGGGGCGCGGTGAAGAAGCGCAGGCGGAAGATCTCGCTGAGGGCGGTGGGGGAGTGGAGGTGTGTGCGCAGGTGGAGGAGGTGCAGGTGCGGGGTGTTGAGGGTGTGCGTGAGGTGGAGGGAGGCGGCGGGGAGGGAGAGGTTGTGGGAGGACTCGAAGATGCGGTAGAGGAGTTCTGCGGGGAGGGATTCGAGGGGGGAGAGCGGTGGGGGGGCGGGGGGGCGGGTGCGTTGGCGTTTGCGGGCGGTGGAGGAGGTGGAGGAGGAAGAGGAAGAGGTGGTGGTGGTGGGGTGCTTGGGTTTGCGTTTGCCGGGGATGCGGGAGTGCAGGTTGCGGCCGGGGTTGATGAAGCCCATTGTTGCAGTACAGTTGTGTAGCACTGAGACAGACTGTCGATCGATTGAGGTGATTATAATTAGGCAATTGATTGATATCAGAGGTGTCAATGCAATGCCAGCGGACTGTAGACAAACGGCAGGAGCAGCAGCAGCAGCAGCAGCAGCAGGCATGCACAGAGCCGTGAATGAGCGAATGCGGTGTCTGCTGCCCTTATATGCGTGAGGTGTATGCGGAGAGTTTTTTTTCTTTGCTTCTCGGAAAAAAAAATTTTTGGTAGACACCTACATAGTGTGGGTTTATGCAGGTACGCTTGGGGCCTTGGCAAGGACGGGTGATTGGGCAGTCTTTGAGAAGGGCTTCAGTCCAGACCACACGAGGAGGAGGAGGAGGAGCAGAGCAAACGGAGAGGCAGGCAGGCAGGCAGGCTACATGCAGGTATGTACATACGTCTCGGCCCGAGGAGCTGCTTCTTCAATGCTTCAATTGGCTTTGCAAACGCTACAGAACAGGACAGGACCATGCCGATCTTGTAGATACGTGGGGGGGTGCTACATGTATATATCAATATACAGACCAATCCAGCCAATATCTCCATGTCTCTCCATCCCCCCCCCACATCTACACAATCTCGTACGGGTCTCTATCCGCCGCACTCACGGCCACCTGCACCTCCGCGTCCCCCGCAAACTCGCGGCCCTCGGGCGTGGCCTTGAGCCGCGCCCACTCCTCCTTCAGCACCTCGAGCAGCTTCGGCTTCATGACGGCCGCGAGGAAGCCGCGCTCGGTGTTGGTGTGGAAGCCTGCCCGCACGGATGTATGTGTTATTATGCTATCATATCAGTGCCAACTGCAGTTGAGGATGAAGAAGAAGGGACTTACAGGAGATTGTGCTGATGCCGCGCTCGCGCGCGCCGAGGGCTTCGTGGTGCGAGAGCTCGCCCGTGAAGAAAAGGTCGACGTCGAGGTGCTTGAACATGGACCCGCCGGAGCCCGCGCACAGCGCAATCCTGCTGATCCTGCGGCACGTCAATGACCACTCTCCACAGCAGACAAAATACAAGGAAACCACTGCACTCACAGCGCATCCCCCGAATTATGGGCCTCCGTCGCCGCAACCATCACTACACACCACATCAGCACATCACCCATCTACAGACCCCACACCCCAGTGCACACTCACAATGCTGCATCCCCAAATACGCCTTCACCCTCTCCACCAGGTCCCCCAGCTTCTGCGCCTTCTTGAGCACCACCATCCTGCCCATGCCCGAGCCCTCGAACCCGTCCGGCGGCGCCATGCTCTCCTCCAGCACCCGCCTGCTCTCCTCGTTGCCACGGCCGCCCGAGATGCCGTCGGCCAGCCAGTCGTTGACGCCGCCGAGCGCGGCGTCGACCGCTGTGTGCGGCGAGTACACGCTGATGCCGGCCTGGGCGAGGCGCAGGAGGCTCTCCTGCTGCGTGTCGCGCAGGCTGAGCGATTTGAGCGGGCGGAAGATGATGGGGTGGTAGGCGATGATCATGGAGCTGTTTGTGGAGAGGGCTTCGTCGACGACGGCGCGGGTGAGGTCGATGGTGAGGAGGATTGTGTGGGCGGAGGGGGGCGGGGTGGTGGTGGGGGGCGGAGGGGGGCTTCGAGGAGGACTGGACATAATTGAGCTGGTTAGGATTTGGCGTAATTGTAGAGTAGCTATATGTTGTTGAATTGAAGCTGGAGATGTGGCAATTGAGAGACTCACGGCCCGTGTTGTCCCATGACTTGTCGGCAAGGGCTTGTGGATATCTAGTACACCGCCGAGTTTCCAAAAGCATCCGTTAACAAAAGACTCCAATTCAAGTGAAACAACTGCATCATATTGAATACAGGGAATGCACATACAGCTTCTGCACCGAATTGACAACCACGCGCACCAGTGGTGAGCTCCGAACTGTTGCTGCTGCCATCTTGATGTTTTCGATACTGCTGTGGGGTAGATAACTGAGATGAGATCACTCACTTTGTTACTTGCCTGCGGCGGTTACCCTGCCCTGCCCACAGCCAGAGCTTGTTCCGTCGCGTGCACGACCACAACTCAGTCTCTCTCCAATTCTCCCTCCCCCCGCACTCACTCAATCTCTCCAATTCTCCCCCCCCCCCCCCCCCGCACTCACTCAATCTCTCTCACTCGCCCACGCCCGCCATGACCGCCACCGACGACCTCCTCCTCCCCGCCGAGGACCGCCTCGCGCAGGACCTCAACGACGACACGCAGCGCAAATACGAGAAAGGCACCCTCTCCCCTCAATTCCTCTCCCCTCACACTCACAACTAACACCCCCCACCCCCCCACCAGACCGCAAAGTCGGCGAAGGAACCTACGCCGTCGTGCACCTCGGCCACGTGCGCGCCACGGGCCTCCCCGTCGCCATCAAGAAGATCAAAGTGTCAGCAATGCAGGACGGCATCTCCATGGACGCCATCCGCGAGGTCAAGTTCCTGCAGGAGCTGCGCCACGAGAACGTCATCCGCCTGCTCGACGTGTTCTCGTCCAAGAACCAGAACCTGAACCTGGTGCTCGAGTTCCTGGATGGAGATTTGGAGTTTATTATTAGGGATAAGGATATCACGTTTAATGGCGCGGATATCAAGAGCTGGATGGCGATGAGTCTGAGGGGGCTGTGGTGGTGTCATAAGAATTTCGTGCTGCATCGCGTGGGTGTTCTGTCCTCCCGGCGGCGGTAGAAGGAGAGTGGAAGGCTGACAGCAACCCCCCAGGATATCAAACCCAACAATCTCCTCCTCTCCACCAACGGCCAACTCAAACTCGCCGATTTCGGCCTCGCCCGCAGCTTCTCCGACCCCTACCGCGCCATGACCAGCAACGTCATCACGCGCTGGTACCGGCCCCCCGAGCTCCTCTTCGGCGCCAAATACTACTCCTCGGCCGTCGACATCTTCTCCCTCGCCCTGGTCTTCGTCGAACTAATCATCCGGCTGCCGTACCTCGCCGGCGACTCAGACGTGCACCAACTACAGCTCATCGCGCGCTGGCTCGGCACGCCCACGGAGCAGAACTGGCCGGGCGTCACAAGCCTCCCCGAGTACGTCATCCCGAACAAGGACGACATACAGCCGGAAAGGGATCTGTACTACTACCAGCGGACGTTCCCGACCATCTCGCCGGCGGGGATGGAGGTGCTGTATGGGATGCTGCGGCTGGACCCGCGGAAGAGGGTCAGTGCGAAGGAGGCGCTGGAGGGCGAGTGGTTTAGGGAGGATCCGCCGCCGACGAGGCCGGAGTTGCTGCCAAAGAAGGGGGGTGGGGCCGGGGTGGAGAAGGTGGGTGCGGATTTGAAGAGGAGGGCGGGGTGGGAGGAGGGCGGGGATGCGACGGAGGCGGAGGGGGGCAGAGGGGGAGGAAGATTGCGAGGAAGTTGGACTTTGGGGGGATGTAGTGGTTATGATTGGGAGGAAAGGGGGCTGGTGGAAGGGGGGAGTGGGAAGGGGGAAGGGGAATGGTGGGACTTCTCTTTTTTTGTGCTGTAGTTTTAGGTAGTTTTTTTTTAATTAATGATTTGATATCCGTTTTTGTAAATTGTGGTTTGCTATTGACTGGGAATTGTTTATGAAAAACCAGTAATTTAGTAATAATGAAATAATTTTCTGATGTATTTATTGTAGGGTTACAAAAATGCCCGATCACCTCACGACAACGTCGAAACCCACTTCAGATCAGAAGTACAACTCAAAAACCAGGAGAGCAATTAATTGAGTAACTTCAAGTCCCCGAAACGGAGTTGGATGCTTGAAAGGAATGGACTTATCCTTCTGGCCCCAAGGGTCTCGATGTGAGGACAGTCCCGGCTGCTGCGGGTCCATGGAGTGCACGATCGAGGGTGCCAGTGATCGGTTATTTTTGTACATAACCCTGCAATACATCTTCACGGATTATCACTCGTATACATTACCGGCCCCGGCCCCCTGGATGCCGCTACATGTGGTACATCTTCTTACACACGTACCCACCGTAGCTAAAAGGCAATCAATCTATACGTATCCCGCAGAACGTACTACCGGAGCGTTGAAACGATCAGACACAGCGAGACACCACCCTTCTATAGCTAGCTGGCCCTACCGGTATCTTTGTCGATCCGACTCCCTACTCTACACAATAATAATAATATCCCCGTATATAGCACATTCTAGACATGTACGCGCAGAGCTAGAGAGCTATAGTTAATTAGCAGGATTTAAGCACCCCCCCCCCCCCCAATTAAGTCTTCTGGGGGGTATCTCGCATCAGCGACGGCAAGAAATGGGTAGAAACTTATTTTATCATATAAGCTCTCTGGGCATGGGCGCTGTAGACGGCGCGCGGTCTACAATAACACATGAATGCAAGATGACACAGTTCGGTATAATCCAAGCGAATACATCAATTAGTATACTAATGTAGTGGCTGAGCAATGATACACAAGTAATATCGAAGGGTCGGGGGTTCAAGTTCGATCTTTATCTTTGTATACTGCTAAGCTAGCTAGCTCAAGTATCACTTCAGGCACGGCATCCACTATGGGCGGGTGGTCTAGTGGATAGACTGCCCGTCAACACCGAGCGTACCCAGGATACAACCACACACACATAAGGTCCTGGGTTCAAACCAGGGGTGGGGGGGTAGCAGTCGCAAATGTCTTAATAAGTCGCTGCAGTACCTTTTGTAGTTTTATAGAACGCTTTGTTCTTCTTTTTTTACTTGTAGTGATAGCGAACTGTGTCTTTTTGCATCATGTGTTTATTTTGGAGCACGTATACTGAACATTGTGTCATTTTAGGCCTTTTCCGTTAAATGAAGTATAAAAAAAAAGGTCCGCGTCGAAGATGCCGGTTTCTTGGCGCGAGTGATGCATCGTGACGCACTTCTCCAGAAGGAGTTTCTTATGCGTGAGGAGATCGATCGAGGGAAAGAAGAATCCACGAGGCTTGGTTCTAGCTAGTACTATGGCCTACCCTCCTGCAGTGGTAGTGGGCGGTGAAAACTACAAAGCCACATGGGGCCGGGGAGAGAGAGAGAGGACTAGAAGTACTTCTATGTATGGAGGATCGATAGAGGACAGAGGAAAGGAAGGGGGGGGGGATGCTTACACTCCAATGAAGGGAAGAGAAGGGCTGAGAACATACGAATATCTACGCGGTAGCAAGAGAGGACTTTTAGCTCCTCTCGAGCCTTCGAACCTCGGCGGTGCGCGGGAGCTCGCGGGGGGGGGGGGGGGGGTTGGAAAAGAAGCTGTATATAAGCCCTCCCGTAGATGATGCAAGTCGTGGAAGATTGCCATGCATGGTAGCTCAGGGTTACATGTCCACCGCTGACCGGCCTCACTCCCTCAAGTATTACCCCCACCCTACCCCACCCCACCCTACTAGGAGCAGACGCTTCGTCAAGGAGGAAGCTTGTTGCGCCCGCCTCGTGGGTTGGGCGTGGTAACGATTAGATTTATGGTCTCTATGAAGGGGCGGGCATACTTACGTCTCACGGGGAAGAGCGGGGAGGGATGGGGAGGGAGGGAGGGAGGGAGGGAGGGATACTCTCCTAGGGGAGAGGGAAGCAGATAACAAAAAAAAACCTATAAAAACAACTCCCGCTCAACGCAGAAGTAAAGGATACTCCTACAAGGGGATGGGAGAAGCGAACAGAAATGGACGCTCCGGCTTAACGCAGAAGTAAAGAAGAAACGAGACAAAAGCCAACCCAAGAAAGCCAACCCAAGAAACCAAAAAAAAACCCAACCAAAAAAGCCGACCCAAAAAAGACCAAAATCTCACCATCCCACTCAGGGCCTCGGCAACGCCCAGGCACCCAACAGGGGCAGGAGGGAAAAAAGAAAGTCGATAATTAAAGCCCCTCCCCATGAGAGGAGCCAAGATAAAAATAAAAAAAAGCACTCCCCGTGAGGGAAGATGCGGATGGGAAGGAGGGGTGAAGAGAGAGAAGTTGGGCATGTGCCCGCCCGTGAGGGAGTATGGGAGGAGGGTGGGAGAGGAGCCTGTTGGGAGGTTTTTCCGAGCATTGTGGTGATGCTTATGGTGGTGGTTGTGTGGTTGTGTGGTTGTGTGGTTGTGTGGTTGTGTGGTTGTGTGGTTGTGTGGTTGTGTGGTTGTGTGGTTGTGTGGTTGTGGCTTGTGTCGTGTTAGGAGAGAAAGGAAGGGAACGGGGGAAGGAGAAAGGAAGGGAGGTGGAGAATGGCTGTCGGGGCCAAGAATATGTGCCAAGGTTAGATCTAGAGTCTCTTGGCCCTTTTCGTGCTTTTTGAGGTGGTATTTAATAGTTGACGGATCTGCGAATGACCTTTTGCTTCCAGAGAAGCATGCTAAACTGCGTCATGTGAGATCACTCGCACGCCAAGCCCTACTCATGTTAGAAATATAGACGGGTGCGACAGACATAGACTTGATATGCCGGACTGTGACAACAACACATTTGGTCCTCCTTTCTCATCACCTCTTCCCCGATTTCAAGTGCATTCCTGCATGATCGCTATTTGCACGAGGTTTTTCTCTCGTAGCCGGTGCACCGACAGCGAGTGGTAATTATATATTATGTGACAGCCAGATTGTGACCACCACCGGGCGCCCGGCCATGCGGACGACGCCCTTGTGTACCGCAACACCCAGCTACAAGTACGCGTACGCCCTCCTATCGTTTTGTTTGGTCCACGACTGACCCCGGCCTAGGGCGCACCTGCCCATTCCTACCACCCATGCCAGAAACGCCCAACTCAACCAGGAGCAATACGAACCGGATATCACTAAACTATGATCTCCTCACCCGTACCGAGATTGGTTTGCGGGTATCATTTTCAGCTCCAAACTCTGGTTACTGGTGTGGGCGGACCAAAGGCAAATTCACTTCACTGTGTACCTATCTATATATGGAACCAGAAAAAAAATCACTTGTTCAAGACTTTGATTCAACTCGTTATAAAAGACCGACTAAATTATAAAGACCGACTAGAGTAAAAAAAAAAAAAGTCCAGGAATCCAGTCCCCTTATTGCGCCATTGCAACTAAAAGGAAAAAGAAAGAGAACACCGGAAAGCAGAAATATCATTTAGTGCTTGTCCAATCCGAGCGCATTCTTGACCTGTAAAACCAACCCCGTTAGTCCACCGAACAGCACCACTAAAACTCTCACTACATGCAGCTACATACCTTGTCAATTGGCCCATCGTTGGTCTGGTGGTCCTTCTCGCGGCGGGTCTTGTCAAACGCCTCCTGGGTGGTGCTCTTGTTGCTGTCGGGGTTGACGCCAGCAGCAGCGCGGTCGGTGGTGTCGGTGACGCCCTCCTTAACTCTCTGGGCGGCGGATTTGGAGTGGTCGGGAGTCTGCGTTTTAATTATGTTAGTCATCACCGTTTGTCTGTGGGTATTGTACATAGTAGGAAGTGGTAGGCTTACGAGCTCCTCCTTAGCCTTGGTAGAGAAATCTTTGCGGCCGAGGTCAGACATAGTGGTTTGGTTTTGGTGGTTGAGTGTTCGGATTTTCTTTTAAAAAAGGAGTAGATTTGGTTTTTTGTAGTGTTTGTGTGAAGATGTGATTGTGTGATGATGGAGTGGAAAGAAAAGAGTACGATTGAGGGGCGCAAAGCACGGTTTATATAGACCGTCGAGGCCTACATTCAGGAACCAATTTTCTACTTGTCGTGTATCTAGAAAACTAGCTATGACGTTTCAAATCTTGGATATTGCGATGTGCCATGCCAGTGTTGACGATATCCCCACGCGGATGTCATCATCTCTAAACTAGGCAGCCCGTCAATCCTTGGTCGTGGATTTAAGCATCAACTGCATGAGCTCTTCCAACTACATGGAGTAGTTGGCCTAGCTAGCTATCCAGAGTAGGTACATGATACATGTAGCTAGAATATTCTACTTTTAGTCTTGCAAGGCCTGCCCCGAGCACATGTCAAAGAAAGGGTGCGTCGTATGTAAACACTTCTCAACGCAGTTTAGACCCGTGCGCAGATCTCTGTAGTCTCCATACTGTATCATCATGTGCCTGTGCTCCCTCTCAATTGAACCTGATATCGCTCCTGGTTGTTGTGTGCCAATGTCAATGCCAAGGCGCCCAACCAACAAGGGATTCCCAGCCAAGCTTTCTGCCAAACACCAACCACCGTCATCGCTCCCTTGGAGCCTCATGACGTCAACATTACCGCACCGCAAACCCTTACCCATGCCGCCAATCGCAGCCCCTTGCATCCGAACCACAAATTCCAATTTCCCATATCTCTCAAAAACAGGTTTTTGCATCCACACACACATAATAACATCACATTCTTGGACCTTGTGTGGTGTAGGTTATGATGTGTGGCTTTAATTTTCAAACAGGTATTGGGTTTGCACTGGTAATGTGTGGCTGTTGGCGTCATGGGTCGGGCGCGAAGGAAGGAAGTGAGACACTCGCTAAAAAGTTTAATGGGGCCCCTAAACTACCCGGTATGATATGCAGCCAGGCCTGTGATGATGATGATGTAGAGTGGCATACCATTCCAAGTTGTGGCCGTAGCCTGGTTTGGGAGGGTGATAGGGGGAAGGCACTGGCAATGTCATAGAAAGAGCGCGCGGGCAGGCATGTTCCTGATAGATTCCGTGATATAAGAAGACCTCGAGAGGACTCCAGAAGATCTCTTTTTTTTATTCATCATAAGCCATTACAATTCCACAAGCATTATATCAATCGATTCTTAATCATCAATCACAATCACACATCCACATCCAACAAACGAAAAGCCAAAAACCACTCTTCTCACAAACCCAATAAACCAATAAACCAATAAACCAATAAACCAATAAACCACTAAACAAACAAACCACAATGGGTGCCGTCGTTTCCTGCGTACGTTCCTTTTTCTCTCTCCCCAGCCTTTGAAGCACAAGTCATATACTAACCGCCACACAGATCAAGTCCGTCCTCCGCGCCATCGGACGCGCACTCACTGCCATCGTCAACGGTATCGCCGGGATCATCATGGCAATCGTCAACGGTATTGCAAAGTACGTTCTTCTTCCCCTTTCGAATTTGGAAAGCCAGAAAACAGAATCAGATGCTAACATTACAATAAAACAGTGTCTTCAACATCATCATTAACTGCCTCACCTGTGGCCGCACCGGCCGTCGTCGGACCCATAGAACCCACACCCGGTCGACGCGTATCATGTAATAGTCTCCGTCACTGCTGCCGCCGCCGTCGCAGTTTGTTCTGAAAGCTTGTACTGTCTTGGAGTCTTTCTTTTTTTTTTGTCGTTGTTGAATGTGCCGACTTCGGTAGTTCTTGGGATACCATTTCTTATTTGTTACGAATTTCCTTTGTCAACCGCTGGAGTTTTGGGAGAAACGGGCTAGTATTATTTGTAATACCTACTACTGCTACTACTACTACATAAACATAGATGTTGAGAGATTAAATCTAAATATCATTACCCTAAACAAACCATAACTTGCATTCGAACACTGTGCTCTCTTTCCTCTCTCTCTCTCTCTCTCTCTTTTCCTTCTTTTTCTTTCCTTGTTTTTATGCTTCTCTACTTTAATGTGCCAGTAAGAAAAAGAAAATATCTAGGTGTCAATGATCGCTTGTCATGACAACAGCAAAAACCACCTAGGCCCAAGTAAGCAAGCAAGCGACCCAGGTAATGCACGTAAATAAAGAATACTTAGACCTCCCACGGCCCCCCCTCCCAAAAAAAAAAAAAAAAAAAAAAAAAAGGGAGAAAAAAGACTATAATACGAGGGGCAAAAAATCAAACATCAAACTAATCTACAACCACCAGCGGAATCGCCTTCTTTTGCACACAAACTATCTGGACTTCATCTTCATCAATTATGACTAAGGCTGGTACTGTTGGCGTTGGCCCCAGCGCTCCTTCTAGTGCCATTATTGGCTCTGGATCTAGTACTAGTACTGGTATTGGTGCCGGCAGTGGTGCTGGCGCTGGCGCTGCTAACAGGTCTATTGCTGGCGCCGGAAATGGTACTAATTCTGGTGCTGGTGCTGGTGCTGGTACTGGTGCAGGGATGGTAATGACCGGCTTCTTGACAGTTTTATTATAAACGATATCCGGAAACATTTCCTCCATAGGTTTTTCAACCCTTTTACTCCCCCCATAAATGATATCTTCCTCAACATCTATCAAAGCAGAATTTTTAGCTTTCTCAATCCTCTCCTTCTCCCTCTCTTTATCAACTCTCTCCAACGTCCTCCTCACTTCTTTTAAGAGCGCCTCCGCCAGCTTTGGGGGCACTGCATTCCCAATCTGCTTCTTCCTCTGACAGGGACTCCCCTGGAAGTCATGCGTGATCGGGAATGTCTGTAGACACGCCAGTTCCCTGGGCGTGAATGGCCGTAGCCCGCTCGGATGCACATCATAGGGGCCTCCGCTAGCCAGGATCGTGGCTCTGAGCGGCTGATCAAAGTCGACAGGCGATGGTCGGAATCCGCCCGGGAACGGGGTGGGCTCATGACTGGTCACACCGTATGGAATGGAACCTATGGCGTCTCGGACTGTGCGTGGTGGTGTCAACTTACTAGTTTCCTGGACCCTGGGGTGGGCGTAGCTAGGCGCTGGGAAATTGGGGAGAACTTCCCCAGGACTAAGGGAGGGTCAATGATCAGTTATACCATCTTTAACGGCATGCACTTTTCTGAGCCTACCTCGCTGCTAATAAGAATAGTCGCTTTCTAGTCTGCGGAACGCCGTATTCTACACCATGTAGCACCTTCCAGCTGACCGAAAAGCCTAGATCAGTGAAACACAACACCAAACTTCGGAACCACTCTTGCCGATTTAGGATCCCGTCCGTCTGCTCCAATGTCACCACCCTTGGTCTGGCAGCTTCCAGGCATTCTTTGACGCAAAACAGAGATGCCTCGTTTCGGTCATCATCCTTTCCTGCAATTGTGTGGGCGGGTGAATGGGGCTGGCACGGCGGAGAGAGATGGACAATATCCACAAGTAGCTCTTCTGGGGGGAAGGTCACAAAATCATTGGCTGTTGCGTAATATGTTTCACAGTCGGGAAAGTTTCGACGGTAGGTGTTTATCGCATCCTGATTGAAATCAAAACTCCACGCATTAATCAGGCCAGCGGAGCGGGCACCGGAAGACATACCGCCGCCACCACAGAAGGCATCCCCGAATCTATACCGTTTTTTCTGTGATATCGATCGTGGAGCGAAAGCTGGTTGAGGAGGGGGCGGTTCTTTTAGAACCTTATCAAACGCTTCGAAAGCTCCACGATTTTCAGAACTGCCTCGATGAGAGTTTCCTTGAGAGGTCATATTTGCAAGCAGGGAAGGCCTCCTTGAATTGTCGTATATTAGGGGCATAAAACACCCAAGATCTTTACCAAGAAGTTCAAATCCACTAAGGGGATCAAGCTTATCCGGACTCCAGGTATCATTCGAACCTCCAAATGAATCAGAAAACGATCGCGGTGTAGAAACGATAGATGATGCCCTCGAGGCCTGCGAGAATATTCCTGTGAAGCCTGATGGGCTGTTGCATAAATAAGGTAAGGAAAAGGTATTAGGCGTATATGTTCCTTGGAAATGACCAAGAAACCTGCCTGAAGGTGTTCGCGAGTCTACCGTAGCCTCGTACCTTCTTCTTCCAAGAACAGATAAATCACCTCGTGGATAAGACTCAAAGCATGTTTCCTTGAGCTCAATACTACTTCCATTGGCCACAATCTCAGTGTGGTGTGTTTCCTTTATGCCTTCGGCCCGTCTTCCTACCCCAGGGCTCGCCACTTTATCGGAATTTACACTTTTCTCGACATATCTCGGCTCCCTCTGGGGCGGTATATGTTCCCTAGATGTAACTTTCAGTATTTCAGCCAACTTCACAGTCTTGCCCCTCCAATCCTCTCGTAATTCGCGATCTTCAACTTTAAATTCCTTGTCCGCCTCCTGTTCTCCGAGACGCCATATGTAACTTTCGTGCTTGCTAATTACGGTCAATTTCCATCTACAAATTAACCTACCCTCTATCTCATCAACTTGAGCATTTCCATGGACATCCCTGTATTTTGGGAAAGCTGCATTTGTCATGATGAGGATCCTAGTTCTGAGTACTTTCGAGATTGAGACCGTTTCGCTAGCTGAGCTTAGGGCAACTTCATTCTTCTTTAATCCTAAAAGCCCCATGAAGTCACGAGCTCTCTTATATTTTGCGCCTCTAAGAAAGACTTCTTCCTCCCCGTCATCATCGATTCGATTAAGGATTGAGTGGATTCGCAGGAAAGTTCCATCCTCAAGTTCAACCGTCTTCCGTTCGCGGAGAGTGTAACCTTTATAAATCACTGCATCGATTTCTTCTTCCCTGAAATGTTCTTCCGGTGGCGGCAGCGGTGTAGCAGCGAAACGCTTGTGGCTAGGTGTTGAGTAATTATTTCTGGTAGGCGTTCTATGATTTGAGAAGGGAACCCTTTCGCTAAGTAGCCGAAGGTTATCGGATGGGATTGGCATGAAGATAGGGCTTGGAGATCTTATACCGGGAGTTAGGGATCCCGATTCACTGGAACTATCAATTTCCCAGTTATTTAACCCTGGTATATCGAACATGCCGGTTTTGAGAGACGACAACGGTCTAGAGCCTTTGTACCACTCGGCCCGCTCGTTATCGAATGCTATCCGGTTGCTGGGTTGGACATACTGCCGAGGCTGTTCATGAGACTGAAAGCTGAGAGTTCGTGGCTGCATTTTAAAGCTGGACATATAATCATGAGGATCTGGATATATTTCAGAGTCGCTCCGAAAATGGGTTTTATCAGGATACAACGTACACTCATTCTCAACACTTAAGTTTCGTCTCCCCTGGGATGACCCTTGGTCTTCTAGACCTTTCGTAAGATCTATGGTGAGGCATGTCTTTACTTTGCGTGGGGGCGGAGACGAATCTTAAGAGTACCAATGTAAGCCTTGAGCACGGATAAGCAGTAGTAACCCACTAGTACTAACCGGAATCTTCGATATCCTCCTCGTCTCTCCGTCTCCGAGATCCCAATTTAAAGCCGCCTGCCATTCTGGGCTCAAAATTTGATCTCGTAAAGAACATATCTTAGAAACGGAGGTGGCCCGGAGGTTACCACCGACCGTCAGATAGACTACGTGACTAGCCAGAGGATGTGGGTAGTATGACGAAACAAAATATCGTTTTGAAGAAAAGATGAAGCCTTTGATCTGGGATGGAGGACCCTAGATAGTAATGTATAGATTATCCGGATGCGTTGGCTCAACCAGCTCCAGAAGGTTCGAAGACGATCACAGCCTCCTTATCCAAAATATTGCGGCAGATAGGGAATTGAAGTATCTAGTAAAGAGGCAATACTATATCAAAAGTAAAGCCCATGGATATAATGGATACAAAGCAAACTGAAAAGCAAACCGGAAACGGAAAGAGGAAGAAAGTGGTTTGAAGCTTAAGAAGAGTGCGCCCCCGCGTAACAATTTCCCGTAGCCGCCGTTGGCTCTACGGGAATTTAGGCCAACTGACACAAGCACAGACCTAAAGGTGTTTTGCCACCGTGTTCTTCAGCTCTTCATCTCATGCAAATGCAGTGTTGCAGTCCTTCATGAAAAGTCACTCTCCTCGGATTAGCCGCCAAGAACAAACTCATAAGTGTGATTCCTCAACTTAATCAACTAAACCGAGCAATTGCCCATGCACCAGAACCTTCAGAGAACATGGAATACTGCAGTATGAATGTTGAAGTCTGTGGCCCTAAATATTGAGAAAACCCTCTGTATCCGGGACGGAGGAGATATGCTTATATGTTGATCATTGAGGTGAGGTTAAAGCCTTGAAGCGTCTCAATCCTCGGAATGCACATCCCCACGTCAATTAAAAAGCAGGAGTACGTAATAGGTAACACACACCCCTGGTAACTATACTAATGCGGTTGAATTATACTTCTATACCTATTCCACTAGAGTACATACATGTATATGTACTCTACATGTAGGTACATGTAGGTACATGTACATATGAGTGCATGGAAACATCAAATCGGGCTGAATGTGATACCGGTGTCATTTCTCGGGTGATCGAATTTATGTGAGCTGTCTTTTACTGTTCTAATATCACCTCATAGGCTATCAGAATCTCCTTCCAAAGTGTAATCATGCAATGAATCAACAATTACATAATTACGTGTATGTACTCTAGAGTATATCATGTACCGGGTGTTGAGGTAAGTGATCAGAATCTGATAAGTGAATGTTGCGGTAAATACGTGTATTTGTCTTATCAGATTCTAATCACTTTTCGCTACACCCTAGTACCTACATGTATATGAAAAGGGCGAGATTGTATGCCGATCAGTCACACAGTTCCGAGTCCGTACTAACGCCTTCCAAACGCGAGAGATGGATAACGGGGCTGATATGCTTGGCAAATTCTACAATTTTAATGCCATTACTCAGACATACATGCATCTTTAATTTTTCTGACTTGATCTAGGGAAAATAATGCTATATCAGTAAAAAATATACTTGACTTGAGCCAATGGGTCCTTATCCAATTTATGATGCAAGCTTAATAAGAAATACGCTGATGGTGTACTACCAAATCCTGAAAATATTTGAGCGAAAAATCGACTTGCGAAACCCATTGCCAGAGCTTAGACGAAAGAAAAATCCCATAAACCAAAAAAAAAAAAAAAAGAATTCCAAATCCCAAGGACAACTAGACCCGCTGAAATAAAAGGAGAAAGAGAGAGAGAGAGAGAGAGAGAAGGGGAAGAGAGAGAGAAACTTAAAGGGAGAAAAAGGAAGAAGAAACTGTACAAGTTGATATATGATTACCACCTGAAATGAAACGCTAGAGAAAGCAAAGAATACATAAACCCATGGACCCGCATAACCCTGCTGCTCCATAACACCCAACTTCGATTTCTTGTCAAATCCATCATGCATGTCCATTTATTCTTTTAGGATCAAAGTTCCCCTTGATTGATCTTCGCTGGTTGTTCACCTTCGCTCTCGGTTTCGGTATCCTCTTGCCGTACGCCACCCCCAGGCGTGGTAGGTCGCTCGTCATCTTCGTCTAACGATGGTGATAGGGTCAAGGATATTATGTCAGTGTGCGCCGAGCCGAGTCTTTGTCCCCCGAGAGTGCCCCAGCCAGCACTGCTAGCCGAAGGTGAAAACGGGGGTATTCCAATCTTCCCTCTGCCACCACCGCTATTTAGCATCCCGGGATTCGAAAAACCACCAGAAAATATGCTCCTCACATCGTCATCTTCGTACTCGTCAAAGTCGCCGTTGTTTAATGCGCCAGTCAAACTCTGATATTTCCCTTCACTCCCACCAGTATTGCCTGTGCCGCCATTAGTCGCACCGATTGTCGAAGCTGTTGAGCCGGAACGACTCATCCCAGGGCCTTGGGGACTTGGGAGAATACTGTGACTTGGTAAGATAGAGAAAATCTCGCCTTCCCCATTTGGTCCACTACCAGGCTCCGGCGCAAAAGGGTCTGCAGAACGGGATATCAAATCATCCAACCCCCCCGACGAGTCCCAGCCCTTCTGGGCTATCTTCTCGAAAATTTCAATTTCGGCCCTTACAACAAGAGCTGAAGAGTCGAGAATCCGAGATGAGGTTTCCTGTGAAAGAGCCAAAGCTGAACGATAATGGCCATATTTGAGATTATCAAGTTCATCTATTTGTCTAGTGAGATCGACCAGCGCGGTGCGAAAAGAAGATAGGTCTTCGTGTCCATCAGCGGCTGCCGTCGAAGTCCATGGGGAAAAGTAATCCAATTTACTAAACATAGAGGAATACCCACTTCTTTTCCTTTGTCGCGCAAGTTTCAAATGATCCTGCTCACGCTTCCGAAGCTCTTTGCTCTTTTCATTGGCTTCTTTCTTGTATTGCTCCTCGTTCTCATTGTTTTTTTGCTTATAACTATCCAATTCGTGCAACAAAGGTACCTCAAAACCCCTGTACAAGCTTTCAGAAAGAATATGTGTATTGCTAGCGATAAGATATTGAAGACCGCCAGCGTTCATAAGCCCTTCGGCGGTATCACCGGCTCCTTTACCTACGGAAAACCAGTGGGATCAGTGTGATTTTACTCTCTACGGAGCTGCTATCTGGAGGCCATACATTTCGCACAAGATTCTAAAGCAGCGCCAAACGATGATGCAGCAGCAGCTACTGCAGCCATGGCTTTCCGATAAACCTTCGCCGCATCGAGGAGGCCTTGATAGGCCAATATCGAAGCGGCAACATCTGACCTAGATAGAAAGTTCTTTGGTAGTAGCGGAGGTGGAGGAGGAGGCAAGTTTATGGATGCTGTGGGGAAAGCAGTTGAGGCGAAAGAATGGGTTGGAGACGGCGGGATGGGAGGAAGGCCGTGCAGGTTTGTGGTTGACGGAGACGTTTGGGCGGCCATAGCGTGAGGGGAAAGAGAGCGATGGAGAGAAGACGCGGCTTCCTTAGGTACGGCAGGCCTAGGAGGTAGCGAATCTATGTATGAAGAATACGCAAGAACACAGGGGGGGAGAAGAACAAGAAGGTGCAGACAATAGAGACAAAGTTTGAACAAGTCAGGGTAGAAGTTGCGAAAGCATTGTTTGAAGGCTCTCTCTCTTGAGGAGAGTTCCTCCACCACCTCCACCTCTACCCGTCGCTGGGTGTTGGCTGCCAAGGCCTAAGGACCAAGCACGGACGACCATCCAGGGGACCCTAGTATACGCGTTGGTGTGTAACACTGGGGGAGGAGGCCCCGGGGAGGCTGTTACTCTAGAGTACTATCTAGCACTGGCCAAGATCTGTGTACTTCAGATTAGAGTACAGTACTGTAGATATACATGTATTTTCCATGCCTCCTTCTGATACAAGTTGTGTTCCAGAAAACTCTGAATATCCTCCGGCTAGTTAATGCCTGTTCTCCCACACAAACTTTATTCGCATTCCATAGGCCTGGTTTTCCTTACTGTTTGCTTTACCTTAGCGTATCATTTGTTCTCGTTATCTTCACCATCCGCAACAACAACAACGACACCAACAATACCCCACATTTTCTCCTCCTTTCCCTTCACGCAAGACTCACATCTCCACCCCAGCCATGACCACTGCCGCCGCTATCGTTGTGCCCGCCGCTACTAAGCACACTGCCACGTAAGTCGCTCACAACAACATTCAAGATTGCCTGTCACTCATCGTGCGCTAACTTGTCTTATTTCTGCAGCTTTATCTTTTTGCACGGCCTCGGGGATACTGGCGCTGGATGGTATGTCCCCTTCACTTTTCCTATTTGCCTGACCCCGTGAATTTTCATATACCTTCTCAATATGGATCCACTTGCATATAAGTTCATCGCATTTATCTGCATATAAACTCCATCTCTTCTTCCTGTCAAGCCTAACGCTGCAGATATATCTCATTCTACAGGTCTTCCATCTCCGAGAATTTCCGCCTCCGCAGGAAGTTCGATGAATGCACTTTTATCTTTCCCCATGCGCCTAGAATGCCCGTTGACCTGGTATTTCTTCCGCTGCGATAAGAGTCATAATGTTTCATAACTAACTTCATCGTAAAGAATATGGGCATGCGCATGCCCAGCTGGTTCAACCTCGTGAGTAACCTGAGGGGTGGAGATGTTGGTTCTCAGTAGCTTCGAGTGATTGCTGATGATCTGCAAATCCAGTACACTTTATCTGAGATGGACACACGCGAAGACGAAAGTGGAATGCTTTCTAGTGTCGAAAAAGTGCATGGAATAATACAGGAGCAAATCGAGAAAGGAATTAATAGCGAAAGAATAATTCTCGGTGGTTTCTCTCAAGGCGGCGCTGTTGCTCTTTTGGTACAAACCCACTTTGACTACGTTTTTTTCTGTTAAGATTTCTAACTCGGCGTTTCACTAGTCTGGACTCACTTGCAAACATAAGCTCGGTGGAATCGCTGCACTTTCCACCTGGCTGCCTTTGAGCAAAAAGATTGCATCAATGACTCAAGACGCCAATAAAGAGACTTGCATTTTCCAAGCCCATGGAGAGATGGACGGGGTTGTTAAATTTAAGTGGGGGGAAGATACAAAGGCAATTTTGCAGGAGAAGTTGCACCAACCAGTAGAATGGCACAGCTATCCGGACCTCGACCACAGCGCGGATCTACAGGAGATTATGGATATGGAGAGGTGGATGCAGAAGATAATTGCTGATCAAGCGTAAGGAATACATGTACCCATACGACTCATAGAGTCCCTTCTCAAGATATGTATCTATTCCACGATTTCTCGTGTTTGCTGTTGCCGGTCATAGGCTTAGATTGTGTAATGAAGCTTAGATATCTTGCACACTTGAGTAGCTTCAAACTAAACTCATATTACTCTGGATATTAAACAAAAGTAGGACACATTTCCAAAACACTCCATACTTAAAAAAAAAAAAAAAACTATAAGAAAACCGGGAATCCCACCACCCCCCTCCTTTCCCTCTCTCTCCAACTGCGAATCCCACAACGAATCAAAACTCCACCCCAAGACAGCAAACCCAACATAACCCATCTTGCTATTGCTGCCAGGTCATGACCAGAAATGTTGTATCGATCGATAGGGAAGTTTAGTCTTTATTCAACTCTTTCGCCTTAGCATGTTGCTCCTCACGGCTTAGTTTGTTCTCGAAAACCGAAGTGTCGTCTGGGATGACAGGGCCCGGGGTCGCATTGTGATGCTCGGCGCAAGCCTTTGCAGAGTCGCCCTTCTTATCGAAAACACCGGCCTTGATCTGCTCTTCGTTGGGAATGACGGGGTTGGTAGACATGTTATTTGAGGAAGAGTCACCATCCTTCGAGTTGATTCCTGGAACAATAAGAGGCATGCTTTTGCGATTTTTTGGTAGGACGGTGGTAATAAAGTTTAGAGTGATTCGATGTGCCTGAAAAAAATGTTTTCGATGTTTTCTTCCGCTGCAGATGCTTGACAAGAATGGTAAGAAGAGGAGCTTGGGAGGCTTTTATTTTGTGAGATGAGGTGGCTATCTGGAGGCTGAGAAGATGTTAATGACGAGGGCTTAACTACGTCATATGACGCAAATGCGGGGGGTAACTAAACATTGACTCTTGGCAGTACTTTAGCTGGAATGGTCAGGCGATGTGGGATGTGGGGTCTTGCTATTCAAGCTTCAAATCTAGGTTCCCACTTTTAGATCAAGGCCGGAAGCTTTCCAGACAAGGGCTATGAAGTGAAACCTGCTCCCGAAGCCCCGAAGCCCACAGATTTCCGTAGGACAAAGATGGAGTTGTTTCGTGAAGGTCTTAATGATGGCAAGTACACGCTACACAGTAGTATCTATACTTGGACCCGTCGAGGTTTCAAAATTTTGGTTGCCACATTTTCAACCCGGGGATGTTACCAAGATCAAGTGCATACATGAACATAAAATAATATTATCTATGGCTTGCAGTCAATGTAGAAAAATAAAAATAAACCCGTTTTGACAGTCGTTTTCTGCAATAAACGATGGTGGTTCTGCGAAGTGTGTGTGCGCGTCGTAACAGCAGTCACTCCAAGCCGCAATCGATAGGTCTCCGTCACTAAGCAAACCTCCAAGCCCTGCCAATTGTGTGTGAAGCCCAACGTCAAGCGGTACCATCTCTCCGAACACCCCTCCCCCCACAATTTTTCATCTCCAGCGAATTTCATTCCAAGGTAAGTTACTTCCTCATTCTGAAATCTGCATATCTGAGGTTTTGGGTACAAAGTTTGTAAGTGTTGTGTGGTGGGACCTGACTAATTTTTTATTTTTATTATTTTCGTTGGTGGACAGTCTTCTTCTTCTCGTAACCTCACTTAATCACAATTTGAAGCAATGGATCCCGCGAAACTTGCGAAGTTGCAGGCCTCTGTTCGTATTGGTATGTGAAAAATCACTTTTACGGAAATCCTTGGTGGTGGGGTGGAAGAGGGGTAAAAAGGCGACGCGACGGACGAAGAAAAATCAGATTTCTCGCCGCGTTTAATGGGGTAATTAGGTTAGCAAATAAATGGGCGCTAACATATTGAACTTTTTATACAGGGTAAATATTTCCGCCTCCTACCAGAATTTCCGAAGATCATCGGAAATGATATTTTTGCTGTTCATGGTTTTCTTGTTGCAACAGGCGACTGACATTGGCCGGGGTTTAGAGGAAAGGGAACTCCGCGAAGGAAAGTTAAGAAGGTTCACAAGAGCGCTGGAACCGATGACAAGAAGCTTCAAACTGCTCTCAAGAAGCTCAGTGTTCAGCCTATTCAGGCCATTGAGGAGGTGAACATGTTCAAGGAGGACGGAAATGTCATTCACTTCGCCGCCCCCAAAGGTGAGTGATTGATCTTTAGAAAATTCATATGCAATCTACGAGCCAATCAACAGTCGAGATACTCCGTAGTTGCATATGTGGCAATAGTGGCAGTGTTGACGGTTTTTATTATAGTACATGCGGCCGTTCCCGCGAACACTTTCGCGATCTACGGTCGCGGGGAGGACAAGGAGCTCACCGAGCTTGTCCCCGGCATTCTCAACCAGTTGGGCCCTGACTCCCTTGCATCATTGAGGAAACTCGCGGAAAGCTATCAATCTCTTCAGAAGAAAGAGGGTGAGGAAGCTGGTGACAAGAACGAGGATTCGGATGACGACGATATCCCAGAGCTCGTCCAGGGCACCGATTTTGAGAGCAAGCCTGATGCAAGCAAGTCCGAGGAGAAGTCTGAGGAGAAGGCTGAAGAGAAGGCTGAGGAGAAGGCTGAGGAGAAGGCTGAGGAGAAGGTAGAAGCTTAAATCTGTAATACCTCTTCTCAATTGTTTTCAAAGGCTGTATCATGCATTCATATCACGTTTCATACGATTGCCTTTTTCGCAGAACAAATATGAATAAATAAAAAAAAAATTTGATATAAAAAAGGGCCTGAAATACAAACATAATTTTTTTTTTTACTATTCGTCAGTTATCCGTTGCATAAATTTCCTGGATCTTGGAATAATTGTTTATTATTAAGTACATGTATGTAGAAAGTACCTACATGCCTTTGGCACTGGGCTCAGTTTGATTGAGAAGATAACTACATATACATGGTCCTTACCTAGAGTACAATGTGGAAGAGTAGAGCTCCCTAAGTGGTGCTTAGAGTAGATGTGGCGTGGTTCGTATATGTAACTACATACGACAAGTATCTTTGCCCTGCCTAGCCCCTGCCTCAGATACGCATAAAGTACCTCCCATTACCGACATCCAATGGGTATGTTGTTTGAAACAGCGGAAGATAAAGATCGTGGCAATCATTCACACCTGGATAGGCAGTCATTGCCCTTTCTTCCTTCTCAACAATTTCCCACAAATTTATGTCACGTGAGGGGCCTGAGTAAGGGCATATAAGCGGAAGGGATCGGCCCTGTCAAATGAAATTCGGTTCCAAAAAGCCTATGCTCGTGTGCCCTTGATACATCTCTTTTATCGTTTCCTCCGCTAAACCAGCCCACCAACGTATCACTCAGGAGAAACCCACCCATCCCCCCCATCCTCTATCTCCTTCAAGCCCTTCCACCCAGGCCACTCGCTCCTTCTCCAAAGGAAATAACACCTAGTATAGTACGTGGCTTTCGGAAAATCTTTCTCCGCTTTGCTTACTTGAGCGGCGAATTAGTCTGCGCACAACCCCACCGCTTCAAGGTTCAAGGGACATCGCAACTGCAGACGCACGAGCGGATCCGGGGACTCAGGGACTTGTCTGTCTGTTAACCCATCAACAAAACAACCTTTGTCTTTAACATTGTCGAGATGGATCTCCTGTAATCAGTTGATTTCCTTCGGGAAAACTCGTGGTACTGGTCGCTCGCTATATCTTGTCTTCTCCGTACCTGCATCAAAGAATATTGATCGGTCGCGTGCTCTTATTTTTCCTCTATTTTTCTTCTTTTTTTCCCTCATCGTTTAGTTTTTCTTCCCCCTTTCATCTTCCTTGTCCATATTTCCTGTAAGAGCTAGGGAAGGACGAGTACTCTTATCAGCAACCTACTCCCGGCTACAATGACGGCAATGCCTGGCTCAGAAGAGATTTTGGAGGGTTTAGGCTCGAGCTCGTGCAACATCTCAAAGTCTGGAGGAAGCCCTATTAACACAACAACTAAGGCTCAACATATCCAAAGTACTGGAACCATCCCATACGAACCGCAGCCAAACCTCGCACCCCAAAACCGGGAGTCTTCCGTGTCTTCTGGTCTAATTCCGGAAACCGATAAAAACACAACCAACAGCCACAACCAACCTTCTCAACTTGGGGTCCCAGATGGAAACATTCGAGGGCGAGACAGAGTAGTTCGTAAAGGGGAGAGAGCTAGTAGCAGCGGCAGTGACAATAGTTCGAAAAACCGTGAAGCCAGAGAAAAGGCAGTCAAGGCCGCAGAGGAAGCGGAGGAAAGGGGCGCTGAGGTACTGGCCCAATACAGAAAGAATGGGGATTCTCGAGAGTTAGCAAAACTTGCACGCGACAAGGGTATTCCTCCAAATCTGCGTAGGGTATGTGCCATATAAAGCTCTCAATACGGTAAACAGCTTGCTGACATCTGTCTTAGGAGATTTGGCCGATCCTGCTCAATAATCACCCTTGTGTTCTTGATAAGCACATAGCCAAAGAGTTTGTCGAAAGGACTGAGAATCACGAAGATACTCGAGAGATCCCTTTCAAGCGCATTCGACGTGAGCTCGAACGTTACCACCGTAAACTGAAGAAGGTTCCAGCAACGCGTAATGGAAGCCCGTCTTCGAACCCATCTCCAGTAGGCTATGCACTTCCTAACGGAGAGTTTAAGGAGCCTGAACCGGGTCTTCTTGACCAGGCCGCTCTTGATACTGCTGTGGAAGATGCTGTAGTGGCGTTCCTCGAGAACCATGACCATGTCAACTACGCACCTGGAATGGTTTATGTCTGCCTTACACTTGCAGACTGGCTATTCATGCCTCCTAGCGTGGCTGCTAATAATGGAATCGACTACTTTAATGACGCGGACATTCTTTCCTCTTGTTTCGAGAAAATGATGTATGTCATTTTATGGTCCCCCACGGTATGCTCGACCCCTATCGAGCCTTCGGACTCCGTAATAAATCAAAGAATCTCTCACTTCCTTACAACATTTCGGCAATTGCTTCCTGAGGTGGCCCGTTATTTCGACGAGGAAGAAGTGGCCAGCTTCGGTGAGCAGTGGGTTTGCACATGGATCCAATGGTGGTGTGCTGGAGAGCTCAGAAAAGACGAAAAAGGGCGTCTATGGGATTGGTATCTCGGGTTCGAACAGCCTTGCCTGAGAAGCTCTCAGCAGTCAAGAAACAAAGCTGTTCGTGGGGAGTTTGAGGATTCGAGAGGGTCACATCCGGATGAGATATATTATCCATCAGATTGGCATATTCTTGTTTGTGTTGCTCTTCTCAAGAGTCGCAAGGATGATTTGGAGGAGCTGGAACAATCGGAGATTCGCACGCTGCTTAGAGGATTGCCCAAAGTTGATATGGGTTTAATTATTGAGGTTTGTTATTCCAGAATTGTCACATTAGACTTGGACAGTTTTTTTTCTTTCTAACTAGTATCTGTCAACAGGAAGCGAAGTCTCTCCGCGAAGAGCTCCGAGCCATCTTACAACATGAAGAGGAGGATTATGCAAATAGATCGACCGGCAACGCTAGTGACGATTGACCGTAATACCAGTTCAGCGCTAACTGTGAACAATCCATAATGGTATGTTTAAGATATGTGTTTGTGATCTTGCTTTGTGCATGGATGCAACCATAAAAACGAATAAGGAAGCAGAAATAAACAAAGTGCTTTTGAATGAAGTAGGAAACAGGATGGCGCACGCTGGGGTCTTTTGCATGGAATTCATGTCTTTGTGTTTTTTCATTATGGTGACATCGGCTTTGTGAATTGTTTTAGTTGGTCGGGGGTAATCTTTGCTCTGCATGTATGTACTATACTATGCTGTTTAAACTAAATATGGGAGGCAGATTTTTGCTCGCAGTTGATTACTGTTTCGATCTTGAGATAAGACAGAAAAAGAACAGTGCTGTTATCAATGACGAAATATCCCTTTCGAGGCTCAAATCTCTGAATATGTAAGCTGCATGCTGTGGAATGAGTTCGAAATTTGGAAAATCTGGCGCGGGTTGAGTATGTACAGGGCGGGTTCTCTACACTTAGGATGGAAAGGTGGTGTAAGCTTCTCTCGTCATGGTCTAGTAAATTCCAAATCGGACTAGGAAGTTCCCACAACCACAGCAGTCACGTTGCACCCAGCTTCAATCCCACTTCAACGCCAACAAAAAACATCACCAAAATACCCCGCCTTACCAATTGAACATTTTACTATTTCCAACTCCTCATCACTAAATTTCAAGGTACGCTTCATTTCCCGTGTGCTCCATACATCTCCGTCCAGCAGGAAAATGATATGTGTAAAAAGAGATTTTGGTGGGGGATGGTGGGGTAGCGAAATATGCACCCACCCCCACCCTCTCAGATTATACACAACAATCGAAAGCCTCAAATCACAAGCTCACTAACAAAAACTTGCTCTCTACAGCCATGTCAAACCCCCGTATTGAGGACGTTACCGAGGAGGAGGTCAAGAAGGTCGAGGTTGAGGACCATGATTCTGAGGAAGAGTCTGGTGCCGAGGATGCTGGTGCCGACGAGAGCGGAATTCCCGCCGGATCTTCTGTCGCTGTTCACAGTAAGAACGAGAAGAAGGCGAGGAAGCAGATCGCCAAGCTGGGATTGAAGCACGTTCCTGGCATCACTAGGGTCACTTTGAGGAGGCCTAAGAACGTTTGTTTACCCGAGCTCTTGTTCAATTGGAGGAGACCCCTTGAGTTCACGGCAGCTTGTTTCAATACAAAAAAGAAAAAGAAAAAGAAAAAGGTTGGGCTATCAATTGCGTGGGGGAGCTGCGGTCTTTGAGCGCAGGAAAAAAGCTGTCGTGGACTCAAAAATTGACGGTAATACTCTGGATACCTCGAGCAAATTTTGCTAATGTATCTTATGCGATAGATTCTTTTCGTTATCAGCAATCCCGATGTCTACAAGTCCCCTACCAGCGACACCTGGATGTAAGGGCGCACAAGACTTTATTCTTCAGAGGTTTCAATTCTGACGAAAGGTGTAGCATTTTTGGTGAGGCCAAGATCGAGGACCTGAACTCACAGGCACAGGCCAACGCTGCTCAGCAGCTTCAACAGGCTGAGAATGCGTCAAGCATTGAGGCTGACTTCGCCGCTGCTGCCGCCGCCGACAAGGGCAAGGGTGCTGCTGATGCTGCTAAGGAGGAGGAGGAAGACGACGGTGAGGAGGTCGATGAGGAGGGTCTTGAGAACAAGGACATCGAGCTCGTGATGGCTCAGGTATTATTTTCACCATACACTCGGAAAAACAAATTCCCGAATGCTAACAAAATCCTCCCACTATAGGCCAACGTTTCTCGAAAGAAGGCTATAAAGGCGCTCAAGGAAAACGATAATGATATCGTCAATTCAATTATGGCCTTGAGCGTTTAGATAATCTCTCTTAACTCCCCTTTGTCCTACTCAATCTTCATGAGGTAAAAGAAATACAATAAACCATATCTTGGCGTTCAAAAAATAATACTTTCCTTATCGAGGTCTCTTATATGATTTTCTGAATCCGGCGCTTTTGTCACCCTACATCTCTGGTTCTTACTGACCTCCAAATATCGATCTAGAAAACTTAAAACAAAAGCACGGATGTCAAATTACAACCCCTGCATTTTAATTGCTGTTGGTTGTGCCGAAGATGTGCTGAAATTAAAAAGATGCGACTGCTCGGTGACGAGGATCAATCCTGGAACGTGGCTCTTAGTGCCTAGTCGTGGGATTGGGAAAGCATTACACCCTAATTTCAAGTATTCCGCCGTAACCAGATATATGTAATAATCATGAGCTATCACTCGGTCATACTGAGACGAAATTGCCATAAGTTTAAAATTTAAACCTCAATTAGAATTATCTCTTGTCCAAAGATTGGACAAAGTCAATCAAATACTGTTATATAAAAACTACTCGCTCAGGATTTGCTACTCATGAATATTAAATGTTTTCAAAATACATGTACTCCAACTATATATACCCCTGTCAAAAAATTAATGCTTATTTCGTTAAGAGCCAGCATCCTTCCCACCACCAGCGTCCACGACACAACGACCAATCTCGTATCTGTTTCTAAAAAAGCCCATCACCAGATTGTTCCAATCACATAAGCCATAAATCTCCCTTGAAGCTTTTATACATTGATCTCCAACCGCTCTCAAAATATTTATGTCACTTTCATCCAACAATCCTCCTTCCAGCAAACCTTCGTTCCAGAAAAGATCAACCACGAAACTGAGCTGAGCTCCGAGCAAAAATGAATAGTTTTTGTCAGGCGCTTTCGAAACATCTTGAAGCCACCCCAAATACTCCATGGTTGGCCCTTCATGCTTCCGGAAAACGCTGGCATGCTCGGAAATTTCGTATAAGCCACGATTCTCATTTGAATGGTGAACTTCATCCATCCCTGCACAGAGATCATTTTGATCTTTGAAACCATAAAGAGCCCGAAGAATCTTGATGGCAGTCATACCTTTCTCAGTTGCGCATTTTGCTGGATACGAAGGAAGATGCTCGAACGGAACTGCTGAAAGGCGGAGGATCGGGAATAGGCTTTGAGGAGTTGTTGCACCGGAGATTGGCGTGGGTGACAAGAGATCTGAAAATTCCGTTACGTTTGGAATGCTAATAGGAGGCGGTTTATCGATCTGGTCTTGGAAAATCGGTCTTGATGCATTTGGGTTTGAGAAGCTTCGGCCAACAAATTCCAAATAGGCACCCACGGAAGATTTCGGTCTAGGATTCACAAGCTCTTCAATCCAATCTTTCAGCACACCAACCTCATCTGTGGTGAATGCTCCAAACATCCGTCCGCCCCATTGCAACTCTTTTATTAGCTTGCTCTGTTCTGGAGAGCCCCTAACGACCCATCTCGATTCTGTCAGAGCATGCAGAAACGCGAGTGAGTGGGTGTGATACGCTTCGGTTTCCAACCATTGACTCAACGATTTCCCTGATCTACCTCCGATTTTCGCAGGGCAAGCAGCATGCATTGGACGAGCGGTAAAGCATTTTTCTCTGAAAATCTTTTCTACACTACAATCGAGTTTCGACGGGGATGCTGGTGTTGTTGGTAACCCTTCCGCAAGGGTGGCTCCGGCCTGGACTCGCCTCCATGCAATTCCAACCTCGTTGGGCGGAAGCGATTCGATATACTCTGTTACGGCTTTGATCCCCATAGCTGCATGGCCCGAGTGGCCGTTATCGATGGAGACATGTAGGATGAAATAGTACGGATCCAGTCTCAACTCCCGAAGCTCCTGGATGGTGATCAAGAGATGCAGTGGTAAACTCTCATATGCCATATTAAACCCTAGGATCTCCGGCAAGAACTCCTCCGGCCATAGTGATAAACACAATTGAGAAACAGCGGCCTTCCACACCCTCTCCTCTCCATTCGGATTATGGCAATTATCGATAAATTTCCTTTCGTTCCCCCTACCGATGTCCGCATCGATGGACCGCATGAGTTCTTGATAAACCCAAACATGGTTTTTAGTCAAATCTCCATCGCCTAGCTCCTCGCTGAGAATTTGCCAACCAATGCGTTGTGAGGATCGGTTATTCGGTAGGCTATTGAAAGCTCTGTTTATGCCGCCTAACCAAGCACCATCGACGTATTTCACTGGCGCAGCAGTGCGAAGCCACCATTTTGCATACTCAAGGTTGGGGAAGATTTCTCTGGGGCCACCTTGACGTCTTCGTAGGAGGTAAGAATTGAATCTTTCGGTGATTTGTGATTCGGAATTTCTGAAGAACTCATATATGGCAGCTGGCGAATAATCAGGGATTGAAAGGATGCTGCTATCGTCGGGAGCTGCCTCGAGTGCTGCGGTAACAGTTTCGTCGAGGAGAGTTATAAGCCGATTTCGACCAGCATATAGGGCAGTGGGGAACTGTTCGAGATTTTGAAGGAAATAATATAGTGTCTTATCTGACTGGAGAGGCGCATTGGATTCTAAGGTTGAATTTGGCTCTTTCTTTGTAGCTGAGAATGAGTCAAGTTGCGCGTCATTATTGGCGCTCCCGGCCTTAGTGCTCCCAAGAAGATAAAGTTTGCTCTTGAAGGCGTAATAGGCAAGACATGTTAGGAACGCCGCAATACTAGAAGACAACGCCAACAGCATTGCGAATTAACAAAAGGTTTCGAAGTTGGTTTCGAGCAAGGTCCGTATGAATCCTTTGGAACCTCAGGAATCGCATTTTTAAAAACATATCTGCTACTGTGAAGCCGGAATGTTCACGTCATAACATGTAACTGAACTTGCCTTCAAAGAGATGCTCCACAGTACTGAAAGTCCATTAGTATGGCCCGGGACCCCTTTGTGGCTGTGTATCTCGGGACGGAAAATAAAACCGCTACTATTTCTGCTCCGGACACTCATAGGGATTTTAGCTATTGGAGGACTTCCCGTAGTCAATAGCAGATATCCGACTTCCGGGCTCTATAACTTGTCCCAATGAGATAATACTTATTAATTGAATAAAACTTCGACTTTCTCTATCCTATCCGAAGCAATCATCTTTCAATGGTCGATATAATAGAACGGATGGAATCCATAGGGCCATCCCTATAGCCTACGGGAAGTCTCAAGGATACAAAAGGCTTCTCAAACCATATATTCTTTGGCATAGCACTAACCTCGGGACATGAAGTAACCCTATATGGTTGACGTCATAGACTCTAGGTATCACCGTAAAGCTGAGATCATTCCAGCAGAATATCTGTGAAGTGACTTTTAAAAATTATAACTATCCATATCAAGGCAAGGATCCATAACTGCCACCAAGCTCTTTGCCCGCCTAAGCACTACTAATTTTAAAAACAAAATTCCTTACATGCAATTTCACCACGTAGGAATATTATAAAAACTTTATTGGAGTACCGAATATTATAATTGGTGTTCACATCTTCAGACACCCAATATATATGAAACTTGAGCTCTTATTAATCACCGAAACTGTTTTATTGTATTAGCTCTCATTGAAGTCGGCAAAAAAGCTTTGTCAAAAAATAATTGCAGCTTTCCACGTTACAAGTGAAGTTGATATAGTCTTCAAATACTGTGCCGAATTAAGTAAATTTATGGTAACCCTTCGTGATATTAATCCTACAATATATATTAATATACTAGAACCGCATCTAAGACGGTCATGATTGCTTGCTAAAAAAAATGGTATGAGGTGAGCAACCTTTTGGTAGATTCAATAAATCAATGAATTAATCAACCTTTGTATGAACATCATATGTAACTCATCTGAGGATGAATTAAACGAAAGAAAAAAAAAGAAAAAAAGAGAGAAAAAAACTCATCTGAGGCTTCAAAACAAGGCTTCTATTGCATATGCTATTTACCAAAGGGGAAACCACTAAGAAAACAACACCAAATAGCTGTGACACTCCACAGGGAAAGAAAGACGAGATATAAGTACATGATTGGGAGGGGGGGGGGGGGGCGAAAGGGAGGCTTGCAAAGGAGCAAAGGACTCCCACAAAAATAAAAAGAAAGAAACATATAAAGGTCATTGAAGTACCAAGCAAATCCTTATAATTCTCTGTGCCCACTGCGATCACGCAACAATCCAGAGGATTCATTGTCGCCTTCCTCATCCTCGTTCTCCCCCTCCTCTTCGTCAATGGTTTCAAGTGCTCTCCCTTTCACTGATATCATACTCAATATAAGACCCACCCCTGCAATTCCACCAAAGACACCCCATGCCAAAAATTCCCCTTTTGGTACTGTGGTGGCCGCTGTAAATAACCCGCCACTAACTAAAGGTCCTATAGCTCTTCCTCCAGCACTAAGAGTCTGCGCGAGTCCGTTAAGTGTCCCCAGGGTGGAGGCGTTAGGGCTCCCATTTGTAATGAGCAGCATTGCACATGTGAGTCCAATCACTGTGCTTAACGTTTTCAAGAAAAGCACGCCCCCCAATTCAGCCCAGAGCCAGAATTTAGAGCTCGGGTCATGATCATCATAATACCCAACGAACGGCATCGCCCAGAACGCAATCGTGAAGCCGAATAATCCAAGTCGATATCCCCAATGATTTCCAAGCCGCTCTTGCATTGGTCCAAACAAAAGGAGTTGAAATACGATCGAAATTGTACCAACAAACGCAAGAGAAAGGCCGATTTCTTTTGGAAATAGACCGCGTCCGGTGGGTGGCTCGGAAGATACGAAGATTGGGTATAGCGAATTGTAGGATATATTCGAGAGATTGAAGATTGAGTATGTTATTAGGAGGACGGCAATTTCCGGAGTGATGATTGATCGATATGATGGAGGAGTTGATATCTCGGGGAATAAAGCGGAGGTGGCAATTTCATCCCCGAAGTAATCCTCGTGCTCTTCCCCTCGTGATGACGAATCTCGATTATTTGATGAAGTGTGAAGATATCCTGGTTTGGCACCGGCTGTGAATTGCCATAGCCAGACAAATAAATTCTTGACCCGCTTTCCTAATGGCGGAAGAGATTGCGCTTCTTTCAAGCTTTCGTCGAGAAGGAAAATACTCACTAATAAATCGAGTAGTAACAAAACTGCTGCGACAATATTGGGAAGTAAATATGGGTATTCTGAGAATACACCGGTACGGGACGAGTGAACAAGGATGCCGCCGATCAGAGGGCCTGTTATCCCACCAATGCCGTAGACTACAGGAAGGTAAGAAAATGCAGTCGATTGGTTGGACTTGTCGGTTATTTCACCAAGGACCGTGGAAACAATCCCTAGATGCCCAGTTTTAGAAATCGCATTCACAGAATCTCATAAGTTACGAAGAACCGCCATACCTGCATTCCCATTTACCAAACCCATAACAGCCTGTACAGCCACCGCCTGAAAAAGCGTCCTACAGAAGCCAAATGCAAGAAAGCACAACGCTGTTAACAGTGTACCCGCAAGAATAACCGGCTTCCTCCCAATCTTGTCACTCAGTCTTCCCCAGAAAAAGTTTGCTGCCCGCAAATTCCTCGGTCAGCCTACAATTCCCAAACATGTGATTAAACCACCGAATAACTTACTGCCGAATTGAGCTGCAGCAAAAGAACTTGCAATGATCCCAACAAATAACCCAACCTTCCTTTTATCCACGTCCGGAAATGAGGAGGTCATTTCAGGGAGATAAGGTGAAAAACTATTCAGTGCTGTCTGCTCAGCCAGAGATATTACAGCAAGAATAGTAAGCTGTTTTATCGGTATAGGCGTCGAATTATCTGACTTCGCTCCAGTATCACCCGTCTTGGAACTATTATTGTCGGCATTTTGGCTGTACGTGTTTGATAATGGTGATGAGAAGCCATCTACGGGTGGAGGACCACTAGTTGCAGGAGGGGTGGTTGGAAATGTCTGGTAGTGAAGCGAAGAGGCACGACGCTGCATTAAGTTTCTCATGAAGGGCGGTGGAGTATCAGGGCTTTTTATTAAATCCGGGCGATCCTTGGAAATCAATGTCAAGGAGGATTGGGACTCACTTAATTCGAGCCCTTTAGTTGTACTTATGGCCATTTCCCCGGTAAGTGACGTCGTTGGCATGGTTCATGTACAAGGCCCGTGCATGTATCTGCACCCATGACTTGCGCAGGGTGAACGGAATACCCAGCCGGAGACGAAACCCATAAAAGAATATTAAGCTATTTCGAGACTGTATCTGATCTTAGCCTCTTCGAGTAGAGTAGACTCGTAGAGTAGAATAGTAGGTAAACATCTACGGGCTTGGGTTAAGTCAACTTCGTCAAAAACGAATTTTGAATCTCAATATATATATATCATTAAGGCTGGCGTATCCGGAGATAAAGGGATAAAGAGCCTGGGTTGGTACGTACGTACATGTATATAGGTATCTTTTTGTGCGCCTAGCATACATCCTTTCTACTTATCTTGATCGTGTTTCTTGACATCATAACTACATATCATAGTCATGCGCGAGGTGCGAATAACCAAACCATTCTACAGCTCACGATAGAGCTTGTGCATAAGTACATAAAACATAACCAGTACATGTAGTTAGGTTTTACTAATGCCAACACAAACTTTGAGATAATACATGCAATCGAGTGATGATTGGTGAAACCTCATTTAACCAAGGAATTTTGCATCGGCAATAGACTGCGTATGGTTGTTGTTGTTAATTCGTTTATTAGATCTACCGTGTATGTGATTGTTTACCTACGAACTCGATAGTACAGAAGAAAAAGGGAGGGAGGGAGTGGGGGGTGGATTCGGTATGATATTCGAACCCCGCTAATACGTACCGCATTGGTACAGTATTCTTTTTGAGGTGGCGGTCTAATTCCTAAATTCCGCAGTCCTATATATGCAGGTAGTGATGTTGCCCCGTTTTTTCGTACTGTAGTGATTGGTTTTGATTTTTGATTGATTAGGTCAATAAGTATGTACATGCATTCTTGCGATTGGTGCTAATTTACAACAATTGTTCGGCACTCCCCCATCTTCGGTATACCGCTATATACGGGGGTCTATATGGTTCTGGAAACCCTCCTGATCGTATTAAACAAGGTGTCTGGGGACGGTTCGGGACGGGTTAGGGTGTATTTGGGCGGATGGGAGAAAAGGAGCCTCTGCTCTATCAATAACGAGAAGTGCAGCACCCTTGACGGTATCAATTGCAGAAAAAAATAACTGCATGACGCAGACCGTGTCTAAGAACTCCTCAAAATTAAGTTACAAATAGTCCCGGTGCCAAGCCGTCATCATACTAATTTGCTCTTCAAGAGTCCCGGAAGCGTACTTTAGTATATATAAAATTACAAAACACAGCACCTAGTACACCGATATATACCTTTACGCTGCCAAGAATCCTCTCGATTCCCGGATTACCATTTAGAAGCCTATCTATAGTAAGCAAACACCCCTCGAGTATCCAAAAAAAAAAAAATCCCACTTACCGTGCTCAGTGCTATCACCTCCTACTGAACTAGTAGCAGAGCTACTTGCTATGCTCTGTAAAATTCCATCCATATAGTTTGCTCCACTCCTTTGAAGATAATAGCCTAGTCAGCAAATATTACACCCACAGTATGAACGTTCGAGTATGACCACCTACCATTTCTGATGCGTCAAAACATCGCATCCCAATTCTTTCTCCCTCCTCTGAATCAAATCAACATATGCCAGCATCCCATCTTTCTTGAATCTCGTTGCAAGTTCGCATGTGATAGTAGCTCCCGAATGCAATCCCGCTAAACTGATCAACTGCAGAACAAACCCTTCTTTTGCCAAATCCCATACAAAGCTCTTTAGCTGAGCCTCAGAGAACCCTTCATTCAGCCAGTTAAAACTCGGTGAGAGATTATAAACCATCCATTTCCCTTCACCTGGGCCCCCTTTTGCCCTAACTGTTCTAGCAAATCCAGCAGCTTCTTCAACAGACGGTCTTTTCGTCTCAAGCCAGAGAAGATCGGCGTATGGTGCGAAGGCAAGTGAGCGCTTGGTCGCAGCTTGAATACCGGCACGGTAATGGTAGTAGCCCTCACGGGTGCGGGGGATGTCCCAACTAAAGAAGATCTCACGGCCGAGAAGCTCCTTTGCAAGAATTCTAGAATCAGAGAGAGCGCGTTCAGAGGAACCATTCAGGTACTGGCGGATCTGATTCTCAGACGCAGATTCTTTCTTGAGAGCTTCAACAACGGCCTCGTCGAATGTAACCATTTTGTGTTTTGCAACCCATTCGGCCTCAACCCTGTTTATTTCCTCTCCGCTTGCGCCGCCCTGCTCAAGTGCGTATAGAACTTCACTTAGTGGCTTTACATCTTCAGTCACACCAAGTATGAATTCATGGTCCCGGATATCCACAGTGCTACTAATTAGTTTTCCACTTTCGGAATCTGTTCGGGCGATCAAGAGATTTTCACTGCCCATAAGGTCCCATTGGAAACGTGCTGCGATAAGGCGGTTGATATGTTCGCTCATTGGGACTAGTACTTTGCCAGATAGATGTCCACACTATAAAATCGATATCAGAATATGAAAGCAGATATATATATAAGAGCAATAGGCACCTTCTTTCCACCATGAAGTTGATCCTCCAAATGAATTGCAGCCGCTCCATTTTCAGCAAAAAGCTTGGCGAGCTTCATCACAGCTGAAAGACCACCATGACCAGTATCCCCATCTGCGATGATAGGTCTCAAGTAATCAATCCATGGCGTCTTCTTCCTCTGCTCTGGAGTTAAGGATCTTCTAGCATCCCAATGTCTTCGGTCATGTAATTGCTGCGCTTTGAACAACCTCTGCACCTGGTTTGGTACAGTGTTATACGGATAATCCCCCAAATCCGGAGAAACTTCATTCGTACTTGTTAGTACACTTGAGCATGCCCAACCACTCACGTAAAGAACCTCCTGGTGAGGAGCTTGCTGTGTCATTTGTACCGGGTCGATAGCACCCACTGTAGACCAGGACCGAGTTGTCAGCACCTTTCTTGAGAAATACATGGAAATTGTAGGGAGAATACTGGTATGCACAGGTTCTCCGGCGGCTGCTCGCTCCTTCAGTAACCCAAATAGCTTCTTAGCTGTAGTACTACTTGGGTACTCTTGTTTCAAGATTCCACGCTTGCTGACAATGTTCGCTGCGGTGTATGGTCTTTTGATCCCAGCGAAGCGCGGAGTCTTCCACCATTCTTTTACCCCTTGAACCTCAGCCTCGAAGATTGCATCTTCCTCCTCAGGCGAAGGAGCAACATGGAGTGGCCGCGAAGAGTACATCCGAACAAGAGAGAATGTTGCGCCAGGTGTAGGAGTGGTTGACAGGATCCGCGGGAGTGGTCGAAGCACAGGTAATCGACTGATTGGAAAGACCATTTCTGAGGAGAATAACTTAATTTTTGAATATTAGAAAAAATTGCCACAAGGGAAATGATTTAGGGAGCTTATACCTATTCCCAGTCAGAACCCGGCAAAGACGATTTGCCTCGGGATCTTCCTGTCGTAGGCCGGCGTCGGAACCAAGACGCGGGGCGGGGGAAAGGAAAGCACTAACTGAGCTCCTGCAGCTGTACGTAACTCGACTAATCAGTAGGCATCTACATATAGTATAGCGTGTTAGAACCACATGTATCACCTAGCTTAGTAATTGTATATTAAGGGCCCGTTTGGGTTGCAGCTTGCCAAAACTTCTCCATAAGTCAATATTTCACGGGGATAAGCTTAAGTCGATCCCGTTAATTAATGCCAAACGAGCCCGATAGCCTTAGACGTTGTTTATTCACAGGACTTAATCATATGAGCGCTAGCCCAGATTCTAAACAACTAGAATTCCATTGTGAGCTTTAATAATGCCAAAATGTTAATTAAAAACCTTCTATATATATATATTATATATCTCCTAATATATAAAATATCAGGACGAAAAGAAATTTCGCAAATGGCAGGTGATGATTGGCCCAGGCTATAGGGCCTAATCCTACATGCACATAGCCCTAGAGTACAAAGTACTGGATAACTCATCCGAGTCCCCGGAGGCAGGATACTGTTTTCATCTCCGAAGTGGGATATGATATCCTCCTGTAGAGAGATGCCCAATCCTCTCAGGTAGGATGTGATATCTTAACTATTGGGTACTACCCGTCGATTTGCTGGATAAGTTATCCTTTTTTACCGGGATATGATAAGATATCCCCAGTTAAGGAGAGATATTTCATGGGGTGGGGATGTTCTGACTGGTAGGGGATACCTTACCCTTCGTAGGGGATATCATCAAGAACCTAGATTTAAAAAATATTCAGGGGAATCGAACTTAGGCATTGGCGATTGGATCTAGCAGACTTAGATGTTACCAACTATGCTAGTGGTTTAGATACAAAACTAGTACAAATTGCCAATATCAACCCTAGTTTTAAAATTCGACAGCCAAAAAAAAAAAAAAAACCGAATTTGTCTGTCCAAAATTGCTAGGGATGCGAAATACTACAAGCAGGAGAACACTTTATTCTATGTGAAAATCCGTATCCTTATCAGAGGATATTAGATTATATCAACATGAAAGGATATATATACACGGGAAAAGATAAGCTATCCCCGAATACAGTATCCTATGGTAAAGATACTACTAGTATATCCCTTTGTGGGGATAGTTTATCCAAATAAGAGCGAAATCTCCCATTTTAGCTACTTGATGATTGGGGATCCCAAAACGCCCAAATGACTCAAACTTATCTTCCCACAGGATAACCTATCCCGACCCCCGGGATGTGCTATCCCGATTCCTAACAAAGTTGGTACCCTAGGGATAGGCTGCCTACATAAAACGCTAGGGTGTACCTAGAATATGCCGTAACAACCCTTCAATAAAATAATTGTTGAGTTTACTCTGCCCGGGAAAGTACTTTCAAAGGCAAGATGATTCCGGTTGGTAACAAACGGGAGAATATCCTCTAGTATATTATATTTATTTCATCGAAATATATATGCATATTTCAAACGAAAAGGTTACCCGGGCTTCTAACATATCGAGTGCTAACCTGTGATCAAACATTCGAGTACTATACATTGAGCTGACAACAATACCAGTGACCACTCAAAAAAAGCAATTTTTTGTATAGCTTTACTAACAGATATTGTTGTCTTATCAAATAGTAGATCTCCTATACAAATTTGATTCCTCTATTATGGGGGGGTTAGCATGCTAGCTTAAGGGATATGTACCTAATTAATTAACGTACGTCTATTCGATCTACATGTAGTTACGCGTGCTTAGTCTAGGTAGTAGCCGCGCGTAGGCTCTTAAGCTTACTTTCAAGAATACATAATGCTACTAAAAGAAGAAGTATCCCTTCCATGGATGAAACTTGTCAAATTCGCGACCTGGACCCTGCACCACTTAGTAGGGGAATTGTGTTGCCATTTACGGTTGATAACAACAACAGAACCAATTAAGAATTAGCAAAAGTTACCACACAAGGCTAATGATAGCTGAAAGAGGGAAGTCGCGAATTTGACAAGTTTCATCCGTGGAAGGGATAATAGTAGAAGAACAATCATATATATGAGTATCAATAATAAATCAGTAAATGAATATTACGCCGCCTGTATCCGGACAAAGAAAATAGCCAAATATCTATATCAACTAAAAGTATACAATAATAAGGACGTACATGAATAACAGATAAGTCGCGTCGATGGACTCACAAATATTCGAATTTAGTCGAATGACCTACGGATCAAGTCAAAATCTATTTCCGCCAGTCTCGATATCCTATTTCCCGCATTTTCTTGCATACCCTACATCACCTCGTACCGCATTTCAGGTCCAGGCTGATACGGTTTGCCATACGGACCGGTAGTTGTACTCTGGTTCGAGAAAGCAGGGTGTTGAGAATGTTCTGGTTGTTCTGAGAAAGCTACAGGTGGCGGCGAGGTAGGGAGCTCTGCCCATTGTGGAGGATACCCTTGGCTCGGGCTGGTTGCCATGCCGACATAATCACTTTCCATCTCGTGATAATGTGTACCACCCAGTGCCAATGGGTGTGGAGTGTAATATCCGCCACTTCCATCCTTCTGCTGTTCCCAGACACCCCAGTCCTGGCCTCCATGGTGTCCAGGGCCAAGTGGATGCTTTTCATCTGGATCTCTGATCTGTGAAAGATTCATCATTGGCATCCCAGAATGACCATTGCCGTCCGATTCGTTTCCACGATAATCGTTTACTGTTGTCGATGAGGGGATAGGTTGCATGGTAGACTGGGAGGGGTTGGTGGACTGTTTACGACGCCAAAGAATAAAGATTATTCCAAGAGCAAAGAAAATCCCTGCAGCACCAGCTGCTGCTGCAATGAAGACTATTGGAGGCCCTTTCTTTTTACCATCCGTTGAAGAATCTACGTTATCATCCACGACGCCTTGGCCATCTGTTGATTCATCACTTGATAATGCTGTGGCTGCAACGATATCGGGTTTTTCATTTGTGTAAGAGACTTGAGAAAGTTGGAAAATTCCCGAGTCATGGTTCACAAATAGGTATGCAGCTTTCAAAAACCTAATTATCCTGTAAGCCAATTGGTCAACCCGCACAATAGACCAAAGCTCACAACATACGTTCGACCCAGAACAATTGGCTGTTTCGATGAATCATCGAACGTCTTGATGGGCAAATAATGATCATATATGTCGTTTCCCACAGGAATATAATCTCGTAGTGCAGCGATGTTTTGGTAGAGCGCACTTGGAGGAACCACTATATCAATACTGCTTCCTCCACCAGACACTTGAAGTGTGAACGTAATGTTCCCAATATATTTGTCGGCAGAAGCTCCATAAAAGAAATCCTGTAAGGGCTCCCCATATGTTGCTCCTAAAGCATCAGACAGCAGTTTTGCAGTTGCTTTAGGGAGGTAGCTATAGTTCTCACTCAGTAATTGTTTTTCAAAATGAAGTAATTTATGTGCGTGCACTCACATATAAGGTGTGCTAGAGTCAATGATCACTTTTCTAGTTGCGTTGAATATATCATGTGATGAGTCACCAGCTGTGTCTTGGTTGAGAAGAACTAAGCTTTTCAATTCCAATTCCACTTTTCCATCGCTAGTCGTCGGTGCCTTAAGTGACTCGGTTCTGTTATCGATCTTTGTTTTGTCGTACCCGCCCAACGTCAAACAACCCGGAAATGAGTGCACCTCCCCGGTAATGCTAGTAGTATTACTCGCACCACGTTTGGTCTTCCCCGCATCAGAGTTATGGTTTTCTGATTTATGTGATTCTCCACCCGATTCGTCGAATGTTGGGTCTATGATAGAATATGCATGATTCTCAATATCGATACCAACATGGATACCGTAAGAGCGAGTGCCAATCTGGCCGTCCTTCACAAGCCGTTTTAATAGTGTCGAATCAGGCCCAAGTCCTATAAACCCTGAAGTCATATTACAAGTGTCGATCAACCCGAATGGAAATTCCTTCATCGAAATATCATCTCCATCGTCCAACAAGGCAACTGTATCTTTTCCCTGACTCCCGTCCACAAAGAGAACATATTGGTCGTCCTCCCATGTAAACACGTTCCCTGTAGCTGTATAAGATGAAGAGTCTTTGGATAAGAATACCCCCCCGCGGTATTTGACACAACCTGCCAGGGCCGTGGCGTTGCCTGTTGGTGTACAAGCTTTTGGAGAAATAGCAAAAGAGTCATCTGTATTTGTAGATGGATTGAGATATATAGTTTGAGGCGGAGTTCCAATGGCCAATGGAATCAGATAGTCGTCTGTCGAGTTGATCGCAAGTGACTTTGAAAACTGAATTGATATAGTATCTCCAGAAGTTGCAGATATGATACTGCTAAAAAGAACAATCTGGACCAGAGCACTAGAAATTATACTTGAGAAAGCCATATCAAAGCATAAAACGTATTGCACAAATTCTATGGTGAGATGGATGTAAAGATTAAAGAAAAAACTGGACCGTGAAAATCGGTAAAGACAGTAGAGCCGTGTCTTCTGAGGAGGCTTTTAAAGATAAAAAAATACTTATGACCGTAGGTACCTGTATCAGCACTCTACTGGGACCGTGAAAATGACCGAATTCCGAACTTTCCAAATAATTCCGCCGATAAAAAAATGAGCGTGCAACGCCAAAGATCACAAAGACTTGGGTTAAGGAGCGAAGGCTCGAGAAAGGACTCTATTCGTATACGAGATGAGGGCATCACAAGCTTCTTAGGGAGGTGTAAATGCTCCATTGGACTATCATTTCGAAAGGGGCAACCCTCATTGCTTTTGCCTCCCCCCCTGCTTCTCTTTTGTTCTTTATGATTCATGTCTATGATCAGAGCGCCTCCGAAGAAACATCGGACTAGAAATCTCCGCACGGGTGTCTGTGTGTCTCAAAGACAGCTGACCAAGGGGTCTGAGTGTTTATGCAGTATTCATGAGCCACACGGCTGGCTTTCTCAACCCTGCACATAGATCTGTGCTTGTTTCAACCTTCAAAAGGAATCAGGATTCTCATGAACCCCATGGTTTTCGGTGCTGGCAAGATCTGATGCCTATATGTACTCAATCATATATATGTATATATTTAGTATAGGGTAATAAGGACTTCTACAATATATGTACCATGATTTTTTTTTTTTTTTTTTTTTTGAAAAGTGACTTGCATATACGGACACCATCAAGCAGTCGAAAGGATCCGGATATAATACCATAAATCTGTAACAAAGAGAGAGCATCCGTGAAGGATATTGCTGCCCACAAACATCCCCAAATTACACCTGGCGCACCAGAGTTATCAAGGCGGTCGGTGGAAATACTAATCACCTCAATGCCTATTGGTTCAGTGTAGTATACTAACATAGGCTCAACCACTTACATGTAGACATTAGCGTTTTTATAAGGAAATCATTAGCTTGTAGACAGCTAGTGACATGCATAAGAAACAGAGAAAGATACATGTAGCCAGCTAAGTAATATGGGACTAATTGTAATAAAAAAGATCACATGCATGGTATAATTATAGTCTGTGATTACATGTACTTAGTACTACGTACTAGTAAAGCTTATTGCGATTGTACCCGAGTCTTTCTATGCAATGGCAAGCGTTATTAATTGTATGGAAGATGTCCTTTCCCCTTAAGCACGTAGTACTATATACTTGTTTATAGTTACAAAACATATGAAGCTTTTCCAGCCTAATATTCTACTCCCAATTTTCCGAAAATATGTACATTTATCTAGACACCCCCTCACTCGGACAGCGGGTGATGATTGGTGAAGTTGCGGACGTCTTTCTCTAGCCTGGCGGCGCAGAGCCTTTCCGAATTCTATGAATAACGAGATATATAACTAGTGCCCGTAGAATCTTTAGTATCGGTAGGTCTAGTTCAGCCACGGCCGGACATAAGACGTAATCCGTCATTGCGGAGGCTCTACTCTGCAAGACTTAAATTTCGCAGCATGAACATAGCTCAAATAAAGAGATTTTCTGCGAGATTAGGCCCGTGTAATCCTGAAGTAAACTTCAGGATACGTACCTTAATACTTTTAGTATAGTGTACATATACCACCCATCGTTATTCAAGGTCCACGCAGAGCAAAATGGAAAAAGAAAACAGGATAAGATTCGTACCCCATCGATAGATATCTGTACATGCCATATATTCGAGATGCCACTCAATTTCCCCAGCCACACAAAACCCAGATGAGAAACTGCAAGAAAAAAAGTAAGAGGGGGCGATAGTCTGGTATAATAACTAACAAGAAATAAAGAAAACATGGTACCCGAAAAGCCTGAACGACAGAGCAAGGTGAAAAAGTAAAGGAAACCTTGAGAAGGACAAGGAAAATAACAAGGAACAGAAATTCGTAACAGATTACCCAACCGACCAGTCCAAACAACCAAGGACAGAATTGGTTTAATTGACATGGCCCTCACCGTACAGAAATAAACGTGAACAACACACAATAAAGAGCCTACTACTGCCCCCAATGATTATACGATCATAAAATAACCTCCCGCCATTAATAATAGCAATATCGCCGCTGTTGCAAATCCTGCACCAATCTTATCTTTTTTGCTCTTAGCATCAGGATAAGTCTGTGTTGGTTGCGTATCCCCTCCAGTCCCCGCCGCTGGATCTCCCTTGCTGGTGCCTCCATTATTCTGTGTCACGGGTTCGCCAACGGCTTGCACAAGGGTATTCTGAATGACCTCCAACGCACATAACTGCTCCCCAACCCCGTACTTATTGTCCCACCCATCTTGAGTCCATATCATTCCACATGTGTTCTCATCACTCCCATAAGAACAATGATATGCAGCTGCCACTGCGGATGTCCGAAGTTTGGGCAGAATATAGGATGCTGTGAAAGGCGCCATTTTGACGGTCAATGCCATGAAGCGGCCCATATAAGCTTTGAAGGATCTCTGATCGACGTTGCACATGTCGTTTGACTCGCAGCCAACTTCGGCCATTGTATTATTAATGAAGAATACCGATGTTGCGTTCATTATGCCTTCCACGCGCGTTTTCCAAGGTTCAGCCCCACCTGTCTAATAAAATGTCAGCTTTTGATCTTATCGTGGTCAAAGGTAGCAAGATGCCCCAAACGCACAAAGTTGTACATATACGCCGCCCCTGCCAGGAATATTCCTGCATTATATGTCCACTGGATATGGTTCAGCTCAGAGCAGTTCAAGGTTGAGTCTGATCCATCAAAAAGTTTGTAGTCCTTCGACAAAAGTCCGATTGAAGCGGTCCATTCGTAAGTCTTCTCGGCCCATTCAGCGTATGTTGCATTGCCGGTATATCTAGCTAATCTAGCCGCAAGCTGGAAAAAACATCCATTCGAGATTGTGTTTTTATAACCATATCCAGCGTTAAATGTATATATCTGCCAGCGTAGACCTCCGCCGCATGTCAAATTATCCCAACGTAACGCTTGCGAGTTGAAGACACCTTGTGCCAAGGCAAGCCATTGAGGCTGGTCCGCTGGGGGGTCCGGGAAATTTTTTTCGGCAGCGGACATAGCTGAGAGGGCCCAAAACCCTTGATCGTCGTTTCCCTGGGAGAAATCATTATGATGCACGGATAACTAATTTGAGCGCAGAAAGGTACTCACCAGTGATTTCGACTGATTGGGTGGCATAAAGTTCTCTTGTGGTCCAACTTGGTGAAGCATAGCTTCGGTGGTAACGGCGTTGTACCCAGCATCACCAGTATAGTACCAGTAGTCAATTAAAGCCTACAGTTAGCTCCGAAGGTTATGTTAACCATCATTTACTTTAGCTAAATCAATAAACAAGAACATACCCCAAAAGCAGCACCAGCTTCCCACCAATAATATGGGTCACCAAATAATCCTGGAATGCCACCAGTTTTGTTTCCGGGGTAGAACTCCATCATCTTGTACGCAATTCTTTGCGTGATGTCCAAAACCGATTCTGATTCCGCAAAAAAAGGACTGTTAGCCTCCTATCAATCCCCTGGTCAACTTCCGACACTGCCACTCGAGTAGTGCCCGTTACAACTTTGGAAACGCAAGGCTTACGTACGCCTATCATCGAGAATAAGTTCATACCCCGAAATCATCGGCAGCACCAAAAGGATTGAGGTACATATCCTCCGGAGGTTTGTTGGTCTTAATGGATTTCTCATGTTTGTAAGTTCGCTCAAGCAGAATGGTGTCGAAAATGAAGTATAGGGAAACAAACGCAGCCAGGTAGAAAGAAGAGTTTATGCAGATGAGTTTGTGTTAAAGGTACCCGGTCCGAGAGCGACAGGCTAAATTTGGTATGTCTCTGGGGTTACTGTATCAAATTGAACCAGAAAGCGGCAGCTATGAACGAAAGAGGATTTTCGAGCCCCCACGATGGATGATGCTCCCGATTGTATTCTGCTCACCCAAAGCCGGATACCCACGCCTCCGGTACACACTGTTGTGGTACTGTAGGCTGGGATAACTCCTAGAATTACACCTGGACAAACGAGCGAATAAACAAATGAGATGGATGATATGGATCCCTAAACCCTTTCCCTCCCTTCCTCTCTAAAAAAAGCTGCGAAGTATGTAAGAGGTGAAAGTGGGTCGCGTGTAATTTGTGACCCAAATGGTGTTGACAAGATCGTTGTACCAAAATTGGGAGCAACCCCGGGGGGGGGGGGGGGTGTTAGCGGGATGAGATCTATCCGAAAATCCACACGCAGCAAGTATCAGTGTGGAGAGGGGCAAGTGGAGCTGAGCTGGACTTAGAAAGGCCGCGTTTACACTCAGAAAGAAAGCGGTAGCCAGAATGACTGAGCAACAAAAACGAGTGACTTTGACTTTGCGGGGGAGAAGCGAAGTGCGGCCGGGGAAAGGAAGAGAGTCCAGAAGCGAGAGAGAGAGAGAGAGAGAGGAATTCAAGAGGCGAGAGCGGAACACACAAAGCGCACTCCCATACACAAAGAACAAGCAGCAGCGGGATTAGCTTATCTGTTCGATCCAGGCAAAACAATGACGGAGTGCCGCGTATCCGACTGATTCCCCTCCTGGTTTTGCTGTCTTGTCTTGTCTTGCCTTTTCTTTTCTTGTCTTCTTGGGTTTTCTCTGGCTCAGGAGGATTCTCACTTTAAGTACATGTACCTACATGTAAGTACATGTATGCTAGTTTGAACCGCACCCTAGAGTAGGTTCTCATACATACGTCGGTGGCACTCCTTGCTGAAAAAACTTAACCTAATTCCTCTCACTTCCAAGGAGTATCTGGAGACCGAAATAATACCTAACACCCATACCATCCATACCGGTCATACTCACCTGTTTCCCCGCCAGCTTAACACCCTCCCATCGCGTTTCTAAGTTCTAACAGCACGAATAACCCCGGTCTTGTGGTCCGGATGTTGTCTGGGAAAGGGGCTAGTTGCCATCCACTCTGTTCCAACCCCATGCCACGGCGCGGCGAAAATCATCAGTGGCAAGCTGCCAATGACAAAACCGAGAAGTGGTGCCCAAGAAGTGGTGCTAACGGATGGTCAGGTAGAGAATATTTAGGTAAATGCATGTATACTTGCCTTTTTGCGAAGTTCAAGGCTTAATTAGGTCACCCGATAGTGTATTTGTTTGGCCCTTCCTGGCCTACAAGCACACCCAGGAGCTACAAATACCTAGCTACAACTTCCTCACCTTCCTACTCCACCCACCAGATATGTTGACACTCTATCGGGCTTGGCAACATCAAGTTCTTGTCTGCTAAACGCTCGTATAGGTTTTGTTACTCGAGAATTTACTAATCACATTTCTATGGTCAAAGTAATGCAGCTATTTCCTTGTTTTCGAAATTTCGGAAGCTACATATAGTCTAACCCGAGACTTTACCCAGGAAACAGCTGCTATTTTGTCCCGAGTGATTGACTATGATCACTTGCTTTCCCTAGTTAGGAATCTTCAAATGATACGCCAAAACAAGCATCAGCCACATGATTCAACGCTCGCATGTGAGAAAAGGACGCAAGATAAAAAAAAAGGTGGTTGCGTACTGTATGTAGGCGAGTACCTGGCGTGGGTACTACAAGTCGTCGCCCACGGGAATCAGCAAGAAACAACCACAAGGCTCGGCTATAATTGGTGTAGAGTAGATACATAGAGGTACATATAATGACAGTCCAGGGCTGAGGTTGTAGGACTCAGTCTGCAAGCGTAGTGCCGGACGTAAAGCGTCAGCTCCACTCTACACTGTCTAAGGTGAGGGTTAGGTGTTGTGTAGGGACAAGACGACTGCCACAGTGGCTGGGGCTAGGTCAATTGACCAAAAATAGCAGCACAATATAGAAATTACAAAAAGAATCTGACTCAAATAAAGTTTTCCTTTTGATAGTCTTCGATAGTCTTCATGCGTTTACTTGGGCTGTGATGGCTTTCAAAGGATTGCAGGAAAGGAATCTCACAAACAGCTTCCACTTCCGCAATCTCCCATCCCTGTGCTACAGCCCTCAAGTCTCAAGCAACAAGTAGCACCGCCGCCGCCGCCATACCGCCGCCTTTCAACCATTCTACGCAAGCCCACCCACCTACCTGTCTTGTCAGCCTTCAATCACCGGCCCCCCAACCACACTGACCATCCCTCATCAACCTCCCACAACCGCTGCTTTTCCTCCCTCGCCAGCCCTACCTAACTTAAGCTACTACATACACGTACCATCTACTTTCTCACTTACTTGCTGCCTACTCACTCGATCTTCACACTCTCAACCTTCAACCTCCTTACCTACAGGTCGCTTCAACGAGCACAACAACAATAACAGTAACCCTTTCTTTACCACAACCACAACCGCAACCTACAATAATAAAATGGCCGATCAACCATACGACCCCTACATTCCCCAAGGTGGTGCTGGCGGCGGCGCCAGTGGAGCTCCTGGAAACCAAAGAACTGCGGCTATTCAAGCGGTAGGTCTCCATCATTTGATTTCTTTCTCTTATGTTGCATCCCTTCATTCCCTAGATGGACCCCTCATTGTTTGCGACCGTGGTGCCCCTTTTGGGCCGATAATTTTTCCCGGGCGCCACAAGAGGAACCGATATTGCCGCGTAAGCTGGCTGGGGCGGAACCGTGCAAGGACCGATGAGCATGAGATATTCTATCAACCGGCATTTCGGAAGGATATGAGGGGATCGGGCCTTACTTGAGGGAAATACATGGGAGTGCTTTTGTTGGAATCCGGGATGCCGACTTGGCCTGGAGGGGGGTATTTCAGCTGCTAGGGATTCCGGGAGGCTCTACCAGTGGCGCACACCACTCTATGCGCCAGCCTTGACTTTGCAATCATGGAGCAGTGATCAAGAAAGGATCATATGGAATTTTTCGACAATATTGGCTCAGCAATGGTCATGCTAATTCTCATTTCTTTCAACTTTAGCAAATCGATGACACCGTTGGTATTATGCGTGAGAATATCAATAAGGTCGCCGACCGTGGAGCCAGGCTAGACTCTCTTCAAGACAAGACAGGTCAGTAACTCTAAGTACCGCGCGCTCTACTCGTTTCAATTTCGTTTCGCGGAGTTTTCTGATTATAATAAATTGCTTATTTTTGTTTTGTTTAGACAATCTTGCCAACTCGGCCCAAGGTTTCCGTCGTGGTGCAAACCGGGTCAGGAAGCAAATGTGGTGGAAAGATATGAAGATGCGTATGTGCCTGGTCGGCGGGATCATCATTCTTCTGGTAATCATCATTGTGCCAGCAGTTCTTGCGTAAGTACTGTCGTTATCTGAATCTTGAGATGATTAAACCATGCACTAATACACTAAATGTTTATAGCTCAAAAAAATGATTGTGGCAATAAATGACCGATGGGTGGTGGTGGTAGTAAAGGATTTATGGATTACGGGCGGTAAATTGGATGGAATGGGAAGAACAGTACAGTGTTCGTCGACCATCCCTAACACCCAAAACATCTCGAAAATGCGTGTGAATGACCTTTTTAAATACGAAATCAAACGAAATGATTGCTGGGTTCTCGCTATGTAAGGGAGAGAGAGAGTTGGTGTAACCTGGGACCCGGCGAATTCATTTTTGTTGCGCTTCTCTTCTTTGTCAGTCCCCATTATTCTATGCCTTTGTATTTTTTTTCTGGAATCCCCCATGGTTGTTTTGCGGTTTTGATGTCGTTATTGTACGTTTCTCTTTCTCTCTTTAACGGGATGGGAAGTTTGTAGTTTTTTTTCTTCTTTCCCCTCCCTCTCTGTCTTTGTCAACAACCCCACAGGTCAAGTCCATTGTTGGTCAGTGCGACCCAGCGTCTTCTTGTATGTCCAGAGTACCAGGGGAAGTTGTGGGGATAGCACTAGGGGAAACTTGTTGGGGAGGTAATGGCCTGATGACTGTTTCTATTTCTTAATGACAACGATGATACGATGGAAGCTCGATGTCTATCAGTTCAAAATATTCTGCCGTTGTTGCGGGAACAGCTTCTCTTCCAAATATTGTTTTTTATCTGATACTGGGTGATTAGAATTTGAAATATACTGATTTGCCTAAGAATTTTTTGAGGTAGATACATACATGTAGCTCCAACGGTATTAAATTATACTCGGTTTCTGTTCCTAAGTCGCTCCAATCATTGACACTGGCCGAGTAGAGGTGAATCCTAAAAAGGCTTATGGAAGCCGTTATCTAAATGGCGATGTTGTAAGCGTAGGTGTGATGGTCGGACGGGAAAAGCTTGCGGCCAAAGTTGAACGCATACTTAGCTACTCTAGTTATGGACATAAATATATGTAGGTATAAAATTCTTAAGATTTGTAGCCCCCGAGGTTTAGAAAAGCAAGTGAGACATTTATTTATGCTGCTCGTAGGGATGCTTTACGTTAAGCTAGTAGGCACTCTCTTTCAAATTGCTAGACATGCAATTGGAGTGCTGTACGTAATTTACCCTTCACAGTACTATGAGACTCATCGCTTCACGAGAGAATAATGGAATAAGTTAGGGTCCACTCGCAATTTTACACAAAATGGGCTCTGGGGAGGAGGAGCTCCCCAGCTAGTACATTTCAATCTGATAAAGGTCTTACGAATTACCGATTATGACCCCTGTTGATCAGATAATCTTTTGTTGTAACCTTCCTTGTATGCAGTGGTGTCCCATGATGTGATTCTCCGAGCGAGGGAAAATTTTTCTCGTGCATCCTGGATTGAATATTCACCGCCAAGGAGCGACGTTAGCAGTGGGGGATGAGTGCACTTCACCTTAGTAAATACCAGTGGCCTGGATGCAGGGTTGGGAGGGGTCCAAGTAGTGAATGTGAACGAGTGAGTTCGCGAGTGAGCCGGAGAAATTGATGATATCTGTACTCTAAAATCAAGAGTTAAATGGTTCTCACTAGCGATATTAATTCTTATTACTTCAAGCTGTTTAGATTACTCGGGCTATTGGCACTAAATTGATCTCTCTAGGTACCAAAGATCGTGGTCTCGTAGCGCTCAAAGAAATGCCCATCCCGCTCTGCCCCGCCATCCATCACCATCATCACTAAAGGTGGCCTTTCTTTTTCCCTCCCTAATTCCTTTTTATTCGAGGGTTTCTTGACTAGTTCTACTATTTCTTCCTCTTCTTCTCCCCCGTTCCTTCCTTCTTGTCTCCTCTTCCTGCCATTGATCTCTACTCAATTGAAACCTCAAAAATATGTTGGCTAGCCTTCGCAGCGTCTCCCGGCGGGCCCTTAAGTCCTCCACCCACACCCCACGTCTCTTACATCCCACCACTGCTATCGCTCTTCGTAAACTCAATGCATCTTTTGCAACATCGGCTAGTGATTCGCCCTCCCTCGCATTGTCAACACGTTCTACAGTTATTCAACTTTTAAACAATATCGGGTCCAAGCGTGAGGTCGAGCAATACCTCTCTCACTTCACATCTGTTCAGTCCCAGCAGTTCGCCGTTATTAAGGTCGGTGGTGCCATCATTACCGAGCACCTTGATTCACTCGCATCATCCCTTTCCTTCTTGAATCATGTTGGGCTTTTCCCTGTCGTTGTTCACGGCGCTGGTCCACAGTTGAATAAGATGCTCGAGGATGCTGGTGTGGAACCTCAGTTCGAAGATGGGATTCGTGTGACAGATGGAAAAACACTCGCTCTCGCTCGTCAGCTATTTTTGAAAGAGAATCTAAAGCTTGTAGAGGCTTTAGAGAAGTTGGGTGTTAGGGCAAGGCCTATCACTGGCGGTGTATTCCAGGCTGAATATCTCGACAAAGAAAAGTATGACCTCGTTGGCAAGATTACAAAGGTCGACAAGCGTCCCATCGAGGCTGCCATCGAGGCTGGATGTCTTCCTATTCTTACTTCGACTGCTGAAACCGTCGAGGGCCAGCTTCTAAACGTCAATGCTGATATCGCGGCTGGTGAGCTCGCCCGCGAACTGCAGCCATTGAAGATTGTTTATTTGTCTGAAAAGGGTGGTTTATTCCACGGAGAGACAAATGAAAAGATCTCAACCATCAATTTGGACGAGGAATACGACGATTTTATGAGTCAGTCGTGGTGCAAGTACGGCACCAGGCTGAAGATCAAAGAGATTAAGACCTTATTGGACGATCTGCCAAGAAGCTCCAGTGTTGCCATCATTGCAACTGCGGATCTTCAGAAGGAATTATTCACGGACACCGGTGCTGGAACTTTAATTAGACGTGGAAACAGACTTACGGCCAAGACTAGCGTGTCGGAGTTTGGGGATAAGGCCAAGCTAGTGGAAGTATTGGGTAGGGCAAAAGATGAGCCGGAAGGTTATTTGAACTTCTTGGGCAAAAATTCCTTCAAAGCGTATGCCGACGAACCACTTGAGGCTTTGGCTGTTGTTCTTCCCGCTAAGAACTCTCAAGAACCTGCTCTACTTGATGTATTCACATCTTCGAAGGCTGGATGGTTGGGAAATGTCGCAGACAATGTTTTCAATTCAATCAAGAAGGAATATCCTAAGCTTATGTGGACTGTCAAGCATGGTGATGAGCAATTAGGATGGCACTTCGACAAGGCCCAGGGAAGCTTTAGTCACCACGGCAAGGTTCTCTTTTGGTATGGGCTCGAGGGGCCGGAGCAAGTTCAGGCTTTAATTGGGAAGTTTATTTCCCAGGCTGAGGTTGCTGAGCCATTGAACTCCGGGACTGTTACTGGTATTAGGCAACAAGCCAGGGCATTCTCCACTCTTGGAAGATCGAATGCATGGTCTGCTCCCAGGCAAAAGATCATTGGAAGGCGTGGATTCGCGTCTACTACTAACCCGAACCCTCCCTTGGGTAAGGGAAATAAGACCAATGATAAACCTTCTAGAGTTGCTCTTATCGGTGCCAGAGGGTACACCGGTCAGGCTTTAATCAGCCTCATCAACTCCCACCCGCATCTTGATCTTACGCATGTTTCCTCCCGTGAATTGGCTGGCAAGAAGTTGGAGGGGTACAACAAGGGTGACAAGGAAATCATATACCAGAACTTGACTGTCGAGGATATCAGGAGAATGGAGGACAACAATGAGGTTGACTGTTGGGTGATGGCTCTTCCTAACGGCGTCTGCAAGCCATTTGTTGATGCCGTTGAGGACTCTGGTAATGGAAAGAGCGTCATCGTGGATTTGAGCGCAGACTACAGGTTCAATGATAAATGGACTTATGGACTGCCTGGTAAGCCGAAATCCTCTTTTTTCTAATAGGATTGAGCTAAAAACCACGCAGAATTGAACGATCGTTCGGCCCTAAGCAGTGCTACTCGAATCTCGAACCCTGGATGCTACGCTACTGCCGCGCAGATAGCCATTGCACCCCTCATCCCATTCCTTGGGGGTGAACCTACCGTGTTCGGAGTTTCTGGATACTCTGGTGCTGGCACCAAACCTAGCCCAAAGAACGATGTTAAGCAGCTCGCTGACAATCTGATGCCGTACTCTTTGACGGACCATATTCACGAGCGTGAAATTTCTAGGCGACTGGGCGTTCCTGTTTCTTTCATCCCACATGTCGCTGTTTGGTTTCAAGGAATTCATCACACCGTTAATATTCCGTTGAGCAAGGAGATGACTAGTAGAGAGATTAGAAATTTGTACCAAGATAGGTATGCCGGCGAGAAGCTTATCAAGGTTGTCGGAGAGGCTCCCCTTGTTAAGAACATCTCTGGAAAGCACGGGGTGGTATGTTTTTTTTTACTCCATAAGCCTCCTTTATATCGGTAGTTATACTAATTGTTTATTAGGAGGTTGGTGGATTTGGTGTTCATTCCTCTGGCAAGAGGGTTGTTGTTTGTGCAACCATCGATAACCTACTCAAAGGAGCTGCGACCCAATGCCTGCAGAACATGAACCTTGCCCTTGGATACAGCGAGTATGAGGGTATTCCCATGGATTGAATGGAAAATATAATGGCTCGTTTTAATAAAGCAGTGGCATTTGCTGGGGGAGTTCGTTGTTGCTTGAAACATTTTTTATCTTTAAATACGAGTACCAGCTTGTGGAATAAAGAAAAGCGTCCGCTCTTATTTTTTTCTTTTTTGTCTCATGTTGGTTTTTTGCACTAAGTTTTTTCCCGGGGTTTGAAAGTTTGCTGGCTGGCTGGTTCGGTGGTGGTGGTTTTTGGGAATTCGGTTTACGGGGGGATGTATATATCACGAGTCTTAAATGTTTGCTGGCATTTGTCTTCTAAGTTTCAGTGGTACATGTAGTTAGTGATACCTATTGATTGTATGTATGTAAAGGATCTATTTACTTACGAATGCTGTTTAAAATTAGTGACCTCGGATCAGATAACGGAAGGACGGACGGAGTAGCTTCTACGCATGGCGCGCGGAGTGGCATTGTGGGGAACATGGGGAAGGGTTAGGGCGCAATGCGGGGCCGAGCGTCGACTACCTACGGTTACTGGTAGCCGTATTTTCCGGGAGCTCAGGTTAACTCCATACCTCCATTGGCCCGTCCGAAGTGCACAGCGTGTCTTATTTGCTTTTTTATCACCAACCCTGTATTTAAATCTACCTGAGTTCCATCTTCCACCCAACAATTGAATTGCATTCTCTTGACGATTATCATTGACCTATCTATACCTTCCCTGACTACGCAAAGATGTCCCTCAGCATTAGGTCTTCAAGAGCTCTTCGGAGCTTCCATGTATGCCCAATCTTGCATCAACACAGTATTTTAAAGAAAAGTTAAGCTAATAGATTCATTATTTAATCCACAGCTTTCATCTCCCCTTCGTCCACTGTGTCAGGCCAGTAGAGGATATGCATCTGCGCCAGAGAAAGACTTGAAGGAGACCCTTAGAGAAATCATCCCTGAGAAGCGTGAGAAGTTCAAAAAGTTTAAGGCAGACTATGGCCAGAAGTCATTAGGCGAGGTTAAGGTCGAGAACGCTATTGGCGGAATGCGGTTTGTCCCACAAATCCTGATCACGTTAATTCTGTGGCATGAAACTAAAGGTAAAATTGTACAGAGGGGTCAAAGGTATGATCTGGGAAGGTTCCGTTCTCGATGCCAACGAAGGTATCCGCTTCCACGGAAAGACAATCAAAGAATGCCAGAGCATCCTCCCCAAAGGAAAGACTGGGCGAGAAATGCTTCCGGAGGGAATGTTCTGGCTTCTCCTTACCGGACAGGTTCCAACTGAGGGGCAGGTACGAGCTCTTAGCAGGACTTTTGCCGAAAATGCGGAACTTCCAGAGTTCGTTGTAAAAATGATGGATGCTTTCCCAACAACTTTACACCCAATGACGCAGATGAGCATTGCTGTATCAGCACTGAACCATGACTCAAAGTTTGCAAGAATGTATGAGAAGGGATTGAACAAGGCAGATTACTGGGAGCCCACTTTCGATGATTCAATCCAGTTACTTGCTAAGCTTCCTACTATCGCTGCGAAAATTTACCAAAACACCTATAACGGTGGTGGACCTCTTCCTAGATCTGTTGACCTGTCGCAAGACTGGTCATGGAACTTTGCAGCTATGCTCGGAAAGTCAGATAGCGAGGGTTTTGTTGATCTTCTACGTCTCTACCTGGCACTTCATGGTGATCATGAAGGCGGAAATGTTTCAGCACACGCTACACATCTCGTTGGGTCCGCCTTGAGTGACCCATTCCTGTCTTACTCTGCTGGTCTCCAGGGTCTCGCAGGACCTCTTCACGGTCTCGCAGCCCAAGAAGTACTAAGGTTCATCCAGAAGATGAAGACGAAAATCGGAAATAGCTACTCGGACTCAGATGTTAAAGATTATCTGTGGAGCCTGTTGAAGAGTGGTCAAGTAATCCCTGGGTATGGACACGCTGTTCTGAGGAAGCCCGACCCTAGGTTCCAAGCTTTGATGGACTTCGCAGCCTCAAGGAAAGAGGTGTCGGAGGGCGAAGTGTTTAAGCTTGTTAAAAAGAATAGTGATATCGCCCCAGGTGTGCTGCTGGAGCACGGAAAGACAAAGGTATAGAACCTCCCTTTAAACCTTTTGATGACCGTAGATGCTAATCTGGCTCATAAGAACCCACATCCGAACGTTGACTCTGCATCCGGGGTACTCTTCCACCACTACGGTATTAACCAAGATCTTTACTACACTGTGACTTTCGGTGTCTCAAGAGGGTTGGGCCCCTTGGCACAATTAATTTGGGATAGGGCTCTTGGACTGCCGATTGAAAGGCCAAAGAGTTTGAGTATGGAGGCCATGATTAAGTCATTTTGAGCGTAAAAGACGCCCATTCAGTTTTGATTAGCGATTTGTTTGAAATTAAAAGAACTTCCTGTATTTACTTGCGTAAACTCGCCCTCTTTTGTTCTAGAGCCACACCGCTACATTAAGGTAATCGATATGAGGTTGAATCATGATAGATCACTCGTTTTATATTTGCCAGCTTCACTGAGTTGGAATGATGTAGCATGTATTTCCCCGAGCGTCTCCCATCCCTTGCTTGAGAAAGATCCAGTAAAATGAACAATCATCGTGCCAGAGAAAAGTAACTAGATTGGTCACTTCAATGCCTAATATCCCATTCAGGGGCACTTATTTCAGGAACTACAGCGGCAGCGTAAGTCATGGGTCTGGTTGTACCTCCAAGTTTCTTTTAGAAATTAGAGCCTATTTTGCTTGGTTTAATATATGCATCACCTAAGATGTGAGATTCTATTACGCTAATTGTATCTTATTTGTTGAAGATCAGGGTATATATATTCGTTTACTTAAAGTTCCAACTCATATTAACCGATCAAATATGCTGTCATTAATTAGGCAGCACCTTCGGTTCTTTGTCCTGTGTAGAACGCAAGCCCATAATTTGGTGTCGTAAAGGTGATCGTTGCTCCCTTCTCTTTACCGTGAAAATGATCAAAAATTAGTAAACGTCCTTGAACAGAAGTGCTACTTACCAAAATGAAAAACATCGCCAGGCTTTCCAATGACACTTTTTCCAGTCTCATCGCTAATATGAAACTCCCCCTCAATGATAATCTTCATCTCATGGTATATGTGTATACCAAGGGTTCCCCCCTGTTCCAAACGGTATAAACCACATGAGATAGGCTTTTCAGCATCCATCTTTTCACTGGAGAAGATGTCCCCAAGAAATACATTGTTTCCAACGAGTAGCTGGGGCTTAACCTCGGTTTGTGACTTTTCGTTATAGATGGAGATAGGTTAGTGGAACGAATATATCAGATACATAGTACTCACTGCATAGGCATTTTGGGGAAAACTTCTTGTCAATATTGTATGTAGGTATGTACTTAGGGTGATTCTACCGAGTATGATATTTGAGAGTAAAATATGGCTAGTCTCCGATCTATGGGATTAAATATGAAAAAAAAAGGACTGCTCTAGGTCATGCTATGCATTTATTCACGTATGCTACCTATCCCGGAGTATAAAACCACGTTGAATACGTAATAAACTCTAGATATCATTATCGTCCCGGATTTGCAATTCGAGCATCACAATACTGTAATTCGGGTTGTAGGTCGGTCTGTATATACTTGTGAGTAGCCAATGGCGGTGCACCTCTTACAGGCAGCGGAGCGGGATCCGGGATGATCATGACTTTAAGCCCTAACTGGGTACTATATGCATGGATCGACGATGCATTTAAGACCATAGCGACGCGTTAAAGATAGTGTGGCCAAACTGTATCGATAAGGGTTGGTAGGGGATAAAGGGATAGTTTATCTACATTTGGGGAAATGTTCCCTCCTGCAAAGAGACAGGCCCGGAAGTTGTTGGGATACATACATGTGCTTTACCTATGTGGTAACACGTATGTAATATAATTACTATTTGATACATAGACTTTGGAGCTTTTGACGACGATTAGAGTACTTCTGCATGATCGTGTAGAGTAGCTCTCTACCTATCTTTGGGGTCATGATCCCTTCTTTTCATTCAGCCTTACACCCCCCACAACGCGGCCCCCAATTACGTTAATTTTTCACGTGTGGCTCCCGTCGGTGAAAAGCAGACCATCCACTTGATAGGATGAACAGAATTTCCTCCCCTGATCATGAAAGTGCACAAATCTGGTCTCAATCGATGCAAGGGAAGAATCTCAGCAATAATACACCCGCGCTCACCCCTTCCCACTATCGTCATCTACATACCGCCCTTTCTGCCAGTCTCAACCTCAAAAGAATCTACCACGACAAGCCGAAAACAAACTGCAGATTCCCGCCTTTTTTTTTTTTTTTTTAAAAAAAAGACGATGGTATATTAAGCCAGGCGAATAAAAACAAACACGCAAAAAAGTCAAGTAGGAAAAAGACGAGCACCAAAATGAACCCTAACCTAAGTGATATGGTATCACCCCTTTCCCTTCCTAGTCCTTGAAATTATGCTAATGATTACGAGGGGAAAGGGAATGCAATAGAAGGCCTGTGAAATCAAACCCAGTTGCGCCGGTGAGTGAAGTAGCCACGTCCACAAATAAGTAAATAATGAATATTGGGCACAGGCGTTTAGCGATATAACTCCGTTTAAACGACGACCCTATCCCAGCAAAACTTAAGGGAAGTTAGTACAAGGCATGTAAGTACTCGTGGATTAACCTTACCCTCCCAGTTGCGGTCCTTCATGACGCTGATCCAATGTAGCTTGCCTCGTACTGTGAACTCAAACCACGATTCGCCTTCTTCATGTCCCACCGCCAGAGCCGTTCTCTTGTTGCGCTTGATCGCCGGATCTGGTGTCGACCACGCCATTATCCGGAGTTTCTTATATCTACTGTTTTCGCTGTCTGCTTGGGGCCCCCAAACACCATAGTCAGTAATTTCCATTCCACCACCAGAGACCATCTTCGAGCTAGGTTCTTCTATAGGAGGCGAATGATATCGGGACGTTGACGACGGCGGTGTCTGCATCCGATGCCGCTCCAGCTCAAAATAATCACGTCGGCTCCAGACTTCCCTCACAACCTCCCACGCTTTGTCGATATTGCCGATCCACATGAGACTACACATGTTTTCCCATCTACTATTAACCCAATCCCTCTCCTTGCCTACCGCTTCGCAACCAGCAGCAAGGAGTGGGTATATGTGAACGATGCAACTTCTAGACTTCATGGGAATTGTTGCAATGGCCTGCATTACTCTTTCTGCCAATTCATGGGCAGTTGGGGACTGTAACTCTGGTACAGCTTGGTGAAGATAGAGGAGCGTGGCATATTGGTAGGCTTCCGCGGTTTTGACGCAGTGCTCTACATCGCTGAGCGGATCCTGAGGTTCCTCGTAATAAGCCTCTGGGACCCAATTCTCCAACTGAGTCTTGATATCCATGGCTTCGTTAATGATTAGGGGTGAATTTTTATCAGTCTTTCGTACTTTCTGTACAAGGCTTGCAACACGCCCAATCAATGGAAATAAGGTCGCTGCACAGCCAAGTAAAGGGTCAACTTGATTAGTATGTGACAACGGTCCATGCACCAGGGTCTGGACACCATTGTCATCTTCTGCAGTAAGCCGGGCCAAAACGTCAAGATAAACCCAAACGTTATACAGAAACGAGAACATTTTTTTAGACTCTGGGCTAGACTCAGAGGTTCGAAACTTAGCCAGAGCCTGATTTACTAATTCATTTGCACCTCGAAGGTGCTTTGTACCACTGGATGTGTGACGATCAAAGGCCTCAGAAAACGCTAACACTAATGTTGTAGCTAATGCCGCATCGTTTCTGATTGTGCCTCTGCTAAAGCCTTGAGCTAATGCTGTAGCCGATTGACGCATATGCTCTATTCCCTCTACACGGAGGGATGGTCGATCTCTCGACATGTGAAAAGCCGTCATCGAGGCAATTGCATGGTAAAGAGCTGGTGATTGTGTGGCCAAGGGCCAGATCATCGTCCGCCATGGGTTCTCTGTGGGACCGTCCTTTACAGACATGATACCACAGGTGTTTTTATCGAAATGCAGGAGCAGCATCTCTGGAGCGTTGAAGTCAAACGTAGGACGGCGAAAGATATCATGAACGCTGGTAAATGATTCTCGTGAGGATTGTGAGTTTGTTGAATGTGTTGAAAACGCCGAGGGCGAAAGTGAGCAGCGACGTCTAAACAACCAGTCTCTCGGGGTTTCTGTGCGAACTATATCAACAACCTCATCATCATCATCATCATTATCATTATCAACTTCTTCCTTGATGATTGTGGGGATCCCGATGTCATCCAGTACCACTGAATTATAGAAGTGTCGTTCATGGTCGCCCTCTACCTCTTCCTGAACACCGTCCTCCTTTTTATTGATCATAAAACTAGAATCATTCTGTTCTTCTAGAGGGTTAAGGTAAAGTGGTGGCCCTATAGACTTGTTCACAGAATTGGAGCCTTGAACTAGATTGGTGCACATTCCGTGGATATTGCGCCTACCACTCACAAAAACCGGATTGATTTCAGAAGGGACAAACGGTAAAAACCCGGCACTAGACCGAGAACGAGTTGTATGCAAATGAGTAGATTCAGGTGGTGATGGAACTTGAAATTGTAAAGGTTGAGGCGATAAGAATGACACATTGGCCTCGAGGCTATTATTTAATTGTGACGAATTTGGCGAAAGCGGAGAGAACTGGTATAATGAGGAAAACTGCACCTGGTACGGAGATGGTGAGGGAGTTTCATAGATTGATTCATTGGGAGACCGTCGGGGAGGACCTGTGGCGGCTGTAAAGGACTGGTCCAAAAAGGCTGTGCCTGGCAGAAGCGGAGGAGGTGGATTCTTCTTAGGTTTTGACACCCCGTTACCAGTACCTATTAAATAGTATTAGCTTATATCCCAGTGGATGTATTTCTCAATGATGGCTACATGTACATACTTTTTCGTAATGATTTTGGAGCTTTGCCTCCTAAGGCGGATTCTTCAAATGCCCTCCATTTAAAGTCTTTTTTATACCCCCCGCAAGTAACACCTCTTTTCTGACCTTTCTCTTATTAGCTCACCGAATCACTAGTCGCAAAATCTATACCGGGTTTAGGAGCCGAATAAAAGACATACATTGGTGGCAAGTGGGTTTGGACTCGTCGCACTTTAGTCGCTTCGCCTTGCAGGTAACGCAACCTATGAAACTATTAGAATTGGTACAATTTGGATCGACCCTGATCTCTGTTCATCGGTAGGCGATATTCAATTCGAGCACGGAATAGGAGTAAAGAAAAGAGAACAAAGTCATTTCTCGTACCATTTCGGCTTTTTGATTGCTTGGGCTTTACCGGTGCTATACCCAAACTCTCGGGCGATGACCCCATATCTTTTGAGGTAGTAGTTGGGACCTCCATGGGCAGAGTGTTCATCAAGAAGCTCTTTGCGATGGTCCTGTAGTTTCGCGTATTGTTTCCTACCTCCTACCAAATATTCCTGCTCTGGTTGATAACGACTCTTCTGGAATCACACTTGTCGGGTCAATCCTGGCAGTATACCCGTAAGCCCCCTTTGATCTATAGGTATTTTTATTTTATTTTTATTTTATGTTTCTTCCTGATATGCTGACTTCTGGAGAAATGAATTAAGAAGCGCGCGTGACGATGATAATGAATGTAGCACCCAACCGCTCGTTCCGCCGTTTTACAACTTTGTAACAACTTTTTAACGATAATAAGCTGGGTTGCTGCTTCAATATGTAGTGACCCTGTCACCACCACCCGAATATGTTGAAGTCGTTCGCAACAGGGGCGATTTGTATCCGTTCGCGTAGGATTCTGGTGTCGTAATCAATGAAGTAGACTGCCTTCCGACCGTCGAGCTTGTAATCAAAGGGGGAGTTGTAATGGGTGGTTGAACAGGAGATGGCGAGAAAGCAACGACGGTTGGGCGTAAGATAACGATTGGGATGGAGAAGGAAGTCTATGACGATAGTGAAACATAAACTAAAGGGAGAGAGAACCGAGCAGCGCCGAGAAGTGTGAAGGCACTCAAGTTACGTTAGAGGAGCTGTAGCGTATGAGGTTGAAAAGGCTTGAGAGAGAGTCAATTGCGACACTAGCTGAGTTCGGACGAAGATAAATAGTAGAGGAATGCAGTGAGAGAGCTGAGCTATGACCAGATGTGTGGCCGCCAACAAGTCGTTTTTTTTTTTTAGCCCTGGTAAAGCGCGGGGTCTCCTTTGTCCTGGTCGTCTCGTCAAACTGTTACTCAGACCTGAAGTGTCTTTAATCTTCTGTGTTCTCCTGCGGGTCCCAATTCGATAGAGCACTTCACCACGGTGAAGCAGCCACACAGCCTAAGCCTGTTACACAATGCAGCGTTGGGATGCTCTACTCTAACTGCTGCTGCTGCAGTGGGTTGCACAACAATGGGAAGAAATTTGCTTGTTTGAAAAAGTCCACAAGGTATATATTACATGTGTTTAGAGTGGTACTCTAGGAGCAAAGTACCTACAGCAGGACCTACTCTTGAGTCTGGATATGTAGATAGATCTAGAGTACTTACTTGGAGATTTTATTTATGTTCTGGCAGAGGTTTTCTATATATAAAAAAAAAAAGAAAGAATTAAAGAAAGAACTGGGCCGCGGTGTTTTGCGATGCGATTTGTTTAACACTGGCAATGATGGAGGAAGCCGGTTGTGCGGTCGTCGATGCGGCTTCTTTACCCATACGCATTGGGCAGCCTCGGTATGCCGAAATCTATTTTTAGAATTGCTCAATTTTTTTAATATTTCCAGATCAATGGCGAATCCGGTTCTATGGTCAACCAAAGTCAGAAGCTGCACCGTAAATGTTGGCAGAAAGAATGTGTAATTACCTGTAATTTATTCCGAGCTGTCCCTACAATTATATGTATGAAATTTTAAAAAGTAAAAAAGACTAATGTGCAAACAAAATCACGAGAAAATTTGGTAGAGAATAAACACTAAATAAGGCATAGCCACTTTGCACGAAGTAGGGGGGAAGAAACGTACGGAAACGCACATAGGATAATCGTGCAGTACTGTACTTCGGTATCAGGGGTAAGTGAGTAGAACGCGGCGGTTCATATTCGCGAGCAAAACAGGAAAACTACAGCTTTAGCCACGCTGCCACGTTCTACTCACTTACCCTTGATACCGAAGTACATATAAGATCATGTGTATAGCTTGCATTGTTTGGCCATTCGTCATTGGCCCATGGCCGCAATGGCCCAATGGCCAGGTTCGCCATATCCATTGACCGGGAAAATATATACTATAGCTATACTGCAGTTCTTTTTTAAAACAAATCTCTAGAATGTCATGTCATCTAATGAGTGAGAATATATACCTAGGTATACTTGAACATATATAGATGCATATGTATATACGTATACAATGTATACAAGCTTTGCAAGCTTGCAATTGTAGTTAGGGTGAGATCTATAGCTATAGTAGATGATTATGTCGATCGCGAGGTAAACCTATATACGGGGCAATTCTACAACATATTCTGGAACAAACACATATACTACATGTGTATATATATATGAAGAGTATTCCGCATGTCCGCATGTTCTCTTTATATACACGTATGTGCGTATATGCACATTATAATATTACTCTGCTTGTGTAATCCAAGGGCCCTAGGGTCCGTACGGTTCGATGTTTGTGTTATCTTTATGCAATTACAGGGGCTGGTATTATATGTGTATCAAGGCTCATGTGAGATTAATGTGTTCAAAGTACAACACAAAAACTCTTCAAGGATTTGTACTTTTAACAGGGCGTTACATGCATTAAACGAAGAACATACCTACAGATTATAATTAGATGCACAGTATCCTAAATGAAGAACTGTACATGTATCTACGTCTGTTACATAGACTTGGTATAATATCTCCTACGTACATACATGTACATACAAGTATACATGTACTTATAGCTATAGTCAATGTATAACATGTACATTGTATATATCTACATAAGTATATATCACTTCATTAGATCTGGCAAGCTGTCCATTTCCTGTTTGGACCAACGGTGCCACGGCAAATACCGATGAGAGATTAGTTAATAGAGATTGTTGGTGCTATAGCGACCCGTTTAATTGGCCCACAAGATGTGGTCAGCATTTCGAGACAACTTCATGTATACGTATGTAGCTGTCTATTTACTCAACAAATATTATTCGACAACAAATCTACATGTACGTAGATACTTACATTAGTAGGAGCTATGGGTAGTATGATTTAGATATATAATTATATATAAGGGCCTTACCATAGCTTTAATCTTATCCATCAAGTAATGTGCGTATCCCTTAAGCTGTTAGTTAAATGCTGCCAACATAAGACACGGTAACATCAGGCAAGCCTCGCGCGCAAGCCACAGAATTGAGGCACGATACAGTCGCAACTCGATATGCCGGATTGCCAAGATTCGAAGGATTTCGTACGGGGTAGCAAGAGATCCGGCGCATTGAGATCCGGCATATCGAGTTGCGACTGTACTTGGCAAAGTTGGCAGCTTTAACAGCATAAGGGATACGTCGTACGTATGTGCACCTAGGTCTCCTTTCCGCCGGCCAAAAACACAACTACATGTACAGCTTAATACATGTATGTGTACTCTATATAGTGTATGCTTGTATATATCTGTATGAACTTAAGACAATACGAATCTGCTTAAATACTTAAAGCACATGCATTTACATATATAGCAAAGGCAATATAATTCATTGTATTTATTACGGCATGGGGATCGATTATACTTGAGTATTTTAATTAAGATTGTATTCCATGTCGCCTGAGCAAATATAATGTACCCAGGGTCATGTGGAACAGAAGTATGCGCAGAAAACATCGAGAAGCTTGAGATTACCTTCAAATATATATAATACGACCTCTTGATCGATCTAGCTCATAGCACGCATCTCTTTGCACCCGGCCAATATTGCAATCTCACCACCGGCATAAGGATACCTAATTTTTGATAATTTCTACTTCTCAGGTGATAGCACTAGCTAGTTTAAGGTCTAGAACTACATATAGCTAGTAGCTTATAATATCTACATGTACTTTTGGGTCGCCTTTTCGCCTTATATCTTAATCCGCCAAAACCGGAGCAGAGGACCGGGTCTGTGGAAGGGTTCTGAGCTATGTCTCCAACAGCCTAATTATAGCCATGCATGGCCGGATGACCCTTTATACGTTAATTTACATTGTTAAATTTCTAACATGTGGTATAGCACAATCGAAATATCTAGTTCATTGACCGCCAGTACTTATGGATCATGGTCATGTTCAGCTGGACTCGTGGTAAGGTTTAATTCAACGCATATGAACCAAACTCGTATTCATGTGCAAAGTCAACCCGAGACATAAAGTATATATAAATCAGCCCGACGGATCCTGGCATAATTCATGCAGCTCTGGGCCCTGGCCATTTTACCTCACTCAAACAACCAAAAATTAAAGGCAGAATACCCTGTGTTGTTAGCAAACATTATATTTCGATTATAAATTCACGGCTTAATGCCTCTTCGTCATTCTTTCCTCGATTACCAGCGATATCGATATATACTAACAAGCAGCTTTGCTCATGCAAACCTCCAACTATATCCCGCCAGGTCAACTTTCATAGCTGGAGTCAATAGAAGACATGCATTAAGGAAACATCTTCGTGAACCCACTTAATTCGTCAAATGTAGCCTCCGTATTAAAATCTTTATCCATCCCCATGTAGGGAATACATCACCATGTCGAAGTGACGGGTCTTTAGAAGGTGATTCTGCCTGTATTTTCGCAGTCCATGAAGTCGGTCCTCTCACACATACTGCTGGGCCGATGAATACCTGGATCTCGCCTATGTAAACTAACATCAGCAGTAAAGGGTTTTTGCATCAAATAGAATAAAATACATCAATAAGGTCATATACATGATGTACTTAAGTGCATACATGTGCGTGCACATATATACATAATTCATAAATGTATGTACAACACCAGATCAAATGTTAATTGGCACCTCTTTGCCCATGAATCATGGATTATCGGTCGGGAAGGAGTACATGTAGTACTCTATTATATACATGTATGTACGTACATTACTCGAATAGAGCGTGCAGAAGACAACATGCGGTCGATATGCCGTGGCTATTCAGCAACCGATAAGTCAAGGCAGGAATTGCATCAAGGCCCAGGTTTAGCACTTAGGTTGACTACATGTTTATATAGATTTTCGAATTAGCGGGGCCGGGGCGTTCTTTATTATTAAGTAATAAGTGATTTGTGGTCATAATAGAATACATGTAGATGTAATTGAATTGCAGCTAGCTTTGGAAACATGTTAGCATCATCTGCGGTTGACTTATTGATTTGAATATTGAAACTCACAATATATCACTCGATTGGAATCATGTATTAGCTACACGCGCGTACACTAAATGAAGTAGAAGTTTCGATCCTGGTACTTACATAAGTTATCCGGAACAAAAGTTGGTCTGGAGGGGTGCATTCCAAGTCCTGGGATGAATTATAACCACATATATATAAGTACTAGTACATGTAGTTGGTATAAGCCGGATTCATGATTCGGGTACTTGCTAAGAAGATCAGATTAGTCTGTCATCCTTGTAATGACTAATTGGACCAACTTCATAGATCAGGGCACGTAAGATTATAACCACTCCGAACCTTATATTTCCGGAAGCAATATATCGTCACACTCTATGTGTGCCTCATTAGAAAGATGGGAAGGGTTTGGTACGTTCGTGGCGCCGGCCGGCCCATTAAGCAATAATGTGCATACATGTATGGTTCCCCCAGTCTTAAAGGTAACATGAGAAAAACGCCAAGTCTCGAATAACTTTTCAACCACGATTGATATTAAAAATCTGGAAAGAGAAAAGCTGGATACCATGATGAAGAAGAGTTTGTCTTTCCAGATTTTTAATATCAATCGTGGTTGAAAAGTTATTCGAGACTTGGCGTTTTTCTCATGTTACCTTTAAGACTGGGGGAACCATATGTACAACTACAGTCGTTCGCCGATATAACGAATGCCAAAAAAGCCACAAATTTGCTATAACGAACGGGTCTCGGTGATCCGAATCTAAATTTCACATAGAAACTTGCCTGCTATACCGAATAATCTGCTGTATCGAACGGAAACTTTGAATATGCACGTTCGTTATATCGGCGGACGACTGTACATGTAATTGGTCAAAGGTGTTAATTTCGGCCGAACTAGCGACTTGTCCGAGGCGGGTATGCAACTCGCTACAGGACCTCTAGTGTAAACCTCGTTTTGGCCAGACCCAAGGAGCGACTCGGAGAATTTTCCAAGTCGCCGAGACTTTGCGCCGGGGGCTCGAGCACTCTGACTGTAGGAAGGGATAGCTCGCTTTACAATTTTGACTATGAATACATGTATGAGTACGATCCATTGTAACTGAAAATATAGATCGAATCTGCTAATTTAGTATATATATGGCGGGGGGCACCTTGAGACGGAGGTTCGCGACATTGGTTTCTGACGATCAATTTCCCAATTGGGTAATTATTTAATCAATTTACCGATAATAATTCGCCAAAATCAGCCTCTGGGTGCTCTCAAAGGCTGTATCTAGATGTAGACCTTCCTAATCGGGTAATTTACCTGTCCCAAATAGGTAATTATGGGCGCGACATTGGTTGGGTCCCCCACCAAAAACCCAGCTTTTAGAATATTCATAGCACCACCACAACGAAAGATAGAATTAATCTGGCTCTGTCACATTGTAGAGAAGAAGCAGAACTATCGAATAACAGAGAGTAAAAATAAATTAGAGTGTGGTTGGAGAAAGTCATTAGCGGTTGAGGTTGACTCCCGAAACCACTCCGTCTCAAGGTGTCCCCCACCATATACAGGAATGAGCAGACGTTTATCGAGAGGTTACTACATGTATTTGTAATTACTACGCTACGTTTACGATAATGTATATACACGAGTTCGAGCATATCTTATTAATTACATGTAGGCTCGAATGTCTATATAGCCCAAAGGAATTAAGTACTATGTAAACTTATAAGCGCCGATATATGTAGATAGAGAATGCCTGAAACCCTTGCATATCGTATTCCCTCGCATAAATACTATACATGTCTATCCAGTATAGTAGGATATATATATAGATCGTTCAGCAGACCAGGTGAGAGAGAAAGTGCGGAAACCCTTATACATCTAATAAGTATATAATTATAACCTGCATATGCAATGTGTTTTTATAGTCTTCTGATTGGTTCATTGAGAGATGTTTTTGTTTCACTTGAAACATGTTGTGTTGGATATTAACATAGGGTATTGTGCTGAGTGGTGTTAGAGTGTTAATAGGGTTGCTACTGGTTCTGGGAATTGATAGTGGTTCGATTTTAGCGGTTTGGTAGCTGTTAAAGGGATATACCTGTAGTTTTAACTGGAGAAATTGTCTGACTTATCCGTTGATATATGGGGATAATATATCAGAAAAATCACATATCAGATCTAGATATAGTGATGGACTTTGCCTGCCAGCCAAATAGACAAATAAGCCGCAAAGCGGCTTGCCTGTATATTAGACTGATTGATATACATATAGTACCGGCCGAAGGCCGGAAACTACTTGTATACATATATATATATATTCAAAACATTTGATCATTTAGGGTGAATACCGAGTGACTAGCCCGAGCTTTGTACTTGAGAATTTGGACCGGGCATATATGATTTGACGTACTTTAGTAATATTCAACTGAAGATCCATAGCTTGGCCCCCACACTATTAGCAACTGAACCCAAGGAATCGAGGGCTAGGGCTTCCCAGTACTTGCATGCATTGATATCAATGGCGCCATATGTATCCGCCATGTTCTACATCTCATCTCTTAACAAACGTGCAGGCCCTAAAAATTACTAGCTACATGTAGTTTGAGGTCATGGCTTTGTGGTCGGCCAAAACTTTATAATTACCCCAGACCCATTAGACGCACGCGGAAGAGGGCCTATGAGTAAACTACATGTAACGACCTGCCACACATCCATGAGCCTGACAATGACTTGCGGGCCCTGTCAATAATCATTGTATGATCCGCACAACAGAATTCAAAAACAAAGAAAAGAAAGAAAAAAGCGAACCAAGAACTGATTGAAAAATTAAGGCCAAGAGAACGTTTAAGCGTGTTATGTCAAGTAAAAATGTTTGAAAGCTTATTAAATTTCTTTTGATAGAGGGAGGTTGAATTCCCGGGGCATATTACATACAGACCACTGAATACAGGGTCTTTCTTAATCCAAGGTCATAGCCATTACCGACTTTTACCGCAGACGCCGCCATACCTACGTACTCATAAAACAATAGAACTGCATAAAAACACACCTAACCCCAAAGCCCGGACGAATATTTAATGTTGAAACGGATATTAAGCTGTCAGGAAAGAAAGAAATGCCGCGCCATATTTTAGTTACTGGCCTGTGGGATGTGATTTGTGAGGTGCTCGGCCTCCACAACCCGCTCGTCTTTCGACCGGAATGTGCGGTGACCACGAAGAAACCAATACCCGAATACTAAGACAAAAACAACCGCGTAAACAGCGGAGACATAGTTCATAGCTGCGGGTAATGTTAGTATTCCCAATAGAATTTGTCGTACTAGGGTGATAGTTAACTTACACCCAGCCGTAACAGGTTTCCCGTATGGAAACGAGTACATAATCAGTGTAAATAATGTCCATATAAGAGTGACGATATTGGCCGCGAGGCCAAACCCACCGAGCCAGAAAGGACCGTGCTTGATGTTGTTACGACCCTTAATGAGAAGGAGGGTGATGGGAACGGCATAAGAAATGTACAAAAGGACGATACAAGCGGTAACCATACTGTTTAAGAGGGTTTTTCGTTAGTAATTTGTAGCGGTGAAAGTTTTTCAGTCTCGGGATTACCTGTTAAATGCAGTTGTTGATCCAATATATAGAAGACCCAACAGGGCTACGACGAAGCAGCTCATACTGTGGGCATAGAACGGGATACCCATCTTTGGGTGCACCTGGGACCACAAATGAGAGCCTGGCAACCCTCTGTCACGAGCGAACGACCAGCAGAGCCTAGCCTGCCAGGTGTGGCAAGCAATCTGACATCCCAATCCAGTGAAGCAAATCATAAATTCCAAAAATGTTGCCCCGGCCTTGGAGCCCGTCGCTTGGTAGTATAGCTCTAGAATTGGGACGAGGGTGCTCGAAAAAACAAGTTCATCTAGGTTGTTCATAGAAAAAAACATAGAAATGGAGTAAATAAAGGCGGTAAAGAAACCGATCGCAACTGTACCCATGATAGCGAAAGGTATATTACGTTCGGGCCTGGGAACTTCTTCCGCCAAGTGAGTCGCCGAGTCCAGACATGCAAAAGACCAGTTGGGATTGATCAATCCTACAATGAAGGCGATCGCGTTTGATTCCCATCCAGTATTGTTGACAAAGTTTGCAAACACGAATCTGGCATTTTGTTTCGGGGAAGATGTTGCAAGCACTGTGATGGTAATGGTGATCATGGACACAAGAGAAACGTATAGGAAGAAGCTGCCAATTTTAGGAAGAATTTTTCCCCAGCAGTTAAAAACCCAAGCGAAAAGATTGAAAATCTGGTAGGCAACAAATACCATCCATCTCTCGATCACTCTAAAAAAAAGAAAGAAGAGAGAAAACTGCATTAGAGTTATATAAAATATTCTAAAGATGGGGCCTACATACAGATTTGGATGGTTCAACTGGATCATTCCCATTAAGGCACTTCCAATTGCCAGTGCAACACTTGCACAGGTAAATAGACTTCCAGCATATCCAATAGCTCCAGTTGTGTAGGCAAGGAAATTTGCGTACTTTTTGGGAGACAGCTCACTAGCCCAGAAGTACTGACCGCCAGAATTTGGCATAGCGCTGACCAACTCCGACAATGAAACTGCAACACAGCCGTTGATAATCGCAATGATAACAATACCATATACTGTAACAATAGGACCACCGGACGAGATTCCAGTAACCAGAGAAGCAGAAATTCCAAACCACGAGTTTGTAAGCGCAAAGCTCACTATCATAATGGTCGTTAGAGCAGTTTAGGGAAAGGGGGAACAGAAGGTTCACCTCCGAGCAGTGTCCATTTACTGAAACCTCGCTCCATCTCTTGGGTATATCCCATCTCTGCCAACCTTGCAGCATCTGAGTCCACTGATAATTCATCCCGACTCGCATCAACGGATTTAATTTCATTTCTAGGGATATCATCTCCCTGGTAAGGAGGAACGCTCATGATTCCGATTCTTGAGATAAGATCCAACAAAAACTTTGATGAAACCTTGGATTGTCTTTTCTAATGTTAATGTTAACGTTAACTCCTGCAAAGGCAGGGTTACTAAGCACTCTGTGTTGAGGTCGCGTTGAAAAAGCAAGTGACGATTTGTTGACTGCTCTGTAGTTGGCTTGTTTGCAGCTTGTACGCGGGAAAGGGTTCAACTTATCAACTTTTCTTTCCCCACTAGTCCGCGGTACCAAACGGGGTAACATGTGTTGAAGAGGGACCAGACTAGGTAGTGGGGCCAGGGGTCAGTTGCTGAGACGAAAACCTAACACACTTTCCTCTTCTCGGCCAGATCGGTTGGGGCCAAGGCTATCTAAGAGCGCTACAGTCGCAACTCGATATGCCGGACCTCAATACGCCGGATCCCTTGCTATCCCGTACGAAATCCTCTGGGATTTTTGCTATCCCGTATGAAATCCTTCGAATCTTGGTAATCCGGCATATCGAGTTGCGACTGTACTTCGCAGCGCCTCTTAATCAATTCTCGAGTCTTTACCTATTACGCATTACGATAAGTACATGTACAGTATCTATAGCATGTGAAAGTACACAACTCCCGCTAACTACGCTCCATGTGCGACTGCAATTCCCGTATGTATTTACATACAACTCAAGTATAAGACAGTACTCACTTTTGAAATATCTTTGACCCTTCTGCACCAAATTCAATGTGATCGCCGCGATATCATCTAGGCATGATCAATATCTCGGAAATAAACCAGTAAATTTGAGATCAATTGTTTGCGGCCATGTATTCAAGAGCACCCGATGCACTATTCTAGTGGTGTGTGTATGGGCATACCTACATGTACATACATTTATGTACTCTACATTGGTCCTCGTACTCGTCAGCGAGATAGTATGACGGTGCGATGATCATGGGGCCATGGAATACTGGGAGTATGGAGCGAGTTCATAAACGAGAAATTGCTGTCCAAACCATACATATCATATCACGCGAGCTGTCTTATGAAATCTTACCAAGATGAAAACGTGAGATCCAGATAGGGAAAAGCAAGTCTTATACGCATGCTTGTGGTTCACCACCTATCTAGCTTGATAAGATAGCTACTTAAAGTAAAGCTAGTATCCTAGCCGGAGGTTCAAAAATCAGATGCTGTTTATCGGGGTGCGGGGCTTTGTGGGCACACTGATTGTCGGAATCGCCCACAAAGATTCCTTGGTAGCGTAAACGCGTTATCTCGATCAATCTAGCATTGTGCATATGCGGGAGCCTCAGTAGCAGGCTCACACATTTTAGATTTCAGAACTAGCCCTAAATTTAAACAACTTCACCCTTGCGCGGAAAGTTGTCCGGAGCATCGGAAATACACTTCACAAAAGAAATTTACCATATCCATATCAATAGATACATGCATTGTATCCCCAGCAATGTTTCGGCATTACTTCGATAATGCCGGAGTATCGGCAAACAATTGTTGGCTCATCCTTTCTCGTGTGTTAGTGAGGGTTGATCAAGCTCGAAAAGATATAGGATTCATGTTACGTACCCATCGGGATATCTTCCACCGGGGAGATTGTCTACGATCCTGCTCGCATCACGAATCTCTTCTATTTCTTCTGGGGTCAGAGTTACATGAACAGCCGCCATGTTCTCTTCCAGGTATTTTATCTTTGTGGTTCTAGCCCTAATTGTCAGCGATTTTTTCTATGGATATAAAGAATATATATATGCGTACCCAGGAATAGGAATGATATCATCACCCTGCGCAAGTAACCAGGCAAGAGTTGTCTGCCCAGCGGTAATTCCCTTTTTCTTTCCGACTTCAGTTATTCTATCAACGAGTTCCAAAATCTTTGGAAAGTTCTCTGGAGAGAAACGAGGAATCTACACTCGAGATGTTAGCGGGCAAAATCACAACGTGAAATCCTGAGTGAAGCATGAGTAGAGAAGTAATTACGCAAAATTGACCTCATAAAGGCTATGATGACACCCGAATCGTAGCTCGAGAAATAAAGTGCAAATAGAGATAAATGGGTCATAGTATTCGTTTTTGAGAGCTCTCTCACCTGTTTTCTGAAATCATCATCTTCAAGGTCATCGAAGCTTCTATAAGCTCCAGTCAAAATCCCCCGCCCCAGAGGGCTATAGGCAACCACAGTGACGCCCAACTCGCGGCAGGCTTGCAAAAGACCAACTTCTTCGCTCTGTGCGTCAAGGAAAAAAGGCGAATATTCAACCTGAACCGCAGCAATTGGATGAACAGCATAAGCTCTGCGCAGCGTATCGGCACTGCATTCGGAAATACCAATCTGTCCGACTTTCCCTTCTCTATAATAAAGACATAAGCATGCATACTCTTACTATAGGGGGTATCGTATACATACTTAACAAGCTCGGCCATTGCTCTAATTGTCACTTCAATGGGAACTTTTGGATCCACACTGCAGGCACAAAAAAATTAACAAATACTGCTGTAAAACGTGTAATACGATTCGAAAGTCATTACTAACCGATGAACATAGAGAAGATCAATTGTCTCGACACCAAGTCTCTTCAAAGAACTTTCGCAACGCTCCTTAACAAATTCTGGATCGCCTCGAACACCCTCAATGCCGCCAGAAAACGCGAACTTTGTTGCCAAAAAGATCTCATCTCTTTTTCCGGTACGCTTGAACCACTTTCCAAGCAATTCCTCGGAGTCACGGTATACATCGGCAGTGTCCCAGTTTGTTGCACCAATCTTAAGAGCGTGGTCCAAAACCTCGAAACGCTCTTCATCAGATTTCACGGCACCGTAGAAAGCGCTAAGGCCCTTTGTGAGGTCAGTAAAGGATCCAAGTTAAAGGTGAAGGTGCGATTATTACCATTGTGCCGAACCCGATAGCGGGCACCTGAGGGCCATTCTTACCCATTCGTCTAGTTGGAATTGCCATTGTAGTGTGTTTTTTTGAGGCCTGTAAAGAGTCTTCGATGTTGTTTGGGATATTCTATCTTGTGATGATTGCGATTGAATGTAAATACCGGAAGGAAGACGTCGAATTTATACTCTTAAGGTGGAGTAGAGTAGTTCGCCATGGTGATGACATTTGGAGATATCGGGGGTTACAAAGCTTTGATGAGACGGACTGAATCCAACCGATTCCCTGATTTTCGGAGTTAAGCTTAACCCAAAGCCATGTTGTTGATGCCGAGTGTCTGACTGTAGCACATGTAGGTATGGCTTTAAGCTTTGGTAGACGGTGCTCTTGGCAACCGCTGGTGTAACGGCTTTAAGTGTCAGAGTTTCCCATGTAAGATGGTAATCTTAAGCTGACTGTGTTTTCTTGGAACTGTGACGACTGAATCATGTCTGGTCACTCAGTCGTCCAAAGCTTCAGTTGAACATGTGCACATGCGCGCAAGAAGTGAGTGTGTTAGAGGTTGCGGTCTCGGCTTTACAAACCCCGATCGAGAGGATCGACAAACATTATTGTAATTATATGTACAGCCACTCAGCAAAAGTGTTCATGATGTGTGGCGCACCCGTAATACTGATGTTATTAAAGTTGAGATTCAAAACAACGAGAAATATATAATATAGTTCGTGACTATATATAAAAAGAGGATAGGTCATTGATCTTATTCTTCATTAACTTGGGCGCCATTGGTCACTGGGAAGGTCTTCTCTTGGGGGTTCTTGATGGCCCACCGCGGTTACATATGGAGAAATGTCTCACTCCGAAATCGGAATCACGAACACTTTTGCAGAGTGGCTGTATGTACATGACTGATTAGATTCTTGGGCAATGCTAGTAAGTGAATGATACTTTATGGACTTTGTTTTGTCTCGCTTCTAGCTTTCCAGATCCCTAGAACATTCGAATCAACAGTCAAAGCTCGCTATAGCAGTACTCCTTAGTAATCTCTCTATTAAGGTAGAGGGCTTCGGCCCCTTTCATTTTTGGTGAGCCGTACTGGTAGATTGGCTACTCTATAGGAGTACCGGTAGCATACATGTAGTAGGAAGTACATGTATTTTAGTGTGATACCCATAGTGAGCTGAGGGTTAGGTTTATATTGTAAGGGGGCTGCAGAAAATTCTACTAGTAGTGCTCAACCCGTTAGATAGGTAGTGATTGTAGTCAATATAGTTATGTACCTTTTTTCTTTCTTCAAGAAACCGTTATGTACGATCATTATTTTTTAACAAATCATTTACGTTCACTGAGCCGGTAAGCTCACCATTGGTGTCAGAACTCGGTCCGGAGCGTGCCGCTAACGTGTTTCACCGCGAAAGCGATCCCCATCGGGAAAGCAATCAAGTGAAGAAAGCCGAATTTATATACCAAGTAGCCAGAGGTGTTATTTAGATGTCTCCTAAATATTTTTGACATGATTTACCTCTATCTAGTGAGAGTATTGTTTCAGAGCGGTCGTTGACTGGGTTAGGGAGTGTAAGCTTTATCGACTTTACCAAATTTTGGTTTATATTCATTATAAAGTAACTCCAGGATTCGGAAAGGACACATTGAACCCTCTTATATGTGCCTGCCTTCATATATTGTGTTTTGGTGCCCACAACCTCATTTTGTGAGGTGAAGTTGCTTTCCCGGTGATGATCGCTTTCCTGGTGAAACACGTTATCCCTTGGACGGATGAAAGTTGTCAAATTCGCGACCTGGACCGTGCACAACTTAGTAAGGGAATTATCTTGCTTTTTACGGTTGGCAACAACAGAGCCAATCAAGAATTTCCAACAACTACTACATCAGGCTAGTGATAGCTGAAAGAGTGTGGTCGCGAATTTGATAACTTTCATCCGTTGTAGCACGTGGCGTATGATAAGGCTTAACATGTGGCTGAAGAAGAGGCTAAGGAAAAGGTGTCTAGACAAGAAGCAACGTAAGAGAGAAGCTACACACTAGATTACATGTAGTCTTCCTGTATCCGTAGTTCATCGCCACCAATACATCGTCTGTCTTGTCTTTAGTCTACGTCGAGTTTGATTGATCGTCATTTTGTGATCGGTTGGAACAAGACTCTAGAGAATACAGAAAACAGCCAGCACCGTCCAAGGGATACTGAACTGTATTACTGTCACGTCCACATGTATGTACTAGTAATCTTGGCATCACGCCTATTCGTTAGACTGAAGCGAATCGGATTGTAGAGGGACCCGGAACAAGCTCCCTTTATAATACATGTAGTAAACAAGGTAGACACGCACATACACCAATGCATACACCATCAATATAAACATCTTTGCATGTATCTCTCGGTATCTTAGGTGTGATTATATAGTGATAAATACATCTGTCCAAAACTTGGGGCCGAAGGTTAGATAACAATTATTATCTCTTCCGGATCCATTTGCAGCGCAACATGACAAAAGCTAATGGGTTGATCTGCGTTCTGAAGACCAAAGTGAACATAGACTTTTCTCCTCTAATGAACACTGCCCCTCTTTTTCAAATGTATTCAAAGATCTCGAGAAAAATACCAAATTAGTTAAAGGACAATTGGACGTTGCTAACGATGGAAGAATTCAACTGAGGCACATTGGTGAGAGGTTTAAATTTGCTAAGCATGAGCTGTGGTACGGGAAAACGTACGTATGCTACACGGATATAATCCTGTTCACAGGCTTTCGTCCTATACGTACACCGCTTCTACTCTGATCCCAATCCCCTACCTGGTGTGATTGGTTGGAAATTTGCAGATTAAGGCTCCGTATGGTATCAACGGCCGCTCGGTTTCGCTGCCAGGTAAGCTTCCGTTCGGGTGTCACGAACGGACCACTAATGGGAGCAACCACAGCCTAAGGTCTTAAAAAAGCGGCGGGGGCGGCCATTGAGCAATTCTTCTGTATAAGCGGCGCCTCCTAAAGCAGATGCGCGGCATGGTAAGGGCGAAATCAAGAGATTTGATGAGAGGCTGATAGAGTTGGTAGCGCTGGAGAAGCGCTCTAGATCTTTGCCACCGTAGAAAAAGACATCTAGAGGTCCTTTCACATTTTACATACAATTGATCATTGCTCAACGGCATCCCGAAGCCCTGAACGGACGGATACTATGTAACAGCCGTTGATACCATACGGAGCCTAAGTAATTGTAGTCTAAACTACCCAACCACCACCACTACCACCACTAAAGAATACCGAATAGGTCTGGGAACGAGAATATACTCCTCCCTCATGTGTTTCAGACAATCAACACAATTTGGGCGCGAGAAAACAGCATGTGCATGTACCAACATATATTTCACCTAACTAAATGTACTTAGAACCTTGTTGTGCCACAGAAGTTACGTCTTTAGATATTAAAGCGATCAAACCATATACCGTCACGTAGAGTACAGATCACACCACCTTTAAACCTTTCGGTAGTGTATCCACTCGTTACCTCTTATCTAGCACATTAGCCCGAACCTCAGCTGAAAAAGGCCTTGTTAGATGGTATTTTTTCGTCTCAATCTTTACTAGCGGTAAGTTCTTGGTTCCTATTAGGACAGTATACAGAGGAAGTTTACATGTTGTTAATTCATTTATTGTATACGGATATGACTAGATGTACATGTACATGCAGTTGGTTCATCATGATTGCTTGATGTACATCGCGAAGAATATGTATATAAGAATGTCACACAGCACAAGTAGTCATATCCTGCAATTAATGAGTTAAAAAAAAAAAAGTAGTCATATCCTTAACAGTAGTATACCGAGTGATATCCTGTGCAACATAAACCTTGGATGCATATTTAGCCTGAAATTGAATCGAAGATCTTGTTATGAGAATCATTTCTAACTTAGTTTCCGGGCCTGTACTTGACGCAGACAGGTTCCTGCATGCAGAGGTGCACGTGCATGTGAATTTGAAAACAGAAATAAAGTCACATCCCTTCGTCCATCCTTAACTTTATGCCATGGCAGAATGACTATTTAGCATACATCCGCTATCCATTTATGACCAACATTAAGCCTACGAAAGCTAGGGCCGCTGATCACTCTTTAGCCAACAGTCCGGTGGGGCGTGAAAAACCACCCACCAGACGAAAGGATAATTGCTAGATCATATATAGTCACATTAGCCATTGATGAATAGATACGTACGGTCCATTACTGAATGATTATAGATCTTAAAACTAAGTGTTATACCGGAATAAGAAGGTAGTTTTTTGGGAACTGCCTGCAGACGTGTGCTTGATCACCTGGTTCCCAATTAGTAATGTTAATCCGATCAACTAATTTTCTTGATGATTTGAGCTAGTTAGCGGTGATTGGTCTAGTTAGTATCTGCTTTTCTGCAGATTTACATTCGCGATTAGTCTTAATACTGCAAGGCACAAGTTCCCCTTCCCGATGGTTTCCATAAGTGTTGGGGTTTATAAGAATGAAATCCCAATCAAGTATAGTAACTAGGACTACATAAGCAAATATCTATGTAGATCTACGTCCTCCAATCAGTTGACCGTATTTGAACGAGTGAGCAACTCCCTGCAAATGAATTCCCCGCAAAAGATAATAGGATGTTGGTTACTGGATAAAGTTTTATTATCCCCGACCCAAGATTCTGAATGCAGGCTTACCCGCCGAGTAATCTAGAATAAAAGACTAATCAGCCGTAATGCATTTGGCGCCAATGCAAGTAGCTATACGTAAGGTACGAAAGATTAGGAAACGTGTGAAATTTCCCAAGATCTGGTTTAGCATGGCTAGGGTCAATCAACATTCGACTGTATAAAGTCTATCCTTGTCGAGTTTCAGTGTTAGGGTGCGTACTATATGTACTAGAGTAGAATAGCATGACATGGTATGAGTTAACTTAATTAACAGCATACCGTCCTCAAGGTCCGTTACAGCTTTTATCTGAACGTACATAACAAGGATACGAGCTGGTCTCTGTGATAGGCACTTTCCTTAGACTGTAAGTACATAGAAACACTTCAGATTAATTGAAGAGTATACTTTTTGGGGCCTTAAAAGACGTTGATAATTATCAATGGCCTGGAACTACTCCCGGAATCTCCGTGGAAATGCAGGCTTATAATCCGGGGTTGCGAAGCTTTCGGCACAGTCTATCGGCAACCCTGCCTAAGTAATCTTTTAACCTCTATCTAGTCGGAGACTTTGCGAAGATGCTAGATCCGGATAAAAGTAAGGTTAAATTCAATATTCTAGGGTTATAGTACCTCGACCTACCCTGGTATACCTAGCATGCATAACACTCACGGATTTGGGTAGAAATAAGACTTTATTGTGGGGTATTTCAAACATATCGCCCTTATTTTGTCCTTTCAAATCTCCGATTTGCAGCGGGAGGATTAATTTGGAAGTCCCCGAACAGGCTAATGTGAGCCTGATTTATGTGGGTGCTAGCTGAGTCTCGCCATCTGTGAAACTGCAGGCTTTATACTAAAACCCGCTATATCGTATATGCGAATCTCAAGACTGGGCCTAGAATACATTTGTAAATGTGGGGAAGTTTTGCCAAAATATGTACCACCCGGAATATTCTTCTAACCATGTGGTCCTATCATAAACAGGCTAATTCGGAGAATTAGTGGTGATCCTGCTGGAGAAGTGTACCTGATCTCGGAATTGTGGAAAGGAAGGAATCCTCATATTGCCATGTCATGTTATCATTTCTATTCAACCAACTCAAGGGGAGAAAACATAGCCACGGACGGACGGATTGATCTTCAGGAGTGATTTTCGGGCCGTAAGCCTCTTCATTCCCGGAGAGAATGGGCGTTACTTCCGACAGTCGTTGAAGATTCCCTGCTCAATCAAACCATTGCAGTCAAAGCGTTTAGACAGTGAATATATGGTGTTAGCTATAGGAAGCAATTAGACCCACCTACACTCAATGGCGGAAGCTATATAAACCTTCCAATGCTCCCTCAAAACATCGAAATCTCATCATCATTCAGGCCATCAGTCTTTCATCAATCATCAGACGTCAACCCCTAACAATTTTGCTATGAAGACTACCGCAATTCTCGCAGCCATGTTGGCTCCCAACATGGTCTTTGGGCTTTTGAACCCTAAGATGGTGGCCAAAGGCAAGAAGTATTTCGGATCTATCGCGGATCCTAACACCTTGTCCAATAGCAATGTTCAGACTATCCTCAACTCTGATTTTGGCGCAATCACCCCTGAGAACAGTATGAAATGGGATGCGACTGAACGTAATTTTCTCCTCTTGGTCACCTTAATCTTCAACTTTAAAGTCTAACTTATTTCACTTCATGAAGCTTCCAAGGGATCATTCACTTTTACGAACGCTGACCAGACTGTTGCCTTTGCCACAAACAACGGTCGTCTCATTCGTGGACACACTCTTGGTAGGCTTTGCGGCAATTCCTGAAAGATTGGATAACCATGCTTACTCAATATCAGTCTGGCACTCACAGCTCCCATCGTGGGTCTCAGCTATCAACGACAAAGACACTTTGACTTCCGTCATTAAAAACCATGTCACGACCCTTATGAGCCGGTACAAGGGCAAGATTTACGCCTGGGACGTTGTCAACGAGATTTTTGATGACAGCGGCAACTTCCGTAATTCGGTCTTCTATAACGTCCTCGGCGAGTCCTTTGTCGACATTGCCTTCATTGCTGCCCGTGCAGCTGATCCTGCTGCGAAGCTCTATATCAACGACTATAACCTTGATGGACCCGGCGCAAAGATCAACAGTCTTGTTGCACTTGTCGGGAGGCTTAAGTCCCGTGGTGTTCCCATCGATGGTATCGGAACTCAGGCACACTTGATCCTTGGTCAGGTTGGCGGCGTTGCTGCTCAATTGCAAGTCCTTGCAAACACTGGTCTCGATGTTGCAATCACCGAGCTTGATATTCGCATTCCGAAAGATGTTACCTCTGCGAAACTGGCCCAGCAGCAGACCGACTACAACACTGTCACAAAGGCTTGCTTGGGAGTTAGCAAGTGTGTTGGTATCACCGTCTGGGGTGTCAGTGACGCAGTAAGCAAAGAAGTTCCTTTCTTGATTCGACTTTGGAATCAAGGCTAATAAAATTTGCAGAACTCTTGGGTCGATAGCACCTTCCCAACATACGATTCCCCACTTTTGTGGGATGATTATTTCAACAGGAAGCTCGCCTATACCGGTGTCGATTCTGCGTTGACCTAAGCTTGTTCTCTTTGGCTAGGTACCAAGCTGCTTGATGGCGACTCAAAATATGAGTGAGGGGTGAATGGAGTGCTGGAAACCGGGGAAAATTGGTCGAGTACCTATATGTAGTTAAAAATAAAAAGTGCACTGTTGATCAGCGTGTTACTCTACATGAGAACTATCAGTCTGTCGATGTGAAAAAAAATTAAACAATGGGGTCGATGATTATACGTGATCCTAGCACTCATTAATGACAAACAACTGTCAGGGTTTGTCCAGTCCTCAGTATATAGGTTTCTGTGATAAAGGAAATTTAAGGCTGAGCCTGACCTATATAGCCATCAGATATGATTGGGGCGAGATGAGCTGAAACAAAGAAAGTATGTATGTAGCTAGCAGCGCTCGATTTCAATACCAGAAGTGATAATAGGGGATGACATGCGTTCTGCGGAACAGTCGGTAAGCACCCCCACTTATATCTGGGGTTGTGTAGCACGAAGGCAGGTGGTAGCACTCTACTTGCTACCCTGGTCACACACCCGTAGGGAACTTGCCGGTATTTGGAAGCCTTAAAGATTTTAAAGTAGAAAGGCACTAACATCGTATCATTACCCCGCAGAAACAAACGCGCTACATACATGTATTAGGAAGCTCGCCCTCTTCTATGATATGATAGCAGGGTACATATGTGGGCAGAGCTAGACGTATACATGTAATGGCATACATGTACATACATGTAGCAAACTTCTTAAGAACGCAAATTGCTTTATGTACCGTGCCTAGGCACATCTCCGGCATCGCCACGCGCACATCGTCTCCATCGATCCCCACTCCCATCTTAGCAAAGCTGCCAAAAAGGTTGAAAACCATACTCCACACACTCAACCACTAAAGCATGCCTCCAATCATTCCAGACACCACTTCTGATGTATCAAAGAAACCCATCACAGTTTATCTTACCGGGTTCGGGGTTTGTTTTCAGCCTTCCTTTTAGTCTCATAAAATCGCTAACGCCCGATATACATAGCCGTTCCGGAGCTTCACCGAGAACCCTTCCTGGCAAATAGTCTCCTCTTTCCTTCCTTCAGCTTCTGTTTCTACCGATATCTACGACATTACTATAATCCCACACCCCGCCCCTGTCAGGGTCGCCTACGAAACTATCGATACCCTTATCCCATCGCTCCATGCGGAAAAGAAATTTGATTACATTCTCCACATCGGTGTCGCAGTTCCCGGAGACTATGAGATTGAGACAGTCGCCCACGAAAAGGGATATGTAAAGGGTGATATTGATGGCCTGATCCCGGGTGGTAAAAAGGCGGACTCAGAAAAGGAAAAGAAGAACGAGACTGGCGACACGGGGAAGCGCGCCATAGAGGACACGGACGGAGGGCAGGTTTATAAGACGGAATTAGATATAGAAAGAATTATCGGAATGATGGATGCCTGTGGGATAGTGGTATGTTCTTACCCCATAGCTCTGGTAAGCAGTTTGATACTTACAGCGACGGGTATAGCCAGAGGAGACACCCGAAAAACAGCTCGTATTTAAAGAGTCGACTAATGCTGGTCGCTACTTATGTGAATATATATATCGCACTTCGCTGCGGTGTGCCGAACACTCTTCAAGGAGAGTGTTATTTCTGCATGTGCCTCCTGAAGACGACCCATATAGCATCAAAACCGGGGTGGGAATGCTTGAAAAGTTTATTATCGCCTTTGTCACCGAAGGAGAAAGGTTAAGACGAAAACAGGAAAAGGAGCTTTAAACCGCATATTATTCTTGGCTATTCGTCGGCGCCTTGGATTTTACGGATATCAATGACTTTTAGCAATAAAGTTCGAGGATCAATAAGAGCCGGCTTAGAGTAATGTGATTATTAGGTTCATGGGGAAAGAATAATGCAGACACATGTAGTTTATGATATATCGAAACAGCTGGAGTGGGTGACGGAGATGAGAGCATAGGTAAATACTTAAAGCTTTTCGCTCTATGAAAAGCATAGAGTGAATGGGAGTCTGTTATTACCTCTACGATTCTTAGTTTATTTCAATTGTTTTGGGAAGCTATGTATGTATGCACTTCTAGCTCAATGAAGTGGGGAATGTCGATATTTACATATATTATGCTATTCAGTAAAGACTCTAGAGCACTCAATTACACAATTATTCCAGCAAAGGTAATGCATAACGGTGTGCTCTATAATATCTTTAATTAGCACCCACTGATGCTACTAAAACTAGAGTTCCGGTTTTGAAAACGCCATCTGCCAAGCATTAGTACTGCACCACAAGACCGCACTAACAGTCCTAACAAAATAATATGCAACGTTCCCTCAATTATAACCCTACAAAATAAAACCTGTTCAATAAAAGTAAAAGACCTAGCCGAAGGCGAGAGAAATGCTCCATGTTTCCTCTGCGCGCTCACTACATTCGCGAAGACTGAGAGGAAGCCGTGGGTTGTAAGTTTGACCCTCAAACAAAGTTCACGCCAAGGGTATCCGATAATATTTTTGTCACAGAATAGTAACTAAGCTCACTATAATATGTGCTTTTCTTAACGGTGTTTGTTGAAGGTATCATCAAACCGAATGATTATTTCTCATTCTATAGCTAAATTTCAAGGAAATATCCCATCCTACACTTATTTCTCTGTGACATACAGATCGACATACTCATCTACGTCCAACTCCTGGACGCTCTCTAGTTTCTCACTCGCCTTCATAATATTTTCCGTTTGCGCCTTTCCAAGGTGTCCAGAAACGTGTCTCTCAAACTTCTCCAATAGTAATGGGATTCCTTCCGCACGTCTGAACTTGTGTCCAACAGGGTACTCGACTGCAACCTCGTCCAACACAGTTCCGTCATTGAGGGTAATCTGAATGGCGTTTCCGATACTCCTCTTGTCCGGCGCATGGTACTCAAGAGAGTAGTTCTTGTCCTCAATACACTCCATCTTGGCTCTCAGCTCATCGATTCTAGGATCCGAAGCAACTTCGTCGGTGTAATCCTGAGCAGTGAGACGGCCGTAGATGAGAGGAACAGCAACCATGTATTGGATGCAGTGATCACGATCAGCATAGTTGTTCAAAGGTCCCTTCTTGTCGATGATCCTGATCGCAGCCTCCTGAGTCCGAATGCGGACTGAGGCAATGTCATCGGTAGTCTTTCCAAGGCGCTTGAGCTCACTATGAAGAGTCATGGCAGCTTCGCAAGCTGTCTGAGAGTGGAATTCGGCAGGGAAGGAGATCTTGAAGAGGACGTTCTCCATCACGTATGAACCATAAGGACGCTGAAACTTGAAGCCCTCGGACTTGAAAAGAACGTCGTAGAAACCCCATGTTTTGGCGGTAAGGACAGATGGAATACCTCCCATTCCCTTCTTAACCATCAATGCAAGATTGACAGCTCTAGAACAAGCATCACCGGCAGCCCATGACTTCCGGGACATTGTGTTAGGAACATGGCGGTAAGTACGGAGAGACTGGCCATCAACCCATGCCTGTGAAACAGCATCAATGGTTTGGTCGCGGTTGAGTCCAAGAAGCTTGGACACAACCGCGGTGGTAGCGACCTTGACGAGAACAACGTGGTCAAGACCAACACGGTTGAAGGAGTTTTCTAGGGCAAGGCATCCCTGGATTTCGTGTGCTTTTATCATGGCTTCAAGGACATCCTTGATCTTAGGTGCGGCAAGCCCCTTAGCCTTGTTGGTACGGGCAAGCCAATCCGCTACCGCAAGAATACCACCCAAGTTATCAGAGGGATGACCCCACTCAGCGGCAAGCCAGCAGTCGTTGTAGTCGAGCCATCTAATGGCAGTACCAATGTTGAAAGCTCCACGGATTGGGTCAAGCTGGTAAGGAGTTCCAGGAACCTTGGTACCGTTTGGAACGACGGTGTCTGGTAAACCTTTTTAGTTTCGAGATATTGAGGGAGGGGAATACAAGATATACCTTCCACAACAGGCCCTAAAAGATCCGTGCATTGAGGAAATTTCAATGCCTCCAGACCGCATCCCAAGGTATCGATAAGGCACAGACGGGCAGTTTCCCACTACCCCACTTTATTAGAACAGCTTTCCCCAACTAGCCATAATATCTCAATTGCATCAGAAATTCTAGACAAATGCCTAGAAGCGGGTGAAATGATGGAATACGCCCACTAGAGAAGAGGGGTGCACATACAGCTAGAGGAGAAGTAATCTCGTAGTTGTGAACATAATCAGCAATGTCCTGGAGAACCTGATCAGGCTCAGGTTTTTCGTTCTGGTTCACGATTCCGTGAACGGTGCTCTGTCTTGAGGACATTGTGGAGAACGTTCGTGGTGATGTGATAGGCCTCTGGTATGCCACTGGTGTGGACGACGAGCGGACTGAGATCTGACGGCAGAGCGCGGGGGAAATACGACGAGAAACCGCACGAGGGACGGCAGCAGACCTTGACAGGGAACGTGCCAAAAAGGACATGATCTAAAATATGAGGCAGGAGACAAACACCAATTGATTGATGATAATTGTAGAATGCGGGGAAAGGGCAGAGAGGGAGGAGAGAAGTCAAATCATGTGAATAATATTGCGGGCGGAGGGAAAGGTTGGCAGGAGCCGACAGTAGCCTTCCCCGTGGCCGAGCCGAGGACAACCACCACCACCTGCAGTCTCCGGCGGTCTGATACATGATCAACCCTAACCCTCAGAATACCCCACAGAGCTGTCAGGGCTCGGTGATGTGAGATAGGAAGCTGTTGGTTGACAATGGTTGTTATTGGCTGGAACTGGCTAAAGCTCGGAGAATACATCATGTAGTCAAACAGAATGGGGGAACTGTATCGGGAACTTGTAAGCTTCGGGTGCCGTGCCGCATAAGCCTCGACCGGGACGTCTCACACCACTATTGTCTCGGATCTACTACTCTAGAGTAGGTTCATACTCGTAAACACCTAGAGTACAGTAGTGGCATGTAGCAGTGCTAAGAGTATTTTACCTAAAGAGCTGTCCGTCAGCGATGTTCGAGTGAGAAACTGTGTTTAAGGCTAAGCCCTTGCCTTAACTACATGTATCATGATGTATGTACAGCTTGCAAGCTTACATACGTGTACTTGGCGGTACATGTATGGGCTAGGTCCGTACTCTAGGCTACGAAAGTCCACGTGGCAAAGGAAAATCAGTCTGCGCTTCTATGCCGGACCTCATGTGTGGCTGCGATAGTGTAGGCACGCACTTACCTACATGTAGTACCTACCACTTGTAGCTTATACACGTACTGTAGACAGCTGATGATTAGAGATATTGGGTCATATACACATGTATATATTCCTAATATTACCTAAAGCTTGAAACATCGGTATGGCTATGTAGGTACTTGACATTCTTGTTTATATAGGTATTTTAAGTAAGAAACTCTACTCGCAGGTATAAAGCACGCCATGTAATTATTAGATCTAGAGTAGTACCCTATAGTAATCAGCCGTTGCACAAAGCCACAAGATCCTGCTTGAGCCCCAGGCTCATCGACCATGTGGACCATGTGGCACAGGTATCGGCCGCCATGTCTACCGGATTTGGTTGGCCTTACCGGATACTGAACCGGTCAACTACAATTCATCCAGAGAACATCATCGAAAATAAAAGTCTTGATGCAAATACACAAAATTCCAGTAGTTTATACAGGTAACTCTAAAAAGTATTTTCTAAAGCAACGCCTCCATTTCCACCGAGACTCCTTTCATTCCTGGTGCGTCATTTCAGCTAGCTTCCCGTTTTTCTTGGGATTCAAAAGAGATAGGATTCGCAAAACATGACAGTTTCAAAAGCAGTAGATATTGGCAGATTAACACCACGCATTATTTCTAAACTTACCTTTCCTGTTAGCTATCCTCAGTACTAAAGAGGCACAGCACAGTATATGCCCTATTATTATCAACAGACGTCACAATTTCGGTACTCAGTATAAAATCCCACCGTTCCCTTGAATTAATGGCATCCCCATATCGTTTCCGTTCATTAACCCTCCACACCCGTTTGGTTACTCTTTTACTACTATTACTCCACACGGTCCCTACAGCTTGTTTTTCGGCTTCAATCAACGCCGGCGGTATCAGGCACGGGTTGGCCCAACGTGACCCAGTTAGACTTCGTACTGGACCCTTCGTCCCCACTAGTCCCACAGTCAACTTTTCAACAAACAAAACATCATCTTTGAATCGAAAAATGATATTCATCATTTTAGGAGTAATCTGTGGCCTGATATTCGTAGCTCTTCTCTGCTTTGCCGCCCTATGCGTGATTAAAGCTCTGCAGCGCCGCCGAGTTCGTGCGGCATCTCACTCGATTAATACCCGTCGAGAATCAACCGACTCTATCTGGGGAATTCCAGAGGAACCCCATTCTGCGTATGCAAGAGATGATCGGATTCCATACGACTATCCTCAACTCAATCAAACCTCGCTGGGAACAGCCACAATCCCTCACGGTGGGATGTCAGAAAAGGATCTCAATTTTCCCGCGTGGAAGAGTAAAGATCTTACTTCCCCTGCAAAATGGAACCAACCTTCGCCGGCGTATCATGAGGACGGATACACGGGTATCCCGCCGTACGATCTCGAGAAGGGAAACAACTATTCTCGCGAAAGTCTTCCACCTATGGTACCATCAAAAAACCTTGATGAGAAGCCTCGAGACACAACCAGCGCTATAATTGAGGATAGATTCGGGCCAAGTGTGATCAATAGGAGCGAGACCAGGAGTAGTTATGAAAGCTATCGAAAAACAATAACAACGCCGGGAGCGAGACCACCAACTACGCCGAAGCCTCAGCAACTAAATATGATTTAATTAGATGATTGCGGCGGGTACGCTTAGGTTAGGTTAGATCATCATTACGGTTGATCACTATTTTCTTCTCGTGTATTTCCTGGAGAAATTTTATAGACTGGTCCTGGCGTTTAGTGGGGGGCGTTTCGTTTAATACTGTAAATTTGGGTTTGCACTTTTGGCGTTATACTTTGTTTCTTTTTCATCTCTTCGGTACTATGCCATTTCATTATATTCCGCCTGGGATAGTTGTAGGAAATCTATAAGGATAACAAATTCAACCCCATGGGACAGATATACTTATATAATTATGCTGCATGTACCCAATATCTTGAACCCGGCGCCTACATGTACCTAGCAACACTAGCCAAACGTAGACAATTATTTCAATTATTAGAAGACATCGGCGCAGGGTGTCGCTGGAGTATGACCGTATCATGTTTGACTGTAATGATATATCGATCATGCCAATTTGAAACCTCGCGATACTCGATCAAACTATAGATGTAGAATGCCACCCGGAGCTAGGGAACTTATTCTGCTCTCATCGTTCTGGTTGTGGTGCCTGGGGTTTTCTTTTTTTTTTCTTTCTGGGGGGGGGGGGGGGGTAGTTAGATAGTAAATACTTGTAATCGTGCCGGCCATAAAGGATCAAAACACAGATAATGGATTATTCGTAATAGGTACAACTCTTAGATCTTCTCATGAAGCTTCAAACAGTCTCGACATATCTTTTAACTTCCCAATCTGTCACCGCCTCTTCCCAAAGCCGCCACTCATGTTCTCTGGTTCCTGTAAAATGCTCCACAAAATCATTTCCAAGTACCTCTCGTGCTACACTTCCCTCTTCTTTCATCTTCCTAACACCCTCCATCAAATTCCTTGCCAATCGCTCCCCGCTCCCAGTTTCATCGCCCTTTCCGAGAGGGGGGGTTGTGAGCTCGATCTTTTTCTCGATACCGCGCAAGCCCGTGGCAAGGATCGCAGCGAGAACGTAAAATGGGTTTGTATCCGCCCCAGGAGTTCGTATTTCGAAGCGAGTGGATTTTGGTGAGGCTGTCGGCGGAGCTATGAGACGTATGGAAGCTGCACGATGCTCAAGACCCCAAGACACAGTTACAGGTGCCCAGAAGTTTTCAACCAGGCGTTTATAGGAGTTTACTGTTGGCGCTAGTATAGGCATTATAGATGGAAGACCTTCCAACATTCCCGCCAAAAAATGACGCCCCAAGTCGGAAAGGTGTAATACATCCGAATATGGAGGGTTTGTGTCGGGCTCAGACCGAGCAAAAAGATTCTTGCCCTCCGAATCGACCAGGGATACTAGAAGTCGGAATACAATTAGTCGTGAACTTCGTGGCATGTTTGAATGGCGCATGGAATATGTAAATAATCAGCTAACTAAGAGAATACTTACTGTGCATATGTCCCGAATTTCCAGGCAATCCTTCTTTTGGTTTTGCCATGAAACATGGCATTATTCCATATTTCGACCCCAACGCTTTGACAACATATCTAATTGGAAAGGTTGAGTTCGCCAGGTTTTTATACATGGGAAGTATTGGCTCACTTGAATAAACTGGCTCGATCAGCCATCAGAGAGACCTCCCCAAACTCCAAAGCAGCTTCGTAAACTCCAGGCCCTGACTCTGTATGCCAACCCTCTATTGGGACATTGAATTTCTTGCCTAGACACAATGTTACTTTTTGATTTTTCCATATCTAGGCTAAGCCTAGTTAGGTATTTCCCTGTACAGGTTTGAAAATTAGAAAACTTACATGTATCAAAAATTCTATAATAAAACTCCTGGTTTTGAACTGGTCTGGTGAGAGAATAACCAAACATTCCTGGTGTCAGGTGCTCTAGATCTATCCCGCTTCCTGCCTTTACGCTTTTTGAAGTTTCCTGAAAATTGAAAAATTCGTATTCGGCTTCAAGGACGTTTAGTGTTAGAGTTTTCCACTAATTTATCTAAAGATAAAAGACAAACCTCCAGCCATGGCTTTCCACCCCCTCTCTCCCACTCTACTCACAACAGTCCCTAATAGCCCTCTTGGGCAAGGTGGTACTGGTTGCTCTGAGACAGGGTCATGAAAAGTAACCAAAAAGAATGGTACGCCGTGTGAGCCGCTCGTATGATCCCCCCAGCATCTTCCCAGGGTATTCTTCTGAAGCTTTGGAGGTCTATCTTCGCTAAAAGATCACGGTATCCGTTCTGGGCGTTGGATATGAGAAGTTCGCGAAAGTATGTTTTGTCATGCATGTCCCATCCGAAGATTACAGAGCAAAACCCGAAACCAGATTCTACAACTGATAAAAACTTCTTTTTGGATATAAGCTTCCCTATAAGCCCAAAATATTAGTTTGGTACCAAGCGCTCGTACTTCGGGCTCACATGTACTTACCGCGCAGCTGCCCATCCACATCTACTCCAGCGAGCTTCACTTTATCATCACCAGCCAGCTCTGCAGTGATCGTCTCGAGAGTATATACTTCTGCCATGGCGTTGCAGGTGTCCTTTTTAAAACTGTATGCAGCTTTGTTATAAATAGGCGCTTTCTCCAACAGACTTGTAGTGAGGAGGTTACGGATCTTAGAGTGGGGAGTTGATTTTGGAGGACCAAGGATACATACAACTATATGTACCTACGTATACTTGCTGCACTATGTATCCAAGTATCTTAGCTCAGAGGACGACTTCTCACTGTGCGTGACCCCTGTATTGTCAGCGGCTTATCAGTCAATCATTGTACTACCTGTAGATAGCGTCCAAAACCTCGTAGCTACAGCCAAGCCAAAAAATTCCCCGCTTCAGTAACGTTAACCCAGATAGCTAGACAGATAAGCGCCACAAAAATAGAGTAGATGCCCCGCTTCTAAAGTGAGGTAGAAGATATCAAGAAAGGCATAGCTTAGATGTCCGGAACGTTACGAGTTAAACCCCACTCATATAAAGGTCTCTCTCCCATTCTCCCTGTTCTATCAGACAACGTTGCCATATTTAAAACTGATATCATACCATATTCACAATGGGAAGACTCGATGGAAAGAACTGTATTGTTACTGGAGCCGCTGGGTATGATATGCCCTACCAATTATGCAGCATATCTTGAAGTCTGACTGGCGTTTGTGAACAGCGGTATCGGCCTCGAAACAGCAATTCTGTTCGCCCAGAACGGTGCCTCTGTCATGATGTCAGATGTCAATACGGGTCAATTGGAGATTGCACTCGCCAAGGCAAAAAAGCTTGTCCCCGGAGCTAGAATCGAGTCCCATGTACGTATATATGTGTGATGCTCCCAATCTTCTTTCACTGAGAAATCTAACGCAGGAAAATAGCAAGCCGACGTTTCAGTAGAGCCTGAGGTCGAGAATCTGGTGGCAGCGTTAGATAGTTGGGGTGGGGTTGATGTTATATTCAATAACGCTGGTATCATGCACATGGATGTAAGTTTACCTATATAAGTTGTTAAAAAAAAAAGCAAATTCTAGACTGCTTTTATTTCTAACATATTAATTTTAGGATGGCGATGCTATCAGTTGTACGGAGGATGTCTGGGATCTGACGCAGAAAATTAATGTACTTCGATCCCTAGTTCTCTCTGCTACATGGAAATTCTCATTAGAAATCTAGGTTAAAGGCGTTTGGTACGGTTGCAAACATGCCGTTCTGTCATTCCGCAAGCACAACAAGAAAAAGGCATCGGTCATCAACACCGCCTCTGTTGTTGCTCTCGTCGGCAGCGCTACTGCACAGGTGGCATATACCGCTTCTAAGGGCGCAGTTTTGGCAATGACGAGAGAATTGGCCATGGTGCATGCTAGAGAAGGTTTGCATTGAGTTCCACCAAGTGCACTCTGATATCTACTAACATCTATTAAACAGGTTTCCGCTTCAACTCATTGTGCCCAGCTCCCCTAAATACTCCACGTAAGTTACAATCTATGGGCTAGTTAATTCCTCACCTTCACAAGCGCAACACTAAAACCACAACAGTCCTCCAGAATTTCTTGGGCGACGATCAAGCAAAGCGCCACCGCCGTGAAATCCATTTCCCCACCGGAAGATTCGGGGAGGCCATTGAACAGGCGCAGATGGTTGTCTTTTGGCAAGCGATGAGAGCAGCTTCGTCATCGGCCAGGAGATGATTGTTGATGGTGGCATGACAAGGGTAAGCTTAAACTCATTAACTACCATTTTACTCCCCAGAGCGCCGCGGTTTACTAACTCCTTTTTAATCGATAGGCTTATGTCACTCCGGAGGGACCATCAGTCCCAGCACCTCTGAACAACGCATTTGGTCGTTGAACGATCATTTATCTATAATTAGTTATATGTATTAAGGCTAGGGTTCGGGGGTGTCGAACCTCCTGTCAGAACTTATTTATTTTGGGGATTATTAGGTTTCCTTTTAGTTTTTTGGGTGGCAATGAATGAGTTGCGGTTTTTGGTATGGAGTGCAGCATAACTGCGAGTCGAGTTTAAGGTGGAAAGTATGGGGACGGACTATGTATTTTAAGTATTTAATTATCTTATATTATCTACTTAGCACTTGATACTTACGACATATTGGTTACCTGCTTTTCAATTACACCAACACACATAATGCGTGACCATGTAAGTACAACTACAGACATATAGCGTCTTTATTGAGTGTCTGGGGCGTATTTCATTCCATTTGCACAGTTATCAAAACAATAAAATATTTGGATGCACTACTTTCGGTATGTATGTACCCTTCCAATAGCACCCCCAACTACACGCATCTCTACTACACACACGAAGAAAAAGTCACAAAATGAACCTCAATTGATACCGCGTAGTCATTAAAAGATCGTATAAATTAGCTATAAACCTACTGCTCATTTAAATCCCAAGCCATGAATAAACAAATAAAAAAAAAGAGAACCAAAAGGAATGAAAATATGCCAAACGCCAACAGATCTAAAACTAAACCATAACCAAACATATCCAACACAACGAAGCGAAGTAGAAAAAAGGAAATCATGACCCTATGCTACACGAGAAGTCACCAATTAAACAAACCCCCTCTACCACTTCTCGCCATCAGCCCACGGCTTCGACTCATCCAAGACCTCGATGATGAGCCCGTGATTCCAGCTCCAGTTTGCGCTGCTCTTGATCGTGCCCGCGCCCCTAACCTCATACCCGGTAGGCTTGGTAGGACAATCAAAATCCGTCTTCTCCGCCGTGAGCAGCAGCGAGTCCCCATTCGAAGCATCGCCCAACTGCAGCCTCTCCTGCTGGTCATCCTTCGGCCCCGGCAGAAAACTCGCAATCCTCGTAGCACCCGAGACCGGTTTGTTATTGTACGTAGTCTTATCCGTGACCTCGCCGCTGATGAGCGCATATACATCCTGCGACCCGTACCCGTTCGTGCCGTCGCCGGCGGAGAAGGCAAAGTGGAAGCGGCACTTCTTGCCCGCGTGAGTCGAGTTGAACTCGAACGCCATGTAGGTGTCGGGGCCGATCTGCTTCGTCTCGAAGATTGTGGTGTCGGGCTGCGCGGCCTCAACGGAGACTTGCAGATAGGCGCCGAGCGCAGTGACGCCGTTGGGGAGCATCACGGGCAGCTGGTAGCCTTGGAGTGGGAGTGGAGGGGTGACGGGCGGGCCGGTGGGTGTTGCGAAGGGCGTTGCCGCATCGGAGACGGGCGTGGGACTGGGCCCGTCGACGGTCACGGTTTTGACGACGGTTGCGGTGCTTTGTGGGCTGCAGACGGGGGTGGGCGCGGCGCTGGAGAGGGTCGCCGCGAGGGAGAGGAGGGTGATTGCGATGAAGGACTTCATTTTTGCGGAATTGGCTGTGTGTTTTGTGGGAAAAAACGGGAGAAAATGAAGCTCGGGAAGAAGAAGAAGCTGGAAAGTATCTGTTCAGGATGCGGTGGACCCGAGAGATAGTGGTGGGATTGTTTGCAGATGGGGGGGACTTTCACTTCAACTTATACCATATGCAAATGGCTGTGGATCTGCCTGAATGCTTACCAGACAAGGTAATGCAAGTGCAGATACAGTAAGACAGGCTGCTGGACTGAGATGTCGATTATCTTGACTCCTGCGAGTCAGAAAAAACCGTCAGGGTGCGGCCGACATACAGCCTACGGCTTAGTACGTGCATGCGCCGGGGGTGGAGGTCGGTCAACGACAGGGGACGGCGGTGGTGGTGGTGGTGGAGGTTGGGGGATGCATGGGCTTGCCTGCTTGCCTGCTTGCCTACTTGCTACCTTCTCCAGAGAGTGCCCCGAGTAGAGTGCTCTGATATTGCGCCTATCATGCAGAGTATCTGTCGAGACTCTCGAGTAGGTAGCTGGTAGAGAGACGGTACTCGAGCAGAGTCGCACTTACCTAGGCTCTAGAGAGAGAGAGTGCATATCCCACTACTACTAACTAGGGCCAGGACAGGGCTCAACGACTGGCTGCCCGACCTCAACTCCCCCCTTACCTATTCAAAAAAGCAGAGAGCGAGCTCGTCCGATAGCTCCAGTTCGTTCACTCACTCACAGCTCGTTCACTGACATCAATGGCGCTCACTGAATTCATAATGGACTGATTTGAAAACGACCACTCTGCTCTACCACAATCGAGAGCATGACCTCTCTACTCTACTCTACCTCCGATTCCTCCACAGCTCCTACCCACTCGTCGTGATGATGCGGGGTGGGGTGCCATGCATAGGGCTGCACAAAGGTAATAATAGAGCACTTCCAGCCAAGCAGGCATCGCCCCGGATTCACCAATCCCAAACCCTGAGTTACAATATAAAGTAAGTATCTTTGCACAGCCCCAGCCACCACCATGACATCCGAACTCTAATAATCGTAGCAAAAAAAAAAAAAACAACTCTATTTTATCCACATGCCCGCCCCCAGTAAGTCAGTAAGTCGGTCAAATTAAGAGTACATATCAATACATGTAGTAATAGTAATCCGTAGCAGCGTTTCTATTTCTCCCTCTCTCTAGCTCACGCATGTTCATTCCTGGTCACTCGTGGTTTGTTTACTCCGGACCCTCCAGAATAGCTCTTTGCTGTGCATCCGTGCCACAAAAAAAACACTACCTAGAGTACTTAGAGTAGAAACAGACAAGAACGCGGGTGCAAAAGGCTCCGTTCCGCAACGCATTGTAGGCCAAGAAGCACTTGGTGGGGCTACCTTCAGGGCTCCAGCCAACCACAGCCCAGAGCTACCTCCACTCGTCGATCCCTCGCCATCACGGCTGAAAAAGACCTCTGGGTGATCAGTCAACCGGCCGGCTTAATGCCGAGAAAAAAAGGGCACCTTGATGATGGACATGTCACCAATTAGCAAAAGTAACAAAGTAGCCCTCTAGACTATTTTGGGAAGCATGAACTGCAACGATCGTTGTGTTGCGGGGTTTTGAGACACGAATTGGGGGAAATTGTGGACTTGGCTCATGCGTCCAATGGGCGATGGATTCTGAGGTTGCCGGGTTGAGGCTGTCTGTTGTTGTGGTGCCGATTCTGGCGAGTGCATGCAGCCTCGTGGAAGGGACCGGGATAAAAGATCATGGCTTGGGATTGGTGTGTTTTGTTTCCTTGGTCGGGCGGGAGCGATCTGGATCTGACGCTTTCAACGGATCAGTCATAGAGCATCACGCGGTTTTTCTCTCGCGAGTCCTGTTGATGTCGAAGGTTACACTCTGTGATGCAGTCTAGCATGAGATATCACTCGACAACGAACCCCACACCACCAGTTACACAAACATTGACTGGAATGTGGCTCTAATTACCGCCATAACTCGAAAAATTGGCTAGCTTCCAGAGATCAAAATTACTTGTGTGGGAAACTTCTGATGCAGATCGATGCCATTCAACCAATCACTCGAGCGATAATCCCTAGCCGGAGATAGCCAATTTTTCGAGCGGCGGCGGTAGTGTTGTTTTGTCCGTGCGTGGTAAATCAGCACTTCTATAATCCACGTGCAGCCTACAGCGCCACAGCTTATCGATATTACGAACACCAAGAATGCTTTCTTCCCCACAGGTTTTATTAAGGTATATAGACCGACACAGGTCTATACAAGGTGCTGATTAAATCCGTGCCTTAGGCTTGCCTACATCATTACTACAGCCCAGGCCAGAATCACACGCCCTTGTCAGTTCCCCATGTCTCCCAAATCTAAAATTGAATCCAGGGAATTTTTTATTACGCCGCAGTTGTCAAGTTGTCTTGGAGGTAGTTGACGATTTGTTTGTATCTGCACCGCCATGTGTATCAGAAAAACTATAATTTACCCATGTACTTGGCTCCCGGAAAGAAAGGATTATACTTACCCTCTCTCATACTCGCTGGCATTCTCGGGATCACTCAGATTGGCTCTGGCCGCCATCCATCCGTGGAACATCTTGGGGTATGTATCGACAACAGATCTGGTCTTGACAGCTTCGTTTGAGCTGTTTTTCAAGTTCTCTGCGCTCGCAGCAATCGCATCGGCAGGTTCATCCTTTGATGCGAGAATCATGTGGGGAATGGTGATCGCCTTGGCGTTCTCTGGGTCGACCATTGCCGGGTGGATCTGGATGGATGTTTTGAAAAGAGTGTTTTCCCCAGAAAGGAGAGCTGTAACCTGCAGTTTTACCAGCCCGTTAGAAAGATGTCCCAGTGCTAGTACTGCGCAATGAGCGGCGTACCTTTCCACCCCAGCAGTACCCGATGACGGCCATAGCCTCTATCGATTTGTACTCTTCTTTAAGTGCTGGCACGAACTTGAGGGTGTTTGCCTGGGCCTTGCTAAGATCTGCCTCATTACCGAAGAAGGCCCCGAGCTTTGCCTGCTTCTCGGGGGTGTCTGTGGGGAAAACTTTGATATCCATAGGTGAGCCGAAGAAGTAGTCGGGCATGACAACCTACATATCACCCTCAGTCCATTATCGCAGTGAGAGAAAGATACATAAAAAAATAAAAATCAAAGTTTGAACTTACAAGGTGGTTTCCGGCAGCCGCAATAATATCGGCACCCTGCTGGGTCTGTGGGTAGAACCCGAAGATATCAAAGATTACCAAAGCAGCGGTTTTGGCATTCTTGTCGCCGGTCACATCTGTGGTCCAATTCCTGTCAATACTATATTTAAGTTTACAAGAACTGTGGCGACTTACATGTCTTCAAGCCACCAATTTCAGAGTAGGTTCCCTTAGGGGTGTAATCCGAGGTGACGACAGGGGGGATGCTGCAGCAAGCTTTGGATGCCATGATGTTTGGTATGTGAGGGCCTATGTGCAGTTTGTTAGCCCGAGACAGATCCAATTGTTTATCCGAGCACGGTTTAGAGTACGCACAGAAGAACTCTTCAATTGATTGATGGTGCTAGTGATGATGGAGATGGAGATGGAGATGGAGATGGAGATGGAGATGGAGGCGGGATAGCAAATGCGGGGTAGTAATTATATCGTTATCCTTATGAGCACTATGGCAGGAATCGTCAACGCTAAAGAGTGCGGCAGTATTGTGATCCCTGAAATTTATCACTCCGAGTAACCGAGGAAACATCTTGAAAATTCTTGAAATTCAGCACCCCCGAGCGCTGGAGATTCCTTATCCCCGTATAAGTTCCTTATCTCCACCTGTATATGAACTTCATTTTTTCCGGGTGGTGCAGCATGTAAATACAATAAAGTATTTATATCTACACTGCGAGTTTAGGTTCGCTCTATGGGGAGTATTCACAATTGGCCACGGCAGGAGAAGAGGAGAAGAATCCATCGATTTGACTTTGCAATATATTGGGAAGCTGCCAACTTGTTCATTTAATTTGTTCACTACATCGATATTCCACTGCAATGCCATCATTAGTCGATTGGTTTTAATGCAAGTATTTACAATCGTCGGTCACTGACATTCGATAGTCTTACATGCAGGTGCCTCTATACCATGTTAATCGACTCATGAAGTATAGTTGCATCGCCAGTCATTGGCGGTACACTTAATCACGGATTCTCACTCATGATATTTTAGACAGCAATGAAAAAAGAAAGGCGTTAAGCTGCTACATAGCGAAAATTAAGTCATTAATAGGTATCTTACAATGAAATATTAGAAAAACGTTTGAAGCCCAAAGCCAGAAATAACCATTAAATCTTAGTCATCCCAATAGACTTACCCTCCACGATCGGCCTAGCCATGCTAATCATATACGTCCTCCCCTTCAACGCCCACGCAAATACACCCCATACCTTCCAGCCAAACAATATACCCGTACCCCTTCCGAACCATGGGCCAAGAGGAACAATCAAGGCGAGGTCATCTTTGTGCTTATACTCGTTGAAGGACGATTCATCCTTACCAGTAATTGCCGCTAGGACATTAGTAGAAACGGACTTATAATGCTCCGCGACAGCACCGATGCCACGGTTACCCCAGTGGGTGACATCGCCGAGAGCCCAAATGTTGGAGTGTGTGGGGGTCTTGAGGTATTTGTCGGTAACAATCCAGCCGGACCCATCAAGAAGGTCTTTGGGCATGAAGGAAGTGTTAGGCACGAGACCCCATGTGGCAATGTGGAGATCAGTCTCGATGGTCTCTCCAGTTGACAGAACCAATTCAGTGACATCGCCCTTCTTGGTCTCGGAGGTAACTTTGACGTTGTTTCTAACCTCAACCCCCATCTTTGTAAGATGGCCTTCTGCGGCCTTTCCAACACTTGGGGGAGCTGCTGGGAGAAGTCCGGACGCGGAAGAGAGAAGGGTAACATGCTTTCCGGACTTGTGGTATTTTGACCCAATTTCTCCCGCGAGCTCACAACCCGTTGCACCGGCACCAGAAATCACGATACGGTTTGCTGCAGCAATCTTGTCTCTTGTACTCCCAAGAGCAGCCCTGGTGGCGACATCTGTTCCCGAGCCGGCGGCTTTGAAGGCCCAGTCTCCACCTGCGGTGGAGGAACCAGTAGCAACGATGAGATGCAGGTACTCAATGTTCACCTGCTTCACGTCCATAGACTCGTTAATGGTTTGGACGGTGACTGTGTTGGTTTCTGGGCTTGTGGACACGGCCTTTCCTTGAACGAAGGTGAAGCGCCCGCTGGGGTATTTTTCAAATGCGGGGAGGATGGGGATGAAAAGATCATCCTTGCCCTTGCCGAGGAGTTCAGGGTCAACAATGGCACGGGGGGCGGCGATGTTCCAGTATAGATGGGTGGATGGAGAGACGAGCGTGATGGTGTATTCTTCGGGGAGGTGCTTGATGAGGTAGTGGGTCATGGGGAGACCCGCGAAGGAGGCGCCGAGAACGACAATGTTTTTTGAAGTCATTTTGAGACTGGTGATCCGAGGTAACCGAGGGAGAAGATCGAAGATGCAATTGAGGCGAGTGAATGAATATCTCTAGCTTGGGGTGTGTGTGGTGAAAATGATGATAATGGTGAGAAAGGGGAGTCACGCAATATATATAAGTACGTGGGATATTTAGAAAATATTGAATCATTTCTTTCTTCAGAAGTTCAGGGCTCTCTGCCGCTGTCCCATCACGCTACGCACATGCGTCTCGGTATCTGCCATTTAGACTTGGCTGAGCTGGCGGCGGCGCGGGATGTTCCTGGGCCGGCCGCCGACACTGGGCAGGGCTGTAGCCAATTAAATTGGTAAGATAGAAGGAGGGAGAGGAGGGAAGGATCCTCAAGTCGGGGTGAAAATTCCCCGGTCCTTTACAAATTATTCGCAATCAAAAAAAACCCAGCATCATCAATCATCTGCGACGGTATGTATCGAGACGAGAAAAAGCTTGTCGGCCGGGAAATCCACTAGGGTCACGTGAAAGACCCTGACACACGTGAAGAGAAGATTATCCCGCCCGAGAGATTAGCGCAGGGTCCGCATGGTGGAGCGTGCACGGCTAGACTAGGCCGTAACAGGCTTAGATGACATAGCCTCACTCGACTACATCAGTTCACAGAACTCTCAACACAGGCTGCCGCCCCCCCCCGCTTGACCAGAAATCATACTCTGAATAAACACTCAATTGAAAATTATAAATTATAAATACAAACACGTAGACCGTCGCTTAATCGCGACTCCACAACCACTCCCTCACGGTCGCTCTCTCTCAATCCCATTCGCTCCGACTCTGTCACGTCAACACGATAAAACAAATCTCACGATAATTAGTACAATTAGGCTGCCGCCCCCCCGCTCAAGATAGCTTTACTTCCTTTTTGCCGACTCATACTCTGAATTAAATTCGACTCCGAATGGAACATTGGAGTATAAGAACTAATTATTTCTACCTAACGCCGTACCCTTCTAAACGTAATGCAAACCATAAAACTCCCCGAGCATACAAACACATGTAGAGAAAGACTAAGACACATCAAGCATCTTCTCCGAATCATGTATCCATCGTAATACCTAACGACATGAAATAACGCCTGTGTACACGAGAACAATGCCCTTTTTTTTTATCGATCTTTTCGACATCGACTGTCCCAGAAACAACTTGTGCCGTTGCCAATTGAAGCCTATCTCTTACTAACAAGTCAAGACCAGCAAGAGTAACATAAAGGGATTTGCTCCTCCTGACCTCTACTGATCAAACCGTAATCAAGCCAATATGCTTCATCAATCTCTTTCTGCGGGTGTCCACCGCTCCGTTGGTAGGCAAGGTCAAAGAATTAAGAAGAGTGTCAATCATTGCCCCTACCACCCGTTAGATTAAATCGTTTTCAGCAATTTGGGGTACTTGCCATTAAGTGTCTTGATTTCTTCGCTTGTCTGAGGAAAGTTTTGGATGAGCTGGCCACCCAGATCGTACAACGGTTCCAGTGGTGTGTCGGCACGAGTGACAGAGGAATTGATCAATCGTGCAAAGTTGTTTCGATCGCTGAGCCCTTCGGTATGAGTTACTTAGTCCTCAAGCAGTTGAGTACCTCAACATACGAGCGTAAGATATCCTGCCGGATTTGCTGTTGCCCCTGTTGCAGATTTTGTTGCCCCTGTTGCAGATTTTGTAGTCCCTGTTGCATCTCCTGCAACATTTGGTGAATCTGTTGTATTTGTTCTGCAAGATTCACAACGGGCAAATTTGGCAGCAAGGCAATTTCGTTGGAAGCAGTTGCAAACGCAGCTGAAAGATTTTGGAAATTAGGCTGAGCCATTGTTAATGGAATGGAGTGTTGCAATAACAACACGTAGTGAATTGAAGTGAAGTAGACGGTGGAGTTCGTTGAACGGGGTTGTTGTAATGGAGATAGAAGGCCCAAGCCTTTCGTTTTAAGCGCCCCAGCCGTATTACCCTGCCGCGTCACCGCTTTGGGCCCATGTGCTTGGCATTATGGACAGTGGCGAGTGTCCAGGTGGCAAATACACCAAAAAGGATACAAACCTTTTTGCGGGGGGACACACTATCTGGCGAAGTCTGGTCCGATAAGCAGTCAGTCTAAGGGGGAATCATACCCCTACTAACCATAATCATTTGGCGTGTCGTACAAACTCCACGCGCCCGACCTGGGCTCGCTCGACTCGTTCCCGGTATCTGGAACAAGCAGCTCAAAAAGTCGGTACTTTTAGAGTTTTATGCATGCTGTAATTATACGTGAGCACATGTAGGTAGGTACTTTACCTAGTTCAATTCGCAATACTTACCTGCTTAGCACGTTTATGCTTGGGTACTTCACATATATTCATTTTCTTTTGATGTTCCCCTGTGGGGTTTCCCCCGCCCGATGCCACTTCTGTCTCTCCACCTTGACCTCCACGCTGACCTCCACCACCGTCTTCTCCTTCCCCATCTCACCTTCCGTCGTTATATCCATGCGAAAGATAAATACATATACAATACGCCTACATCAGCGCCCGAGGCTAACATTATCAAGATAAGAGGTCAATATGAGCAACCTCACAAATTGTTTTCAGAGTGAGTAGAAACATTCAGGACAGCTTGATAGTTTACCAACTGCCCATCTAACCATATTCTGGGTTATTAGGATATTGACACCCCTGCATGATGGATCTCAGTAGCTCATGAATCCAACAATCTTGAGCTCGCGACAAAGTCTAGTCAGCATAATAGAGACATTCAGTCAGAGGGCAACGATAAATGTTACTTTAAATTCTCCTTCCCCTCACGATTATTCAATTCGAAGAGCAAATCTTTAAGCGTATGTTGATAAAATAAGACACACGAAGCAAAATGTCTTAAAGCATAGTGTGCGTACCAGAGTTTATCCGGGCTGGCTATCTCCTCGAACTTCAGAAACTGAAGATCAGTCGAGTCGGTTTGCAGCACAAAATCTATCAAATCTGCTGCAACACGGGGGTTATGTAGTTGTCGTTCTTATCCTTCAGCTGATCAGTTAAAGTTTGTGTGACCTATACGGCACTATATTAAGCATGCCTGGGCCATTTGTCCCGACAGTTTTAGGCGGGCCGGGCTCCCGTTTCACGGTAATCTTGGAATCTCGATACACTAAACTACCACAACGCACCTCAGATGTGGGGAATCGACAACAAAGCCTTATTACTAATCGATGTTCTAGAATTCTCAGGCTGATGCTAGTTAGATGTAGGTAGGTACTTGCGGACTTTCGGTCATAGTCAGTCACTCCATCTCGGCGGTTTGGTATGCGAGCCCGTGCGTCGCTCGCTCGATTCTGGCCGACTATTCTCGTTTTATATCCACTCTTATAATTATAAGCTTCAAATAATAATCATCATTTCGACAGCACATTTTCGGAGTCGGAACTATTGATGCCGAATCACTGGGGCGTGGTGTTTCGGGAATACTTCTGCCATACAGGGCCGGGTACCGGTTCCACCAATATATTGGTCGCTTTTTATTGGTCTATAGAGTTGACCGGGCATATCGGAAGTTTGCTAAACCTTGTTCAATACTCAAATAAGGTTGTCGCTTCTTTGAGTTTCCCTGGGATAAGATCAAACTAACCCATAGGGGAAATGATTTGACTCCAAGAATTCGAGCAGGGTATGAAATATGGTGGAAGAAGCTCCGTATGGATAGTATGTCAACCCTTGGGCACGCCTTTTATTTTTCTTCATCAAACAGAAAAAAAGGTGTCTATCTTAGCGGCATCGTTGCTGCCCATATATTACTGTGAAACTCTTCGGCAGAGATGGTGTGGGAGAGCTTGAAATCCTACTCCTACGGCGCTTCTTTCACCATATATAGGGAGATAAAGATGGAAATTTGTGTATTGTGGGTCGAGTGTTTGTGGATATGGTGCGCACCACGATAAAGGTGACACATTGGGACGACATTTCAAAAGCCTAAGGCTTTTCAACGAAAAATGTTAAAAGAAATGTAGAAAAATAGAACTCTAGTACAAAAGCTAAATATTAGTTCTATTTTTCTCGATTTTTAATATCTATCTTGGATAAAAAGCCTTAGGCTTTTGAAATTGCGGATTTTTGTATGTAAAATGCGCCAAGCATTCACAGAATGGAACAGGCTTGGCAGGAGGTAGACAACAACATTCCAAATATGCAGGCCAATATTGTAGATAATAAATCGTTATTTTAGGGAAGAATATTTGACTAGGCTCAGAATATATAGAAAATTTAAAACCAATTTTTTCTAAATATTCATAGGCTAGTCAATTATTCTGCCCTAAAATAACGATTTATTATCTACAATATTTGGGTAATTCCTGCCAAGCCTGTTCCACCCGCCAAACCTGACTTGTCACCTTTATGATGGTGCGCACCATATATTGCGGATTATTGGAATTCTATGAATAGACACAGCTCTTCATGGCCAGCTGTAATGACAAGCCTTATGAAAGAACAATACCCCCGCCACTGCATTATGAATATACCACATCTATTAAGGAGTAGTAACGATGACTGCGTAAATTCCGGGACCTTGAGCCATATGATATTGGTTGAAGTGGGTAATGCTTCGGGCACTAGGTGCAATCACCGACAGGACCGCACCCGTAAGAGCCTTGAGTATATGGTGTGTTAACTAGGTGCTGATGCTTCTAGATATCTCAAATAACCGAATGTTACACGCGGACTATGGACTCGGTACCTTTTGTGGCCGTTGACCGTTAAGACGCCCTGCAGATGACAGCTCCACTTTGCACTCGCCGCCTCCCCCACTCCTTAAAGTCTAAATACACAGCATGAGGTATGTAGACCCTGGTGATGCCAACACTTGGCGGCTCTGAAATAAAGTATTGCAGGGGGGAAAGATCATTGAATCCTTGCACCGGCTGCTTATTCCCCACAAACGTGCTCATAAAAGGTCTTGGGGTGGCTTGGACAGGCGGGGAAATGTCCGAAGTATTGGTAACTATATGTGACTTCGTGCCTTTATGGCGGTGTTGGTGGTGATAGTGGAGCCATACCAGAGGAAATATGCTCATCAGTACTTACACAATTAATTGCGAGCACTGACCACCTCTGGACACCTCACGATGCTCCGATATTGTAGACAGTACGGTCCGGTATGTGTACTATTCGGTATAATTGAGAGCGAATCGATGAATCAAGTGAACTGTAGTCACTATCTTCAAGGTTTCCGAGAATTGCAGACCCATCAACTCCAGACCAACACCTTATTCATGGTTTCCAGGGTTTAGAATCGACCTGTATAAAGCCTTTGGGATTTCCACCTGTTTCAATCTCTCATCACCACTCACTGCCACCAAAGTCTTCTCGATCATATCTACTCGTCTCTGCCCAATATGAAGTTTCTTGCCAGTTCTGTTGCTGTTGCCGGTCTTGTGACATATGTCTCTGCCGCTGCCACCACTGTCTTCCCCAGCGCAGCAAGCTCTACTACACTCTCTTCTCCGATCTCGGTTTCTGGAACCTACGATGGTGGCATGAAGCGTTTCAACAGAAACAGTGAGTAGCGTCCAGCTCAGAAATCAAAGGGTGGGTTTTAACTGAATGAATCTTTCTCCAGATGGTTGCAATGAGGGCGAGGGTGGTGACGACGATGCCGTCTTTATCCTTTCGAGCGGAGCCACTCTCAAGAACGTCATTATCGGATCTGCTCAAACTGAGGGTGTTCACTGCCTTGGTCCTTGCACAATTCAGAACGTGTGGTGGGAGGATGTCTGTGAAGACGCCTTGAGCATTAAACAGACCTCTGGTACTTCGTACGTCATTGGTGGTGGAGCCAGACACGCTTCCGACAAAGGTATGGCGATTGCCCCATTTCCTGCGGTGCATTCACACGGGACTGATAGTTTGCAGTTATCCAGCACAATGGTGGTGGTACTGTCAATGTTAAGGACTTCTTCGTTGAGGACTTTGGAAAGCTTTACCGCTCGTGCGGAAACTGCGGGACCCAGTACAAGCGCACCTTTATCGCCTCTGGTGTTGTTGCTGTTGATGGAGGTACTCTTGCTGGGATCAACACCAACTATGGCGGTGAGTTATCTTCTGGACCCCGTTTTCCCCCTTGTAGGCAGAATGGCTGATGGGGTTGGATAGATACCGCCACGATCTCCAGCACCTGCACCTCTGAGGTCACTGATATCTGTCAGCGCTACACTGGTAATGATGATGGTGATGAGCCTGTCAAGACTGGTGCTGGGAATGACGGAACTTACTGCAAGTACGATTCTACTGTCACTAGACGTAGCACTTGCTATGCTTAGATCGTTGCCGTGGTAAGGGTTTAGTATTGAGAATTTGGATAGTCGTTTATTTGGTAGCTAAATACATGTATTGAGGGATTTACATATCCGTTCGCATCAATGGAGGCAGAAATAACAAAAGTTAGCACTCATGCATGTGTGGGATACTATAATTAAATCAATCAATACATATAAATTTGCATTGGGATGGCGAAGTCGAGTGATATATCGTGAATCAGATATCATCCATCGCACGGGCCCTGGAATTCGTAACACCGGCCACATGGAAGTTGTGTCGTATGGCAAACATTATTCGCCCTTCCACCCGGCAATAGTCAGTGCTGAAACAAAAACTTTCTTCCTTTTCTTCTTCGTCAACAACGCCACCATATTTGGTAGCGACTCTTTGCGTTACCGCGGAATGAAGGGGAGCCCGACAACTGTCACTCGGGGACTCTCTTCCATGAAAGGGAGTGAGAGGCCCACGCGAACCGACGCCTATACTCAGGTGTAGTAATAAGAACTAGAATATGCAAGTGAAGAGACAGGGATTATTTGTATGGAGTGGCACCGCTCTGCCATACAAATAACCTCATTGCATATTCTAGTTCTAACCCTCATACCCGCGTAGTAGAGTGCCGTACCATGCAGCCACGCCGCGTTTCAGCAGAAACATACATGCGGGGTCCCGGTTTCTTACCCGGTCATTGATTCAATTCAGCTTGATCATGTACTATCGTTCACGGGGTATTGACGGGCACGAACAAACCACAAAAGAGATAGCCAAGCCAAGTTTTGCATGCCTGCAATCCGTCAACACCCTGCAAGGCCCTTAGAAGAATCGTTAATCCAGTACATACCAGTGACTCTAGGTACAAAATGCTCAATAAAATAAGTGCGCCGTAAGGGACTCGAACCCTTCCCAGTTGCTCACAATTTAATGGAAGGCAACTATGCTACCCCTGCACCAACGGCGCATTAGGCGAATTATCTTTCAAAGGACTATATTCACTCAGCAAATAATTCCGTGGTTAAGAGTTAATCTACAAGTTTAATGGGGTCATGCTACTCTACATTATTACTGGTACTTCGTACCTTAGTGCCGAGACTTGTATGTAAATGTAGGTACGCAAGATGTGAAGGAAGCCTCAGGCAAGGGTATCCGCGAGCGCTAGAATAAAGTGCTGTTTGACGGGTAATAATGCTCCATAAATTGCAAAGATTCATCAAGCTTTGCCAGAATCGGGGCTGAGATATTCAATTTTATACGTAAGAAAAAGGTGTACTGGGGTGTGTGGGAATGGGTGTGCCCTAGCTATAGGTACATGTAAGTATATTCTAGGTAAGCAGAAGCCGATCTTGGTGGAGCCTTTGATGAAGTATCTGATTGAGAATAAATGTATTTACCATTCTTCTCTTGTCAGAATTGGAAGTCAGCCAAAAAAAAAAAGAAAAAAAGAAAAAGAAAGCTGCCTAGAGATTTCACTTGATTATTTAGCGAAATCGGTCGAATGCGTGTCTATGACTCGCTCGATTCGAGAACTGCAGTGCTAGTGGATTTGGACCGTTAGATGTACCAGAAAGTTGATCAAAAGAAACCAGTAGATAATTAACATGAGATTTGAACATGGCATCCCCGGGCTCAAGATACTCGCGTGTAGCATAAAGAACCAGAAAACGCGTGACGGAGTAGGGACTTTTTCTATGGAGTTGCGCTGATCTGCCATACAAAATACTCATTTTGCATTTTCTGGTTCTTTCCCCTACACGCGAGTATTTCCCCCACCAGTTGATATGTTCGATACGTAAAGATTCTGTCTCAGCTTAGCTAGAGTATTTCGGAATAGCCTAATACGCCAATAGGTTCTGGGGGAGTCCATATGCACCACCCGCGGCTAGAGTACATCGAGCAGTGTTCGTGGCGTGCATCAACACCTTCATTGTTCCTAGTGGCTGTGTTTTTCTTTTGTTGCTTCTTTCAGACGTGCCAAATCGTTAATACGAGGGACCTTTCGTGCTATCGTGTTAGTCCTGCTGCCTAGAGCTGTTAAGATAAACCTCTTGATCTCGTATGGAATTAACATTATCTTCTTAGCCGCTTCATATGATCATCTATCAGCTTCTCGGAATTGATTGGCATGTATGACATAGAGTACCTATTGTAGAGGAAGCAAGGCCACAGATAGTCTATTCCACTCTAGGTACTTAGAAACAGTGCTTTTTGATCAAAAGCTTTTGATTCGTCTCGCATCTAATCATTCACCCACCTAGGTGCTGTATGAATTTGGGTTTTAGAAGTAAGCTCAGAAAAACATAGCCAATGTGCATGTACTTATGTGTCTCCGCAAAGCGACGTGGAGTTTTATACTGTGCGTCTGCGGCAATACAGACATCAGCGCTTGCGCGATGGCCTAGGCTCATTCTAGGTGCCTCATCGGATTATCCAGCGCGTGCAGGGCTGCATATAGATTGGTAATCAATTGACTGAGCATGAGCTTCCGTCTATCACGCGGGTAAAATAGCTTGGGATAAAGGAATTAACAAAGAAGTAAATCGGGATATACCTTAGATACTCTATTCATGCCTAGAATATATACCCGTAGCTTTATAGCGTTTCCGAACACGACCAATATTGCATGACATACAAAAAGGTGGATTTGGCGCTTTTTCGTATGTCATGCAATATTGGTCGTGTTCGGAAACGCTATAAAGCTACGAGTACATGTAGCTTGCATCTAGCTATCGAATTCGAGTTGTTGATCATGGGAGGGTGAAGTTAGCGTACTTCGCGAGATCGGGCTAAGATCCTTGTACGCTGGAGTTCAATTAGAGTTTAACCCTTTTTTGAACAACTTAGTTCCCCTCTTGTTATTTACTCGTCTATTCATAGCGTTTCCGAACACGACCAATATTGCATAACATACAAAAATGTGGATTTGGTGCTTTTTTGTATGGTATGCAATAGCAGTCATGTTCGGAAACATCATGAAATCAGTAGTACGGCCTCTAGTTTAGTAAAGAGCCGGGGTGTATATATCTTCGCCGATTGTTCGGGTACTCTAACTCTAAGACTGTGGATTGAGGGCTTTCTAGGCTTCTACTTCATGTAAAGCCAGGATAGTAAAGATAGACAAGAAAAAAAATTTCTCTTTCTTTTTCACCACTCTCATACAACCGCGGATGGTGGCAGCCTTCAGCCTGGCTGGGTTTATTGGGCTCCACGTCGCGAGAGCTAGAGCAGACACCCTAACCGTGCAAAGTAATTTCTTTTGCCAGCACCTAGACAGGGAGTGGGGCTGATCCGCCTTGACAGATAAAACAATGGTGGAGAAACAAGGCCTAGGATAGGCTCCCCATGGCAGCTTCTAGCGCAGGACAGCTAAAGTTCGCATATTACTCTTGGTCTCAATTTGTTTAATAGTTAGCCAAGTGTACGTAGGTATATATACTCAACAACCCACCACCCAGTTAATCCTCCTTTTTGCAGCACTCTCCGCAGCTAACTGAAATTTTCGGTGCATTCTTCTACTCAGAAGATTAATCCCACACAAACCAAACTCCTCTGCTGAACTATCTATGGACCACCACAGCCTACTAAGCAGTCAAACTCCACCGCCGAACTTAGGGGCCACGACATATACCAATTCTGTAACTGAGGCAGACCAAGAGACGGCTAGAAACAATGAGAGACGAAATTTCTCTGGTTTCTCTAGTATGTCTGGCAAGGGTCCCGAGCCAGCCATAACAGGACCATTGGGTGGTTTGATACACCAGAGTACTAAAAAGACAATGGATTTGGATGAATACTTTGTACGTTACTTCCTTCGTAATTCTAAAATATCGGCGAGTGCTGACTAAAGCTGTAGACCGGCCCGATAGATCCAATGCGGCATTCGAAATACCCGCGTTTCATGAGGATGCACGGCTCTATCATGCCAATGATGATTCTACCGATGACTTTTGTCTTTATTTGGTCTACTGTGGTGACAGTAATTAGTCAAAGGGTATATTCGCTTCAGGTCGACTCTGTGCTTCTTACAGTGTTGGGTTTTGTCGTTGGTTTGTCCCTGTCATTCAGGTCGTCGACAGCATATGAGCGCTATATAGAAGGAAGAAAGTAAGCACCAGAAACCTTGGCATTGCTATGAGGGAAATGATACTTATGCATCTTTAAGGTTCTGGCAGCAACTTATCCTCCATTCTCGCAACATGGCCCGTGTAATTTGGGTTCATGGTAAGGAGCGCCCGGGCGAGGAAGGCAAGGAAGACCTTCTCGCAAAATTGACTGCAATCAATCTTATCCTCGCCTTTGCCCAAGCAGTAAAGCACAAGCTCCGTTACGAGGTCGAATACGATTACGAGGATTTAAAGCCCTTAATCGATAACATTTCCACATACGCTAAAGCGGCAAATTCCACTGACACATGCCCAACAAAGCATAATAAAGTTTTCCGAAAGATCAAAACATGGGGTGCCTCTCTCGGTATCACCTTTCTCATAAGCAACCCACGGAAAGCGGTGAAGAAAGCGGCAAGCGCAGGAAAACACCATGGGAATCTTCCTTTTGAGATCATGACACATATTGGGTCTTACCTCGACCACATCATCGGCAATACATTGCTTGTGAGTTCCTGTTGGCATTCGCAAGTAAGCGGAAGCCAATTGAGTATGCTGGATGCATATGGAGGTTGCGAGAGGGTCCTTCAGACACCTTTGCCGCTTGCGTATTCAATCGCCATCTCACAGATCACGTGGCTGTATGTCTTGATGTTGCCGTTCCAGCTGTTCCCAAAACTTGGATGGGTTGCTATTCCAGGGACCCTTGTAGCTGCGTATATCATCCTTGGTATTGCGGCTATTGGCCTAGAGGTTGAGAATCCGTTTGGTACAGATGTGAATGATCTTGATCTTGACCGATACTGTGATGGACTCAGGATGGACTTGAATATACTCACTTCCATGCCTTCACCAAATTGCGATAGTTGGATTAAGAGTGAAAATAACAAGCCACTGTCACCGTACTCAGTCGGAGGATACGACAGTTGGAAGAACAGGAGCATGAAAGATATCAGAAACGCTCTTGCACATAAGGTGAATCATCAGTCCGTACTGTTGATGAACAAAGCGATGGAAAGGAATAGTTCACAAAGAGTGGAAACAGAGTTAAAGACGGGAGTTTAGGCCTGGTTTGAACTTTTTATTTTATTTCTTATTGAAAGTCTAAAGGCGCATTGCATCTATGGTTTATGGTATTAGATATGCATATTTCTCTCGTTGGCACTCATGTTTCTTATATATAGCGCCGCAGCTTACTACATTAGCCTTTATTTTTTTGTATTTTTTTATTCCTGGTAATATAATGCATTACGTGTGTTGTTTAACTCTACAGATCTAAGGACGTCGATCTAGTTTACCATAAGTTTAATTTACCGCCTTTTCTTCTTTAAAACCCTCAACCATGTATACGATTAAAGGATAATGAAGTATTTGTAAAATGAGTCGGATATAACCTGTTAAATTTCATATGGTATTTGAACAATAATCTCTGTAACTATGCCTGTTTTTGTTAATACAGCTTTTTTTTTTAATTCATTAATTGCATGCAGCATTACGGCCATGACAATTTGTTAATAAAAATTCATAATTAGGGCCATAGTGTTGTGGAGGAGACGAGTATTAGAATTTTAGCTGTTTGGCAGGTTTGCTGTTGAAGAGTTTCAAGAACATACTGTTTTAAGGGTGTATTTAAGAATGTAGAAGAGAAGGTGCGCTTGAAATAGGTTTCCCCATGTAAAGAACTGGAGTGGCCCGATTCTATTAAGGAATTAGCTGCGCTCCTTTAACAAACTCCAACCTGATAATTCCCTTTTGTACTTTTACTTGAAAGCAAGTAACGGAAAATGGCAAAGGGGAGTGCTTGGGGCACCGAAGAAAAATTTGAAAATGAAGGCTGCAAGCAAGGGGCTCAATTTGTAGGTACAGACCGTTACCATCGAAAGTTCTTACCTACCGGCTCGGGTACATGCACCTATAATTCCGGCTAACTGAAGAATAGCGATAAAAACCTCCATTTCCTCAGTTGTAGGTAAAGTACATGTAGTTTCCGGAACGTATTTTCGACCTAGTGAAGGTTCCGAAAAACGGGTTTGAGATAGTGAACGGTAGTGGTTACTTTGCAGAGGTAGTACATACATACGTATATATATATTGTACCTATAATCCGTGTCACTTCTTGGCGTGAGTATGAGCAGCATGCGCAGAGATGAATCCGCAGATGACGAGCACGGCTTTAAAGCTTTGGATACATGTACCAAGAGGCTTATGGGGTCGGGGCTGGGTTTGGGTAGGGGGACTGGGGACCTGGCCTGACTGGTTTCACTACATGATGATGACAATGAATATAGATTATAATAGCACCAGAGCCACTTAGCTAGCAAGCGCCCCTCTATTTATATGACGCCTGTATATACACAAATACGTATGTATAGTAAAGGTCAGGTTTATTAAATAGTTTTTCATATAGAGTACTCGAGTACATGATCAGATGTTTGACACGTATTATGATTCCGTGCCGCTGATTCGATCGCAAATTCGTTGATACGTGTTCTCCCTACATACCGATCAGGCAAAAGGTCTTGTTGTAGTTGTGGATATGATCAGTAGACGTATGTACTGAAGAAAAATCAAAAGGATTTGTAAACTAATTAAGTACGTACATGCACTGAAATTGATTATAAAATAATCAAAGATCTTACATATACCACGGGTCTTAGCTTTAAGGCGCAGCTAATACCATATCTCTTTTTTTGATTATTCTTAACCCATTTTCTTAAAGTACTACATGTAGTACTAGTTCCTGCTACTGTAGCTAGCTGTAACACGAATTTTGATAATTCGGATATTACAATCACTTTTCTGGACCGGTAATACTTGATTTAATTAACAATATGTACTTCACATGCAATGTATATAATTTAGATCTACAGTGCAATTATAATAGCGATCTGAATTGATTGACTCCACATGGCCAGAGTTTACTCAATTGGTCAAGGATAGAGAATCTGGAGGCCCCCGCCGGCACCCGCCCGGCCTCTACCAGATAGTGCGAAGCCTCCAAATCTATGCTTCTCAAGTTCTTGCCTAGTATATATATATAGATCCACGCGCGCTTCCCTGATCTATATATCCTTTATCCGTATACGTATAATACATTGTACCTATATTTTAGATGGAATTAATTTATAGGAGTTTGAAGTCCCTGTGGCTATAGCTATCGTATTACTAATAAAATATAAACTTCGATATGTAAATACAGTCGGATTAACTAGGCCAGAGACTTATGAATACACTCAGACCAGTCACGGAAGATCATTGCCCGTGCCTGCATGCTGCTTTACGTAGGCGAGTACATGTACTTGTTATTTAATTGTGTAGCCCCACTATACTGCAACCTCCTTGATCTAACAACACAGTATGGCTACAAAACCTCGGGCCGTGCTGTTTGCGTGGGTACAAGTGCTAGATAAGGTTGAACGGTACATGTAGTTAGAGTACATTCAAGTACTGCCATAAGCGTTATAAGGCCTTACCTCAATGGTGTTTTGCCAGCTAAATTATCTTACCTGCGCTGCGTTACGCCGGAGTTTGTTGTGGATACAGCCAACCCTAACTTAATTTTAACTCACGATCAATATCCATCCCAAGATCGGTGCTCAGCCAGGAGAAGCGCGCCGATTCCATGTCTTACCAGAGCACACTAACAAATCAATTCCAAATAATGTATTTTAGCGTTGTCGCACGGCCCATCCTTTACCGGAAGTAGTGTGGTTCATAGCCAAGCTTTATCTACCAACGTCATGTCTGAGATAAACTTTGTTTATGATTAACGGGGGATCGGGGCGGAAGCTTAAGGTCCTTTTAGTGGGTTTCACTTCTTCAACTACCGAATGAAGATCATGTGTTAGCGCAGGGCAAAAGGATGTCACTTACTGGCCCCCTATCTTCATTCTCTATCCAGCCCGGCCCATACGTGCGTGATCTTTGCTCTAGGACCCTCTACAATCCCACCAGAAGCACGTCCACGCGGATTACTTCTCTATTCAATTATTATATCCATGGACCCATACTAGGATCTACGGACCACAAACTCTGCGTTTATACTTTAATTTGGGAGTTTAACCTGTACCTGCATAAAATAAGTATATTGACGTAAGGGTATGCTTTAGATCATATAACTTGGCATGTACGTAGTTGTTTCATTCCCAAAGACAACAACCTTTTAAGCTCTGGAAGTGCACGAGTATGCGTGCTGCTTTGGGGGTTCTCATGATTTCGTGTTTCTATGCATATGTTCCATACTAGCGGGTCTTTAATGGGCTATGCAAGCGTTTATTGCTTACTCACGTAAACTGTAACATAGCTCGGATCATATGCGAGCGCACGGCCCAAGATCTACCGCTAGGAATTCGTAGAATTCACTTCTGTTAGTACATATAGGTAGTCAGTTATGGGGGGGGGGGGGGGGGGGGCGGAATGTTCCAAATCTGTACTTCATGCCTAGCGATATCTCCGGTGACAATGATGTATGCAGTATGTTGTCCTATTATCGACAAGTAAGGATATCGAAGCTAGTGTGTTTACAGCGGAAATTAGTCAAGATTCAATGTAAGACATGCGTGATTTTATGAGGGATAAATATTTGTAGCTCATGGAATTTGGAATACCTCGATAGAGGACCGCGTGGCTGCGGCATATGTGTTTTAATGAAAGAAACTGTAAACGTAGATCACTTGATTTTATAATCACATATCTGGTCAACGAAGAAGAAGTATATAAGCCCTAGCTATCCTCCTCTCCAAGCTTCCATCCTTACTACCCATCAGTCCTACGAACATCATCACTCGTGCTCTCATCTCACCATCTTTTTCATCCTCTTTCCAGCTCTCAGAACTCGTTCCCTTCAGTTTATCTAAAAAAAAAACTCTTTATAGACACCAAAATGAAGTTCTCTACTGCAGTTATGACTATCGCTGCTACCATGGGGTTTCAGGCCGTTTCTGGTGCTCCTCTCGCTGCCAGACAAGCTCCCATCACTGATGGTGATATTCTCAACTAGTTTGTCTTGCCCTACCATAATATTTCTTTATAATTTATCACCAGGGCTCTCATACTAATTGTAACATAGTGCCCTTACACTTGAGCACCTCGAGAATGCCTTTTACGCTGAGGGGCTCAAGAAGTTCACCAAGAAAAACTTCATTGACGCCGGCTTCACTAGCGAGTTTTATGAGAATCTGGTTATCATCAGCAGTGATGAAGCAACCCACGTAGACTTTCTCCAAAAGGGTCTTACCGCAGCAGGAGCAGTCCCAGTCAAACCATGCGCATACAAATTCCCCGGGGAGACTGTTGAGGAGTTTGTCATGGTTAGCGGTATTCTTGAGGGTGTTGGTGTCAGTGCTTATCTTGGTATGTCAGATGCAGCTCTGGATCTCTTTTTTCATTGCTTGTTTATTGAATGCTAATAATGGATACAGGTGCTGCCGCAAGAATCATGGAAAAAGCTTATCTGACTGCCGCTGGTTCAATCCTCACCGTAGAGGCCCGTCATTCTTCGTACATACGTGCTGCAAACAAGCAAGCACCATTCCCTCAGCCATTCGACACTCCTCTGAGCTTCAACCAAGTGTTTTCTCTCGCCGTTCAGTTCATCGTCGAATGCCCCGCGGATCAGCCAATGCTTCCATTCAAGGCTTTCCCTATTCTGACCTTTGTGCCCGCCGAGGGCGACCCTGAAGTCAAAGCCGGGAGCACCATTTATTTGTCCACTCCTGCCACCACTGTTGCCGCCCGTGATGCTTCCGCCCATACGTATGATCATGATTGCATTTACGCTGCTTTCATGACAGTTACGGGCCCGATCTTTGTTAAGGCCCAGAAAGTGGGTGACAAGTTTGCTGTCGTCGTCCCTAAGGGTGTTAACGGTCAGAGCTATGTTATTTTAACTAGCTCCAACACTGGAGTTACTGATGACAACACCATTGCCGGCCCGGTTATCGTCGAGATTACCAACTATTAAGCCCTGATCTTCAAATATTATTGAAATCATGTTTCTGATTTGCTTCTGATTCGCACATATGTACTTACTGGCATGGGTCGGTGTTTTAATCTTCTTTTGTACT